TATGCCATTAAAATTAAAAGAATCGACTATAATTGATGAAAAATCTTTGATTCCTAACCTGTACTGAAAAAAAATCGATTAAAATCATCAATTTAATCAAAATAAATCATAATTGCTAGATTTTCATCAATTATTTGAGGTTCGAATCGATTATAATCAGGAATATGTTGATTTTTCGCGTAAATTTTTTTACATGGGTAGTCATTCTTAAAGCAGTTCTAAGGAGTACGAATTTAACAGCAGTGTGAGAACAACCAGACTGGATACAGAATACCGCGTAAGAGACCGCACAACTCACAGCGCACTGCTGAGAGCAATAGTTGAGTAGAGACCACGATAGACTATTGAATTGTATCTTCAAATTGGAAGATATTATTTAGCTCAGATGATCCCACACGACAATGCACGATAACTAGGTAAACGGAACCATTACTCAGCTGATTTAAATTAATTTAATTGCCAGAGTTCAGAAACGTCTGATACAAAAAAAACGACATCATAAAAGCAATAAATTGGATACCCATCTCTGGAAAGTCTAGAAATCGACAAAGTACTCAAATCTTATCATTTTAAAGGTCTTCAAGCATACCTGTCACAGATACGAACGGAAGGTGACAACCAGATACTGGAGCAGAAAGAGCATTCTCTCCGAATCCAACCGAGTTAGATATGTCAAAAACTAGAGCGCTCAAAAAACAAATATTGAAATACTAACTAAAACAGTCTTCAAACTGCATAGCAGTCGACCTTCAACTATATATATATATATGCGTGTTCGACACTTAGAAGTTCATTCACTCGTCCATGCAGCTACTAATAAAGTGCCTTCAAGATTGCCTGAGACTCTTCAAACTGACCTAGCGATACATGAACACCCTGAAGATCACCAATCTATCCATATGAGTGAGCATTCAAAGTTCTAACCCCAAATGCGCAACACACCTGTTCATTAAGTCACATGTAGTACTTCACATACTTTTTTTATACCAAAACTTTCTCAAAATCATTCCAACCCCATTTCTAACATTAATCGATGATAATTGAAAACAAAAATCGACATAGGACTTTGGACTTGCTATATATATTCCTTCAGCAACATTTATAATCCGTGTCGTACTCTTCATCAGCAGAATATCATCTAATTAAGGTAAATAGAACAAATCACCTTCAAAGATCTTTATTAGTAAAATCATGATTTCGGGCTTAAATCAAGCTCGAATTGCAGCGTGTCTTCGCGGAAAGATCTTAGAATATGAGCTTCTATCGATCTGAATCTTCTAATCACAGAAATACCCTATAACTAAGGTAGTCACAATAAAGATCTCTAATGATCTTCGTAGATCTTTCATATTTGTTTCAGGATGCAGAATCGTGGGTTCTGTTGTGCTTCCGGTTTGTCTCATCAGTATTCTTTGCTTTTCCGTTTTGGATGTGAAGGTTTCCGCTGGCATTCCTGATTTCCTCCTCCCTGTTCCTCTAGGATCATTCTATGTTCCTTAGAGTTTTCTATGACTGGATTTGCGAGGAAGCTAAGAGTTTAGGGAACATTTTTTTCCGGGTGGAATACTGCGTTCACTTCCTATTGTTTTTCCTGCAGAATCCGGTAGGAAAGACTAGGGAACCGGTGGAAAATCACCGGAAAGAACCCGTTTTCAGACCGGTTCCGGAAGTGTCTAGAGACCCGAATCATCGATCTGGGATTTTTCTCCTAAAACTAAGTTTAACATTTAAAAAAGTATTCAGTGATTATTATCAGAATTGTAATGAAGGTTTTTCTCTTTCGTGAATCTTTCTTGACATCGGCTATGATATATACAAAGTGCAGGAAAACAATCATGAAGAACACAAATAATAAACGATAGTCCTCGATAATAAGAGAGGTGTCACATATCCGAAATATCGGGCATGCTGGAGATGCCACGGGAGACGCCGACATACAACACTATAACTAACCCAATGAAATACTATGTGTATGTAAAATTCTTTGAGCGCATTCTGCGTCTCACGCAGAGGCGCCGCATCTCTGGCATCTCCATCTCCAGCATCTCCCGATGAAAAATATTTTTCGATTTCTAGCCTAGACCCCACGTGGAGATGCACCTCCATCTTCCCCCTCTTCCCCTTCTTCCAGTAGTGTCGAACTTGAAACTTGAATTCAACTGAAATTTCAAGTATCAAGTTTCAACTTTCAACCTTCAAGTTTCAGGTTTGACGTTATTCCACTGACACTACTGCTTGCCCGGCACCCACATTATGGGTACATATGTGTGAGTAGACAAGCGTGTCTCCCTTCCCCGGCACCCACACCGTTGAAAGTTGAAGTTTCAGTTGAATTCAAGTTTGAAGTTCGACATGTATGTGCGTACAGAGACGGACAAGGTTCGTGAAGAAGATGAAGAGAGACAGAAGAAAGAGGAAGAGAGGGGCGCATCTCCATATGGGGTCTAGGCTAGAAATCGAAAAATATTTTTNCGGCATCTCTCTGTGGAGATGTGCGAGAGATGGCGGTTCTGGTGTATCCCGCATCTCCCGTGGCATCTCTGGCATGCCCGATTTGTTGGATATGTGACACTACTGGATAATAATTAGAAAAAGGAGGTTTTCAATGTTTTCACACAACGAATAGCATTACAATTGACTTGCTCGGGTGATGTACATTACGGTATTGTTTCGATTGCTACAACCATCTGATGATGAAATTTCAATACTAACTGATTAAATTTGAGAAAGAGCTGCCGAATGCGAGTGTTTACAGCCGATAGCTGTATATGAAGCGGATGCTATACTTCGATTAAGATGCTACCAATAAGCAGCAGATGTGCACTGAAAACAGCTAAGATTAAAACAGTTGTTAAAATCCATATTGAATTCATTGCTATTTGTATCAATTCACTTTCAATGGGTTTGACGAGCTAACGCATGATTCTGTTCTTCTTATATACTAACATGTTTGCAAAAACAAAAGAAAGCAGCATCGGAATGCAAAGTTAATTTTTTTCTTTACAAGAAAATTTGAATCAAAGTCACATGAAAATCTAACATACTTAAAAATAGAATATATTCTAAGTCTTTTGTTTTTATATTGTTTTTACTGATGAAACTACCAAATAGTTGATATTAAAAAGAATCAATCGTTTTTATTTTCTTGAAGTCGATACATTGGAGATAAAGAGAAGAGACAAATCTTTATTAAAATAAAATTGTGAACAAAGAATAACACATTTAACTATTGAAATAATAACGAATTGGTGGTGGTGTAGCTTCGCTGTTACCATCTGTTTGAACATCCATATCATTATCATCTGGTAAAACAACTAAATCCGAATAAGTTACATTTGCTTTGTGTGAAAGTAAATCATCCATTCTAAAAACACAATGGAAAGAAAACAGAAAATTGATTCTCAACATAGTGAATAATTTCGTGTTTACTTTCGTTTCAATTGTGATGAAGCTTTCGGCATCCAAGGTGCATAGACAGATTTAACTCCTTCAGAAATCAACACTGGTTTAATATCATATTTTTTCTATGATAAAATTAATATTAATAATGATTCTAGAGATCAATCTAAGCTTACTTCGACTTCTGTAATGAAACCTTCCAAAGTCATGTCAGGATTTCCTTTGATTTCAAAACTTGACCAAATGTTAACATCAAACTTTCTAAAATTGTACCAGAAAATTAAACGAAATTGAAAAACAGCAGATCTCAAAATGTTAAGTTACCCAATTTTTTGTGTTAAACATGCTAATGGTTCACTAGCGATTAAAAATGGTAGTGCAATATTGATATAAAAATTTCTATAGACATCTAATGGAAGATCTTTTATTTGACTTAAACATAATTTCACGAATTCTATTATAATCTATACACAAATATAAACATGAGATTCCAGGCAATATCAAATCGGACACTTACAAGACCAGATACAGTTGCTGTTGTCGTTCCAATAGCGGGTACAATACGTCCTGAAAGAAAAAAAGAGCTACTTTTCAAGAATAATTATTTTAGTGGATATTACCTGCTATTCGTTTTATTTCATAACGATCACTTGGCTCAAGGCCATACATATAAGCTCTTAAATTCTATAAACGAACAGACAAGTAATTTACTTTTATATATGACTTAATAAAACATACTGTTGCAGTTGCAATAAAGTCTATTTGATAATCATCATCTTTTTCAAATGGGATAGGTGCAGCTTCTATAAAATAAAACGATTTTATTTTGTGTTTCTTTATCAGAAATGAAAAATCGACATCATACTAAAGTCTTTTGTTCGTTCTTGTGCAAATTTCCATTCTTCTGCACTAATATCACCTTCATGTTTGGTCAATAATGGTTTTGTAGCTGTTGGATCAGTTATGATGACCTTTAAGAAAAAGGTAAGATTTCGAATTAGTTTATCAGTACATATGCATAATTAGAAAAAAGCTCAGCAAACGTAGGCTATACATTGAAAATTAACGTACTTTTTGATTGTAATAAAGTTTTTGCAAAAGAAACTTTTTTCGTCTATGTAGTGATAATAGTGTAGGCATTCAATGTATAGTATTTAGGAGATGTGTGAAGCGTCAATTTTTCGAAATGCTATGTGGAATATAGATTTTATTCGACAATATATTGAAAACTATCAAATCAGTTTGTAAAGGGTAAGTTTTGGATGTTCATTAACAATAGATAACTATGTAAATATAAGCTCAGTTATTTTTGGAGGATTCTTCTCTCACGTATACACAGAATTTCTCATTGGTACGTATGTCCTATTATTGTTCACAAATAATATCTTTAATATAATTTATATATATTTACTAGGCTAGAATCAACTATTTGAGATTAGTATATAGAATTCAAGTCTATCATTCATTGATATATTTTCTAAGACAATCGAAATTTACTTTATTTCTTGGCTGCCATGGTTCAATTTTTGTTTGTAAAATTATATTTTTGTTTGCACCAACATCATTTATTTGCTCGTGCTTTACCTGAATAGATCAAGATGAAATGTATATTGTGTTTTATTTAAAACAAAAAGGCTATTTACCGAAACGGCATATATCTTAGCCAATATTTTTGCACAAGATAAAACAAAATCATAATGACTAAAAATCATGCAAGAAAAAAATGTTTTGCTAACTATACAGACAACAGTAAACTTACAGATTATTATTGATATCGAAATCTATTGGAGTAGGTGCTCGTTTTGGTAATTTCCAATAGAGTACTAATATATTTATATATTAGAAAGTAATTGCTCGTTTCTTACTAGTAACTTACTTCCTTTATCATCGACCATATCTGCAGGAAATTTATGTAATAAATCTCGTGCCTAAATTAAAACAATAACAAATATAAAATAGAACTTAAAAAAGAATTGTCAATTCTAGACTTTATTTGAAAAATATTTATCAAATTTTTCTCGTGCTGAATTTAAGCAATTATTCCAATTGGTACATTTTCTCTTCATGAATTTATAAATTTTTGGTAAATCATCAATAGTTTCACCATTATTAATTCGATTCCAAATATTTTCTTGTGACATAATACTATTATATAATGATGGTTTCATAGAAAAAGTACTTTCAAACTAAAAGCAAAGGCGATTGTTTCATTTTCTCAAATATTTCTTATGTTAAGTTTACTTTTTCTCTTGCCCATATTGTACAATGTTCAATGTTAGCTGGAAATGATTTAACATTACAATATGGAACATCTTTATCAATTGGATCATTCTTTAAAAAAAAACGATTTTAATTGATCTTCTAAGATTAAAAATGTATTGTTACTTGATTTGAATAGGATTCTGATTTATAAGGTACAACAACGAATGTATGACCTTTTGAACCCATCGTTCCTGATTCAACTAATGGTTTTTTATTGGTGATACAACGTCTAAATATTTTACAAGGATTTTATTTTACTAGTTTCTATTTAATGCATACGAATCCATATAACGTCGTGCTTCAATATTATCGAGTGCATTAACAATAATTGTTTGACCACCTATGAAAGCGTCCGAACATAAATCATTCGATCCAACACCAACTTAAAAAGAAAAACAAATCATTTAAAAGGAAAAACAAGACGTTTTATTTTTATTTAACCTTTTAATGTATACGATTGAATATTAAGTTCTTTATTCATATCACGAGCCGATTGAGCAGCTACAATTGACTTTGGCTGATTTAGATGTTGTTTATGAAATAAGAATTGTCGATTTAAATTTGATTTTTCAATGTGATCATGATCTGTTATTGTAATCTAAAGTAAGAAGATGAAAGATAGTCTTTAATTTTAGAGGAAGAGAAAAATAAAACAGTACCTGCCCACTTCTTCCAACACCTAGTAATGCAAATAATTTTAATAATTCACATCCAATGGCTCCACAACCAACCTTCATTAAAAAAAAAGAATCAGATATTTCATACTAATTTAAAAAAATGATGTTAAGATAATTACCATAAATAATTGTTGTCTAGCAAGACATTGAACAAGACTGTCTCCAATACATAATCTTAGTGATTGATATCGATCTGGTGATATTCTGAAAAATATATACTGCATTTATGGGGATTGCTATGTAACTATTTTCATACGATTTTATTGCATTATATTCTTTTTCAAAAGAAATTTCTTTGATTAGTTCATAGGCATCAAGATAAAGCTAATGCATAAAAATTAAACCAATGAGAAAACGATAAATTTCTTTTTTTAAATTTTATTTTACCCATTGTTGTATTGGAGTAAATTTGCCAGTTATCGATGTTAATACCTGTTGACCAACAAAACCACCCATAGCTGAACATATGGGAGCAAACGCACCTTTAGCTGAATAAACGAAGGTTTTGAGAAGAGAACTAAAGTGATTTTCATTTATAACATGCTAGAACACAGCAACAACTGATAAAACAAACTAATTAAAATTAAATCAAACATACATCTTTCGGCGTTAATTCGGTTAAATGATTTATAGATAAGTTTCTCAAAGTTGTTTCGTCATTTTCTTGATTCATTTGACTAAGAAAGAAAAAAAGAATACAGTTATTTTTAATAACAAATCAAAATAAATCTTACTTCGGTTCTGGTAATCGTTGATTTAATTGTTTAAATTCACTAATAGCTAACATTATAGCATGAATATAAACTAAACCAGGCATCTAAACAGAGTTGTTGCTTTTTGTAAGCTCAGTAAAAATCTGTTTCTTCCTGTTGATTCTCAATTTAAAATACAAGGAAAACTACTTCTCGTATTATTTAGATCAAGATTGCTAAGTTATGTATAGATAAATTTGTTTTTGGCACTCTCATACGGTGTTTTCCTGACAAAATGATCTCAGGAGTTAGTCTGTGTACTCAACATTTTAAACTGATATTCGTCGAATTTCAGTCAAAAGGGTAGTATAAATTGGATATTTGAACGTAACAGTGAGACTATATAAGAACTTTGGTTTGACTGAAAGTAGTTGCAAATCTTTACAATGCTTTCCTAAAGAGATTTTTGTGTTGATTCTTACTATGATACTTGTGTTTTTTTAGAAAAGTAACATTGTCATGATGAGATTTTTTTTATTGCACATTAGTTTTGGTGATGCATTTCAACCATAATGAGACAATTCAATTTTTCAAATATGTAGTAACAATTTTTTCCGTAACTATATGAGAACTAAAGTCAGAAGCAGTTGGGATCAGTTATTCTATGCTTTAAAAGTTAACTTAATAAATTTTCACTACAAAATGTATTGTATGAATCATATGCTAAAAGCAATATCATAATCAGTAAATCGATCAACTCTATCTAACCATGACCAAAACTATGTTGATTAAAATCTGAATTTTAATCACCTTAATAATATCTTACCTCGCCAGTAACAGTCTTTGTCCAATAATCTGAGCCATCAGTAGTTAAAATCTTTGGATTATGTATTTGCTCATTCAAACTTTTCTAAATATTAATTCTCTTTATAGTACTTCAAAAAATCATATTGTTTTAACTCTTACGAAATCCATTGTACTTTGTTGTTTGACTTCACGTGCAATTCCACCTCGTTTATATTCTCCACCAAGTGATGATATATCACCAATTGAAAATTGATGAATATTAATATCTAAAGAGTTCAAACGATGAGATTTGTTTTCTTAATGAAAAAAAAAATGAAACTACAACCTTTGATCTTTCGTTCGCATTGATTCAAATGTTCTAATCCGACTAACTCTCGGAATAAAACAATATCTCCATCTTGAAATGGATGCCGTTCATCACCTGCTACTGTAACAATTCCTTCCTAGATAATAATTCAAAATTTATCTCATACGAAAACTAAAACAAGATATCAATTCTTACTGGTGATACATGATTAATAAACACTTCTTTTAATTGTTCACCATCTTTATCATAAACAGTAAATGGATCTTGTCCACAATCAACAAAACACCGAGAAAAAACACCATAAACATCAGCCATAATAAACTTAAAACATTGAAAACTCAATGCTTGAATATTTTAACTTCAACACTTACAATAATATTGTTGACTCGACATAATTCATTCATTTTTTTCATTTCATCAAGATTACATTCAGTTAAAACGACACACTAATTTAAACAAAAAGGTTTCATTTATTTTCTTTCGACCATTTTCTATTTACAGTAAATTGTTTAAAATATTCATTTGAACAATCAGAAAGAGATTGTATGGAAACATTGACTTTAACATAATCATTTAATGCACGTAATTTTTCCAAACTACATTGAGCTCTATGAAAGATATAAAGAAATTCGTAGCGAATTTTATACTAAAAGGAATCAGTCGATATATACCGGTTTTTTCCAATATTTTCTTCACTTAAATAGTATTGTGTTGCCAAATCTAGTATACTTGTGTTGATTGTATCTTGTAAAGTTACACTCTAAAATATATATTTGATTAATACGATGAGTTTCTGTTGTCTGCGTAAAACATATTTACTTGTACACCAGCTAGAACAATATTTTTAGCTATTTCAATACCTAAACCACCAGCATGAACAATCAATACATGATGCTTTCTTAGACGTTTCATAGCATCATCGCCTAATACATATCTTTGACGACTAAAAAAACAATAAAAATGAAATGTTCATTAAAGTTTCAAAATGAACGAACTTATATAATTGATCATCGATATCTTCATCAGTCGAACGCATTTCTGTTGTCATCTTTGGTTGTGTTCAATGATTTTGATTATCTGAAAAGTGTAACCGATGTAATGAAAACGAAACATTTTGTAGTCAACAGTATTATTTTTATCAAAAAAAACAACAAAAAATAAAGCTTAGATAGTAATAGTCATTGTTTTTGTTGATTTAACTAAAACATCACCATTAGTCGTTGTCTCTTCTGATTTTCGAACACGTTTTGAACTTGGTGCTGCAAGTTTTTTCGGTTTTTTAATCTAAATGATAATATCATACAAAATCATAAAGGTTTTTCAAAATGTTTGTTAGTTACTTGTGAAGCTTCTGCTTTTCTTTTTGTTCCACTCTTATCATCAGCATCATTTTCTACTGCAGCTGTTCGCGCTTTTACATCACTAGCACGTAAACGACGAAAATCTACGAAAATTCAAATAGCTTAAATTATAGATTTCAGCAATTTATTAAGTTATACCAGGATATAAATCTGATAGATCATCATCGTCATCGTCGTCAATAACGATTTCATCATCGCTTAAATCCACGTAATCATCATTATCATCACCTTCGGCTACTGTTTGTTGTTTCTTCTTTTTTTTACCAACAGAAGTATATTCTATTCCATTCACTTGACATTCTTGCCCTAATAAAATTAATTCATAAACTGATCATAGCAGAACAAAAGCAAAACAAAATTGCATTTACATTTAGCATAAGCACGTTTAAATTTTTTTCCTTCAATATGCTTCATGATGTGATGTGGCTCTTTATTTAGATGACGCCATGTTAATTTGCAAAATAATTGTTTCCTATAAATGATTGAAAAGTATCAGATTGATTACTGGTTTTGGTTTTTGGATAAAAATCATACTCATGATTCTTTTTAGTACTTGGTTCCAAGAATTCTTTATATTTTTCCAAATCATCACTATCAACTTTTTTCTTTAATAATTGTTGATATTTTTTTCCTTGAATATATTTTTCCATGGCATCAACACGAGCTGGCATTTCATGTTGAGTCCAACTGCATTTAATCTAGTACAATCGAAATTCAATTTCTTTTAAAATAAAATTTAATTTTCTTACGCGATCTTTATCAGGAACTCGTTTTAATGATGGATATGAATTCAATAAAGAATCCACAGTTACTGTTGAATTCATATCAATATCCATCTAAAATGTATAAATTTAAACATCGGAAAAAATGGAAAATCAATTTTACTAATACAAAAATAGTATGAAATTTTTATTTTTTCTCGTTTTTCTTTAAGTTCTGGTAAATTTTTAAATAAATCACCAACAAATTCATAGTAAATCATGAATAGCATTGCTGCATCATCATCATCTGTATTGATGGCAACTATAACTAAACTATCTTTAATATCAGTTGTATGCTGACGAGCACCTAATATATCAATAGTAAGATAAAGGTCGGGTGCAACAATTTTTTCAGCTTATAAATTATTTGCACAATATAGTCAGCATCAACAGCTGTTCGACTAGGAAAAATATTTGTAAAATCATGCAGTAATTTGAAACTTCCATTGCGTTTTAATGTACGATCATCAGAGAATATCTGATATAGTTTGAGTATCAAGTAAAAGTGGGATTACAGATTCACTAAGTAATCTTTTAGATACACCAACTAGGAGAATTATTTTTAATATTTAAATTTTGTAGCTGATATGCAGTTTCAATTGACTATCAGTAGATAATCTTAAAATGTGAAAAATATAAAAAATAACAAGAACGAGTCATTAATTTTGCCAAACGGAATGGAAAGTGGCGGGAATCTATCATTATCTAGAATTACATACAGTTATATATATATATCTTTTTTGATAATCTCGCGCATTTTCAAAAAAGCGTTTTTATTGAAATCATTCGCATTTCTTTTATTTTCTATATCATTTCAATTTTTCTATGGTTCATCGACGAAATAGTACTCAATCAAGACATCATTTGTCTATCAAGAAAAATTCACGTCTTAATACCGGAGTAATACAACAAACATCATCGTCATCAACTATTTCAATGGTTAAACAAAATTCAACAGAAAATCTTGATGATGAAACAAAATTAGCTAAACGTCATTTAACAAAAGAAATGTGGCAACTTGTTTCCATTGCAGTCAAACGTATGGCCGATGAACTTGTTTCAATTTCTAACAATCAACAAGCAGCAACACGTATACTTAACATAGAACCACCAACGCCAATAATATTCAACAATCATCAAACAAAACTTGTTGAATCAAATAGTATTCATCAGCAATCATCATCAACACCGATCATTCAAGAACAAACAATGTCAATCAATTCAGGAGCAGGTGATTTACCTTGTATGAAAGAAAATGCGATCATTTTCAAAGAACCTACTAAAAAACGTACATTACCAATTCAAATGTTCGAATCACCTTTACAAATTAAGAAGAAAGGAATTAGTAATAATGCATCCCGTCGACCAATTAAATCTAAAACACAAAATAAATCATCATCAAAGAAGAATGGAAAAATTAGAACACCACATCTACGTAATAATCATAAATTAAAATAAACTTTCGAATAATTTTCTTTTTCTGAAAACTATGAGTTATTTTATTTCTAATAATAATACTCATGATAAAAAGAAATTTGACTCGCATATTTTTACATTTCTCTGTCATGATTCAAACGATAAATCTGATCTTTCGCAATAACTCAGTTTTTTATGCAAATATTTTCAATAGATTAAAGTTCAAGTGAACTTGTATACTTCATATGATTAACAGCCTTTCTACAAGACTATTTATTAGTTTTTCAAAGGATGTGAATGTGATCCAAGATGCACGCAAGAGCCCCCTATTAACCATGCATATATCCATGACCAGTGATAATAATGTTGAAATGTTTCATGATATCACCGCAAAAACAAAGTAACTAAATATAGAGGATTAGTATATCCTATAGGATCTATTCCATCAAATGAATTTTCACTATTTATATCAATAAGATGCTATTATAAACATGTAAAACAATAACAATATCTATGTTGAACAAAAACATACATTGATTATTACGGAAATTGTTTCATTCTAGTATTGCACATGAAAAAGAAATCGATCAGTAAAACTAATAAATAAAAATGTAAAAATACGAATAGAAGGAAGTTAGCTAGCTGCTGTAGTGGTAGAAATATATGAATTCAAATGAATGAATGAATGATTCTATTTTATGACACATGATTGGTGGGCGGTCTTTCTCCACTACGTTACAGATGTCGTATCTAGATAGAAAAGGATCAAACCGAAAAAAAAAGAAGTGTTTATTACACTTAACTACTGAAAGAAAGATACGTGATGTATATAATAAATAATCCATTGACTTGATCAGAAGTAATCTAAATGCATTAATAACAAAGCTTATTATTTTTTTGAAGTTATTTTTATGAATCATTTCACTGTCCTTTTTCTATGAATTATTTGTTTTAATGTAAAAGTAATACAATAAAAGTGAAGGTTATTAGTTTTGATGACCCAATGATAGGCAGTGCTCTATTATCTAATTCTGATGTTTTCGTTATAATTGATGGACGATTTATTGGTTTCGTACGAGAATGTAATGCATTTAACGCTGTTTTATCATTCTTTAGTAGAGGTTCTAAAATCTTCGCCACTTTTGCATGATATTGATTGATAGCGTTTAATTGTACTTTTGTTAAAAGTGTAACATCAATCAACGAACGTTCATATGGAACAAGAGTAATAGTGTTGAAACGTAGAAATTGTTTATTATTATATGCACTCTTATTTGCAAGTATAACTTCCATATCATTTTCTATACGAATACCAAAATCATCTGGTTTATAAAAACCTGGTTCGTTGGAAATGAACATTCCATCGACTAATGCTTCTTCAAATTGATTGTATTCAAGTGCAATACTCTGGGGGCCTTCATGTACACCTAAAAAATGGCCAATACCATGGCTACAAAAAGAAAACTGAATTCATTCAATTGTTATAAGAAATTTAAAAAAACAATAATCTAATGAACTAAGAAGTTTATACGAACCCTATTCCATGTCCAAATGTCATACCGTCTCTATACAAATACATACGACCAAGATAATCGAGTGATCTACCATAAGTTCCTTTGGGAAAAATAGCATTGGCAATTTCAAGTACGCCTTGAAGTACACGTGTATAAGCACGTTTTTCTAGATATTTTGGAGTACCAAAATGATGTGTACGCGTTATATCTGTTGTACAGTCTAAATATTGACTACCAGCCTTAGAATTGAAAATAAAACGACTCTACCATATTATATATCATATCGACGTATACTTACATCAAGTAAATAGATTTTATCTTTAGTAATAGATCGAGCTGTTGCAAGTGTTGGTGAATAGTGAATTACAGCTGCTCGATCACCTGAAGCTGAAATAGTTTCAAAGCTTAGATATTGAAATTTATCTTGCTGTTTTAGATAGAAAATTAATCTATCAATTGATTCACTTTCATTGATTGATTTTCCATTATTTAATTGTTGTTCAATCCATCCAATATGTTTTATACGAGCAATGGCGTCTCGTATTTGACAAATTTTCATGCCTTTTCTTTCTACTGAATTCTTTTGTGCTTTAACACGTTCTATAGGTGAATTCAGTAACGGTAGTAATAGTTTATGATCAGGTATTGAACTTAATATAGCATGAGATACTTGTGAGCTAACCCAAAGTTTTGTAATCGTTGGATCTCTAACTGTTGCATTTAAATCCAACCAAAACGTTGAATAATCTAGTAGACTAACACCCATAGACTCAATACTACTATTGATTTGTTCTAAATTAACGAATAGTTTAGGTTGACGAATATTGTAATCAGTATAGATGATAGCGTATGATTTGAAAAAAGGGTTATATGGAATATCAGTACCACGTAAATTGAATTGCCATGCAATTTCATCTAAAGCACTTATAATAGTTGCCGAAACACCAAGCCGTTTAAGTTCGGTAGTTGTTCGATTTAATTTTTGAGTGATATTTTCTCCTGTGTATTCCAAATCATGTTTGAAAATTGATTGTTGTGATTCTTTTGGACGTTCGTTACTTGGCCAAATACGTCCAACAAGATCATCAACAGATTGAAGTTGCCTTCCTATTTCTCTTAATGCAGTATTAGCTGAAAACCACCATAGACCCGTAGTGAATACCGGTGTTATTCCTACTGACTAATAAGAAAAAAATTATCAAGCAGTTATAGTTGAGATTATCGATTATAAGATTCGTACCCAGTTTGTTTCCGATGCTTCGGTAACTAGCCAAGTAATAACCTTTGGCACATTGTCATTTCCATTTCTCATCAAAAGCCAATTCGCACAATCTAGTTCTTCTTCGGCTTGTATAAAATAACGGCTATCTGTCCATAAAGCTGCTGTACGTAAGGAAATCACTGCTATACCTGCTGAGCCACGAAATCCTGTAATCCAATCACGACGTTTATCGTACGGTTGCGTATATTCACTTCCATGTTCATCATCAGAAAAGACAACATAGATTCCAATGCCTGCATTTTTCATTTCTCGACGAAGATCCATTAAAATTGTTGATGTATTCTTTTGTTTCGAAGTTATTACACAGGTTGTGCTATTCATTCCAGTGACAAGCGAAATACCTACTGTTAATAATAAGATAATTTTGCATAAAAGCATGCTTGAAATCGAGTACACACGACGAAACTAAAGTACTCAGTTCAGGTTTTCTGTTTGATAAAGAATATCGACAGAAACGCATACCGTCGTATTCATTGTTTGTTTATCATATCAATAGGATTAATGACTTGTCAGAGTAATAAATATCCCTTTTTTGGCATTTCATATGAATTCGTTCTCTATTACAGGAAGATATATCGAGAGATAGAGAAAGACGAGAAAATGTCTTCAAGGGTGGGCACACAGCATCTACTACCATACATTTAATTGCAATCTAAAACAACCTTTAGTTGAATTCAAACCGTGATGCATTCATTATTCATATTTGTTCTCATAATTGTCATAGGCATTGTCTTTTTTTCACAAAATGGTAGTATCAACAAGAACAAAGGACGACGGATTACGTCAAAGAAAGATTATTGCATCAATCAGATGTTGCTTATTTCATGTAAAAACCATATGTGCTCTTTACGAGTGCTTTTTTTTCAAAAAAATAAATATTGCGCAGTATTAATTAGTTAGCGGGTTATTACCAAGGTTGTCTAGGTTTTCTTTTAACTCAAATGAAAACCTTCTAATATATTACCTGTGTAATGTATAGAATTTAACCGATTAGGTTTCTTGGTACTCTAGTCAACTATTTGGCTGATATAATCATTCATACAAATATCAACTATCCAATATTTGTATGATAAATAACGTTTCGACAATCATAGGAAAAACGTTCCAACTAGGGGTGGCACTTAACGTTAATTTAATATGAAGTGTTAAGTTTTAACTTAACACTTAATATCAATAAAAACAATGTTTGCATCAGCCACTTAATTACTTAATATGAAGTGTTAACGTAACACTTAATTGTTAATATTAAGTATTAAGCTTTTCGCGTTAACACTTAATTCACTTAAAATTAAATGTTAAATATAAAGAATATTTCGTTTTATTTTGACTATGTAGCTAGTAGGGACATAAAAACTATTAATAGAATATTATTAGTATAGAAATGGTAAAATCCTTATCCGCTACGGAAAGTTGTTTTTTTCCGAAAAGAAGTATTATTTCTTAGATTTGAGCGGATACTATTTCGTGTGAGACTGAATAAACTTGTTACTATTGCGTTGAAATTTCGATGATGCGCATATACATATGAGTGAATCGTAACTTTTTTATACAATTTACAAAAAAAAAATGAAAGTGCTTCTAGAGAAGATTTGTTTCGTACATTTTGTTCCTCGCCCTTCACTGAGTTTGTGGTAAAAATTTCCAAACTTCCCGACTCGCCTTGGCTGAGATATTCTAGTCTCAATTTCGATTTTTCGAGAAAAATACTTTTTTAAAGAGGAATTGCGCCAAATATAAGTCTAAAGCCCATGTGTGACATTTCGTTACATATATCTCAAATCGGGTAAGCTAATGACACTCACAGAAATCGAAATACACAAAAAAAGTCGCGAAAAATGTCAAAATATAAAATCGTATGTTGTACTAGAAATAGCTTTCAAATGGTTCAAAATGATTTTAGTTAGACTTAACACGTCCTCATAAGTCGAATAGTATATGGTAGTAATACTTTCCCTCGAAATCAGCTTGAAAATCGATAAGCAAAAACTGGGTCTACAAAGAAAACTGGGTCTACATTTTGAGGTATAATGTAAAATTCACCCTAAAAATAGGCGGGAAAAGAGACAACTGTTGATATTCCGATTTAGTTTTTCACGCTGCAACTTTCTGTGACAGTCTGCCTGAGTTTCTTCAAGTCGTTTAGAAATAAAAAGCAAAACAATATTGAAAAACTGGGTCTACAGTTACTATGTAGTTAAAACGTTTTGGTCTTCTGGCCTAGGGGTGCAATAGTTCAGCTCTAGTTCTGAGCGAGGGAACTGTTCGAAAGTTCAGTTCAGGAACGAGAGCTGTTCGATCAGATCAGCTCTTTTTGAACGAGCTGTTCAAATCAATCAGCTCCTACCGAAAGAACGTTCGAACAGCTTTTTCGCTCAGCTCAGCTGAACTTTTGAGCTGGAGCTGATGCACCCCTATTCTGGCCTAATTAAAAAAAGTTTACTACAACTATTTTTAGATAGTTTTGTAGTATTTTTTACGCTCGATCTTTTACTGGTTTTGATTTTTTTAAAGTACGTTCCTTATCCCCTCTAGGATCGTTTTAAACTGGATCTACACTTTGTCTGTAAATCTGTTTTCGTCAAATAGAACCAAAACAAACAAACAAAAGTGAGTCACATGGATGGATAGAGAATTAAATTCTGCACAAAACTTGCTATTCATCTATTTTATTTTTCTTCTTTCGTTCCTTCAAAATTTCTTTTTCTATCGATGACTCATCGAAAAAAATGGTTTTTTGGACTTCTCCCTCTTATATCTCAGCCGGACAATGAGTTATCGAGCTGAAATTTTTGTGGTAGTGAGAGATACATTAAGGAATGTGAGAAAGAAAAAAAATCTGAGATCGCACTACAGAAACTGGAATTACAGAGGAAAAGGTTAAAAAAATACAATTGTACAATAAAGTTACGATTCACTCATATATATACTTATATATATACACCACTATCAACATCATCGAATGATACCCTTAAAAAGTTTGCCGACAAAGAATTCCTACCACGAAAATACGATGATCTAAACAGCTCCTAATGCATTATAAACTAGCTTGAACTAGAAAAGATTATTAAGCATTTAATATTCGATCCAGCGACAGCCGCTACCTTATTTGAATCAACTTTATTTATTTGTTTAGGATCATAATCACTAATAACGTCGTTGTGGTACTTCTAAACGCTCTCGAAATATCAGTCACTCGTCAGTTGCTGGTCACTTAGTTTTACTTTTTCAAAAAGCTCACATGTTCATTCTGTACAATAGACCTCTGTGCAACCCTTTTTGTTTATCAAAACGATGACAAAATGTTTTTGAAAAACTAAACTTAAAATCGAATGACTCCGCGTCAAAAAATTTCGGTCGAACTTTAAACAAAGTCACTTTTTTCCTAAAAGAACTCTCTTTCTCTCCCTAAAAAAGGTAGAAAGCGAAACTTCAAAAATCTGATCTCCGATTCGACTCCCTTGAGCCCGACAGCATCTGATCAAACTTTACAAGGAAAACTATTTTCTTGAAAAAATACTTTTTTCACTAAAAAGGTTGAGAATCATAAACTCTGAAAATCTCACGCCAGATTACAGTTCCCCGACCCCGATTACCTTCGGTCAACCCTTATAAAAAAAACTAATACTTTCCTAAGAAGTCTTTATCTATCCTAAAAAAAGCAAAATACAAAATTTCAAAAAACTAACAACGCCATCGTGTTCCCCGACCCCAGTTACCTTCGGTCAAACCTATCCCTGGAGGATATTGCTTAAGGTTAGTTAAGTTTATGCATCTGCTTTCCTATCGGACGAGCGAACGAACGATGAACGACGAACGAACGCATTTAACTCGTTTTTCGTAATACCCTCCTTTCAGTAGAGGGAATATATAAATTGCACAATATCTAATATTTGTTTTTGTTATTTAGATCAATGGCATCTTGTTCTTGTATACAAAAGTGATTGTGACGTTTTATGCGAGAGGCAATATTCAATTTTTTAACTACTTGTTCCTCCTCAACTCTTAACAAATTATTTGTTTATCTCAGTCGTTTTGAAGATTGTATTGTTTTTCTTGATGGCCATCTTTAACATTTAATGACGTTTACTGTTATTATGGAATACCTCGGTGAAGACATCAATCGAATGATTGAACTTCATTTAAATAAATTAATTGTTAACTTTTGATGCGTATAGCAGTTATCCATACTCTGCGTCTTTTTAGTTAAAAATGATTTTTTTACAAATATTATATTTGATTTCAACTGACTAAGTTTTGTCAACGGTATCGAATTAGTTAAATAGACATATAGGTTTTATTCATCTGAAATTTTTGCCTATTGATAATACCCATGGAATAAAAAACTGAGAGTATTTTCATTACTTTCGAGAAACCGAAATCATGATAGGAGTTACAACATCACTTCAGTACTTTCATTACTTTAATATCATATTCTTGCCATGAATTTACGGATTATCGAAAAACGAAAGTTACGAGGTGAGCTCCATTAATTTTATATCAATTTCATGACAGGATTTCAATTATTTCAGAAAAGCCAAAATCATGATAGGAGTTAGGTTAATTTTGCACTACTATCCTTTTAATGATGTCCATGGAATGATTTTCGTGCCAATTTCATGTATGAATTTAAAATAAATCAAAGAAAATGTCCGTTTCACGATGAAAAATGGCATTTTTTTCATTTCCGACATAATGTTTCTATGGTGAAAATTTCATTCAAATGATGAAATTTACATCATTTTTTCCCATGTTTTTATTTCATGGGTAGTATATTTTAAAATGTTGATTTATATTTTTTTAGGATGATCTATCTAATTTAAAATATTTCTCATTAACATCTCGTTGTATCATTAATGATTATGACATTAAAGTTTAACCTCTTGTTCGTCATATGTAAAATTTTGAAGAATTAACTTTGAATATTATTAATGAACAGCGAAGTACATTAATCGATGGTACTCATATTTAATCGAAAGATGATATTCAACGAACGCTTCTTAATATAGGATATAAACAGGTAAGATACATGTATATTCTTAATATACTACGATCACTCTCATATGCCATGTTTTTTCACTAGCATTTGTTTTTGATTATATCGAACATATCGGATTTTTTTTGTACAATTTGATTGTTGCGAACTTTTAATCACAATCACAGAAAATCTCAGACAAATTGAATCTTGAAGATAATCCAATGATTTCAATTGTTGGATATCCGTGTGTTACTTCAATTTCTCTGGAGAATGCTTATACCGATTATCTTCCTCGTCTAACTGAGTTAACAACCAATTATGATTATTTAACAATTGTAACTGAAAACTCTTCACAAGAGATACAGCAGGGCTCAATTGTGTTAAAGTGAAACAATTAATCATTGAATGCAAAAGATTTTTCAACTTATTTTCCTCTGTCGTAATATTATTTTTGTTTTGATTAGGTTAATAAGCATAAGTAAAACAAAAGGATTTGAAGAGTAGTGTGCGACATGTATAAAATGACTAAAATTTGCATTTTATAGTGATGATCTAATTCATCTAAATGGTTTATCAATGATGCGAAAATTAGTCAGCGTTATCTTTTATTACAGCTTATTGGAAAAAATTATCAAACATTTTTACAATAATTAAATTTATATGAACAAGTTGCTTGTCATTATATACAAGTTGTATTAATAACTCGATAATAATCAAAAACATTATTATATTTAATTGTTTCACTAACAGGTTATTTACAAGAGAATTTTATGTCTATCATAAACAATATTTATTTGCAGATATAATTAATTTATTAAACCATTCGAGAAAATCAAATCAAATCAAAACAAAATTATTGGAGCAAGTTTTACAATATTTAACAAATTTATTTAAATAGTTATGATATATGATGTTCAAATATTTAACTTATTTATATGAATTATATTAAAAATATTTTCTTTATTGATAATAAACATATCAAGATCACATTATCAATCAATACATTAAGTAATAAATGAATCAGTATTATATTTATAATGCAAAATAAAAAATGACCAGTCACTTGTTGTTTATTTATATAATTATAGAAGGGTGTGGGTGTGCGTATGCTTGGGTGTCTAGATCCACAAACACACACACTATTTATATTTTATGATCAATAAGGAAATAATCATCAATTTGATGATGCTAATCTTATAAAAAAAACTAGGTTCAGAACGAATTATACAACTTGATGAACAGCTTTATAAACAAATAATTTTGAATTTAATTAAACTTTAGTCAAATGAATCTGATCGATTGGAACGATAAAAGAAACTAAAGAATTACTTGAATGTGCCATTTTATTAATCAATACTATCGATAATAAAGATGCAGATATACAACAAACGGAAAACTACTTGATGTCTCGTATAAATCATCTAAAATAAATCATTTGTCTTTCATTGAATAAATGATATCATCTTTTCTAAATTAAAAAGAACGGTTTAGAACTAGTTTTTATTATGTGATCACTATACTATTTGTATATTATAACTTAGAGTTAAACAATAATTCGACAAATAAATGTTATTTTCAAGTAGAATAAGCATCCTATTCAATTAATTCTAATATTTGTTCATCGAAATAACTGATATTTCAAGATCTAGCTTAGATCACATAAGATGAGATCATAGGGAAAGGTCACAATAGTGCAAACTAGAGAAGTTCTTTCTCAATCACTCAGACAATATACATATATAATTTATAGAGCACAACATTCGTTTCTTAATAATATTGTTTTTATTATGAAACTCTAAATATGTTATATGATGAAATTGGAAGAATAGCGTGGAAATTTTTCTCAGTTTCAAAAGTTCATATTAATTAAACCGGTAATATTTTAACATTGTTATAGTTTGCCTTTGAAGAAAGGATTTTTTCAAAAACGAATTCGCCATAATGATAAATGAAGATTTATATATCCATATGAAGTTCGTTCCATCACGATTTCTTAAGATCTCGGTTGTTTTGATTTCGCTTTTAAAAGAGAAAACAACTTGAATTTTAAACGTATGAATAAATAATGAAGAAACGTACAATTCAATTTATTGTGCCTTCATTTTTAACATAACTCTATTAGCCTTGTAAAATGGGCTATAAACTCATCTTGTCAAATTTTTAATCAGAGATTGTCATGACAATCTTAAAATATTTCTATGTACCACTTAGCTGAAAATATACTCAGAAAAAGAAGACAAGCTATTTTTCATGATGTATCTATCGTCTCAAATTTTCTGTCGTTAAAATTTAAATGCAATAAAAAGAGGTCAAGTGTTTTGCACAATCAAGCTTGTATATATGAATTTTCAATAATTCTTTAATGTGCTAAGTTGTCACTTATTAATTCGAATACTTCAGAATAAAATATAGTATATTCCAGAATGTTTGAGGTAAAGTTCTCTTAGAAACAGAAGAAAGATTTGAAATACAGACAATTTGATTAACATTTCGTTTTAATTGAGAGAGTAAACATTTTAACAGGATGTATTTTGACTTAAGTGAATTATTACCAAATTTCAAACTATATTTTAATGAATTCACCCAAAGTGAACGATTGATTCAAATTTTTATATCAAACCAAACGAGGTAAGTTATACATCTGATAAAATTGTTTTTGAATCGATACAATATGAATCACGCAAATATGAAAGATTTATTTATACAGATAGAAAAGTGTTTCAATTTAGAGTTTTTTATTCATTTCTTTGCTCGCTTTTCATTTGCAATCGACTAAAGTTTGATTACTCCTGAAAACAATTTAAATGTTACTCGATTTTTTTAGTCATAGATAAATATGCTATTGAGAGCTGCGAAGATAATGATAAAGAATTCTTTAGAATAGTTGATACAAATATAAATATATAATCGTGACTATACGAAAAGGAGTTTAAAACTTCTAGCAACCTTTTCGATTTTATATGTATGAAATGTGAACATACAAAATTCAATGTTTATTGAAAAAGAAAACCGTATCGACAATATAAGCCATGATCATTCAATGTATGTAATTAACAAAATAATTAAAGGGCAAGTGAAGCAGGACTTGGAGGATTGTATCTTAAATTGTCTAATTCAATGTCTTGAAAATAATTTTTAATCTTCTTGAATGCCGACTTAATAAATATTACAGCGGCAAATTTCATAGACATAATGTAATGAATTGAGAAGATAAATAGAAGAATCGTTCTTATTATTGTATATGATATTTTAGCTTGAATACTGGAAGGCAGACTATGAGAGCTGTTCGAATACTACAAAAGCATCTTTTTGCAATTTTATTTTTCTGTTTCTCTTGTTCAGCTACTGCCATGTACTCCTCATTGAATAATAGACAATATCAACTTTTTTTTTCTTAAGAAATGAATCAACTATAATTAATATAACTGAACAAGGTGTAAAAACAGAAAAGTAAATTGAGTACAAATAAATAATTTGAATCGATTAAGGCATGAATTCATAGATTAATTTCATAAGAGCTGTTTGTATCTTAATAAGCCATCAAGGATTATTAATACATGCAAAGATCAGATCTTATTGGTCATTTTTCAATGCGAATAAGCAGTTACTGATGGTTATGTGCAATTAATACAGATGAAATAATAAGTTTTGTTTATCCCGTAAGATCGTTTTTACACGAGAGTTAGCGAAAACGATGATTTTTTCACTTTTTAATGCTAAACTGAAGAGAAACAAACAGTACCAGTAAAACATGTGTTTTCAAATGAAGAAAGTTTATTAAAAAATAGTCCGAGTGTAGTGCATTATGCTACATGATCGACAATTTCATCATCATACTCACCAAGTACAATACCATTGAAATCATTTAAGAAAAACTACTAAATCATAAATCTCGTTTCATTTTAATTGCTTACTGATTAGTGAAAGAGTGGGTAAGGATATTTAATTAATTAATTCAACCATACGTGTTATAAAAATAATATATTGGATAGGCGATTGATGGAGCCGGAATAGAAAACAGTATCGGGAATCCATATCTGAATGCAGTTGACAATATCTTAATTTATTGAAATTAAAATTGATTGTTTTTCTTCTGAAGCTATTTTAGTAGGCGATTAACTGATTTCAATTGATTACGGGAAAGAAAACAAGAGTTAATTAATTTTAGAGAATATACAGGTAGTTTTCAGGGAAATAAGTTGCCATTTTCTTTCATGAATTTATTCAAAGACAAGAAAGATCTACATTTTACAAAATGAGGTGATGTTTTTCTCTCACTTTATGTAGATGCAGTTTTATTTTGTTAGAAATTGTTGGGTTCATATCAGTCTATTTCATGCCAGATGCTCTATGAAACTAACCATATATCTAGTAAACAAGCAAAAGTGGTTTAAAAGGGAAACCCGTCTCTTATCATGTACATATTATATGTTCATTGTATGAATACGAATGAAAAAATATAATACAATTTGAAGATCACTCGATTACAAAAACATTAATGCGTTTTTTGAACGACATCTGTAATATATTTTTGAGAACATCTTCATGTAAGTTCGACCATAACGAGGTAATCATTGAGCCAAGCCATATGAACACTAAGCCTGGAATATAAAAAAATAAAAAAATAGCATTGTGTTTCAATATCTTGACATTAGAAAAAATGGAACTAAAACACATGAAACTATGAAATAACCATTGTCATATTCTTTTAAGGAGACAGCTGTACAAGACAAAACACTTAAGATGCTATCGCATCTTGTATTGAAAAAACACACAGAAAGTTTTATGAAGGACGCTACATTAAATAGATGATATACAACAGCAAAATCAACAGCAATAGAGAGAAGCCTGCATCTCTTACCATGAAAACGTATCAGTATATTGTTTTTTTTTATAATTACCCAAGACAATCATTGCGACCGTCGGAACGGGCATCTTAAAAGGCCTGGAAAAACTATAAAACGGTATAATAAGGCATTCATTTTCACCTTATTTCGCCGTAATTCGTCAGCTCGTTCTACGGGCCGTTTTTAACACTTTGTTCACCATTTTCCGAGCTGATGGAAAATGGTGCCGCTTTTCAACGTTTTATAGCCGTTTCAGGGCGTTTACGCACCGTTTTTTCGGACATGGGTAGTGGAATTTGTAGATTTGAACAAACCTATCATAAAAAAAATAAACACATAGATCCATATGCATTGATACTGCAGAGAAAATTTTCAAATTTTTCGCAATAAACAAAAATGACATAGAAGCTTACTTCCTGCAATTGTTAACCAATTCCAAATTTTTGATGAGTTCGATGAAGATGAAATCGAACGATTTTGAGGTTCTAAAAGACAAATACCATATTAATCATAATCAAATCTCTTTGTTCTTTTTGTTTCTTGCCATCACGATAGACTAACTCGTACATCACATTTGGGCTCCATTCAAATTTAAAACTTCCATTTTCGTCTCGTGGTATACTAAAATGGCAGAAATTTTTTTTCTTTTAGAGATTTTAGCCTTTGTTAAATTTCTAATAACAGACCCTACATATCGATTAACTTCATTGTCGTAGAAAATAATTCCAGTTGCTTCCGGAAACACTCCATGAAAATAATCTTTTCGAAGAACATTATCGGGTCCAATAAAAAGGTCAACTATTCTGTTCTTTCTGTTATCGTTGAATGAAATACGGTTCATGTTGTAAACTTTCTTCAAAATACAATATACAGTAATTGATGAAAAATTGTACAAAATTATCAACAAACATAGAATGACAGAACCCTCAAGTGTTCTTATTTTTCTTCAGTAAAACTAAAGTAAGAAGAAGTTCAGGTTCAATACGTAGCACGAATAGAATCTGAAAATATTCAATCAAGTCAAAAGGATATTGAGAAGAAAATGTTTATGTTGCTGATCAACAAATTAAGTAAGGACTAAGAATCAGATCCTATTGCTGAATAATGAATTTAAGTTTGAGATGACATATAATAAAAAAAATAGTATTTGAGAAATATTTTTAATAATTTTTAATAAAAATAAATCGGCAATCAGACTAAAACAGAAGCAGCGAAAATCAATAAACTAAATAGAGAACCTTGCTGCAAGAAAAAAAGAATTAAAATAGATAAAACTTTAATAGAACATAAGATTAACTAAATAATTTCCACTTCATGCTGATTGATTTGACTAGCTGCCATTTTATCATGAAGTTATTTCGATAGAGCGAAAGCTTGATCCTGTTCAATAGAAAATGATGTTTTGTCATCATAAAAGCATAAAAAATATATTTCGCAAATACTCTGAGAATGCCAAAGAGCAAAACTAGATACTGTCATACTTTCGAATTTTATTGGATACGACGATTATTAACCTTTTGTTCGTACACTCTAATTTATATCCATATTAGAAGCATTGGCGAGTTTGGTCTATTCAACGCTGCATGCCAAGGGCTACTGGTGAAAGTATCAAAGAAGAAAACTGTCATAGCATTCCTAATAAAGACATCCCAGTGAAAAATATTACTAAAAAAGAACGGTAAAGAATGCGTTCCAAAAGAACTGAAGCTCTTTTTTTTAAGAAAAGAAAACGTTCCACAACAAATGGAACGAACTAGACCGCATTCTATCATTCTAAGAAGGTGTTCCTGGTCGTTACGAATTGGAACAGTGAAGAATGCATTCTGCCACTTGTGGAACGCTTTCTCTTCTTTAAAACGGTTAACCTTTCTGATCACCTGGGTGATCATTAATAGATGAATCTAAAATTAGTCAAAAGACTGTTCCTGATGCAACTTGACGAGCTCTATCGAATGGCGTACTCCAATTCGTTGTAACTGAAACCGTTATTAAAATAATAATTTTTCTAAATCAGACCAAATATCCCTAAAGTAAAATCGAATGAAGATTCCATCATTTCTCACATCAATTTCAACCTGCTTTGCTTCAGACCTTTCATTTTAGAATGAAAATGTGGTTTGCTTCGAAAAGAAAGCATTCATCTCTTCAGAGAATCCATTGTCTTAAAGGCTCGTGAGAGAACGTAAAAGGAAGCTATTTTATTTCGATGAAATGCTATGTTAACCGTTCCGAAAGAAAATGAACTAGAATGAATTCTACTGGTTTAAGAATGATTCAGAATGCTTTCTCTTCAAATAGGGAACGATTTTTCAGTATAGAAGAAAGTATTCCATACTAGTGTGGAACGGTAAAGAACGAGTTCCTTCAGATCGAGAATATTTCTTTCTGACTCTGAACGCATTCGCTCAAACAAGGAACGCATTCTCTACGTAGGAGATAGGTTTCCATATCCGCATGAAACCATTCTATTCCGTTTTTTTTCGAAATATTTTTCACTGGGATAATGCTGGCGGATAGAAACATCATACATTGTCATGAGTGAACGAACAAAAACTTATCAATAAAATATGAATGATAATTTTGTGTAAATAATTGATAAATCGTTTTGAACTAATGAAAATTGATGAAAAAATGATTTCTGCTATTCATCCGTATATTAGGGTCATCTATCGCTCGTGTATTATTGTTGTAGCCCTCGAAAATATCGTTTCAACGTAAACATAAAGCATGTAGTGTAGTTTGACGATTGAGGGAGCTGAAGAAGCTTAAAAAGTATCACAAATCCATACTGGCAATATAAGAATGCATGATTCAATCGATCTTCATCTCTTGCTGCAACAGTGTAAACTTGCACTTCTCTATCCTATATTTCTACTGTGGTAGATGCGAACTAAATAGGTCTCATAGAAACTTCAATTCTTACCAGGTTGGCTGAACATTGATCAAATAACATAGAAAGATAGAGCTCTTCTTCTCGCATTGACTGTATATAAAAAGAAATTTACTTTTAGTTCAATATACGATATCACAGTTGACTGCGACTACATTTGGATTCCACTAAATATTACATTTGAAGTATTGTGAACTTTTTCGTTCAATCTCAATACCGAAAAACACCTAAAAGTCAATTGCCAATGCATGAATACGTTAGATCATCTTAAAAAAACATTCAAATGATCAGTAGATTAAAGACAATAAATATCCAATATACGAGACAATCAACAAAAAATAAAAGTCGATATCATGATTAGCTAGTCGTATGTTGGCGAAAGAGTCTTTATAAAGAGTTCATTGACAGAGGTTCTCGAGCCTGAATTGACGTTAATCAGATTCACGGAAATGTGATGAATGCACCAGTAAAGTCTGTGAACAATCAGTTTACATACCACTATGATGGAAAGGATTGAAAGATAAAAAGGGAGATGAGTTGTCGTGGATCTTAAGCACATTATGCATTTAAACGGGAAACAAAAAAAGCGGTACGTCTTATATTCCAAAAAAGATTTCTCTCGTGGGATGAATATGTTGATAAAAGAATCTCGATTTTTTTATGAGTTCAACCGTTCACAGATAGTGGCAAAAGAGAGATCATAGAACGTCGTCAACTAGCCCAACGATTGGCATAATTCAAATGCAATCAGAGATAAGTACAACGCTCAAATTTTAACGGTCAATGTTTCTAATTTAATTAAATGAATACATAAAAATGGGACATTCTTTCCAGTTATGATATTAATTCGAGATGATTCTACTTATAGTGAAGACTTGAAAATACATTATTAGTCAAAATGGCGAATTTTGGTAGTTAATCATGGGTCAAAAACTGAAATTCAATATTTAAAGAAATCTTGACAAATATTCGAGACAAAGAATGACAGAACCATATGGATGAAATCAGTATCTCTTTCTACCAATTGATGTAAAATTTCTCATTTATACTCCGACAATAGTATTATCTTTAATTTAAACTTAGTAATCACTTTGATTTACATTGGGAATACGAAAGACACCAGTACTTTCTTGAAAGAAAACGTTTTTATACTTGAAAAATTATTTTCTAATCTTAATTTTCATCAAAGATCATAATTTCATGATTATAGAATATATTTCAAGGACTTTGTTGTTCTTCTAACTGAAAGAATAAATGAAAAACGACTGACTTCTGTATTTTCATATTTTGCCGATGTGAAACAGTTCGATGAACTTTATCCATATGTCTCAGAAAAGTATAAACGATGAAGAGATGTCAACAGAAACAAGAGTATGAAACTATATCCTACTGCTGTTAATTAATCCACAAGTTGCACTAGTGAAAGTCTTATTAGCGAAATTAGGTCATGCCTCTTGCTACGCCATGTATAAATATAAAAAAAGAATAAAATATTCGCTCAAATGTGATGATATACACCTAGATTGATGCTGTTTGTTAAAGAAAAGACTTAATTTTTTTGTATGAATAACATTGATAGTAATTTTAATAGCCATTAATTGATTTTATTCTATCGATAAACGGAATTGGTTATATCTTGATCTGTGATAATGAATCAATAAAAAGAATCCATTAATATATCAATTTTACCTGCACATTCGACGAGATGTATTTCTGATTCGAAAATGCATTCGAATACTATTGAATGAAACAAAATATAAATATCTACAATCTTATCAACAACGACCACTGTTCTTCCTTCGAAAATTTTTCTCTTCCAAACAATGTTCTATCGAAAAGAAAGCGATATCATTTGACAATATTCTGCAGACAAATATCTCATGAGTAGATTTGCTTTCAAGGAAATCAGTTAAAAACAAATCTGTAATGTACTATTTTATGTATTTTTATCTCTTCTCAGGGGCGTAACGCCCCCTGCTTTTGAAAGTTTCACTTTTTTTGGAGAACAGAATAGAAAAAAGCTCTCTTCTGGAGATTATAGCTGCTGAATTGATATGAATCAATACCTTGCCACCCCCTGCTCTGGAGACTTCAGTACGCCCCTATCTCTTCTTTCGAACGATAACAATGCCCAATTTTTCGCTATTTTTGTTCTTCATTTATTGCAAAAATATAACTCACCATTATTTTGTTAAACAGACCGAAGTAAGTTCTTATCAAATTATTATTATTAATGATATTAGTTGAAGTTGGGTCAAATAGCATAGAAAAATAGAGTATCGTTTTCTTCATCAAAACGCAACAAAAATAATTTCTTAAAGCTTCTTATATGAAAGTACGGTAATGGCACCACCAATTTTGATATACTTTAAGCATTCGAGCATCTACTTGTCGTGCAAAATTAGATTCTTTTGTAAATAGAAAAAAGAAATCTTATTACTCTCCGATGTTACTTCTTCACCAGAGGACAATCGTATTTATTCGAGTTCATTTCTCGTTTTATTGTATCAACTTACCATTAACACCGATCTGTGAAATCAATGAAAGTCAAAGATCAAATTGTATTTATTGTTCTATGTTTTTATTTCTCAGCAGTAAAGAGACATATTCTATACGAGACTAAGACTATGTAGTTGATTTACAAGTTGAATAAATCTCTTTTTTTTGAATTATCTTAAATTTAATTTCTAATTTCAAGTGTAAACAGAGGAAATTAACCAAATGGTTGATTGAATATTAACAAAATTGAATGCCACTATTATACGATATTTCTTTCAATCTAAGATTATTTTCTTACATTATACGTTCATTACATAAACTATCAAGAAAAAGAAAAGAAAAATATCTTTTATTAATTAAAGAGAACGGCTATTTATTTGAAGACAGAAGAGGAGACAGAATCCTATACAGAACAAATAAATCTATTCAACATAAAATTAAGACAAAAAAAAAAATTTTCTTTATATTTTGAATAAAAAATATTTACCGGTGAAAGTGTATCTTTTTTAACAACTAATGAGATTTTCGGTTGGATATTTCGACGTTCAATTGAAATACTTGGTACTAATCCATTTGATGAATTGATTCTGTCATAAATTGTTAATTTATTTTGAAGAGCTAACTATAAAATAAGAAAAGGAAAAATAATTCAGAGAATTGGAGTCTTTTGTGTATGCAATGCAATTTTATGTTCAATTAAATAAAACAAATATTCATCGTAAAGAACACGAATTGAATGAAATGATGCAACACTACGTAATGTTAAATCTCGAATAACTGTTGAACAATAAGAAGAACAATTTAAAAGAATATTTCTCTGCTGATAAATTTGAATATGGTTTGAGAAGATCATTTAATAATGAATCTAGCCATTGTAACCAATCTTCTAATGTTGATTGAGATGATAAATGATTTTTGAATCCTCTTTCAATACGAAAAACTAAATTATCATCACATTCACAAACCCACCATATTTGTTCCTAGAATAAGAATTTTTGTTGAAAAACGATAAAATAGAATAAAAATACAAAATGAACTTGAACATTATGAAAATCGACTTAATTTAAATCAGCTAACGCTTGATTACCTTGTGTTGCATTAAAAAGGACAGCACGTCCTGTTTGAGCTAAATGATTTCATGATGTATAACATCTTCTTAATGTCATTGCAAATGCATTTATTATTGTTAATTTAATTGTTTTCAATCGTTCTGCTAAATGACCTAATGCTGTACGAATCCAAACATCGACACTTTTACTAAATATTCTCACTGATTGTGTTGAATTTGCTGGAAAAAAAACATGATAGGAAATACTGATTATTTCAAAGTTATTTAAATTCGTTTCTATTATTAATTTTAAATACAAAAGACTCGTGAATATTTTGATCTTATTGATGATTAAGTGAATTTATTTGTCAGTATTATCCATTCAATATGCATAGATTGCAATAAGTATTAAAAATAATATTTCTTTAATAGAGAAACATTTATCAGCTGATTTTTTTCAAAAGAGAATTTATTATCCTTAGTAATTATACAACGTTTCACAAGTCAAGTTTTCAAAGCTTCCTTTTGACAATGCTTGTGAGCATACTTGAAAAATGATAAACACATGTTTATGGGTGCGGTTAAGGTAAAGACAGTTACCCACATCCGCATCAGCCCTTGTTACTAGGACCGAAATCAAGCAGTTTTTACTTGAGCAACAAACGATACTTTCGACTTTCGAGAATAAAATTCTAGATTTAGCGACGTGTCTAAAATCTATAACGATTGAAGTTGAAACAGTGATTCGCTTAGACTTTTCCATATAACAATATCTATGCAAAGGACGTCTGTTTGTATTGTAGTGTTTGATGAAGAAAAAAGGCGGAGCGGGCGGCCTACATTTTTCTGGATAAGAAAAATGATTACAGTCTTCATTATTAATATTGGTCTCCTGTGTACCTCTTTGTTGATGCTTTACCAAAAATTCGAAATCCATTGCTTCTCGTATTGTCCAATGAAATCATTATCTTCTCTTGGCTAATCCTGTTCGGCTCTAGCTGTATACACTAGGATAAATGAATCATCCAGCAAAAAAATCTTTGAAACAAAAATGTTCGTTTTTCACGATCGTCGTTTACTCTACGGCCTATTAGTGCCGGGTACTGCTATTCTAATTGGTGGTCTCATTTGGTATCATAATCGTCGCAAAAGTTCGAATTAATATTTTCTTGTAAATTTTTTTATTTTTGTCATAAATTTTAAATTTTCTTATCTTAGATGAACAAATTCGTTTAAATCGTTCAGAATATCTTGTACTTGAAATTCAAGTGCCTGTCTATTGTGTCGGAAGTATAATTGGTAGAGGTGGTGAAGCAATTAAACGGGTACGATGAAATAGAAAAATAAAATCAAAGAATAATGTTTGTTTGTTTAGTTTCAACAGGAATTTTCAGTTCGTTGTGCATTTGCAAAAGATGATGAAAAACTTCTTAAAGAAAATTATCGAATATTAATTATACGTGGAGAACGCCATCATGTTTATGAAGCTGAAGTTGAAATGCGTCGTTTAATTGCTGATTTACCACAATATCAACAAATTGAAATGTTCATACCTGATCATGCCTGCGGATATTTAATTGGAAAAAATGGTTCACATATAAAAAATATTCGTGATAGTTCAAAAGCACGCTTGAGTTTAGATAGGAAAATTATTGATAATTTAGAAAATAAAAGATTTTCTCGATTAATTATTTCGGGAACTAGCGAACAAATATCAGCAGCTAAAGTAAGATAAAATAATTTTGTTTGAAAAAAAATAACGATTTTGTTTTTAATTTTTGAAGACTTTAGTTGAAGAACGATTATATCGACTTGAACAAAAAAAGAAGGCATATGATAATAATTCTGTGATATCAACGGTATGATTAAAATAAGAAAAACAACAATATAGATTGAGGGATACCGATGTTCGAGAGAAGATTTTTATTCGTGAAAGATCTCATATTATTCTTCGTGTTGAACTCTCATATAAAATGAGAAGTTCATTATTTGTACATATGTTTAGATAGTATTCGTATACCTTTTGAGTAGCTGAAAAGTATCTATGTATAAAAGTCTTATAATACCTTTTTGAATACAATCATAGAAAGGTTTTGCTCAAGGACGAATGATACAGTATATATATATATATTCTTTCCCGGTTTGAAGGCTCATACGGAGTGCATATGGTTAGAGTTGCTACCCCGTAAGAATAAAAGGCACCTTCGTTCCAAGGTCATTGATAAAAAGTAGGGAATTTTTTCAGAAAGTGAGTACGTGTGAAATTCAATTTTTAAACAAAGTATCGCCTTATGTAAGGTGTTTATCTAAGCAGATATTCTTCATTCTTGCAATGGCAAACTCATCGAAACAGAAATTCATAGTTCGTTCGTTGATACAGAAGTGATTCTTTCTGATCTCATCAAATATTGACGGTCTCTGTTGAAGTCGTGTTTTTTTTCTTTCAAAAAACAAAATCTTTTTATTAACATTTCTGATAGGCCCATTTTATGTATTGTTTTTATATTTAGAATTTCGTTGACGATAACGATGACACTATAGATCATGACTAATATTGTTATTCTATTTTTGTTTTGTTATTTTCATGTTTTGTTGTTTGTTCTAGATATTATGTCGTTAGACTTAGATCTTGATCAGTTTCATGATCATTTAAATGGATCTAGTATCGGTGCCGATGATGGTGATAGTCAAGATGTTGACATAACAGTGAATAGCCGACAGCATAATGGACAAAATCAAGCTGAAAAACGTGCACATCATAATGCACTTGAACGAAAACGACGTGATCATATTAAAGGCAGTTTCAGTGATTTAAGAGATGTTATCCCTTCATTAAAAGGAGAAAAGGTAATATTAAAAATTCCATAGTTGAAAGAAGAAAAAAAGGGTTTGATTTATTATGCATCTTTTTAAGGCTTCTCGTGCACATGTTCTCAAAGCCGCTACAGATTACATCCGTAATATGAAAACAAAAAATCAATACCATCAAAAAACAATAGAAGAACTGAAAAGACAAAATGCCATCGTGGAATTACAAAGTAAAATAGAAGAAGATGCTTGCTGTTTTTCTTAACTTAATCCATATGACTAATAATACAATAAAATTTAATAGAAACAAAAAATGTATTTTATTTCTAATCGAAATCATTCCTGAGGAAATTTACGTCGAAGATTGTTTTTCAGGGTGACATCACTATAGATATACCTTGTAAAGAACAAGAGTTAAACGGCAAGTGAGTATTTCGTATTGCACTCGAAATGACTCGTACATTTCAAATTCCAAAAAATTGTATATTTTAACAAAGAATTTTTTCTTTTCAAACAAATTACTGTCCATTGATTATCTAAAAAAAAATATTCTTATTTTATGTTTCTAGTTCGTCTTCTCGAACGTGTTAAAGAAACAGGTCAATATACCCGTCACATCACAAATCATCATCAACAAGAACAGTTAGTAAAAATCGAACTAAACGGAATTCAAACAACAAGAAATTTATTAACCCATGAAAATAATCCTTCGATATCATCTCATATATAATAGACTTTATTTAATTATCGTCCTTTGTTTCTTTTTTATTTTACATAGTGCCATTTGTCAGAAAAATGTTTTGTAGTTTGTGTGTGGAACGATTTCTTTTCTTTTTCGTTTTGAAGATATTTCAAGATTTAAATACGAATATTAATTTATTATCTTAACCATCAATCTTATTTATCTCATTGCGCAGCGTCTTTTTCCTGCAACCAGAAAAAGAAAAAAAAAGACGGTTGTCAAATTCTAAAGAGATAAAAAACGTTTCTGTTTGCATTTTTCGTACTAAATTACACCTTTTCGTCATTTGAGTTTGATATAAAGACAAGAATAACCTTTTTCTTTCTATTCGCTGATTACGAACTGATGAAACATGATTATTTCGATGTCACATCCTACCAAAAGATAATTGAAGACAGTGGAGACAAAATGTAAACTTGTTATCTTTTATCATATCATTGGTTACTGCATTATGTGGCAATTTCATGGAGAAAACTTTTCACTCTTTGGAATTTATCATTCGCAGTATATATTCGTGAAGGACGTGTTATAAAAGAAAAAAAAACACAAAAGAACATACTGATAAAATTTGATTCCTTCATTTTCATGACATAACTCATATAGACATACTTAACAAACAAATGGATGAGAAAAAAGTTAAAAGATCTGGCCGCCAACCACCATCATCGTACCCTACAATCTATAGAACACCGCGATCTCGTTCGCTAAGTAGTGAAAAAGAACAAGGACCCGCCTTACAGACTGTACTTATAAAAGAACCGAAATTATCCGCAGCAAACAAGATCGAACTTACGCCGAGACTGGAGCGAAGATTAAAGGTTGGTGAACTAATAGAACGTTTTGAAAATGTTGAATCAGTAGACAATATTCAAATAAACAAATGTTCATTATCATTACTTACCCGTTATACAAATGGGCGCCTATCGGCACGCGACAGTAGGTTAATTTTATGCATTTCTTAGTTCATATTGTACAAGCTTTTGTTTGAAACTATCCTATGAGTAGAGAGAGAAAGAAAATGGCTGACTTTAAAATTCTATAAGCAGTCATATTTGACATTGATGAATTTTTACTGATAATAATCAATTTATGTCGTGTTCAGTCCGTGACAATGTTCGACACTTAGAGCAACGAAGCGCAATATGTATATGGGTGATATTTATTAATCATTTACATATGAAGGCTACTCTGTTATATTCAGGTTGATTACTATAGACCATTATTGCATCTCAGGTGACTATAAATAATAGTAAATCCGAAGTTTAATATTACTATTTATTCATACTTTTACCGTTTCTTATGTTGTTAAATTTTGATAGAAAATGTAAGAATGTTAAGCTTTCGAAAAATCTTAGAGTCTATCGATCTCGAAAACTTAAGAATCCGTTGCAAAAGGAAAAGAAGAAATGGCTCTCGTGGATTATGAATAAGCAGAAATACTTGAAATATGACTCACAGTAGAGTAACTATGCGACTGAAAGGAAGAAAAAAGCTCGTGTCATTTTCGTTCCGTTGAATCGACGAGCCTTGATATACATAATCGGTATTTGAATGACCCCTAAATTTGATAAGAATTGCCTTTGTATCATTACTCCAATTACAAAAAGCTCTTAAATTTCGATATTTCTTTTTTCTTCTTTATAAGAATATTTGTTTAAGTTCGGTCATCCTCGTCGTCAACTGGACAAAAGAAAATCACTCGTACACAATTTGCTTCACCCATTCGATCTTTAGCGTTGATTGAAGAGAGACTTCCAAGTAATATGAAAAATATTCCGGATTCAATTTCACACTATAGAAATTTCAATAACTTGACGACATCTAGTGAAGTACATAAATAAACATGTTTTTTTTCTTTTTCGAAAAGCAAAATATAAGAGTTCTTATTTTACCAGACTCAATCACGACATACGAGTAAGTCTAATGTAACGTCCGAAACAAAGCTTCCGAAACCCATGATACAAACAAAGCAAAATTCGCTGCAGCTTCCAGAGCAATATATTAAATCTCAACAAACGGAAATTGAAAATGCTGTCGTTAGTCGGTCAGCACTAGAAAGTTCTTCAAAACACGATGAACAACTCGAGCCATCTCCTAGTGTTGAATTCAAAGAGCACGATGCAAAAAAAGTCTGTTTATAAAAATATTGAAAATAAATTTTTTACTGAAATTGTTTTTAGACCATAGGTTTCAATAAACGTTTGGAAGAAATACACAAGACTGAAAATAATTATATCGCCAAACTTCATGTACTTACATTTAAAATGCCGAAAATAGTCAAACAAATATGTCAGACAGATGAAAATACTCTCAAATCATTTTATGACATCTTTCAACCGTTACTTGCTACACTAAAACAATTATATGTATTTCATTATGAAAATATTTTACCAAATATGGAACAATTTATAACAGGTCATCGAACTGATTTAATATGGTCGATATTTGAAGAACATTTTCAAACGATTGAAAATTTGTATAAAGAATATTATACTGTTTATGATGAAAATCAACAGAAGTTCGAACGTTTATGTGCGACAAATGCATTACTTCATACGGCAATGCTTGATTGTCAAGGCCTTATGGGAAATTTATATCCTATTAATGAACTTAATTGCGCTAATCAACATTTACTTCGGTATGAAGAATATTTATTTAAATATTTACATTTTTCTATAAACTTTACAGAGTTTAAATCTAATTTTTTTTCTTTCTAACATTACATTTATATTGCATTTGATAGGAGGATATACCTGACAGAGAGAGAGACCTGTTCATAGAAAAAAATGATACTTGAACCTTAGTTTTATTTTATAGACGAAATTTCATGGTAGGCGGTACCGCCTATTGATTCTTTCAAAATTTCGATGTATTCAAAGCAATGACGCAGAAGTAGATGAGTGTTATAACGATTGAGGACCGCAATAGTGCTACTATCTGCGATACCGCCCGTAAATATATTTCTTTTTCTTCCAGCCAGCAATATGCCTGTCATAAAGAAGCTAATACATGATGAATAGCGTGCATCAATTTGATTTGCTTACCAGTATATTGCCGTTGAGATACTCCATTTTTTTCTGAAGTAATTACATGTATTTATCGAAATCATGTCTAAGCACAGGAATTATTTGGACCGTTTACAATAAAAGATTGCATTTCAAGATATGGACTTCAGAAATATTTTAGCAGCCGTAACCCTAATCTCAATTCGAAAGCTATTCATTCATTGGTAGACTTTCTCTAAAGAAGCAAAGACCGCACCCTCAGGAAGAAAACGAACTCCAAACCCTGGACAGGTTTCTCTCTGTTTGTGATCGATATTTCTTGAAACAATTTTGTTGTTGATTCTAGTTACATTCTTCTCATGAAAAGTTACATGAAACATCTCGATAAAGATTCTTCTGAATATGAACGTACATGCTTTGTACATGACGAACTTACTTCTATAGCTGAACGATGTGAAGAACACTTAGCAATATCTTCAACCCAATTAAATAAATTAAAACAACGAGTCGATGGTAAATTAGACTGCTTTGAAAAACAACAACTCATTTGGCATGGTTCATTGAAGAAGCAATCGCCACGTAAACATACCGACATTAGTCCAGCATACATTATTTTATTTTCTGAATGTATACTTGTTTGTGGAGAATCAGGCAATAAACTTGAAGTCAAACGCCAATTATCAATAGGAAAAGTAAATGTTGAAATTATCGAACGTGAACGAATGGCATCAACAGCACCAAATGTAACCAACGTACAACAATCCATTTCTACTACTTATTATCCATTTCGTGTCAGCGCGACTGAAAAAGTATACGAATTCATCGCTGAAAAAGAATCGGATAGAGAAAAATGGGCCAATAAGATTCGACAAGCAAGTGAAGAATTCAAAAGACGAAATTCAACTATAGCAAGTAAGAAATATTGTTCATTTCACATTCGAAGTAATCGATAGATATAAAAACAATAAATCTCTTGTTTTTCTAACAAAATAGATATATGAGAAAACCCTATCCTAAGTATTTGTTTTGTGAGAAATATTTAGGAAAATCATTATGGTTCATATCAGAGACGTGCACAGGACAGGGCGGTCCTGCTGTCCTGGTGTCCCGTCCTGCCCTGTCCTGGAGGACAGGAGGAGATTTCGATTTTTATCCTGCCCTGACGCCCGCCAGGACCAAAATAGCCAGCAGGACAGGTAAGGACAGGACAAAAAATCTTGTCCTGTGCACGTCTCTGGTTCATGTCGAGTGTTAAATTTAGATATTATTTTGAGCGCATTGCATCAAAGAATACTTTACGTACATGATTAGATCAATAATGTCAGGCTGTTCAACATGAGTTTTCAAATTAAATTCAAAACTAATGGTTTTGAAGATTAATGAGAATGAAGTACTCAACAAATATCAAAACTTGACCTGGTTTTTACATATGTTGGATTAGGAATTCTATTTTTCTTTCGACGCTTTTTCAGCTGACGTAAATTAACACATATTTATCTTTACCTACAAGCTGAAATAAACTTCAATGTCGAGTGGAAACAGTCACGTATGTGAAAGGTTAAATCAGCATAATACTACTGTCTTATGCTATATGAATTAGTTTAATATCTTTGTTATAGATCAGTATTAGACATTTTAAGTAACTAGTTATTTTATACCAATATTAACAAAACTTGCTCCGTCGATCCCAACCTCTATATACAGATAAATAAGCATAATCTTTTTATTCTATTTTAGTTCGTCAATCGCATCATCGTTTCGATGAACCACAACTAGGTGCTCGTGCCCCCGTATGGGTCAATGATATCGACGTAACACGCTGTCAACTTTGTCATCATCTTTTCTCATCGAAACTAATTTCAAGACAACATCATTGTCGATCGTGCGGTCGTTGTATATGTAATTCGTGTTCTACAAAAAAGCTGCTTCTTAAATATTGCAGTAAACAAGGTGAAAAACGTATTTGTGATCTATGTTATGATAATTTTACTGGCATAAAGAAACATCCAAAAATATGTTTAAAAATAACGCGTGATCCAAATAAAATGATTTTATTCGGTGATTTTCGATATTTTCAGTCGAAATCAATTATTTGGATTGAACTACAAGAAGATTTTCAATTGCATGCATTCGGCGCTAAATTGGATCAAGTTGAAGATTTTTCTATTAATCTTCTTGAACTAAATGAAATCTTATTTATTAAAGAAACACAAACATTTATATTAGATGGTAAAGATAAAACCTATAGACTATCTTTAGAAATCAATCATCAAATCGCGTATCCAAAAAATGATTATATCGATAAAAATCTTCAAAATACAAATAATAAATTATTTTTCTTTGCTAATCTATGGTACGATACGATGCAATCAGCACGTTTAAGAACAACACCACTATGGTACATAAGAAAACGTGATTCAGCTGATAGTGGAATCAGTAATAATTAATCAACATTCTCTTCTCTAGTTTTATGTTCTATTATAAAATCTATGTTTTATTTTGAGAGAAAAAAAAGAGAAAAAAGCGTGTAGTTGAAGTACGAAAGCCTTAGTTTAAATATGGCTTGGAATAAATTGTTGAAATTTTGTTTGATTTAATATTCCATTGCGATTTTTATTACCATTAGCAACATTCGCACCACCTACAGTAAATCCAGCATTAGAAGTAGTTGCACTTCTAGCTAAAGCATTATCGCCCATGACATTTGGTGATGATGAATATGTAGTATTGCCACAGTTAACAGCTTGATGACCACGAATTGATGGAATTCCATGAACATTATTGGTACCTGATGACATGAAACTTTCACTGATTGTTCTACTTAATTGATTGGAATCAAGATTATTTTCATTTGTGCCTGTATATGTTGGCGATGATGTTGCCGGAGGCGACTAAACAAAGAATCATTCATGTTTTCTGTTGAAAGTATTCGTTTGAATATATGTTTACTATATCTTCAATAACACCAGCATTGCGAGCTACGTGAACTAGTGTTGCCGAATCTAAAAGTGTTGAACCATAGCGAGTTCTATAGACTTGAGGATCTTCTTTGTTTATGCCAATTCTGCGAAATTGTCGGATTACACGCGCCTGAACAGGTTCATAAACAATCACATAATTACGTGGTTGAGTATATTTCACTGGAGCAGGAGCACGTTGAACAATGGTGCGACGTTGGGGTGGTGGTCCATATGGAATCCATCGTTCGATTATTATATCTCCTAAATAGAAAATAAATTGAAATCAATAGAGAATGATTTTGATTTGTTTACGTGGCTTTTGTGGACAAGGTGGATGACGTTCGACGATAACTGATCGAGGTGGAACAGGTATAGGAGGCAAATGACGAGTTACCGTTTGTGCAGCAATTTTAGCTGGCGGAACTGGTGGACGTTCACGAAGAATAAGTGGAGGAGGTTGAGGAAGATTAGGAGCTGTTTGACGAATACGAAGTGGTGGTAGTGGCGGAGGTTGAGGTGGACGAACTTCTTTAATGATTAATGGCTAAACTCGAATAACAACTATGAATGATATATGCTATGCGTTTAAAAACAGTGAACTTACCCCTGGTGGTGGAAGAGTAGGGGGTTGAAGAAATCGAACAAGAACCTTCTGCTGATAAGTCAGCGGACCTCCAGCTGCTGGTCGTCGAATAATTTGTGGATTAGGATCTTTGTAAATACAATTAACTGATTTCGAAAGATGCAAATTCGATTGTTCTGCTTTGTTTGCTTGAGTGACTCTATTGTTAAATGATGTTGCTGTTCCATAAGAAGCATCTATACCAGCTATCGATTGAACGCTATTCTGAGAACTAGTTCTATATCCATTTTGATCAAATCGACTAGTTACATTATCATCAACAATATGTCCAGTAATTGATGCTTCCTTAGATGAAGCTAATGCTTCAGCATTTGACATCCAAGCAAGAAATTCATTTTTATCGATACTAAACACATATAAATATATATAATCTATGATTTTATTAAAGTTTTTTTTTCTAATACCTTCCATCTTTATTTGTATCAATTTGAACAAATATAGCTTTAGCTGCATCAAACTTTGCCATTATGTCTAATTGACAAACTAGAAATGAATTCTTAAATAAAGAGTAATGACCCTCAATTTACATATCATCGATGTATTAAAAACTCAATCAAGCATGAACGGCGTTACATATAAATACAAATATATATCAAACACCTATTTGATAACATTAAAGCATCCTTGTGTATGCTGTTTCTTCTTGTTTGATTTCTTGTTAAAAAAATTTATCACTATGAATGAAATAAAGGCGTATAAATTATTGTCGCGTCATTTTTTTTGTAAATATTCGATGAAGGTTTTTAATCTAGCAATGAGTATTACGAGAGAAGAAGAAGAATCCTTCATTAAATCAGACCAAGGAAAATTCATCCATTTGATGTTCAATAAAAAGAATGCGCAACGAAATGCAATCATTGATATAAATATTATTTTTATATTATTCAATATAGTGAACCTGCATATCACATCATATGTACCAAGAATCTACAAAAACTTTTTTTTTTCATTTCAGAACCGAACATTTTCTTCTCAGGAAAATACTGTTATTCAGTTTTTCTTTTTTCATAATCATCGAGTAAGATAAACAACAAAGTTCATCTTCTCGTTTGTTTTTTCATGTTTATATTTGATTGCTATAAATGAAAATAATGTCCATCAAAAGAGCCGAAAGAATGTGGGAAAAAAAACAACGTGTGGTTAACAGCTAATTACACTTTATCGAGGACCGTGTTTATGAAGTCACACCCGATAGATACTGCTAATTTAAATAATATTTTCAGTCGCAACCTTCAATTTTCTTCAGGCATGCAAATTCAGCCATGACACTTGCCTATTATCTGAATTTCGACGTTATCAGATCTATGTTGGCCTGATGAAATTTTGCTACTAGCAAAAGCTAAGTATTTCCTAAATCATGTGAACCAATATTTGTCAGAATCATCTATAGATTATTGAATGTTGCTGTTAGAAAAAGAATTCGTAGCAAACTCGACACACTCTAGTGTTCTGTAACACACGTGTAACACATTACTTGTATGGGCGTAGAAAACAATTATGAGAATATTTTTGTTTTCGATAACCCATGTATTGTGTGAGTTGATAAAGTAGTTTTCGAAATAATTGATAAAATCATTATAAAACATCAGTAAGAATAACTCTTCACAAACTAAAGAACTCTTTCGATTACGCAAAAGAAAGAGACTCGTTGAACAAAGTCTATAGCGACATCTATGCGCCATCTATTCAAGTATATAAATTTCACTAAAAAAGTAAATCAATAGTAAACAAATTTTAATTCATAGTGATCAAAGAAATTGAAAAGCTTATCATAAAATTTTTCTTTGATCATCGTCAAGACAACGATAAAATTGATGGTCAGAAAAAGCGATGACTGATTCATTGAACACTTGCATGTCTGTGCAGCAAAAGTGTCAGTAATGTCTGAACCAAGGTTGCTTTCACGATCAGGTGTATTTAATCGACTTGGAAGTCTTCTATCAGATCTTTCCAGTGTAAATTCATCTGATGTACAAAATCCATTCATCACTGATCCAACGACAATTACAAACAATGACACAATTCAGTTTAGCACTTCATTTGCACATCTAACCTATCGACAAGATTTATCGAGTGTTGAACATATACATTTTCGATGTCGTCCAGTATCGTCATTTGATTCAGCTACTCATACAAGTGTATGTGAAGCTGTACTGGGTATTTTTCCTGATACATGTTCTTCGACAGCATCATCATCAGTGCAACCACCTGTTCTTGTACGTGGTGTTGTTGAACAACGTCATCGTCGTATTAAAGTTGGCGATTGGCTACTAGCAATTAATGGTACACCTTTAAATTGGATAAATTTGAATGATGTACTATCAAAATATCATTCTACTCGTAAACTTCGTCTTACCATACGTCATCCCGATACGTATCATTCAACATTTTCCTCATCTTTGCAACCACCAATAACGTTACCATCGATAGAGGAAAAGAAACTTTTTCAACCAGAACAAATTAATTGTATACATTCAGTACTTTATTATGAAAAAATACCAAATCAAGGTTTTAAATTATTATATCAACAACCAAAACAAAAAGATATTTTTTTTGCTGCTGGCGGTGTTTTTCCAACATTAACACAGCTCATGCACGATATGAATGAACATGATAGTTTACTTCGAAGGTACGAAAAAAATTTGCTTTTTTTGAAACTAAGAAACAATAATGATATCTATTAAATCGAAGCTGTGAATCAGAATGAGATGATAAATCTCATGTAATCATTAGTTGACAGTATAATAAAAATCGATTAGCATAAAGAAGAAATATTTTTTATAGTAAACTACGATTTGATAGTATTGCCGTCTAGACCTTTTTTGTATCCTACTTGAAGTCCATAGATCTAATAAATATTAGTGCAATCACATAAACGGCGGTATTCTTTCAAGGGAAGAATTCACATCCCACAGTATTTATCCTTCATAGAATGGAAACTAGAGCTTATTCTTATACGATACACGCCGTAGTTTTATCAAGGACTCAAAAAGTTTGATAAGTCAATTAGCTTGTTTATGCAGACTCTGACAATATGTCTGTAACATACATTTGGTTTCATGCTGCATTTAAATGAAAACATTTCTGCTGTTTTCAAGTTCCCATATAAGGTTTATATACATCCAGGTGGTAGTCCGCTAATGTTGTCAAGAACGTTACACTGTGTACTAAGATTTAATATAATTTTGGGTCGTAAATTAATATGTTCTAGGCCGATGATTGATAATGTATTGAGCCTATCGAATGATAATTTTACATTCGTTCCGAAACTTCCATAAGTTATAACATGAATATTAGTCAAAGAATAAATCTTCGTTTCTTTTCTATGTCTAGCGTATCAATCAAAATAACTGAACAAATCATTCCTATTTGCGTAACAAGTGATGATAATATCCATTATTTAATCATTATATATCCATCTATTGAAAATTTACATATATCTTTACTTGAACAACATACTCGACAGTTGGTTCGTTTAATGAATTTTCTATTTGGTTCCGTTGATCGTGGATTATTGTTTTTTCAAGAATCGATTGAATATTTCTTTGATGTATTTTTCTATCGTCTCAATTCTTTAATACCAACATCCGTAGTTTCTACGCCGTTATTAAAAAATATTCGTCTTATTGATGAATTTTTACCTGCACAATTTAATGATTATGGTACATGTCCAAAATTGAATTTAAACGATCAACAATTATTATTCAATATCGATTGTTTATTAACTCAATTGGAATGTCAAAATTTTAATGAATGTTCAAATGAAAGTGATTTTATTATAAATCGTTATCGGCGAATTTTTATTTTGACTGGCTCAGTTTTATTTCATCGTGTTCAACTTCTCACAAGCCATCTATCCAATGAAACAACTATTGATATTTATCGTTTTCTTCTTCATTATGGACATTTAAATATGTCACAATTTTATTCCGACACATGGCATTTACTATTATTTAAAGAAATCTTTCCGTCAGGTTTCAATCTTAAACAACGTTGGTTTTTAATTGTTGGTAGTCACAGTGAATTAACATTAGCTGCTGTCATTCAAACTGAATATGAAAATAATGATTTTGTGTGAGATAAAAAAATGAATATTCGATTTTTTCCTTATTCTAAATATTGCTAATTTAGTGTTCCGCCTGATCATGAGTTAGTTCAACAGATAAAATTAACTTTAAATGATATCCATACAATATTTCCAAAAATGATCACAAATTCAGCACCATGGATTCTGTCGTCACCACTCGCATTTCTTAAAAAGCCATTGAAACGAACTATTTCATTGCCGTTAATAGGAGGTATGTTCTCGTATATAAATCAAGAGCGACAAGTCAAGAATACTGGATTTTTTCGTAACAGTTTTAACTAAATCAAATGATTCAAAAGAATTGACGATTGACAGAAATTCTAAGATGAAAAAATTACCCTTTCGAAATTTAACAAAAAAACTGCATCCCAAATGAACTTCAATCTATATTGCGAAGATTTTTGCTTTAAACAAAGAAAACTCAACTTTAACATGACTACCTACTCACACTGAAAAAAAAACTCTATTCTAGAGCTCCACTCTAATGATCATTAAACAGGACGAAAAGCTATATAATATTGAATTAAAAACTCTTAACTGTAGACAAAGAACGAATGTATAATGAATTCAACGGTAATTATAATAACAAACATCTCGTTTTGCCAAATCTGACGCTTCATCATCATGTGTGTTTGTTTGTTTTTTAAACCATCATGAAATTTTTCAATCGCATATAAATAATTCTTTTTTCTAAAACTAGGATTCGGTCAATCAAGTAAGCCGAATACATTTGACTCGCATGCTGACGATACAATATCATTGGCAGCATCTCATTATCATGATGCATCACAAACTGATTTGCGAGTATCTCAATTAGTAAGTCAACCTGAATCTCAAGATGAATTGTATAAGAGCAGCCGTCAATCAATAATGTCTTCAACATTGTCACTTGATGAACAACAGAAAACAAAAACTCTTCAGGCAAATTTATTGACATATCGATTACATCCCGGGAATTTTTCAACAATATTTTATTATCTTGATTTTCAAGCAATACGTGGTTTACTCATTGCACCTTATTTTACACTCGATAAATTAACAAAAACAACATTAATCGAACGTTTTCTATTTGAAACAATTCAACAAACATGTATTTATATTCGAAAAAAACATTTTTCTAGGCCAAAACAATTAAAATCAACAAATATATTCAGTACAAAAAATCGTCCGAAATATAATGAAATTGGCTGTCAATTTTCTATGCAAACCGATCCAGATAATAAAAAGAAAAAAGATGCTAATTTATTTCATTTTTGGATTGTAGCAAAACAATGTTTACAACCAATTGAACACGAATTTTTTGTTTGCTATCATGATTCAATTGCTCAAAATATAACAGAATTGGCATTTACGATTGGAATGTCATCGGTATAAACGTGAACTTTTATAGTTAAACTACGATCTAATTGTTATTTCGTCTTTTTTTTTCATCTGTAGGAATTTTAATAAAAAAAAAGACTTTAGATATTGATAGATAAATAAATAAATGGGAAATTTTGTTCAAATAAGTTCGATAAATTAAAAATGAGAATATGTCTAACACCAATAGGCTGCTGATGGTCTCGATTTAAGTGTAGTTTTGGGTATAAAAGTTCTATCGGAAAAGTGAAGGATCTCTATGTGCTTGATTTAAACGAAAAAATGTACTTCGTTATTGGAGAATTGGATTATAAAACAACTGAATTAAATGCACTTGAGCTACTGATCGATCTCAAAAATGTATAAACAACATAGTTGAAGAGTTTGTCAAATATTTGTTCGTTTCTCGGACTTTTCTTTCAATGCAACTTACTTCGCAGGATGTCAAACCATCTCTATATTTAGCTAATACTAAGTAAAAACTGGACTTTTTCTTATCAGTATTTTTCTTCTATTACTTGATTTTTCTACACATCAACACAGTTCTATTCATAAACATATCATCGAAAGAAAAAAACAAAAAGATTATTAAAAACTTATCATATTACTTTCGAAGTAATCTGAAAATAGTTTGGATCTTATTCAATTTGCTTTTCGTTACAAATTATCATCTCATTTGTTTCCCTACACATAAACGATTCGATTTATGTATTAAGAAAAAAGTGAAAAACAAACTCGATTGCCTCAATGTTTACTATAGAACGTATCTAATTGCAGCAAGACTCGTAGAAAAAAGTCTTCTCTAGTTACAGTTTTACTGTATGCTATGATAATCTCGTGGTAGTAAATGTCTACTCGTTCACGATGATGTATATTTCTAAGACGACATGACAAAATGGATTCGATTCTTCTGACTTACCAAGAGACAAAAAGTTACTCAGCGAGCTTCTATTTGAGTTATTGAAAAATTTTCGAAGTAACTTTTTTAACTATCTCAAGAGATTGATGCAGAGTTTCAATCTAGGTTTTTCATGATATTCATATACAAAAAAAAAAAAAAAAAAAAGAAAAAAAAAAAAAAAAAATAAAAACTATTGGTCCATATGGTTTTTGCATTGTTATGAAAAAACAAAAACTTTTCTAGAAGAAAACTTTTCAATGATGTGATAGTATTCGAATAATAGATGCTCAAACAGCAGCAAAATCTTAAGATGACAGTTACAAGTAAGCTGTAAACAGTGACAATCTGCCATAGAGTAGTAACATCTGTGAAAAGTAGAACTCGAATTTGTATAACCTTCCTAGAATAGCTCTGTTCTTCCATTTGAATTGCTACTCTGATCGACTGCAAATCGTAATGAATGAATTTCTTTGTAGATGATCTCTGTTACAGATTTTTATCTAATAATATTTAATTCGTGTAAGACGATAACCATCTTTTGATAAAAATTACACCGACATGATTTGTTACGTTTTTTTTTAAGGGCGAGATAAATGTTTTGTTCCTTTAAAGAAAATTCTACAAACATTCGACTATTGACTATCGTATTTGAGCATCTATTATTCGAATACTATCACATCATTGAAAAGTTTTCTTCTAGAAAAGTTTTTGTTTTTTCATAACAATGCAAAAACCATATGGACCAATAGTTTCTCTAACAGTAATGGTAAATACATGAATGAATTCCTGTAGATGTTTAACATTGTTGATATTGCAATCAGAATAGATAGGCCACGATAAGAGATATTTCTAGAAGCAATTGTTATGATACTTGTTTATTTTTTGCGGTAGAAAACTGATACTAAAGACGCGTTTTGTATCGAACTCAATAACCGAAGTGTTTCATTTGTGTCCAATAGAGAATGAATCAGCCCAAGATTTCTTTATATGCTAATAAAATAACTTGTCATTTATTGAGATAGATTTTCAGCAACTATTTCGCATAAGATAATATATATGACTGATTCATCAGTTGATATATTCTTTATATATTTAACTGTTAGAACGCTTCTATTAACGCTGTTATTATTCATTTCGAGTACTAAATTCTGCCTTTTTCCTCATTGTTTTCTTACTGTGCTTTCTATTAAGACGATATATCGCATTTCATTCTATTCATAATATCGATGCGAACAGAAACGATTATCAAATTCCATCAACGACTATCTACATCATACATAATACATATGCGCAGTGAGAAATTTCACGAGGGTCGTCATCGTCCAAACCCGATTTGTCAGTATTGAATATAGCGAGAAAATTTGTACGCTTTAGCAAGACTTCTTCTTCGTTTTGCTTATTTGGCGTTGTTTTTATTGATTAGTATTCAAACTGTTTTTTTTTGTCTTTTATAGCAAACACATCCACACACGCAATTAAGCTGCTGTTATTATTGTTGATATTCCCAATAGCAGCGATAACGACAAATCTCAAAGGAATGACAGTTACCTAGGATATATATCTTTAATAGTTTTTCTACTGTTTTCATGTATCATCGCGCATTACAGAGAACGAATAAACAAGAGAAGAAAAAGAAAAAACAACAAAATACATTTACGTATGTCTCTTTCTTTTTCTTCTTCTTCTTCTTCGTTTCTTGTTTTTTTATATCTTGTACACAATTGATAGACGAATCTTTTGTCTATATACATAGATATATATATTTATGTATTTAAAGAATATCTCTCGTGATACAGAGGACCTTGAGTCACTGTATCGTTTGTCTATGATATCAAAGGATAACACTGTAAACGTCTTTCTAGTTATTTTTTCTTTTTGTAGAAGTCTTTGTTTTTCCAGTGTTGATGAGTAAATATATTACTTCTACTTTCTCTGTTATATACAGGCACACAAACTGTCAATCTACGCTTAGCACGATTATAATAATCATCACACACCCCAATGGTAACAGTCGTAGAAATATATAGTAGTTGTGATAGTGTTGGCCATAGGAAATAAGCAAAACTCAACAGAGTAACAGATCTAGTTTGTATGTAAATAAACAAAGCGCGCATATAGGTCACAACTAGAAGAGTATTTGAACTATTGTTATATAGGAACATGATGGTATAAACAAATGCAAAGAAAAAAAGAAGGAAAAGGAAAGCCCCGAAAAGACAAGTATTACTATTAGGCGTGTAATTTAATACAAAACACATGATTGAAACAATAAAAAATATAAAGGAACTTTGTCTAAAGAGATGAATTTGTTTTTTTAAACTTCGGAAAATTGTTGTTTCGTTTTTTTTTTTAATATTGATCGTGGATATATTTTACTTTATTTTATTTTAGATGTCCCGTTCTACATTCCTGACGAAATCGTCGTCGACTGAGGCCAATGAGACGCAAAATTATCCTACAACAACAAACGCAAATATAGATCGTACAAGTACTCTTCGTTTTCATCATCGTTTAATGCCGACTATTTCAACCAGTGGTCGATCGAACGAAACAGTACCGGTTGTTGTAGTTCAATCATCCTCATCATTGACACCGACGACCAATACAGATACAACAAAGACAAATTTTATTCAACATAAATCTGTTGTACGTCTTAATCCAAAATTGAAAAGAAATATAAGATGTACACGTCGATCAACAGGCATTCGGCCAGATGAAGTTGCATTAGCAGAAGCAACTAATGACGTAAGTTGTAGATTTCCAATGGATGACATTTTTTCTTTGTTTTTCTCAAATCATACTTATTTTCTAGCCGAATTTTAATGATGACGACGAAGAGGAAGACAAGCCAGTTACGTGCAATAAATTCATCGCCCTCACTAGTAGCGATCCCAGTGAATTTTTCGATTCTAATCGAAAAGTATGAGATGAAAGTTATCAATTATTTTCTTTTCAAAATTGTCTTTTATTTTAGAGTCCTCCAAAACCGGTGTTTAAAGTCAGTCGAGTGCCGTAAGTAGACATAGTCTAAATTAAAAACAAAAAAACAAGATGAAGCTTATTATGTTTATCATCTAATAGGCCAACATTCGATGACAATACTCGTCCTTTGCTTGAAAAATTATCAATTTCGCGTACAGGTAAAAAGAAACTGTTTTTTTATTCAAATTTCTGGAAAAAAAATAAAACCTATTCTTTACTAGATCCTTTTATGATTGCATCATCATCATCGCCATCATCGCCACCATCAAATTCACATCCTAGTCCGCCGACAAAAATATTTCGAACTGAAGAATTTATTCTTCGTCGGGTATTAAAAAATATTGATTACAATTAGTTGTATTTTGATTCTTGTCTATTAGCAATCCTCCGAAGATGATCCTGGAAGTATAAAACGACGGCAAATTGAAGAACGCGTTTGTAAACTTGAATCTGTTATTCGTGATAAAGATTCAATTATTCATGATTTACAGCGCCAACTTGATAAAGCTACAAGAGTAAATTTTCCACCACGCAAATTTCTATTCTTCTCATCTAACAATAATTTATTTACTAAATAGGATTTAAAGGACGCCGAACAACAAATCTATATATTACAAAGAGATAAATTAGCAATGAAAAAACATTAGCTACATTACAAGATACGAAATCGCCGCAAGGAGGAGATCTTTCAGCATCATCGAAACGAACTGGCTTTCTAACAAGAAATTAAAACAATTTTGTGTCTAGTTTTTTTTTCCTGTACAATTATATGAATATATATATAATTATTTGAATTCGTTAGAAAATGAATGTCATTCTAAGTGGCAGAAGTTATGCAGAATATGTAAACATTCTCTGTCATTCGAAGGAAAGGAAAAATAACCGAAGATATTAACACTCGTTCGATGATCAGTTATCGTTGAGAATGTCGCTTAAGAATGTTATTATCCTTCTTGTTTTTGTACCTTTTCGTAAGTGTAAAAAGAAAAAAAAATAATCGAGAGTGTGCCTTTTTTTCGATTCTATTTAAAATAATTGTCTTGTTTCTATTTAATAAATAAAAATGAATGAATAGGTATTTTTTCAAGTGATAATCTTTGTCGATTGATTGAATTGAATTTACCAGAAGGTTTACTGCCATTTCCTACAAATGATATAGAAGAAAAATTATTTTATAAAACTGATTATATTTGTCAGAATAAACCGATTTTTCGTTCGATCAAATATGAAAATTTATATCAATTTCAATCACCAAATAATCGTTGGTGGACATTATATGATACAACAAATTCAACATATAAATTAGGCACGTATGAATGGTGCAATGCTTGGGACGCTAAACCAATACTCGCTATGCCACTTGGGATGTTTCAACATCCACTTGCAAAACAAGCCAAATTACAACGATGGAAACGTATAATTATTCACGAGAATAATAACAGCTACGCATATAAATCCATACCAAGTGAGTGACAACATATTTGAGGTCGAATTTCATTTTGAGACCTGTGATAGTTAGTGAAATATTGACTTGTAAAATGCATGAGTTCATTTCTTATCAGCACTTCATAAATCTTAATTTCGATATGCTAAATCGTCATTATGATGATAATTTTATTTGACAAAACAATAGAGTTTTGTAGGCAATGATAAAAATCTCCGTTGAGTCATGTACTATTATGACTGTACTAAGTGACGTCATTGTAACTCGTTTTTTTTGAGAAAAAAGTAGCCATTTTATAACGTACTCGTGAGTTTTCAATGAAAGACGTATGTATATTCCAGAGAATTTAGGAAAACTTCGATACGATGCCATTGCTATATTCTGCATAAACTCGTAAGAGGAATAAGTGCATACAGAATTCTACTGGAGTATGTACATTTCCTAGTTGACAGTTCTCGAACAGCTGCTTCTCATTAAGATGAATGGTTGTACATTATTCGACTCACGAAAGACACTCATTTGTTCCTTAGTAGAAAAAATGTAGAGAAAAGAACAATCGATCTCAGATACAACTAAGCCGCCAAAAGAAATCCACTGAACCATTTAATGAATTGCTGTGCTGTTTGTTTTTGCTAGTTCCAATAGCACATGAGCTTCCACATGTGAAATAAGATACTATGTAATGTGTTGGACGATTGTCAATTTTACTTAATCCTATAGAAGAAAATAATCGAAATAAAATAAAATAATACTTGAATAATCAGTTTCGACGTGAATAAAATAGTTTGTTCCAGTTTCAGTCTTGCACAAAGAAAACTCGTGATATCCGAGAGAAATTTTTCACGCCTTTTTTTGTGAATCCCGAGATTGTACAACGAATTATCCTATCAATTCTATTATTATTTCCATATCAGATAAATCGATATTCTTCAACAATGCAATATTTTTATCTATCATACTCGTCAAAAGTCTTGCTAGAAAGTTAAGAGTAACTAGCTGTAGATCCGTGCCTATCATATTTAGGCAATGTCTAGAGTCTGGGTAATTCTGATCGATTTCCATACAAAGAAGTTTGAAGGTCAATGCATATTTATTTTGCATTTAGAACAGAATATTTTATAATTAGCAACACATTTTACACCTCGTGATCTGCTATTCTGATGCTCAGGATTGCCTACATCGGAAATAGAAATGTCACATCAAGCTAGTCTAGTTCGCTTGATAGATGAAATTCTTTTTGGATACTTCAAGAATGAAAATTCATTAAAAGCTAATTTGTAAGTTTAACTACTCTCAACCACTTGCCTTTAAATTTTTTCTAATCAAATAAAACCTTCTAAAATTCATTAGTATGCCACTCGCTAGCGCGAAAATTGCATCAGACACTGAAAAATGCTTAATGCTTCAAAAAAGACATACGTTATGAAATTTGATTTACTAATAAATGAATGATTATTAACGCTTTCATACAAAGAAAAATCGCACCTTTCAGGTACCTCGAAAAGGTTTACCCGTCTTTTCTAAGCCTAATCCATTCAGGTTAATTGATTTTGAGTTGAAACTTGACGAAATTAATTGAAATTCTTCTAGTGCTTGCAGTTTGAGGACCACAAAAGCTCGATATTTTCCGGTAGTACTACATTCTTAAAAGAAGAAGTAAATAATATCAGAGAGTTCATATCCAAAAGTAGCTACTATCATCTGTTGCCTCAATAAATCTAAGAGCGACACCAAAACAAAAACATCTTTTCAGTTGAAGTTTAGCGAAGTCATGAGGGGAGAGATAAACATGAACTTCGTCCTTGACCTGCATCTTTCCGTGCGACTAAAGTCGATCGAAATAAATAGATAATAAGATCTAAATTTTCTCTACGATTTCTATAGACACTTATCTAAAATGTTACTATCACCCATCGACATCGGCTTGCCAAACTAATCAATTAACTTTTCTATTCGATCTAACTGAAACAACAAACACAGAGGAATTTAATCAGATGAAATTATTAACAAAAACTTTACTATGGTTATTATTTAATCAAACAAATATTTCACTGAGTTATTATAGTGATACATTTCATCTGATCAATTCATTTGATGAGAAAACATCAGCAAAAAGTTTCGAACATTTATATGATTCAATCGATGCACTAGATAAGCAACTTGAAAGTTCGAAACAAATTTCTGTTCCTTGGACTGAAACGATTCATAATATTGTAACAAGAATTTTCAAACGTCGACTTCTAATACCAGTCAAGCTGATCGATGAAACCGATGGATTTACATCGTTGGCCAATGATACAAGTGACGAGGAAATATACACGGAACCATATCCGTTGTATTACAATGATGAAAAGGCAATTAAAACTGTTCTTAATATAACAGACGAGATATTTAGAAGAAAACGTTCCCTTAAAAAAGTCTACGATAAATCAAATCATGTTCTTGTTATTTTAACATCTCGTTCTAAATACCTTTATGATTATAGACAGCAAGATAAACAATTAGGAGAATTTATTGCAGCCGTACCATTAAGAATCGTTGTTATTGATTTTAATAAAATATCAAATGAAAAATTCTCTGAAAGTATTCATTCAGCATTTATTCATTATGCTCAAAACGTTCTCGCATCGTCTCCGGCAGCTTACAATTACATTGAAACATACGAAGAATTTGGTGATGCCATACACGGTAATCAATTATTTAATCATTATCATCGATTATGTCATCCGCCTGAACAGACTTTATTTAAAGATAATTTTACTACAAATCTAATTGAAACCAACGACAGATCACCAACGGATTGTTCACTTTTAACGTTATTTAATAATGACAAGAAAAATTCAACATTGAAAGAAAAATTCGATTACACATTTTATGAAACCACAGATCAATGTTTTTCTTCGCCTGTTTATCGATCATTAGGCGATAGAAATCTATATGTGCAACGAACAGCACAAGGCCGTTGGTTGATTATTCGCGTTGATCCACTTTTACCTTCAATAATGAGTATTCAACAAAAGTTTGCATCAACCACAACAAGTACTCTCTCGCGTAAGTTTACATTTTTGTTAGTCTATGCATTGATACGAATAATAGGCGAGGATTAGAATGGCAGCTTGTTGGGTTCTTTTTCTTCTGTTATAAACAAAGCGTAATGACCGTCGACTAGTTAGCTAAGTTGACACCAGAAAAATACAAGTCACAATTAGTAAATAGTAAATTGACAGAAAACCACACATGTTTTTTCGATATTATCAAGATATAGCCTAGAACTTGTTAAAATAAAATCAGTTAGATACATACAGATTTTCATGAAACTCTATTAAAATTAATTCAATGTGAAAAAGTATTCCTACTTTTCGTGTAACTCTGTGTGTGTAATTCGATTGAATGCTAGCAATAAGTGAATCTTTCTGGATCGTTTACTTTTAAAATCGTTAGGTTACTGCTATAGAAAGAAAAGTTTAGTATTGATTCTCATTCTTTTTTTGTTTGCGAAGAAATGAAAGCACTAAACGAATCGTAGTTTTTATTGCTAAAGTGAGAAAATTCTAAATGAATATTGAATTGTGTATTCGTATTAATCGATTAGTTGCATTACAAATAATAGAGTGTTTCTAATTCAATCAGAAACATTACTACATTCGGTTTAGATTTCAGATTTAACGATATGAAAATTATTGATGCGTTGAAATTTCTTCACAATTCATAGATCAATATTTATAGTTATTTCCTCATGAATAACCCAGACATGCGTGTGTATCTCATAAATAAAAAATTTTCCATAAGCTGGGCATGCTGCTAGCGCAATTCATAACGACAGGATACAAGTGGGAAACTTATTAGAGCTACTCTCGTTAACAACAAGGAGCCTGCTTTAAACTTTCTATTTTGGGTTATATTTTCTAATTATCCTTGTGCTACCACACTTTGGGATACAATAGGAAAGTAGTTCATAAATTCTAATGAGATGTTACTCATATAGCACCTAGGGGCGTCACCAGAAAAAAATTGTATGGGGACTAAATCGTTGGTCGAAGCTATCGTGGGGGAAGGGTAAACTTATTTTTTCACAGGATTTTATTTTTTCTAGGGGGGAGACTGAGCCGTCCCCCTTCCCCTGGTTACGCCCCTAGTAGCACCTATGGTTGTGTAATAAGATTAATACGTTTAGAAAGTTTCTTGTTTTAACTTTTCCCACAAGTAAATCAGAGAAAATATTTGTTTATCGGAAACGATTTCCTATTCGACATTATACTTCCAAAACGCCCTATTTACAAATTTTCCTGGAAGCTAAGAGCTAGTTTTGTGGACATTTTTCTCTAAAACAATGATTTTATTTTTCATTTCTAGCTGAATTCTTCTACGCGACTGATTATGCAAATGGTCCCATGATCGATGATAGTAACTATGAAATAACTGCATCCCCTGACTTGCCTACCAGTGTTCCGCATTGCTCTAACAATCCTGGTTTAGATACCCGATGGGAAAGTGTCGATACTGATTATTCATTACCTACACCACGTCGATGGATATCAAATAATAATCAATCTGATTTAATCACGCCCATCTGTAACAAATATAAAATATCTTGTCAATCTACCAAATTTGATTTAGTTATACTTATCGATGCTCAACATGAATATTTATCTTTAATACAAACATTTCTCAATACTTTTCTTTCGTTAATTGAACCGTACAATCATCGTTTAAGTCTTATTATACTTTCATCAGCAACCATAGATCCATTTCAATATCATCTACCTCTAACATCCATAAATACAATCAATAATAAAATGATTGAAACATATTTATCTTATTTAGATGATAAAAATACTTCAACAGTACCAATCAATCAACATCTTGAGCGTGCAAGTGATTATTTAAAAAGCAGTCAAGAATTTGGATCCAATGTTCCAACACAACAAATCGTGTTAACCATACCGTCTCGTTTTAATTTCAATCTAACCGACGTCAAAGAAATAATACAACGCTATTCAACTATACGATACATGGCACTTGATCCATATTTAAAAACTGATAAAAATGAAAATAATAATCGCCGAAAACGAGAAAATTTTCTTTCTTCATTAGCATCATCACCTTCGTATACAAATCTATTTTGTGCCTATTCTGCTTATAGAGACTTAACATTTCATACTATATTTCGTTTATTAGAAAGTTTATGTGGATCTCTTCAATGAACAAAGGAGTAACTACATATTTAACCTCGAACATAATGTGGTATGCCATCAACAACAAGAACGATTTTTGTTTTTGGAAGTTGCCTATTCTCGAAATTTTTCATTTTCAAAACTAAAACAAAAGAAAAATAAATAATAATTAAACATAAACAACTTGTTGTTTTTTATTTACGCACATTCAACTTTAATTACCGTGAAATACCATGTTTGATTGTCAAACGCAAGTTGATACTGCAAGGAACAGAAAAGATTATGGCATTTAAAGATAAATGTCAAGCAAACAAAATCATTCCATATCGAACCGAGTAGCTGTCTAATTCGAGTTCGAATATAAATGGAGAAAAGAAAAAGTTAAACTAAAACTAAATCTATTCCTAGATTTAGTTTTAGTTTAACTTTTCGATATATCCGACATATGAATACATATCTACCCTTCACCCACACTCACATTTAAAGTATCCCGGGTACCCCTCCCTCAGCACCCCTTCCGGGTACCCTTCACCCACGCCCACTCGATCTTAAACTAAATCTATTTCTACCACTTATTTTCGAATTGATACCATGCAGTTCGATGTCCATTTATATTCGAATTCGAGCTAGACAGCTACTCAGTGTATGAGGATGCTCATTGTTTTAATCTAAAAAAACTCATTAACCTATACCGGTACATATTTCTTCTATATCATGTAATTATATTTTGTTTTGTTCTTCGTATTTCAAATAGTATCGTATCAGTTGAAAGATTTTGCGCGTAAGTTTCAATTTTCTTCAGAAAAATCTCACTTTTCAAGTCAATCTGAAACCTTCTTAATGAAGGTTAGTAAATATCACAAATACCGTTTATTAAACTTCATGAAAGACCAGAATATTCGTATATCGTAGGTAAATTTACATTTCATCTGAGAAAACTAGATACGACACGCAAATCTGCTAATCACTTTTTCATACAAGTTACCTTGTTTATAATCTCTATTTTGATGCGCCTAGAAAGTTAACGCGAGTAATAGTATTCTATTAGATATTAGTAATCAAATATTTTCTTCTACTTGTGTACCTGCTGCCCAACATTACATTGAAATGTACCACCAAAATATGTAATGAATTTTTCTGTTAAACTTTTTAGCTTTTCTTCTTCAATATGATTGCCAATTTTCTTTTGAAAATCACTTGTTCTAAAGCATTGAGTATTTCAAATATGCTTTAATTCGATAATAATCAGAATAAACTCACTGTTTTGTCGTCGCATTTAGCCAAAGTTCTGTTATCGGTGACGGTTTATTCGTTTTTCTAGAAATATAATATTTCATGACCTTAATCAACCAATGGAACGCTTTAAAACTAACTGCTTTTGATTAAGTTCACTTGAATGTTGTAATGGAGTAGTAATTGTTTTTGTACGATTTCGATTAAAATCATTTGTATAATACGATTCAGCTAATGCTTTTACTGATATAATTTCTACATTATTGTTGATAGACGTAGATTGTTCAGGTGCTGAATATCGTTGTAATACTAATTTTTATAAATTTAATTACAAGAAATTAATAAAAAAAGAACAAAAATCCGACTTAGTCATTGGATCTCAAATTCAGTTTCCGTATGTTTTTTACTTTGATATTTTCCTTAGGAATAAAATGTAAATTATTTCTGAGTACTTGAGCGTTGTTAACATGCAGGTCAAAATCTGCTACAACAATTATCCTTGTTTAAAAATATGGCAACAGCTACCAACACAGGTTACGAACTCGTTTAATACATTTGCGACACGGGTCTCATCGTGAGAATTTTCCCACGCACTTATATTTTTCATTTTCGAATATTTACCGATAGACATTATCGTTTGTCAGAGGCGTTTACTTTATGGTTCTGATTTTTATCGAAGATGAATTTATACGCCAAACATTCATTAGTTATCTTATGAAGTATAACACTACCAGGCTCCTATCATAGGTTACACAACGATCTCAACTCAACTGAGTATTAAAAGCTAAATTAATCTCACAGAGCGAGTACGATTAATGCTTATCCGATTTAAAAACCATACATTTACATTTTGTTTTCTCTGTACTTATATATTCTTTCAATCATGTTTCACCTGAATTCGAGATAAAAAGAACTGTAGGAAGCAAAGCAGTCGATTTCTATTATACCTGCTGCTGGTTCTTTAACCGTATCTTGACTAGCCCAACGGCGCATACCACGTAAATGTTGTAACCAAGATGAAGTATACGTATCTTGATAAAGAAAAAAAGGCATAGTCTGAAAAAGAGTACCATTGAAACAATGTTTACTATGATGATCTGTATCTTTCGCCGTATTGCGTAGCTTCGATTGATAAACTAAAACGATAATTTGTTTATCTAATTTTTCAATGGCTTAAAAATTACTAAAATAATTATCAAGATAATTAATAATATATCGCACTTGTTCTTCGAATGACAAATTTGTATCATAAAAGAAATCATTTAGACTTTTTCCAAATAACGTTTTATGTTCACTAGTATCGACATTCCATTGTTTGCTATGAAGATCATACGATAATATTAAATCCGATAGTGATGCATCTGTTCCATAATAAAAAACATAATACGTTTGCGTTGGATTATCATACCGAAGGGAAAATTTTTTCGTTTCATTGATTTCTTCTTCATATAACGCTAACATTTTAATCTTATTCTTTTTCTGTACAAAAACGAAACAGCATAGATCATCTTATATGAACACGTATCAAAACAAAATTGTTTATAATACGTGTCTGTAGATAAGAGATAGAAAAATTTTCAAATTTTGTTTTTCAATATTTTTAACATAGACAGATTATCTTTTTTTTTGAAGAATGTTTCTTTATTTATTGACGTTTCATGAAATTGACTGAATAGAATATTGATAAGAATGCGCATCCTGACGATGCTTCATTTATAATCGAAACCGACGGCGCATACGTGACACGATGACTACTTGAGATTATCTCGCAGGAACATATTTCCAACTGAAAACGACGTTGAATTAGTTATTTATCTTATCACCTATCTCTAGCAAAAATGTTAGTTCAAGCTATTCAAGTTCTGTTTATCTTAGAATTCATCGTCACTGAACAATGAGATTTGGATTTTGTTTAAATATCACTATTTTTTTGTGTTTCACTCGTGTTTTAGGTAAACCATTTAGCAAACGAGCTGATTCGATGTGTTTAAAAAAATCTTCTATGCCTATTGTTTTTTTTTTGAAAAGCTACAGCTGGCGTTCTTATTACGTACTTTGAATAAAAATAAACTCAATTAGGGCACCATATAACCATTGAAGAAGTCGGTAAAACGTCATCAATTGACATTAAAATAAATAGCTTAACAATAGATATGACATTGAAATAAAATGTATTTGTTGGTCGTCCTCGTTGAAGGGGTTAATAGCTGAATTCGTTGAGAAAAACAACAAAAAGCACCATATGGGCTCTAAAGATATTATTAGTTTCTATTTAAAGTTTATGAATACTATTTTGGTAAGATTTTTAGCTTAAGACATCTGATTCTTCGTTATCTGAATTATACATTTATAACTGAACGATTCCTTGTGAAATTATGCAAATCATCAGCAACGCATAGATGTCTCATACGTTCTTTCGCAACCTTGAATTTTAACTAATTTTTATGTTGTGAATATTGATGAAAAAACGAATCACTGAGAGAGAATTCTATTATAGAATCTACGATTCAATCTTTTCGAAGTACGCCAAGGTATTTACGACGACGAAGAATCATTGAATTTTTCCCATCAAAATAAGCTCGTTTAATGTATGCGTTATATAATTAGTTTTATGAATTTTTCTATAGAATTCAAAATGGCTTGTTCTCTACAAGTAGAGATGACTAACAAGTTTATTTGGAAAGTCTATTTTTAAAGAAATCGAACAAACAGCATCGCACTGACGCGTTGCGTAGTCCAGAATATTTGCCGTTGAAAAATGGCTTCAAGCGAAAAACAATTAGCATAACATGTTCTAAAGAAATATTTACTTTTTCGTTCTTTTTACTGAGAACGCTTTTCAATTGTAATTTTTTTTAAGTTTTCACGCAGCTTGATGTTCGTCCAACCCTGAATAGAAGAACATCGTGATTGATTCAATGTCAATATCTTATTCTTATACAATCATATTGCATGCACTTTGACTAATTTATATATAGAACTAGTCAAGTTAAATATAGCCCTCAGATTTATGTGAAAGCCCGGAAGTTTGTTTTCTCTAAAATTAACTGTTGTATTAGACGATAAAAATATACTCAAATGATATTTATTTAAAGTTAACATAAGCAGACGTTCTTCAAGTATTAACTTTATGGTGTAAATTTCAACAAATTCAAATGTCAATATATTGATCGAGTAATTATAGATGCATTAAACTGATATAGTTCGCATATATTTATTATCTTAACCTAATGTTTAATATTAATCATAGCTTTCTAACATTTGAATAGTGACCTCTCATATGCAGATATTTGCAGCAAAGGTCTGCAATGAAAATTGTTTCGATACGCAATTAATTGATGTCTCTTAATTCCATGGAAACGTTAAAATCTTGTTAAGAATGACGTTTCTTATAAGTAAATTGACTTATGGTAAAAAAAAAATATTATTCATCCAAATAGTTCATTAGGTCTTCGTTTTGACAGATGCTATCTTTGATTCCGGTATCATATTGAGCACAAGATTATATTTCGCGTACACTCATACTAATCGTTGAGTTCCTCCAGATCACACAATGGGCACAGAATAACGATTTTCTTCTTCTTGACAGAATGATATTACACTCCCGGAGGCACACTTCGCTACCGGATCACATCAAATATGGCTGAAATAACGCATTCAAACTGAATGCTTGCAACATTTCCATACGGCTTGTGTTCTGTATCAAGTGTTCTTGATCTCAATAAGAAATGTATACGCACTTCTTATAACTAATGACAAAGCATATATAAAGAGATTCTTCAATAATATAATTATTGTAAGATTAGTATTAAATTATTACTCTAGTCATGACCTTTGAAGTAATTGTTATCAGATGCCAACGTATTCAATATTTTACATTCCAATTGACGCCTACTAAATGATATTAATAAACGTAAATTATCCCGAAATAAAAATAATGAGTTGTAATCACCTATCATTATAAATAAAATTTTATAATCAATTCAGTGAAAACTTCCGACAAGTAATTTTATTTGTCGAACACGCTGTCATTATACTTACTCGTAGCACGCAATTAAATAGATTGAACAATAATTTGTTACTTCTGTTTTTTTTATTTTCATTGTTCTTCAAATGTTTAGTGTATGCATAGATTTTAGAATAATTTCATTTATTTTTAAAATGTCATTCGGCATTGAAGAATATTTACATTATCGATTTGATTAAAGATTGCACCAGCACTTTTTCTTGTCTGCCTATTTTTCAAGTGTAAACATGAAATAAACAAAAATTCGTTTACTTTTTCTTTTCTGTACTTCATACAAGTACTCTCGAAAGGGCCTTGCACTCTTTTCTTTTTCAAAAGAAAATATTTTTGTTGTTGAATTATCATGCTCTATATTTTATGTTTCCATCTTATGTCGCTACGTCTTGTTTTGCTTCAAGCATCTAATTATTATTCTACTAATGGCAGATAAAATTAGACATTAGTTTTTTTTCCCGACTATCACTCGCGCTACATAATCTTCGATATAAAGATATTGCTAATGTTGAATTGTGACATGAACAAAAATTAAATGACAAGTTAGTGAATGAATAAAAAAAAAAGAAAAGAGAACGTTCTATTGTAATGAGATATTTTACGTTAAAAACTAACTATTTGAATATAATTAAATTCTTATTGAATCAGTAATTATCTATTTAGTCAAACCGTTACATATATTTTAAAGGTTAACATGTCCTACACCAGACAACACATTAAAAAAAACAATATGACATGTAAGGGTCTCATTTCTGTAATACGCAGAAGCAATTGTTAACATAGATTGAATTCCTGTAAAATGGCGATTGCATTTTTAATGAGATTTTTTATTTCATTAAAAAAAGAACCACGTCCCACTCGTCATAATTAATGGAATAAGCGATTAAACATGTACAAGCATGCTTCTCAACAGAAACGAAAGCATTTTTCACAATTAATAAGTCTTTGAAAAACAAAACGAACAGCAAGACAGGGTGTTTTTATTGTGATCTCTTATATCTACTTTTATCAAATTTTATTTCACATAGTTTTTTTGTTTCACTTAGAGATCAACATTGAATGTGTCACAAATCATTTTCAAATTAAAAAAAAACAAATCAAACGATTTCTAGTTATAAACTTTGCAAGAAAAGAAAACAAATTTAGATTAAACCAAGCTTACAAACAACAGTGAATAACAACAAACAAGCAAACAACAATATTTGAATAAAAGGAAAAAGAAAAAAGAGAAAAAACTAAACAAAACAAAATAAATTACGTATCACAGATTAACGAGATTCTGTCTTAAGGTCCTCATTATAGAAACGTATGTAGGTATATTCCCATTATTCGTTTTCTTTCATATTTTCATTTTGTTTTTCGATTGATATTCGCGAACACAATGAGAATATAACAAAAAGAACAACCAAAATCACAGACAATTGAAAGTATAAATAACTCGAAAATTTTTCTTTTCAGAATAAAAATAAAGTAACATACGAATCATGATGCGGCGTATAGTAGCACCATTCGACTAATGACAATTCATTTAAAATAATGATTGATCTTATAAATAGAATCACTGTTGAGCAAAATTTTGTCCGTCACATGATTTTACTGTACGTTTCTGTTCGTTGAAAAGCCACCGATTCGACCATCTCTACAAATAGAATAATATTCAAACTTGAGAATCAACCGTAGACAAAGCAAGGACTATTCTCTGATTTATGGAGGCTTTTTTTCAATAATAAAATATTTCAGTCAATGAAAATTTCTACTCTCTCGATGAAAAAACTTCAAGCAAGTTGATTTGAAATCTAAATGCATATATATTAGCAGCAGGAGCAATAGTAGTAGCTATTGGCTTTTATTTTTAGTAGTTCTTTTGTGTACCTGAACTAAATTGCTTGTTATTTTCTTTTTTTCCATTATACTAAATTTACTGAATGACGAGAGAATTTTGTTTGCGAAAGAAAAACATTATCAGGAAATAAATCGCAAGGATTTCCTATGTGCATGTGTCTTTTTTTTCTTTTGTATATCTTACCTTGCATAGGTAGTAAGATTTGTACAGAATTGATTCCATCTAAAAATCAGTTAAATTTAATCGAATAATTCAAAGAAATGCTTTTTTTTTTGAAAATAACTTACAATCCAACTTTATATTCAGACATTTTTTCTGATGGTAATAATTGTATTGATGTCATATTTAAGGGCTGCTCATTTAGCATAAGTTCATCATCAACATGAGTCATAAATTGTTGTGGTGTAAATACTTGATCACAACGAAAACAATGTATACAACGATAATCAGGCTCATTAAACCATGTTGGAAATAATTGTCCCATGGTATCAACTGATTTATTCGAATATGTTTTTGTATGTCGTACAACAAGTTTAGGTAATTTATCCATATCACAATAGCCACGTTCAGCAATAGCTCGTTGTAGATCGATGCTACGTGCTCGAACATTGGGCAGAGTTAATTCATGTGGTGTGTTTGGTGGACTAATTAATATGGATGAATTTTGCGCAACAATAGATGTTGTTGGTGGTGCCCGAGACTGCAGTGGCGTTGGACGACGTGGCTGAGGATAGGGTTCCATTTTGCGTGTTGTCATTCCATTCATCGGTGTATTGAGTGGTGGATATGGATAACGCATAGATGGATTCATATTTGGATTTGATGTTGGAGGAGGAGCCGATGGCCAATTTGATGATGATGATGATGATGATGAAAAAGAAGATGGCGGCGGTGGCGGAACGAAATATGGTTTTGGAGATGGATAATGTGAATAGGGTGTAGTTGATGGTTGTGGTGGTACAGAATCAATACGACGTTGTCTTCGATTCATAGATGATGATAAATTTTGAGCATCGGGTGTTTGTGAAGGTTCACGTTTAAATGTTTGTGCTGTTGATGTTGGAACAGCATATTGACGATAGATAAGTCTTTCATTGGGTGTTAATTTATCTGTTGAATGTTGTGCTTGTACAGGTGGCTGAGGGAAACAGCAAGGTAAACGACATGGTAATGACGTAGGCGGTGATGCTTGCATTTTAATTGATACTTGTTGTTCAGGTGTTAATTGATGATAATAATTTGGTTTCCTCACAATGGGCATAACAAGAGACGATGACATGTGGTGATTATTATTATGATGATTGTTATTATTATTTGATGGTGATGAATATATTAGACTATGAGAATTTTGTTGCATGTCATAGGAATTTGTTGTAGGCATTTCTTTTTGTTTTTTTATTGTTGGATATGGCATTGAAGAAGAAAATGGATAAACATAAGGATTTCCATTATTAAGACTTGTTGGAGGATGATAATGTGAAAGAGAATTTGATGGTTGTGGAATATTTTGTGATTGATCACGGTAGATATAAGATTCTTGATGATAAACACCATAGGATGATGAACGATAAGGCGATGGTGGCACTGGATGACGTAGAGGAGTTGGTTTTGTTAGCATAGCAGGATTATTAGGCCCATAAGGTATCGAACGTGATACAATATTCGAAGGCGTTCGTGTTGTTGAATCCAAAACAGGAACGTTTGGCAATACGTTTGGTTTGCTTGTTAACGTTGGCTTTTTGCACTTGATTTTATGTCGTTGATTGGCAGGTTCGACATTTTCTTCAACATTAACAATCATAGGCATTGAAAAGCTTTCATCGGTTAAATCGATAGCTTCGGCTGGTGTTTTAGTATTTAGTTTTGTATTACTATCTACTAATGGTAAATTTTTAATTGATACGTTCTCTTTTTTATTACACGTTACCAATGATAAACTAAATGAACGACGTACGAGACTTTTATTTTGTTGTTTACGATAGGTGAACGACTTCGAACGGTATAGGCACCGTGAATAATTTGTTGATGATGTAGGTAAATGAACTTTGCTTGCACTTGACGTATCATTAATATCATTATTATATGAATTCAAAATACGCCATTTCTTTGGCATGTTCATCACCGAAGATGATGCAGATAATGATGATGATGATGATGATGATGAACACAGTTTATTAATGGGAGTACCGTCTGTAGGGCTAGAAATTAAAGCTTGTTTTTAATTAATAATTCAATAGTATTTCAGAGAATCTTTTTTTTTCTCTTTGAGGTGGTTACACGAATACATATTTAATAACTATTATTAAATGTCTAGGATGATATTTCATGATTCTTGTTAATAACAGATATTTTCCTCACTCGTCTAGTGCTCTAGAATTATTTCTTAAGTCCCTTTGATGGAAAGAAAACCTCATTAATATTAGTTGATCATTTTCATTTCTTTAGAGATGATAAATTATTTGCAGAACATTGTACAAGAAGACTTAAAGAGAAATACTATCTTTCGGTAAGATTCAAATATTAATTTGATGCAGCTATTTATATGAATAGAGATTATGCAACACTGATTTTCTAAGAAAATGAGAGACTTTAGTCTTGAATAGGCATTAAAAATCATGTAAACGGTCTGAACTTAATCCGTCGGTAGCGTAAGTCTCTGAATAAAAAACTCTATTTCAATTAATTTTTAATCTATCTACTTTCTTTGGATAATACTTACAGTCATGAATCTTATATTAAAGATGAATAAAACTATGACTTAGAGGCTTAAGTATTTATTGGTTTTTCTTAGTGTTACTTAAATCCCATAGGTAACCAATTTTTATTTTCTATTTTGTTTTCTCTTTTTGATCTTGAATATTCACATGACGCTAAGAACTTGTTCGCCCGTACATGTCTCATCATCTATCATGATATTTAACAAGATTGATTTCTATAAATAAATAATCATGTAAACATCTCGATTAATCAAAATTGATCAATTTTCTGTAATAAAAAAAAACAGGAAAGATCGTAGCGTTTTTTATAGTAAAAACCAAAACTCCAAAGGGGATTCCGTGTTTACATATTATCGAAGTTCATATGAACATGTTCTTTTTTCACAAGCATTAATTTATAGACTACATGAAAATATTTGTTGTAGGAAAAAAAATTAAGATTTCGAATGGTCCAATGTTCTTGTGAATAGAGTAATAGTATTTCTATTTTTGCCTTTTCTTTTTCAATTAAAATCCTAATCAAATTCAATGGAATTTTTGAGGGTTGATGTTAATCAAACTACTTATACTTTCGAAGCTTTTTTTTTATGAATAATAAAAATTATTCTTACTCGTATGAATTCAATCGATTTACATTCATAGAGGTTTGAGTCGTTTGTTCATTATTTAAATTAAATCTTGAAACAGTTTGTTGGTACTGTTGATGAAGTTTATCGAAATGCATATGTTGTGTACTGTCATTTTGTTGTTTAATAATAGTTGATTTTGATATGATTTCTGATTCGGTCGTTGCAACCGTTGACGTTGATGTCGTTGTCGTCGTTGTAGTTGTTTCGGCACTAGTTGCTGTCGTAGTTGAAGAAACAGTTTCATTTGTTGAAAATATATTACAACTAACAGGACCATTACATTGTATAAAGATTCCGAATTGTGTTGGTGCTAATGATGGTGTTTCATTTGGTTTAGGTTTTTTCGTGACGATTTTAAGGCGTTTCCGAGGCTCATCATTATGTTCATCGCCTGCGTCATCATCACCCGATGAGAGACGTTTCGTAGTCATTGGTAAATGTAAAACTGAAAAAAGAAAGCAAAAGAAAAAGAAACCTTTATTGTAATGTAAACGTATGCATGTATAAACAAATAAAAGGAAAAAAGGAGAGAATTCTCATTTTTACCTTTGTCCTTTAATAGAACAGGTGTTGGTGTTTGTCTATAGCTACGCATTTCATCAATTATTTGATTGATATTTTTTTCACGCTGTTGATTTTCATTTTCGTCTATAGAAAAACAAAAAGACATAACTCAATGAAAATGAATAGATCAGAAAAAATAGATTCTAACTTAGATTTGTGAATGTTACAAGTAGTTGTCTTAGTTTATTTAAATAACTCGACGAATTTATTGATATAAGCCGATAACGAGTATCATTAGATTTTTTCAATGATGGAATCTGTTGTTCAATAGATATTTTTTCTGATAATGTTACTTGCTTTATCATGATTGATTCAGATTTCAATAGTAAATTTATGAATTCATCTAATGTACATAGAGATGAAAATACTTTCACATACAAGTCTTCTAGACAATAGAATATTGAGCCCATACGAGAGATGGTTAGTATGCTAGCGATATTATCAAATGAAATATTTGATAAAATAGAATCATTTGATGATAGTCCATAAGAATTTTCATTTATAGAAAGACTTTTCGAATTCGTGCTATTCGACATCGTAGAAGATAAAAGATGTTTATGTGAATTTTTTCGACGAGCTATTAATCGACTTCGATTTTGTTGAAGATACGTTTGTCGCATAAAATTAGTCGGGAGAAAAAATGTTCGAATAAATTTATTTGATATTTTATGAGTGCGATCGTTTAACAACCGATTTGAGCGACGTTTTCGAGTAGAACGAATTGATTTTGAATTAGTTATTGATTTCGTTATGAAATTTAATGAACGCTTGGATTTGTTTATAGATTGCTTGTCTAAAAGAAATACAAAACGAGAAGGATTTTTCAAGATAGTTTTTGATTAGTAGACAAAGAATAAATTCTCATACCTTGTGAATAATTTGTTTTATATTGTTCATTCCGCGTTAGATTTTCTTTAGAATCAATTGTAGTTGTTATAATATTAGTTTGTTCGTAGTCGTCATCAACATTTGTTTCATCCTCATCAAGGACAATTATTAATGGCTCATCAATATTATCTGTTGAAACAGGCGACGATATTAGATGATTACTAACATAAGGATCGATGTTTTCCTCTTTAGTATCTGATTGAAAATTTTTGTCTAAAGAAAAAATTTAAAACTAGTATAACATAGATGAAATAACTTCATTATCAGATATTTATTATTAAAATCGACAAAATAACCGAAATAGTTTGTCTAAGATACATTGAATTCTTAAGAAACGACTAGAATGACGCAAATCAACATGGCATTATTAAGGCAGCGTTTCTCTTCCATTGATGTATAGGATGCATTAAGAGATAAAATAAAATAAAAAATTACGTTTGTTCGCAAAAGGCAAGAGTGCCAGATGTATAGTTATATCTATGATTGTCTCTAACGAAAATAGGCAGCAGTTATCAGTTGATTTTTCCTCTTTTATCTATTCTGGGAACCATCGTTCGATTGTTTAACAAGTCGCGAAAGGACGCATTCGTTAAAATAAGAGCTTCTTAGAAAATACACAAATTATAATCAAACAACAATGAGAAAGAAATTTCTTATTCTTGCTGACTATGAGCCAGCAAAGAAAAGAATACTTATAGAAACTTGTTTTCATCGTTGCAGGGTTAATAGTTATATCCAAGAACTCTCATTCTGCAAGACTGGACTTTTCAGGGTTTGTTTATTAATTTGAAATGGAAGTTTTGTAACAATATAAGCCTTAGCGAACGTGGCTAGTAGACATAATCAAAAAGGAACGAAGGAGAAATTATGCCTGTCGCTTTAGTTTAACCAGAAGAATATACCTGAAAGAAGAACTTTCACTAAAATAATAATTATAATAAATCGTAACCGTAATGTAAAAAACGCATGACTGCCCAGAAATAGTAGAGTTCTCAAAATACGCTGTCTGACCCAAACAAGAAAGATCAAACAAATTAAATGAATTCTTATTTTAGCATCCATTATATATAGTACTCGATGATATTCAGGTTTGCACTGAACAAAAAGAAGATATGCATACGCACGAGTACGTCGGAAAATAGATCAATCAATTGATTAATGTTAATAATAATAATATAAATAGGCAAGCACAAAATTAAACGGATCTAATTGTCACGTATTCAGTGTTTACCGTGTTGATCTGATGCTAGATTTATGTCAGTCTCATTATAGTGTTGTTGATGTTGTTGCTTTTTATGATAATCGCTAGAAAATATAGTTAGTTGTTCGAATATTCTATTATTACTTGCATGCTTAATCATCTGTGGACGAAAGTAATATTCATATGAAGTAAAAATCAAAAAGAACGTCTAGATTTTGCTCAAATAATACGATGATAGACGATCATTTATTTAGATTTTAAAAGGACCAAGAGGAGATTGAAGAAATGAGACTGTAAAAAAAAAGAACGCGCGAGATTTCTATATAAATGAAAAAAAAGTAGAAGCAGAAGGAAAGAAGAAAAGAAAATTTTTCTTTTGTCTTCATTTTCCTTTTTTTCTCGTTGAGATTGTCTAAAAAATAAAGGAAAAAAGAAGAACTAATCGAGCAGCAGCAGCAGCAGCAGAACGATGATGAGAAGAGAAAATGTCTTTAATAGACATTAAATGGAACATGTTACTACAATTTATACTGAATGAACAATGTGAAAAGGCGTGACGCAATTTTTTTGACAATTTTCTAATATGCGAAAGAAGAAGAAGAAAAATGGGACAGCCAGTGTCTCTTACACGTGTTTCATGTCTTCATTAGAGTGTACTAACTCTTCGATTTACTGAAGAGCTCTCTTTCTCGCCTCTCTAGTTTTTTTGTCGGTTTATTCACGGATCCGTAGGGTCAGCGGAAAAGGAGTGAAACAAAGGACTTACTCTTTTAATAAAGGATAATTATGAGCAATATGTGCATTGAATTAGAAGGGAAAAAAGGATTCCTCTGTTCTTTAGTTAATACGATTATATTCTCTTTTTCTTGTTCACATCAGAGAGAAAAAGCACATCAATTTTTTTCTGGGATTTTTTCACACTTGTTTAAATATTGTCAATGAGAAAAAATCCTCTATTCCTAACATCTGCAATAGACTAGGGTGTTTGTTTCTGCTTTAAATGTTCCTCTTGTTCATAGAAAGTTCTAGGTCATTGTAGAATTCAATGCGATCTGGGAAAAAATAACGCATACCAAGATAATTAAATGTAAAGTACTACCTGGTTTACGTTGATAATGCCACTACGGCCGCTCTATGTATGTTTTAAAAAGATTTGAGGAGATTTTTTTTGTCACTTTCCTTTTTTTTTATAGAAATGGGAATATGATTTGTATTTGTGCAGAGAAAAAAAGGTGCCATCGGGTGATTAATATTTATTTTGGCTTCGGAGAGTCTACTTAATTTTCTTTCTCTTTTTTTAATGAATAACAATAATATGTAAACACTCGTAAGCAAGAAATACTTATTATCCGAAACGATGCCATTGATTATAATTGAAATTCTATTGTTCAGAAGGCTTTTGCATATTTGAATTGTATTTTTTTTATATTACACTTTCAAATTATTGAATATTTGCTGATTCTTTAAAGAGAAAAAAGCATAATGATTTCGTATTAGTTGAAAAGAAAAAGACATTTATCGGTATTCTTTCGTAATCTACTCCTCGTCAACTAATTTTTATACTATTTCTGTAACTTGTATTAAAACCGAATTGAAAAGTTTTTGTGTTTTTTCTATCTAGCTTTTTTTTTTTGTTGAGCATCTTATAATAGACTTTGGTGGAAAGAAAAACATTTTATTTTCATCTGAGAATATTCAAGATCAAAGTCTACATGTTCGCGTGTAAAAATCCACTTAACTTTTCTAGATCATTCGCTTCTCTATTTTATCGAGTACATCTTACGAAAAATTCAAACTGAATAATCTTTGCAAATGAGTCCCAATATATTTATACTATTTTATGTAACAAAAATAATAAATAAGTAAACGATGGCGTATTTCAGTATTTTTAAATCGTCTACCAGAAAAAAAAATATTAGCTCTCATTTGCAGACTGTTGACGAAGAAAATAATCGAAATGAAGAGAAAAAAGGTTTGCAGAAACATACCCATCATAGAACCCTTCGGGGCGTAAACACTTTTATTTTGAAAGGTTTCAATTTGTTCACTATTAGCAATTTCAAATCCTTAAAGAAAAATCGACGACCTATTTGTTGTCATGCTGTCGAGGTTATATCAACAGCAACGCGAATAAAAACTCAATGGAAGAAATGACTAATGAATGTGTAAATAATAGACTTTCTCTTTTTGAATATGTCTACACAAAAGAAAAAGTATTCGTTCACTTAACTGCCAAGGATATATTTAAAACACGAAAAAAAAACACGCAGACGTCATTATATATTTTAGTTCTCTTGACATTATTCTCTAACTAAAATAGCTGTGCCAATTATTTCTTTGTAACTAATTTTCTTTTTGATAAACAAATAATTCATACGAATGAATAACAAAAAGACTAGAGGAAAAAAAGAAAACAAAACGACAAGTAAATAATGCGAACCTTTACCCTTCAAAAGACTCATCATCCGTGACGAGATATTGCTTGACTCGTTTACATGTAAACAATGCTTACCGCGTGACATATTGTGTATTCGATAAAAAAAATATTATTGAACGCTTTCGATATCGTAAGTTTTATTTATGCTAATATGAACAATAATAGCAAAAATAATAATAATAAACTTTAAGTACAATTTACGTTATGAATAAACATATGGCATGATAAAATAACTTAAAAACTTATATTTTAGATAGTTTTCAAGTGACACCTATTCACGACACGTGCTCGCCCGGATGTCAGTTTTGCATGAGTGGATATACGCAGGGAGGGACAGTGCAACGCTATTACGATCTATCTTTTTTGCAATCGATCACATATGTAGATAGTAATTATTTTTTTCTGTGACTTACTCGTTATGTCCTTCATTTTTTATGATTGAAAAACGATTGATCTAAATAAACGACTAATTTTCTTTCGTCTTGCCTATATCGTTTCGATAATGAAAATGATAGTAACTTCCGGTGTAAATGTGTTACGCGCCTGTTTTGTGTCATGATCGATACTGATTTTTAAAAAGGACCAACGCTCGCCTACGAATATATCTGCAGGTGCGCATTGATGTATAAATAAATGTACACCGATGCGTGAGAAAATGAAACAGCCGCGTAATGTAGATAAAAAAATCACGGCGAAGAATAGAGACAATACTGCGACTAAAAAAAGAAAATAACTAATAATTACAGTCAATAGCAAAGATGAGGTTTGCCAAACTATGAGTGTGAACGTCACAGCCAATCATTAAAAATTCTATTTTGAGGAAAAAGTCAATTATAATGAAACAAAAGAAGCAACTTATTCAGTTTTCCGTTGTTTATTGTTTCTACAAATAAAACAAACACTTCAGTCCTTTTATTTCTCAGAGTATTCAAAATAATGACGAACGAAAAATCAATTTTCTTTACTTACATAGGTTTTTTTGAGAATGTAAAACGAATAGTCTTATCTTTGTGTCCACTGTCATATGATAAGGGAGAATTTTCTTCTCTTTCTCACATTTTTATTTATATATGAAGATTACACAACTCAAGGGCATTTATCAAATTTCATGTTTTATCTTCCATTGCGATTTGGAGTGCATTTTGTACGCATAGAAGGAGCTGCTAAAGCCCTACTGACCTCTGTACTGTTACAAACTGAAGTGAATGTTTGCTTTAATGTGTTTTTTTTTCGTTAAAATTAAGAATGATAAGATAAGAAGAAACAGTATATGTGTAAGTCTTTGGATTTTATAATCATAGCTAGAATATCTTTCAAAACAGAAGCACTTATATATCATTGATATACTATGATACTAAAAGCAAATTCTTATTCTTTAAGTAAATAACTGATCAGTAACGTCTATGTTATCGTTTACATGATGATTTCTTATCTAATCTTTGAAAAATTTTCATATCATACTCTTCGTCTTGGCCTTTTCTTTCCTTTTTTGTCTAATCATTGAAAATGATGCAAAAACTAGTCAATGTTCTTAGTCATCTATTTTCTATTTTAGCATTCACTTACAAGATTGCGGCGTATACAACATATTGAATTGCTATTTCTTTCTTTTTCTTCTTTTATCAAGGACAGTTGATATTCATTGCATAAAATCAGCTTTACTACAAGCATACGTACTTCTATTCACCGGCTTTTATATTCTCAAACAAATATGTCTAAGAGTACATTATTTGTTACTGGTAGAAATAAAAGCAGTGTTTGAAATACGTTTATATTGAGAATAAAAATCTATACGGAGTAATATGATTCAATTTTATTTGTTCGAATGAAGAGAAAATAAAAGGGAAAAAGAACTGCTAAAAGCTATATATTATCGCTGAAGATTTGCCGAAAGTTATTTTTACACGTATTTAGAAAGGTTTTTCGTGTACTTCTACACAAATCGGTCATTCTTTCGTCTTGAATGTTTTACTGTTTGATTTATACTCATTCATCAATTGTATACTTATTGGTTCTCAGATACTTCTCTGCACTATTTACTCTTTCAAAATAAACGCTGAATTAAATTTTTGAAAATAGAACAACTCTGTCTTTATACATGGCATACAAAAATGAGGACAAAGAAATTGCTACTATTGAAAACTTGCCTTCCGTCTACAGTAAAATGGGATTCGTAACGTCGTTGTTTTGTTTTATATTTTTTCTTTTTCTCGCTACTTGAAATTTTCTCTTTTTCTCACCGTATGGCATCAAATTACGAGTATTTATGGATGCTAAAGATTGATTGTGCCCTTCGCTAGTGTATTTTACTAATCTTTTTTGGCTCATTTCATATCAACATTTTTATAACAAATGATAGTGATCAAAGAAAACAAATCGTGTTCTATAACTAGTTCTTCTAACACTGAACATGCATTATCTATTCATTTTTAATGAACAACACAGACTGGACATTAATTTGCACGAGGTCAATTTCATATGCAGATTTTAATCATCCATGTACTCAACGATAAGACTTAGCATGCAATGATCCAAATGAACAAGACGTAAAATTGAATTCATTTGGCTTCGTTTGACGAGGCGTGATTTTGTTTTATGACAATGTCATCTCTAATGCTTCCACAGTTTTTAAAAATTTAAAAAAGGCGTTAAAAAATAACAACCGTGTAATAACAAACGAGAGCGAACTCAAGCGATAAAATATTTTTGAAGCAAATAGAATCAAAGCAGTTTTCATACGCTTTTATTATAGGTAACAATAACTAGCGACAAACTTGAGGTTCTTATATAATAATAAATATTTCTCATCATTAAAAGTTCCGCCACTTATAATCGAGTGAAAGCTCTTATTTTTAAAGTGTTCTATAACAAGCCACTAATACATCGAACTTACAGTATTTTTTTAATATCTTTCGAATGCTCTTCAAGGATGTAAAAAAAAACACCTGTGTGTATTTTAGGCATTTTCTAGTAGCAACTATAAGGTAATAGAAAGTTTTGATATATGCGTACTTTTAAATACGATTGTATCACAATACTTCAAAGTATCTTATACGTTTTGTCTTGTTCAACAGTCATTTTGCGTAAATTTAATTTCAAGTTTACAATCTTTTTTTCTATATACTCTAGTAGAATACCGAACGATCTTAGGAAATCGATAGGAAATCAAATTTTTGTTGAGTAAAAACAGAAATGAAAACTTTTGTTGTATGCAAATATCAGTTTTATGCTATGCATTTATTCTAATAATAATTATGTTATATTAAAAAAAGAAATAGAATTGCACTAAATGAGAAAAAAACGAATTCTGTTCGTCTCGTTTATTTTTGTTTTAAGTACCATAAACGATTACTTTCTTTTCTCATTCCTATAATCAATCGTATAATTGGAAAATTATAGTAGAAAAGAAAATGGACTCTATCTGCATAGATTTGTATTGAAAAGAAAATGTTAATGTATTCGTGATTTATTCAAAACGTTTTCAGACGGTATTATATTCGTGCATGAACAAGAAATGACCTGAATAAATAAGTTCTTTAAAAAAAACGAGTCCAACGCAACCTGTGATTAGCGTCGTTTTTTTTCTCATTCTGCCATTCATGTTCGAATATACTGAATAGCGTCTTGTAAAGCATCTATTTAGCATTAATAACTAACTGAGCACAAGCTACTTTGAAGATGCTGCTTATTAACGACTGCTGTGAGACTACACTAAGTACTTCAATCCCATAGCGGTACTACGTTTTGTCAAAAAAGAACACATAATATGGTTACTGAGGAAAAACTTGACCTGTACGAAACCGAAACGTACAGAATTAATAAATAAGATTAAGAAAAAGAAAATACATGTTCATATAATATTGCTAAATATGAAATGATGATGTACTCTAATGTCTATTAGTTTAAATCAATTCAAATAGAAAAAAAAGCCTATAGTTATCATTCGTCGAATGCATTTTTTTTAAATTGATCAATTTCATGCGTGGATTTTGAACTCGAAGGGGCCTGCAAAGTGTAATATAAACGCGTATCGTAAAACAAAAAATACATACAATGAACTGAATTTCATATAGATTAATTGTATGATGAAACTTGTACAAAAAATTTATAATCTCAATTGAAAAAATAATAGTTAATATCAATTGAAGACCTTCTTTTCTGTATTTGTGCATCGAAAAATTCTACCTTGTCTTTATCTAAACTAATACCCTTATAATAAACGTGATAAATAGAAGCATACAGGATTTCTTAGTGCGCTCTTCTATTAGCTTCGTTAATCCTTATATGTTTCTTTCAATTATATCACTTTTTACGTGTATTATATTTCAGTATTCTTTCAAGTAAATTCTTTTTTTTCATGATGAATAAGAACCTTAGTATTTAATACTGAGATATTATTTATTTCTATTTTTTTATAGTAGCTCAACAGTCTAATTCTTCACAACTGTGTGACATATATAAATAGTTTCCATCACGAAAAAGAAACATACGGGCGTATTGCTTTAATTCAAAGGTGGGATTTTTATATTTTCAAATGTAAAGAATACAAAATTTTTGTTTTGATGATGAAATAGAATTGACATCCGAAGAAAAGCAGAATAATGAAATACATTTACGTGTTAAAATTGGAAAGAAGCGATGATAAATGATTGCTAACAATGGCACGATCTCTCATTAGTAAGATTAATTAAACAGCTATGATTTGTACTTGCTAACTTCTTTTTTCGAATATGAAGGATTTCAAAGTGAAATGTTGTTTACCAGTTCAACCGTTAGAATAATATTCTTCTTTTATACTTCAAGAATTTATTAGGCTTTCTTCCATCGCTTAAAGTAGTTATTTATTCTAAATTTGTTTTTTGAAGTCTCTCATAAAATATCTGCTTCTATTTACTTACATACTTCAAATGAATATTTACCAGATAGAATAAAATATTTACTTCGTTGTTACAATTTACTAAAATAATTTTGCATTTCGCAATTTACTTAAATGTTCAATCTTAGGATTAAACTTTGGCTTATATGATTTTTTAACTTTGGCCTTTTTCAATGCTTCGTTTCATTAGATATCATAGAATGCGTACTTTCATCCATTTAAAACAATATTATTAACAAAAACTTATAATCTACATCAATAAATAACAGAGATGAAATGGTTTATATTATCGTAGTGGAGAAAAAATTGAAACCATAAATTCACCGAAACCTATTGATCCCCTTTGTTGTCTAGTTTTAGTTTCATTTGAATTAGTTATACAATATAATTTAGTGCATCCCATGAGCTCGAGAATAATAACACGCAGTAAAAATAAACTTGCGAAAGTAAAGCTAATCTTTTGTTCTGACTGATAGATACTTATTTAAAGTAAATAGCAAACGTTTTCGCTTAAGATATGAAGGACGAATTTTAATTTGCTGTTGAAAAAATCTACTAGCACAATCCTTCTAGGATTAAAATGTGAAATAAAATTTAGCAGCTGCTATTAATCATAGGGCGATCGGTTTATTTCATCTATTTCAAGACGTCTTATTGTTAGTTAATCCTTCCGAAATACGATAAGAAGATATTATAACGAGATGATACTGATGTACAATCGGAGATCCTATATCAACATCTGTGACGGTCTTTGAGGAAAGCTCGAATCGTTTTACGTATACTGCATCACTCATTTTACATCTTTTGTCAGAAAGGATTTCTTTAATTAGTTCAACAAGATTCGCGAGACTTTCTGAATGATACTACAGAAATCGTTCTTTCGATATGCGTAGAATTGGCCGAAAGAAAAAACGTCAAATTTAAAAGCACAACGATGAATACTCCTACAGATTGTTCATATAGAATTGTTAAAAAGCTGGGCTTACACTCTATCTATAGCATTTTTCACATTTTTTACTTTCGACGTTTTTTCTTTCGGTCAATTTGATACCATTCGTTCTTGGTGACCTTTTGACTTACATTTCACTCGACATCTCAAATATTGAACCACGTCAAACAGTAACCTCTTGGTATAACTTATTTTAGATCCAAAAAGTAAGTCTCGAAAAAGAATTTCCCTTATTCGAAAATTAGTCACATAGTTTCGTCAGACTAGTACATTTTCCCGTGTATTACTAGCATATTATTTCTACCGTTTAATTCATTTTATGATACACCAATATACATCATACATTTTAATCAAATAGATTTAAAGATGAACAATCATACCACTATAATTATTATAATCTGAATTTACAAGTTCATCTTTTTAAACATACGAGGCCACTCTTTGGCTGGTTAGGAAAAAGTTTACAGGGAAAAATAACTTGTTGTAGAAGAAAGAAATGTTACACTAGTGCTTATCGTAACTTCTTCTGTCTGCCCTCTTTTTTTTTCTATTATTCTTTGAAAGTATAATTAGAAAGGAAAAAAAGATCAACCTGTTAACTAGACAATCATCGAAGTGTGATAATTCAAATACATCTTCAACATTCGTTTGTATTTATGCATAACGCATCTCTTCTTCTATGAGGTCATATATCTACGATCATTTTACTTCATGATACTTTAACTGTCTCTATAACCTGTCGGATGAAAATCTTCGATATTCTATTTTTTTCAAACTTCTACGCTAATTAACGTCCATGCGCCGCTATTCTATGTTAGCCGAAGCATCAAAACGAAACAAATCGATATGTTGTAATTCACCTGACATATAAATCGTCAATACCTGCTTTTTTTGTTTTGGCCTTATTTGCCTAAAAGAGAGAACGAAAAAAAAGAGGAAAAAGACGGGGATCACGTTTGTCTTTGTGTGATCACTGTGTCGTTCACGCGTGACAGATTCAATGCGGGTATCTTTTTTATTGCTTACTCACATACAAAAAAAGCGATTTTCATATTAAATATGTCAATCGAAGATATCGACGCAAAAAGTGTTCAACAATTCGATCCTTATCGTGCTACTGGTCTCTGGCATATCATAGCGACTAATGATAATATGTGGAAAAGCAAACTAACTCCTACAATAACTTATAGTATTCATGAAAATTTGCCAGATGGGCGCGTTCGCATGAATAATCTTGTTGAATATTATAGTAAACAACTTTGCGTTGGCTATCGTCCGACGAGTATAGAAGGTATTGACACTCAACTATCAATTAAACCAAGTCGTTATCAATGGCGAGGTAGCGGTATACTGAAACTCTTTACTAACGAATCGGGTTTCATTTTTGTTGATAACGAAACAGCACCTGATCGACCTTATCAGTGGATAGCAAAAATATATAGCCCAACAATTTTTTCTAGCGGTGGAATCGATTTAATGACTCGTACACGACACCCACCGACACATGTACTTAATGATTTCGTACAATTTTGTCGAGACGACTCCGTAATAAGACCGAGATCGGCGAATATGTTTTATACTCGAGAAAAAGCTGATAATGAAATTTATTATATAAGAGATCTTCAATTAGATTAATAAGAAGTAACGGAAACAAAAAATACAATCCTTCAGTTTTTCTATTAAATATTATTTGTATTTTTTTTAATTCATCGATTTAAAAAGTCGCGAGATTTCTCAACTAATAATTTCTTTTTCGATTTATGTGATAAATATTACCGTTATTGTTGTTTCTTTTTTAAATAATAATTTTTTATAATTCTATGTAAACAAGAAAAATTCTAACTATTGCTTTGTTTTAATAATTTTCACATTTTCTCCACAAAAACCACCAAATATTTATGAACAATCGAATTAGATTTCATAAAACACAAAATAAATTGTTCGTTCAATATCGATAATTTTAATTAAAAAGAAAAATACGAATTATTGATCGCAAATATACAATTAAATTTGGAAAAGTTTCTATTGCAATTTTTAGTAGAATTTCTTTTTATTAGATTTTCTCTTCTTAATAGAAAAATGAAATCATAAATCTTTCTTTTTCGACTCATACTCATTAAAATTCGTAGACACTTCAACTATGCATAATCAACAGATATTTACAATTCATACCTAGCTGTGCACAACTGAATTAATATTATAAAATCTCATCATCGACTAATAGACAAGCGGGTCTATTGATTTACTTTTTTTGAAGTATTATGAAAAGGAAACAAAGAGTGGCTTTTCAGTTCCTAGAGAAAATAGCAATTTCAAATGGTACTGACACGCAGAAAAGATCCTGTATCAGTTTCGGTCATGATCAAAATTCATTATACGTTTTTTAAAGAATGGCATTCATTGAACAACATAATTGTTAATGTCTATTATAGGGGAAATGGCGAGGCGGTTACACGCTTACAGGCAAAACTCTCGAGTCTATCATACAACATTGATATCTATTCAAATTTGATCTGAATATTAGTTAGGAAGCACCACATGCTTGAGAATTGTCGTTATCATAAGTATGATTAAATCCGAGAATTTCAGGGCATGCTGACCTTTTTCTTTACCAATAATTCATAAGTTAATGTTGATTTTAATAAGTATACTGACTTTTAGTTTTGACAGCTGCGAGTAAAAGAAAACAAAATGTATTACCTGGAAAGCAGGATATAATTTACTACGTTGATGTACAATCTATCTACAAGTCAGACATTTAATATCATTTTTCCATATTAAATATATGGAAAAGTCATCAAATTAAAAATATAACTTCAATTTAGTTTTCTTATCTCGAAATAGCACTACTTATAAAATTTTAATTATTATTACGCTAATGAATTCTTTTTAGTATCCATTTTGACTATACACTATGCGATACTAAATAGCAGACTATGAAGTTAAAAGTCACGCTTAAACATAAATACTTGATGTAAATGTTGCATGAGACGGCGAAAAGTTTTACTCGCAAAAACATTACTACTAATTGAAATATGCACAGGTCTATAGAAAGCTTTTTAATTTAAATAATAAAAAAGGCGACGCAATTCACTCTACTTACTTAGAAATTTATTAGGCTATTTAGATCAGTCAATGATAACGCATAAAATATACTTGTTCTATTGGTTACGCTTTTACAACAAAGAACTCACGTCTTATCTTCTAGTAGTTTTATTCGTCTTTCACATTCTCACATACCAACGAAGAGTCAAATGGCATCTATACTGTTCTCGTATTTTTCACTAATGGATCTGAAGAACAAGAAAAATGTTTCTTCATACGTGATTGTATGTTGACAATGCAAGCGAATTAAAAAGAATCTATGTTAAACAATTCTATGGAGAAGACAATCGTCTATTTTTAGTTGAAACTACTTTTAATGTAAAGATTAACTAAGGCATTCACACCAGTTTTGCATAGAATATGTCCTCTGAGTTCTAATTCTCTCTGTAGAAAATCAATATACAATAAAAAAGTATTCATTAAAAGAAATAGAACTTAACCCTTCCAACTCAAAATAGACATGTTTGTAAAGTAGATTAACTATTTGGTGATGATACATTACTTTTAACTTTTAAATTAAAAGAATCCTAGATGAATAGTAGTTTAGGCTAGTAAAAAAAACTAGCTTGTTTATTTTTCAATAGTTTGATACGATCGTTTTTGAAATAGTCTATTTATCTTTCGTCTGAGCATGCCTAGGTCCGAACGACGGAATTTCACAAGAATGTAGTTCCGCAAGTATTCGAGTTATTTTTAAAATGAGATTCTTTTTTTGTTTCGTTTTTGCTACTCTTCCACAATAATTTAAAAATTATATTTTATTTTATTATTTATTGATTTATTAGTATTTATTTACATTCACAATTTTTATTTTTATTTTACAAACGTTTCGAAAGCGTCAGCTTTCTTCGTCAGTGTGTTTAAAACAGAACAAATAGAATAATGATGCGACGAGCGTGTGATGCTATATGTTTTTTCTTTTTCTTCTTCTTATGATACTGGTACGGAAGAATGAACAAGACGGTAAACTGGACGAGATAGGTNTATTTGTTCTGTTTTAAACACACTGACGAAGAAAGCTGACGCTTTCGAAACGTTTGTAAAATAAAAATAAAAATTGTAAATGTAAATAAATACTAATAAATCAATAAATAATAAAATAAAATATAATTTTTAAATTATTGTGGAAGAGTAGCAAAAACGAAACAAAATTATAATGACCTTCCAATTAACCACAAAACAATAAGATTCTTTCCCTTCAACATAAAATTAACACATGATGCATGCTCTGTTGATTTGACGTGTTAGATATTCGATTATTCACTGAATTCTTCGAAAAATACTCTACCATTTATTTATTATTATTCTGAAGAACATTTTAATGTGTTTTTCTCCGGAATAAAATCCTAATGCTAATCAACAGCTACGCTAAATTAGAATTTCTTTTTTATCAATTACTTACAATGGAATGGTTGTTTGTTTTTGATTTAATACGTTTACACATATGTGAGTCAAATTTACGCATTCAAAATCTAGACTGTTTTTACTCTATACAGACTGAATTATTCTAATAGAGAGCTTGCGATTGAAGATTTTCTTTTCGCAACATACGAATAGATCTTATAAGTAAAGCTTGTTTCGAAGAAAAGGTACTCGAGAAATGCTAACATTTAAAAATGCAAATTATCATGGTTTGAAGCTTTTAGTTTTATAAGAAATTTATTTTTAATTTGAAGTGTATTTTTTCTTGTTTCAACTCAATGAGTTCAGTTCAACCATGGTGGAAGAGGAGACTGTCAGTACCTGGAATTTCAATTAGTTCACTAATAAGATAAAGATGCTTAATTTAAAATATTACAAGCTATGAAAGCCAAGGCTGGTCTATATTTTAAAATAATTATTTTTCAATTGGAATCGTTCGTGTGCTCCCAATAAACTTTATCCTATTTACAAACCATGTCAACATATTTTTCTTTAGATATTATAATTGAAGATTTCTTGGCATATAATTTGTCTAATGTGCCTAAACCCCTACACAGAATAGAAGCCCACCCCCTGGGTTAGATTTCTCCGTTGAAAATCAAGGTTTACTTCATGAAAAATGAAAGGATGAACATTTCTCTATCAAATAACGCAAAAACTGGCATCAGGGCATGTTTTGTTACAGAAGTATAGCTTGCGAAGCAGAGACACCACCCATGGGCTTCTATTCTGTAGGGGGATTTATTGCTAAAGATTTTAAAAGCGTGCCTCAAAATGTCAGAAGAATCTCTTGAATCGTTGTGCCAAAGTTATCGCGCTATGGAAAACGAATGCTCATACGTATGAAGACAAAAAGACAATGTAAAACCATGTCTAAATGTGAAATTTCATATTTAAGTATTTTTATCAATATGATAATTAACATTAGTAGAGATGTAAACTTAAATCTAATATAGTACCTGCTAAACAGTCGATGTTTTACATTTATTTATTTTTTTATTTTTATTTACAGTTGTAAATAAAGAAAAAATATCTAATATGAAATGTTACTACATAAACCTGTCATATTCAAGCTCGATTTTGCTCATACCTTGTACATTATTCATGTCAAGTAGAAATAACTTTTTGTTCTATAAAATTCTTCATGAATTCTTTAACAAAATTCTTATTCGTATAATCCAACGGCAATTTTTAGTTTTCTCAAGTAATCGATACGAAAGTAAGATAAACCGCTGATTAGATCTTGTGAAAGTCGGGTTTACTGTAGCAGAGGAAGTCATAATTATTTAACTATATTCGTACGAGGTAAACATTGCCAGACTCTCTTCAATTAAGATAGTTCCTTCTCTGTTAAAAACCATAATTCATTGGTTCATGCTTTAAGAATATTTTCTTCTTTCTTTGTTATATTTACATTTAATTATACGATTAACAGCAAAATATGTCTTGTGAGTGTACCGATTATTCAGAATTGGCACCTAGATCGGTACATAAGTTTTTATGAGTCTTGTGTTGCTGCAATATTCTGATCGGATTTCAGTTCTCGTAATGATTAAAGAAAGAGAAAAGCATTTATTAATTTTCTATAGATGACATTTTTATTTGGGACAATATTTCATAATTGATTTGCATGCAGAATTTCTAATATATCACTACACTAGATCATTATTTGCCAATGGACATTTTTATGCTTACAAAATAAATCTATCATATATTCAATTTCCTCATATTTACAATCATTAGAGCTTTCCATTTTATCGATTCTCTTATTTTCTTCTTCTCTAGTTCCTATCCTTTTCCTGAATGTTAATTTACTTATCATGCAATAAAACAAGCTCAATATTTCTTTTATCATACTATTCATTCATACATTTTATGAGGAACTCTCAACGAGACGAGGAAAATATTTTTTAAGTACTATTTCTATGATGGAGTATTTCTAATGAGATAAAGCGTATTTCGAAATTAAAACAATTTTCTTTCTAATTAACAATGCGTCTGATTTTTTTACAAGCAGCTGTAGATGATGTTAAAATAGAGCAGATTTGCATTAGTACACTTGTCATATTCGTGTTCGTTTAGTAAGTAGGTTGTTAGATGAAAGATTCACTTACTATTCGCACTCTCTTTACTCAAACTTATACCATAACGTTCTTCCGCCGATGTTTGCGTCCAATACATTTTTAATGAATTTTCAGAAAATTCAAACAAGCAAATTCGTTTATTGAAAAATTTTGTATCTAAGATTATACAATATCGATCGAATAGAAGTATTCATAAACTGAGATCGAATAAATTTACGTACCTCACTGGAAGTTCTTTTAAACTTTGGATGTAACAGTTTAAGCCGACTGTAATTTTGAAACTGAGATAGATTCGTTGATTAAAATTTCAACTAATAAATATATATTTTTTTTAAAAAAATAATTGTAACGTTGCTTGATTGACGCTAGGGAAGCAAACAAGATGATTATTTAGTAAGCAGACAGTTTTAAAATAGAATTTACATCGATTTTGCAATGTGATCCAAGCGATTGAATACGTTTTAGGATAGTCGACTAGTTGTCGTGAATTATTACTTATTTAACCAACTTATTTGAGTGAATATTATTCTTGAAATAGACTATTCACTGATTTATTTCAAAATCTTTTTTTGTTCTTTAAGATTTATGATAGAAGAGAAGAATGAAAATATTTAATTCATTCTATTAATATGATTTCTTTATAACTCAATTTTTTTTTGCAATATTTTTGTAAATTCATTGCTTCAACTTTTTCTCTTCCATCACAAGGACTTTCACTTCATGAAAAACGTGTCCATGTTTACACGTATCTATAGTTATATTTGCAGTTGAATACCAATGTTATAGTAATAAATCGGTTTTTTTTAAACTGCATGCTGTTCTCTCTGATTCTTCTTCACACCAATACTCTAGGCTAAGTAGAATTTTTTCATCTTCGATTTGCATAAATCACCAAAACCTTACTGCTAAGATTTCTTTCTTGTGTAATAATGAATATTGCAAGAGAAAATTTACACTTTTTTATTTATTTGGTCACGTCACCTTATATGGCCTACTTGTGAAGCATATTGCATACATCTGACATCTGAGTAGAGCTTTTAACAGATAATGTCAATGGTGAAAAGCAATGATGAGTCATCTTATTCAAATAGAAACGTTAATTGATTCAATTTACAGATATTGTTGTTGTGTGAAGCAGAAAAAAAATATTTGAGTCGCATGTCCGAAGAAGAAAAGCATTCGTTTAAAATCCAAGCGGTCAATCGGCGATTTTTACCATTCGATTTAGGTTAATTAATAGATTTTCTTTTTCTAAAGAAATATCTTGTTTTTCGTTTAGAAAAAGAAAAAGAATGGCGAGGTCCATTTTTTTTCGTGCAAGGTGCTGACTGTCAGCCAGGTTTGACGTATCGATGGACTGGTACTCGTCGAGTTGAATGTACTCCTGATATGCCTATGAAGTAATGAACCAAGAAACAACAGAATCTTGTTAGTAACAATGTTCTATTTGTATTCTTGTTTAGATGGGATGTTGAAATTGAATCCACACGTGCTATTATTGAAAAACTCAATCAAATGAACCCGAAACCAAAATTTTTTGTCGTCTGCGGCGATATTGTTGATGCGTTTGATTGTAAGAAATAACATAAGTTTTATAGGTCGGTATTTGCTTTGTTTTTTTTCGTCAATTCTAGTCGAAGAACCATTTCGTTCACAGCAAGAAACTGATATAAAACAAGTGCTCAGCGAATTAGATCCTACAATTCCACTAGTATGTGTTTGTGGAAATCATGATGTCGGCGATGAACCGACACGTTCAAGTATTCAACGATATATTGATCATTTCGGTGACGATTATTTTGATTTTTATTGTGGTGGAGTACATTGTATTGTTTTAAATTCACAATTTTATGCACATTCATCGAATGTCGAAGATTTAAAATTACAGCATGAAAAATGGCTTGATGAAGTGTTACAGGATAAACAATCGAAGCATATAATTCTATTTCAACATATTCCATGGTTTTTAAAAAACTTCGATGAAGAGAAAGATTATTTTAATATTGAAATCAGTACAAGACTTCGAATGCTTGAAAAATTTCATGCCGCGGGTGTGAAGAAAATTTTCTGTGGACACTATCATCGGAATACAGGCGGATCATATAAATCCATGGAAGAAGTCGTTACAAGTGCGATCGGTCTGCAATTAGGAAAAGATAAATCAGGTGTTCGATTAGTCCGCGTGACAGAGAACGATATTGAACACAAATATTTTGAAACAGAAGATATTCCGGCAAATTTTCTATGATGCAAGTTTTCATCGTTCATTGAATAAAACACTCATTCGAATCATGACAAAACTCTTTATTTGCTCTTGCTATGCTTGTAGGAATTTATTGGCACGTCGATACTCGAATTGTCCTATGCGAGATTTTCACACACGTATAAGCAAGTCATAAAATAATAGATAATTTATGAAAGAAAACAGATCGTCGTCATTCCGAATTAACATTTTATTTTTATTTTAAGGCCGCTGCTGTGAATGACACGGTATTCTCTTATGTAAATAATTCAACACTTGCGAACATTTTCATAACGTCCTAGAGTGTATAATTCGTTTTTTTGCAGGATCGATACAATACGAAAACAACACTCTCGAGAAATATGCTAAACACTTCTTCGCAGTAAAGGCTCATGGTAGCAGCAGTTTTGAAAATGATAAAAATAATCTTTATGATGTTTGAAAAATTTGATTATTACTTTTGACACGAGAGATGTTGAGACCTCTATGTGCATTAAATAAACAAATAGAAATGTAGAATGTTAAATTGACATTTGATATTGCAATATAAAAGAGTCGTGCATTAATTAGATGTATGATGATTATATTTTGAAGTCAAAGCGGAGTCTTTTTCTCATGTGGCGCTCGCTTGTATAGTAGAACAGCAAGCAATTCTTGATAACACTAACAGCAGGTTGGAGCAACTATGACCGCAGAGACGACTGCTGAAGCGTTGCGATCGCTCAAATGGAATCCCTGATGAGAATAAAGTGTTTTGACAAACTACAAAATTGAAAATTTTGATCCGAAACGTTGCCTACATACTGTGCCTTGTTTTACAGTAGTAATTGTCGAATATCTTATATTAAACAGTTTTCTTTCTCGCAAAGACATTTTTTTGTTATAATTACAAGTTTTCATATTATCTAATGGCTATAAAATTTGCTCATTGAAAAACATTTTCTAAATAATTTGATACATTTTCCTTTCCAGCCATTGCCATTTCTTCATTGATGCAATACAACATTCCGAGGAGAGTAATGCAGCAGCTCTTAAAACATGATTTTATCTTTAATAATTATTAGTCGCATCATATGCAAAAAGAAATGAACGTGATCTGCAACTCTCGATTATTTAGAGTTCTATTTTACTTTTTTAAAAATAAAAAAATCCTTGTGACTTATAAAAAAAATGTTGAACAACATCAACGAAATAAAATCAAGCAGGTTTAAGCAATTTGTACGCGGACACTTTCACGATACGGCAGATTCAATCCGTTGATTTTCCCCAACAATGATCTAAGAATATATAGATAGGAGATCTATTTATCCTCTAGTTTCTGGCGGATCATAGACATTGAGCTTCTAATTCAAAACAGCGAGTCTCTCAAAGAACGATGGTAAAATGTGATTTTAAGTGTAAATAGAGGTCGTGAATGCGAAGTCTCTTTCTGGTCGTTTATTCTTGTTCCGGATTGACTTTTTTGCAATATCACCGAAGAATGTCTTCTTCAACATTCTCTTCAGAAAAAAATCTGTCCTACGGCGAAAGTGTCCGAGCGAATATCTGTCTGACTCTGAAAAGAGTGCGGGATTATGCATAGATTAACTAGATATATATATATATATATGTTCATGTCTCTTATAATAAATCTTTATTCGTTATAATTATGGCTCCGATTTTCCTTGAGATGTAATGCATCACATTCGAGTTTCTAAGAAAGAAATATCAAATAAAATAATTCATATCGTTGCATTATATTTACTTTGAATGCTTCACGTCGACGATGTTCCATTATGGACTTTTCAACTCGTACCCAATATGGTACATATTCAATAGTTGAGCGAATTACTTTACATAGTAAAATTAACAAATGCTAACGAAAAACACAAGAACATCAATTAATCGAATTTTTCATAGTTCGACAGAGAGAAGAAAAAAAGCTTACTTCGATACACACAAGTATAAAGATTTCTGCAGCAAATGGTAAATCAGGTACTAATCGACGAAAAACACCGCGTGTCGAACAAAATATACAATTAATGATGATAGCTGCAAAAACCATATATTCCATTATTTTCTATACATAAACGGAGAAAAACAAAATCTCTTATGACATATTCTTCTACCAATCGTTTTCTCTACCTGCCAATGGCCAATATCTTTTACACGTTGTGAAAATGGTCGTTGATAGATCATACATAATTTAAAGGCATCTGTACGAATTTCGATTATATTATTTAATAGAGAAAAAAATGCTGCTAGTGGAAACAATGTCGATAAGAATATAATATAACCAAATTGTATAACCATCTCTAGATAATCTTCATATAAATCTTCCCATTTTGGTTGTGAACATTCGATTTCAGCTTGTGACAATGATAATGATTCAAAGGTGATGTCGGAACAACGACGATTGAGAGTATTATCTGTTAGAATATCATCAACAGCTTTCGTCGTATAAGCATTGCTATCTTTTTGTCGTTCAGCTTTATCTAACTCAGAATTTCGCCATTCATCAAGAATACGTGTTAGTTCTTTATTGAGATCTTTTCGTTCAGCATAACGAGCACGTTCTTTCTTACTCATTTGTATCAATACTGATAAACGCGCATTTGAGACTATGTATGGGATAATAGCTTCCTAAAATAAATTATTTTATTCAAAAACTCAAAATGAATTTATTGTGACGCAGAAGAAGAACATTGCAGCGTCTGTTGATTCAAAGAGAATTTTCTTTGGAAATTACAACACTAGGGAAATTAGATTGTCCCGTGGTCATTCCCTTGGGAAATTCGCAATCAATTGTAGTTATAGGTCTCTGTATAGAAAAGGTCGAAAAAACGATGTCGAATAGTAAAAAGGCAGAAAAAAACGCTGAATGTTGAAAAGATCGAAACAAGAAACGTCGAATGATAGTTTCGTCGAAAAAAAAATGCCGAAAATTTTAAAATAAGATAGCTTGGATTATTCAAATGTAAATAACTTTATTGGTGCTTTAAAAATAGAACTCGTTTAAAATCAGATCTACATGAATGTGGGTATGGATGTGCGTATGAGTAAGGATGAGGGCGACTGTGCGGGTGACAGTGAGGAACAGGTGAGCGTGAGGATGTGGGTACTCTGAACGGCAATGCCAACATCCGAACGCTCTAGATCGTCGTGTCATACACTCTAAAAAAGCTAAGTTCTATACCGAACTTAAAGGTTCAGCAAAGAATATAAAACCTAAAAACGTTCTTTCCTCGGCAGATGAGAAGAATCCTTTTGAAGGTTTCGAAAAAATTCTAAAAAGTTTCGTACCAATCGACGGAACTTGAAAAGGTTTCGCATGAAAGTACAAATCCTTGAGGCTTAGTGATAAGCCTTTTAAGGTTTTCACAGAGCCTTACAAGGTTCAGCCCGTGTGCCCGAGGGAAGAACCTCTTTTAGAGTGTACAATGGACAATCAGAAAAATATCAGAAAATAACTCCTGCTGCCAGCAGGATACAATTCAATGCTAAATTGTTTACTTAAATCATTCTCGACTTTTTCAATATTTTTGTAAGTTCGACATTTTTTGTTTCGACCTTTTCTATACCATTCGTAATTATCTTATCTATAATCCTTTAAAACGAACGTATGAATTTTAAATCTTTAATGGTCTTCTTCTTCACGAAAACAACGTTCTCTATTTTCCTTTATTGTTCCAATAAAATCTCTTACTACAGTATACTGATACTTAAATCCAACATTGCTAACTGTCCAACAAATCCTTTGAATGCGTCTAGCAGAGCAAACTTTTTTACTTTAATATTTCCCCAAAATTGTTTGATGACGAAAATTGTTGTCAATTGCTAAAATCGATCAAAAACATCATTCAGCTTGTATTTCATGATCTTACTTACATGAGACAATCGAATATATTTATGAGTAAAAAGAGCGATATAGAAAACACTAAAATATGAGTTCACGCAGGCACACTAAAATAAAGCATATTGATTTATGTAAACTTAAAAGACGACCTACAGCAAATAACTTTCCAACCATTTGATCATCATGCTTTTGTTGCTCCCGATAGTTTTCTTTAAAAAAAAATAAACATTGATAACAAATAAATGTTACATTTATTTATCACCTTTAATTGTTAACCAACGACAAACACTTTTATAAACATCACTAAATATTGTTGTAACTAATGCTAATAAAATTTTTGGAAACAATTCTGTTAATGACATGAGATCTATTTAAAAACATCGAATTTTTTTTCTTTTCGCATTTTGTAAAATAATCTATTCATACGTGGTAAATGGCCATCTTTCAATTGTCTATCAACCCAACTTTGAAAACGTATTATAAGAAGTATAAGAAATGAAACAAGTACTATGTTAATACCAATCATGGGGATTGTTACAAACAAACGAAATAATAAGCGTTTCCAACTTGGATAATATACTTCATTTTGATGTGTGACGGATGAACGACGTAATTCACCTGTATATGCTGATCGGGTTGCTTCGATTTGTTCCATATCAAGTGTATTCCATTTAAAAGCTAATTCTGCTTGCCGACGCCGCCAAAAAATAAGAAACCCTATGGCCCATATGATATTTAAAAATGCATTTATGACAAATAGTTTATCATCGAGTTCCTAAATTAGAAGAATAATAAATTATACAACTGGTATCATACTCCCTTGGATATGATTAAACAGTCGGCATCATTCAATCTCTATGAAATATTTGATACATGTAATAGCTCAGTCAATATGAGAGGATCAGGGATCTTCTGATAAGTGTGATCATTGCCGAAATTTTCAAAGTTTGTTTTCCTTAAAAACTAGTCTTTGAAACGATTATCGATGAAATATGTATATGGCATTTGTCTCTTCGCGTGTCCGAATTTTTTGTTTATAGTAAAGAGCAAGCTTCAGCGATAGTATATGAATAGTCTTTGAAACAGTAAAATACTTCATTGAACACTCAGAACTCGTTGTCCTGCAGATGTTTCAAGTATGTTACGAAATCGATAGTCGTCCATGTTAAATGGACGCATCCCTCTCAGTTGGATTGAAATTAATAATTACATAAGGTAAAAATTAGTTCGTTCGACTAGTACAGTAACAATAGAAATCGACATCGAGGTTATCGTTCACACCACGAACTTAAATAAATGTTAAAAATTTGCAATTAAATCCATGGGAATTTCTAAATGGTTTTTCATTTAGTGTCTAAGATTTTTGTAGCATAACCAAAATATCGCGAACATTTATTTTACTAATGAGAAAGTATTGACTTCTATTATTTTGTTTTCAGCTAAAAATACATCTTAGCATTAAGTGCAGACAAAAATCTGATGCTCAGCAGTTTTTTTCAATCTAATCCATAGAGATTATTTAAGCACTATTTTGGAATATCTTCATAATCCGGGCAAATACAAGAAGAAATCATCCTCATAAAACATTTTTGCAATTTGTTCTCTCTGTCATATTACTAGACTAGGATTTTCTAGATAGATTTTGCGAATTTTTCTTCAAACGAAGATAATTTTTCAATATTATGGAGGGAAGGATTTATCAACAATTGTGACTAGAAAAACAGAAAGCTCATCTTAGACGGTAGAACTGTTCTTGCTAGACAGACCAGAGGAATATTTACTTGAAGAAAAAAAATGCAATTTCTTCTACATCAATCAACAGCATTAGTCAAACTAATAATACGATTAAATTGTGAAATATTGAGGAAAACAAATTACTAAAAATAAATTAAAATTCGTAGAAGACCGAAAGAAAAATTACAGCAGCGCACCCGTTTCTCGGCCAAACTCATGAAAAGTTCTCTACATCTTTGAAATAATCATTCACACGTACATCAATTACTTATACTCCATTCGCTGTTGATTTCGAATATCAAATAAGTGCCCCCTCCCAGTTTGTCATACCTTTGAAATACTCGTACTAGCACTATGTTAACATTTTGAGAGTGAATCTACATCCTGTAGAGATTTCATCCGATTCAGTTGAATAGAAAATTTCGTAAGCTCTTCAGATGAAACTTATATTTCAATTTTTTCCCCATAGGCCCATCGAAAAATCCAATTCCAGATTGGATTAATAGCTAACTCTAAGAAATTTTCTCCTCAGTGTTTGCGATTCAGAGCAGGAAAAAGTTTCTTATTCTTACCAGAAGGTCTGTCCGATGAATGCTCTATTCGGAGCTCTGATTTTGAATTTTTTTCATCTAATTTTAATTAATAACAATTAACTTTCTTTCTGATCTTCGCGCTTAGATCTATACGAATAATTTTATCTAATTTGAGACACAAAAGAATAAATAAATGCAATTGAATCAATCGATATTTAGTATACAATCTTGGTCATTCTATGATTATCAATTTATAGATTTTATTCAAAATAAAACAGTGCCATGCCCGATAAACTCTAGATGGATACATTTTGAAGACTATTTATTTGCATCAATCGGCTTATTAATAACATTAATGATAACAATAAAAATTCATTTAACTGAAATGCGTTTTCGTGATTATTACGCGTTATTTCGTTGTCATATTATGAATTTATCACTAATATGCTTATTTTTAACAACATTTATATTTAATATTTATTCCAATGATAAAACATGTAAATACGAACAAATTTCTGTGCAGTATTGTTTTTTAATTATTCTCACAAATATATTTCTCATGAGTTTATTTCGTATGTTTAAAAATTCCTTTGTGAGAAAATTTCGGTTTATTCTATTCGCTTTTATTATTGCTTTAATTACACAAACATTAATTACCATTGGTTGGTTATCTATAATTAAAAATAAACATCTAAATTACCATCACCGATTTTGTTTTCATCGGATTGAAATCGATCTATGTTTACATGGACAAATGCCATTATTCTTATCAACTATTTATCTTCCAATTATATTTATTTTAACAGCATTGAATATCTACTTTTTTAGTAGGCCATTCGCCATTGCGCAATTACTTGAAGCAATTATATCCTTTATTGGAATTTTAATCATCGGAAGTATATGGTATATGAGTCTATTGTTTTCAAATTATCCACAGATACCTTACAGATACGTTGCTTATATCTTTTTATTAGCTTATATGCTGCCAAGGTAAATTAATAATGGAACAAGAGCATATCAAAAAGGGTCAAATCGCCTGCGTCTAAATTTTATATAATCAGTACGTAGTAGGAGTCTTTGGCTGAAAAAATGTAGAATATGCATCCGATTTGATGAGCGCTTCCGCATAGTACCAATCATAGACCGAAACCCAGCCGAGTGGACTTTTTCAAATATGTGTCGAGCCGAGTTTGGTTTTGTGAAACTCGACGTTTTTTTGAAGTTTTTACTATTTCTTTCAACCGTGTCTCGACATTGGCATGATACAAATCTCACTCAGTGCAGTGAATTAATCGAACAGAAAATACGACAAATAAACGGCGATGGACTGACGACGTCCAGTAGACAATAATGAATGACATACAATGACTTTCATTGTATTCAATACATCAGGTTCTATTCACCAATTAGTCACACAACAATGGATTGACCGGGTGGATTCTCGTTTTGTCGAAATTAACACCGCTAACGCAAATTACTTCAAAGCATATCAAAGCAGTAGGGGTGTGGGTGTAGGTGATTTTTCGACGAAACAGGACCTAACCAATCGGCTGATCACGGATATATATATAATTGTTGTTATTGTTGTTGTTGAAAAACCCTGCTATTGTCAATTATTATTATTATTGAAAAAAATCTGCTTTTGAAAATTCGTTGTTTGAGTCGAGCCGGACGTTTTTTGGCTCGCTTCGGTCTATGGTACCAATGGCTGCGAATGATAATTTTAAATTCACATCGTTTTGCCTTTCTCGGTATTACATAGGGAGAATGAGGATCGTAATATGCACTGATAGAACATTCTAGTAATGACGGTTTAAAAGGAAATCTGTTCGATATAGTATATTCTTAGACGTGAAAGTCGTCGTGTCTTGAAGAATTAGATATTATCGAAATACTATATCAATCTGATTAATTCTGTGAAGATTGAGTAATAATTGATCCGATGTAATTAAGTTAAAAACGAGACTTAAAGTTCGATGTAAAGTTTAGAAAAGATTAGAAACTGCTTTCTTATTGACAACGCAATCTTTATTTTGATTGGTTTATTGATAGCAGATGGAATCCGTTCGCACGTTTTAACAAATCGCCTGATCGTGCTTTGTCACAAGTTTAAGCCGCAAGACAGAGCTGTTTTCGTTCTCTCAGATCACACCTTTTCACTCACGAGGGAACGTGTCCAAGTGATACCAACTATTCGAGCTCATATTGTGCTCATAAGTACGACCCAGTGAGACTAGAAAAAGTCTAAAAGATTTCGTGTCATTAGGCCTTTCTTTCAAAGTTATGACCGTTTTCCTGAATTTTCGACATTGGACAAGGAATTTTTCGAACTGAAATTTTCCCTAACAATAGGTCTCATCGATGTTAGAAGGTTTCAAATTTTCCGTGAAAACGGATGCATCATTCTCAAGATATTGAATATTGAAGAGAAGTTAATTTTACGACATGTTTTTTGGAAAATGGCCGTTTTCATCAATATTCAATATCTTGAGAATGATGCATCCGTTTTCACTAAAACTTTTGAAACCTTCTAACATCGATGAGACCTATTGCTAGGAACAATTTCAGTTCGAAAAATTCCTTGTCCAATGTCGAAAATTCAGTAAAACGGTCATAACTTTGAAAGAAAGGCCTAATGGTACGAAATCTTTTGAGGCCTTTTCTAGTCTCACTGGGTTCTACTTATGAGCACAATATGAACCCGAATGATTGATATCACTTGGAGACGTTTCCTCATCAGTAGATAACAGCACTTAACATCAAATTATTAATATATGCACCGCGTTTTTTTTCAAGAGCATTTCGTTGTATTCGATGTCGTGTTATTACTTAGCCATATTCTATCGCGATGATGAATACACGATATAACCAATCTATTTAACGCATGAATGATTGTACCTATTGAATCTAATCCAGGGCAGATTTTTCCTACGCCCAAAGCAACAATTTCTAACAACATATTTTTTTCTGCTTAGAGTATGCATTTCTGAATTAGAACGTTCTCGTATAACAGTTGAAGAAAAGAAACCACTGCTACATGATGAGGTTCAATTTCACAATGGAAATTGTACAATTCATTTTACTAACAATGATGATGATGATGAAGAAACAAATATTCCCGTACGCCAAATAGATCGATCACAACTCAATTCTGTGAATAATCATGCAGTTATTCGTACAACAGAAATGTCGCCTGGGGAAATATTTTCCAAAATGCTTGATAAACAAGGTACACAATCTGGAGGATATCTATAAAAAAACAATCTACAAACCTGATTTCGACCTGTGTCAAGCCATATAATAAAACCATAGAGCGCTGGGAAACAAAGTGCTTTTGTGTAAAAACTGCATAAAAGAAAAGTGTATCATAAGAAATAATGTGACTTGCTCTATTTTCGTTTGTTCACAAACCTAATCCAACAAAAATAAAAGGCAATTTTAACACCGAAATATTTTCGAATATCGTCTACAAATGAGAAAAATAAATTTTGTGACAAAGAAGTCAACGATTCAACGTTATCTTTTACCGATAGGTTGACGTTTAAAAGCTGTATGAGGCCAAACCCATAGATCTCGAAGACGATTTAATGTTTCTTTATTATGCAATGGAATTACTTGTAGAATTAAGTTTCTGTCTAAACTATGTTGTACTGAAGGCAAAATAATATCATCCGTAGCAGGTGATTCGGTTAGAAAATCTTATGAATTACTTAATGATTGATCTATTTTAAATTCGATTCCACTGATTTCTTGTTGATGAACAATTTTTATTGAATACAGAAGATATTGAACGATCGATTGTCGTTCTTGAGAAGTAAAAAATTTATCCACATCTTCAAAACCTTCAGTAACAAACGAAATTATTCAAAAAAAAAAATATTCATTGAATAATTCATTTTTACCTTCATAAAATTCTAATTCATCAAAGAAAAAAATTTTATATCCACCACCAAATTCTTGTTTAATTGGTTTTTCTAATTGAAGCTCATCGGCACCTTTCAACAGCCTGTACGCAGTAGAAACTAGTCAGTCTTACAAGAATATATACATGCAAAAACTCCGCCTTTACAAAAAAAAACAATTTCCACAGTCTATTTGAAATTCTACCAATGCTTGCTAGAAACATCAGCACAAGATTGTTCTATATTGAAAGCAAACTTGACAGACACAGCAACTCCTGTTTATCGATTCAGAGATTTTAACCTGAGTGTCTTATCAGCAAGTTTCCTTGTAGACAAATAATGGCACTAGATAAAGCCAACCAATCTGACATGTGTCGGAGAAATCAATATAATTTGCATTCTCAATTAATCGAAAGAAAATTATTTCAAGAACAATATTCAATTAAAATTTGTTCATGCAAAATTCCAAACTCGTGCATGATTATAATGACTGGTATCCATTCCTCTCGCATTATGCAAGCTACGATAAATATTCACCTTTCGTAAGTAAATGTTACATAGAAACCATAAACACCTATGCAAATAACAAACACAGGCATATTTTTTTATTTATAGCATAGAGAAATGTGTTGTTTTCACCGGTTGTGAAATGATATTTAATCGAAATGCGAATATCAGGCGCAAGTTGAAGTAATTGTTCAAGAAACCAAATAATAGTATAATCATCAATGCGACTCGGAAATGTTAGTAAAACATCACAGTCATAATTCGTGTGAGCATTGAGCCATAAACGATTGGTAATGACTGATGAAAAGTGATTTAATCTTCGACGAAATAACGCATTAACTAAAACAATATCGGATTAAAAAATGTCAGAAAGTCAAATAGACTAAGCATTCTTTTTTACGTCTGCCATTCGTCAGTTGTTCATCTATCGTTTTCTTTTTATTAGCTGCTATATTCATCTAAATAAAACACGATCTAATAGGTTTGTTTTTCTTCTTGAAATACACAAATATCAATGAAAATGTTGGGTATATATGACACAAAAAAAAAAACTTTTTGTTCTCAATCAGATCGTTGAGATGACAGAGAGAAAAAACAGAGAAAAAAGTGTATTGCTGACTAACCACCACCATCAGTTTAACAAAAGGAGACAGAAAAAAAAGAAAAATGGATTGATTATGATCTGAACGGCGTGTTTGAAACTTAATGGTGGCGAAAGAAACATTTCATATTGAACTTCCTTTTTAAGCAGCGCAATATCTTTAATTTGTATTTGGAAAATACAAAGTAGAATGTTAAATTTGTTTTTCTTTATTTTTGATCCGTTTTAATCGCACCAACAAAATCCAAAATAAGTTGTTGTAATTCATTGGCTTTCAATTCACTTATACGAATAACTTCTTCATGAACAGCTTCAACTGTTGAATCATATTCTGATAAACATTTATTTGTAATTAATGCAAGACCAAGTATACGAAAGCCACAATGAGCTGCTAATGTAACTTCATGTACTATTGACATGCCTGCAAAAGATTTATTCCGGATGTTAAAATGTGATAGAAACGGACTAAGATTTATTCCGGTCTAATGAAAGCTAATCAAGGTTTCCCTCTATAATTTCCTTTCAAACTATGTCAAATAAGATGTTTTCCAGTGTTTTATCCAGGTTTTTCACTTCGGGAGGGCGGACAAAAGTTTTTTAAGGGGTGAACTACCATGAGTAATATCGAGTCTATTATATTGATGCGTTCAAAAGATCTGTTTTTCGTAAGTGATATAAACGTTGATTATTTACTTCATTTTTCTCGGGAGAGACAATAATCGCGGTCTTCAGAAGGGCAAAATGTCCCTTGCCATTCCGCTGGATAAGGCACTGATCTTTTCTGAATACTAAATCAAAAATAGATTTTCTTTTTTCTTACCAACAGAGTCGCCCCCAAGCGATCTAAGCATATTGATTTCTGCTATAGTTTCATAGCAAGGTCCACCTGACAAAAACAAATAGTTAAATCATTGAAGTTGTGATATAGAAATGTTTTTCTTTACCTAATCCACAATAGACTCCTTCACGTAATTCAAGATTATGTTTACTAGCAATTTGTTTCATTTGAGATGAATATTGGCGATCATATGCATGGCCAACAGGTGGAAAACGTGGCCCTTTGAAATGATATTTTTCAAATCAAAAATGAGAATTCAAAAAAAGAAAAGATTTTCCTACCGAATCTAAAATAAAAGAATATAGAAAATAAAACAGAAAAATTTATTTTCCTACCGTTCATCATTATGGCCAATAAGTGGATTATTGCCAGCCATACTTGGAAAATTCAAATGATCTTTAATCAACATGATATCACCAACATCATAATTTTTATTAACACCACCAGCAGCACTAGCATTTAATGAAGCAAAAAAAGTAAAAACAAAACTTGATATAAAAATCCTACCAAGTAACAATTAATGTATTTGCTCCAAGCATATGCATGACTCGAACTGGAAAAGCACACTAACAATAATAAACAAAAAACAGCATTTTTTTATGATGCTTAATTTCACAAGGTTAAACCGTTGTAGTAACATTTGTTTTATAAAATTATAATTTTTTAAGTGCATCCCTGGAAATATGCGATGGTAAACCTGTTTTTTTTTATTCCTTGTTTATATAAAAAGAAATATTTTGGCAAGCGCAGTAAAAACATGTTTTAAACGCTCTTGAAGTGCTGCGTTGAGTAGCCTTTTTATTTATATTATAATGTCTCGTTTAACAAGAACAGGTTAATAAAGCACCATAGAGATATTTCTGTCACGATGTTCTACACAATAGAAATAGTGTTTTCCTTTTACATAACTGTATGTTTGAAAAGATCTCAAAGTTCTCGATTGTCATATAGGTCGCTCGTACATTAATTAAAACGTCAAATGTCTTCGAAGATAAATTGGGTAATATGACACAGACACTCAATTTTTTTATTTTGTTTTTTATCGATAGAAAACGTCGAGGGTACGCGGAATATGAGTCTGTTTTTCTTGGCCTGGTTAAAAAAATATTTTCCTTCAGATAATATATTCCTGATAAAGTCTGTCAACAATAATTTCGAGAGACAAATATCAATAGTGTATTAAGCTAATCAAAATTTTCTGCAAATTAAGCAAAAAATGAAAACATAATTACTGCTGCTGTACTATATCCTTCATAAGGATGAAATCGACCTTGCATGCAAACAACAGAAACTCCATTTAATATTCCAAAAATAAGGTTGCTTCGATGACCAACAACTAAAACAATAGCAGAATAGAACCAGCGTGTGTCCGATAGAAATCTTTCTAAATCTACCTGTTGATCGAGGAAAATGTGGGATGTTAGCATAAGGAATAACAGTTTTGTTGGTAACTAATTCAGCTAAACCACCGAGACCAGAACCACATATAATAGCAACTTCAGGTTTTGTTGGAACAATATTTTGAATGAACGCAACAATTTCTTGTACACGTTCATATGTATAAAAACTAGAGACAAAAAAAACAAAACAACTATTGACAACATTTTTTATTTTAGGAATAAATTTACCGATTAGTAACTGCATTTGGATGTTCACCAAACGATGCCCATGGACCATTTTCAGCAACGGGTGCTGATTCAATCGTTGATTTTGTACTATTCGACATTATATTATCTGAATTGGGATTAGCTCAAAGTATAATAAATAGAAAAACAAGTCCATTACACACATGTATTTATAGACAGATAAATCTTCTAGTTGACAATGGGAATAAAAACATATGGAAGCAATCATCTGATGATCAAATCTGTTGTTCGCAGTTTTTTTTCCTCCTTCTTCTTCTCGATACACCCCTTTCTCTCTCCCCATTCGTCTCTCTCTTCTCTCAATCATAATTCTGGATTGTGTTAATCTTTAATAACTCTATTTTACAAGCTTAATATGTATGAGAAAATATATTAAAATCATACTCAAGTATTTCGTATGTCTATGAAATGCTTAGATTTTATTGCTCAGAACATAGAAGACAAGTGACTGATTACGACTATGGGGGTGTGGATGTGACTCTACGCACACAACGAGAAATAAAGAAAAACAAGTTTTTAATAAATTGTTAATTTCATTGTATGTATAAGTTTTAACAGATGATTTAACAAGATAACAAACATTATTATTTTTGAAATAATTAACAAAAGTTTCAACAAACATTTACGTTTTGGCTATGTCTAATAATAATTTCTATCATCGTTCTCTTCTATTGAGCAATACCAAGATGAGTTTGTATGGCATCAATAAAATCTTGTTTTTTAGTACCTGATGCTTTTAATTTTTTCTCTCTGCAATAATCTTTTAACATTGGTATTGTCAATTTAGTTAACTAAAAGCACAAGAGTTAACTTTTATCACGTGCCTTTATTCATTGTTTTCACTTACCAGATTACTCTTTGCAGCGGCTTCGACATCCACATTTTCATCGTCTTTTGATTTTTTTGAGTTAGCAGGCGAAGTGCCTGATTCCAACTGGACAAAAACAGAAAATAAAATAAACTTATTAGATTAATCTGTGCAACTATTGTTATTCGTAATAAAGATAGATTTACACATCTATTTATAGTTCTTTGGTTCGAAATTCCTTCAAGTATCGATGAAAACGTGACTGATACAAAAAAGCATCAAATAATTTATTACAAGGTTGTAAATCATAAGCACGTCAAAAATATCAGACTCTGAATGGAATTTATACGTAAAAATCCTACAATAAAATGTATCAAACTAGAATTCTCTTTTTTTTTTTATCTATGAATTATAAATGCCATTAATTAAAACGATCGATTTACAACATTTTCATTTTCCTACTAACAAATTTCAATTGTACGACCTTTACAAATTCTATTACTGCGATAGCAGTTGGACCATAAAGAATCGATCATGAATAGTGCAAACATCTATGGCATAATCTAAGTGTGTGCTCTATCAAAAAAAGTTTATTGTCAGCTAAAAATAATATCTATATTCAATCGTCCAACTACGATGTCGTATTCGCTGTAGAAATTTAGTTATACTACACACTCATCAAGAAACAGAAAACAAATTAAACGTTAATCGATAGAGAAATTTCTATTTCTAGACTCATAAACTGCCGTTTCAAATAAGTATACGCCTTAGATCATTCGACCGAGCTGAATTTTGGCACATGCACGACCTTGAGATATATTTAACACAGAAATGCCGCTTCAAATATTTTACCATTTTTGCAATGTTCACGTTTACGTGATAGAGTAGTTTTCAAAGTTCGGAATTTTTATTGATAAGAATTGTACAGAGCAACACTATTCTTTCCATTGTATCAAAGTCCTTCAGTCAGGTCTGTTTTCAAGGTTTTTCTCTTGTTGTTAACATTAGAAATAATTACAAATTTCCTAACGGATAGATTAAAACAAAATCTATATTTTCCACCTCCAAGAACTTTGAAGAACTAAAGTTCTTTTGTAAAACACTAAGAATATAGAGCAAACAATTTCCTAGAGCATTAAATGGTTTTCAGGCTACATTGGCAGTTCTTTTCATGTTGTATGAAAACACAATTATTGTGCCTTCCATTAAGTTAATGTATCGCGGCAAACTGAAGAAGAAAATTATTTTCTATCATTCTTCGTAATTCAAGTTGAAATACGCTTGTAAACTTCAGGCAATCAAGAAAAAAAACTCTCTATTCAACTTACTCTTTAACTGGTTCTCAAAGATGCAAAAATAAAATAAAAATAAAGTTCGATAATTAATTCTACGTCGTCATGTTACAAGCGAAAGAAAACGTTCTCCACTCATTTAAACATACATCTTATCGATCGCTAAATACATATTTATTTGAACTCATTTCGGAAGTTAGTGCGTCGCAATATTTTTTTTGAATATAAAATTATGACAAACGGTTACTTTTTCAAAAAAAAAAATATAAAATACTTCAGTTGACAAGAAAAAAGAGGCGTGACCTTTTTTCCCTATGATTTTACTTATATATATATATATATATATATACATACATGAATAAGAAAAACAAATCACAACCACAAACTGAAATTCAAAGTACAAATATTCTTTCTAAAAACGAGAACATTTACGTTTAGTGCAAATTATGTTTCATTGTCGTTGTTATAGCAACAAGTGATTGCGAAATTCAAAAAACATATAAAGTGTTTTTCTGTATCGATGATGTGTATTAAAAATATTCTTGCAATTCTCTATCTGAAAAATAGAACGATGCTATGCTCATCGAACCTAATTCTTATATTCGAAATTTGAACTTATCGCTTATAAAGAGATCTTTTAAAAGTCGAGTTTTGCTCTGTGAATCGAGAGAAATATTTATGCTAGTGGTAAAATTAGAATTTTAGCAGCTATTCAAAACGGAAAGTATTCTCAGTGAAAAATATTATTCATAAGGAAATAAAACTGACATTGGATATTGTCCCATGATGTTAGTGGATGCTAATCATGTGAAATTATTGAGAAAGAATCTTCCACGATAAAACTCTCAAACATAAATTCCGAACGCCATACTTCAAAAAATATCTCGTTTAGCTCATTCGTTTCGTTGAAGTAAAAATTCATAGGTACCTTTCGTTTGGCTGCTGATTTTTTCGTTGCGCCCATAACATAGCCAGGTGGAAAAATCATTTGTTTAAGCTCATCGACAAAGCCAGCAATTTTTCGATTTTGATTTTCAACACTTGGAACTGTTAAATCAATGAATTCATCGGGTTCGCCTTTATTCAACGCTGTTGCCTCGATATTTCTCCATAATGTTTGTAGTGCTGGATTTTCAAATCTATCTGGACGATATTTAAATTTCAAGCCGCGTATAACACTTTTAAATAGATCGACTTCATCGGTGGCTGCACGTGATGTATCATTTTTAGGCAAATTTCGCATGTCATCTGCATATGGTAAATAATGTACATGGAAACCATTGGATGCCATTCGATCATTTTTCACTTTTTTATTTAATTCTTCAGCTTGTGGAATAAGCGCAACTAAATAAGAAGTAAACAAAGAATTATTAACTGTTTTATTGTTTCTATTGATTTGTTTTCTTTTTACCAAGACGTGGTGGTGTATTTCGTCGAGCTGAAAATTGACATAGGATAAACATTTGTTTTTCCAAACACTTTTTCAGTAACCCATTGAATAAACATGAACTTCCTTCAACATATTTTTCATCGGGATATATGAAATGGCCTGGTTTAACATAATGATGTGGTTGTAAACATGAAAGACTTTTAAAACCAAGTAATTCAAAACCGGGATCACCGAATTTTTTGATCGCCTTTATTTCATCAGTATCGAATAATATTCGACGATTTGATACATCTAAACCATATTGAATATCAGACGGCATAAGAATTTCGGCTAGAAAATAAATAAATAAATAAATAAAGTTGAAGAGACTATTCGAATTTTCATGTAGCAAAAACCTGTTTCAGGCAGATAATGTTTCGTGACAATTTTTGTTTCCAAATTGGTTTTCATATCTAATTTGATTTTCGTTGGTTTTGGACAAGGACGAACCTATTAAAATAATTCATCAAGATTTAATAACTACTTGATGCCAAGAATTTTTTAGTTTTTTGGTTGACGAATAAAACGATAATAAGAAACTTGCCAGGATAGAAATAAACGTAGATTGTCATTCTTTGATTACTTAAGCAGCTGGACGCTTTGAATTTCCCTGCAAGCGACTAATACTTCTCATCTCATATTTTCTTCTATACAAACATCAGAGAAAAACCCGCGCTCTTAGCTACTCTAGAAACGAGAGTTTTCCATCGAGCTTATTAGAAAACAAAAAGAATAATCGTGACGCTGTAGAATTATAAGACAAGCAAAAGGAATCATACGGAGCATTTGCTTACGCTATTAAAAATTTCTCTTACACATGCAATCGTGTCTTCGTGTAATGTGGCGGATTTTTATGATTCCTAAAAGCGGTCTTAGCGATTTAAAAGCCTATTGAAGACTGATTGTATTAATCATCTTTTTTTTTTAGAGTAAAAATAAATTAGGATGTAAATTTGTGTTGATCCTGTCAATAGAAGAAAACATCTTTATCCCAAAACGGTCCATATATTTCTCCCACAAGAAATCAACGAATCTAAATGCTATGGGGCGTGCAAACTATCAATAGGAAATACTAATAAAAACTTCTCTGTCATCTCAGCAAAAAAAGTCAAATATTTGCCTTACGAGCTTGAGAAGAGACGATTTTTACTAACGTATTCAGTTGTGAATCCGCTTCATACTAATGATGTTAACTTTTTCATATGTTTAACTGCAGTATGTTCTACAATTTGGATAACAGCAGTCCTTCTCGATGATGGTATCACATATTGCATGTGTTGCATTAACCATTTTTTTGCACTGAATCAAGACTATTTTCTATAACGCAAGTCAAATAGCTTTCAACTCTAAACTAAACTCTTACTATTGGCGCATTTTTTAAAGAAAACTAATGAGCAAAAGAATTACAATGTCCTGACGAATCACTGATCTTAACAAAATAATGTTTTTCAATCCGATCATGAATAAAGAATGGCTTTTTCTTAAGGATTGAAACTAATTATTTTCTTTCTTTTATCAATGATAAACCAAAGTTTCACTTTTTTTTTCTAGTAAAAACCTAATTAAATTCTGTACCATATTGTAAACTGAAACCGAAAATTCCAATGGTGTACCGTCTGCTGCTTTGCCCAATGAAAATGGCACCGTACAATAAGCACGTTTTTTATGTTCTTTTGAATAAACAAGTTTTAACAATTCATTTAATCTTCCAGTTGGCTCCTGATTATTTCTAATATCAAGATCTTCGTCGCTTAACATAAGAACATCTTGAAAGAATTTTTTAAAATCAAATCTTATTATTGTTTGAGTTAGAATTGGAAATACTTCTAATTCTATTCCAACATCATTTAAATCTTTTGCACGTTGTTTAGCTTGCCGTTCTAATGTTAAATTTGACGCATGAGGTTGATCGTTACACGTGAAGATAAATATACGTTTAATAGTTAAACGTTGTGGTGAATTAGAAAACAAATTTGAACATGTCCACAAAGCTTCATTTAGCGAATAGCCTGTCGCTTGAGTTGAACCAAATAATTCATCGTATTTTGATTTATATCGACTTTGTTCTGATAGATTTTCTAATTGTATAATACGTTCAGCAGATGGTTGCGCCAATTCGTGGAGTATATAAATATGTTTAAAATCAAATGCATTAAGACTGTTTTCCGTTCCATAGAGAATAATACCACTGAGATCTTTATCATTGGAGATTATTTTCGATTGATAGAAACGTTGGCAAGCACGCATAACTAATTGAAAACCAGTTGTTAATTGTGCATCTTCATCATCGTCATCAATCACTGAATCTTGTTTCATTTGATTAGCTAGTGGCTCAAACATTTGAGGTGCACATTCAATCAACATCAAGGTACCATCGCGTGATGTTGTAATCTAAATATAGAAGGAAAAAGTATTTTTCCTATTTAATCGACCATCATATGCATCAATAATATGTTTTACTTGTCGTCCTTGTTGATTATCCTCGTGTGCTTCATCGTCAGCAGCACCGCCGGTACCCCAGTTTTGATCTAGTAAAGACATCTGAAATCAAATCACTAGGTTAATACCGATTTTTCAAATTTAATTTAATGAAATAGAACGCACTGTGAACAAAGACACGAAAACTAAGTTATGATTGGCGATCCAAGCTAGAGATTTTTCCGAGAAAATAGAGCGAACGCCAATGACATCTGCTGAGACAAAAGTCAGCTATAGCAATTGGAAATATGTCTGACTTTCGTCAACGGATACTGATATCGAATATGCTAACGTGTAAAATTCTAAGAAATTCATCTATGAGTTGATATCTGACTTTCGAAATGATAGAGAATGTTTTTTTTCCTTTTGTTTGAAACAAATGACCGCTACGCTTCACTTCCCATTTATTTGATTTTAAATGATTTGACTCAACAACGTTTTAGTCCATTGTGACATGTGTTGGTTCACACGATAGAATCGCGATGACATTTGCCGTCGATTGTTATTACTTAGGATAAGTTATTTTGAACATAACAAATATGTTTTAGTCATATTATGACTAAATGTGTATGTATTCTAGTTGAAATGAAATCCAAATACCTTAATATGTTAGAAATAAATAATTTTTAAAGATTGATCACACAAGCAATTTCCTCAATCAGTAAATCAACATATTTTCGGCAGGGATCTTTTAACGTTAATCGCATGGACAATCTTCTCTTGCAGAAGATTGTCCATTTCTTAGTGCAATTCATATTTGATAAATTTCGAAATCTATTTTATGATAAAAAATAAAATATTTTCAAAAGCGATATATTATAATTTATATTGGGAATAGAAACAAGCACATGTTTTATTTTTGTATTTGTTTACGAATGGATTGATTGTATGAAGAACTTCAAGCAAGTGATAATTGTTGTGGAGTAACAAGTGGTGTTGTATTTAAATAGCTTGTATCGATATCCCAGCTATGAGGTCGATCGACTTCAGCATAGAAATGACGTTGCGTTGATGCGATTGTATTATGATAATCCATTATTTGTTGTTCTTGTAGCGGTGTTTCCAATGTAATTGGCCGTATAAGACGTAAATGGTTGACGATGTAATCTGGCGGAGCTTTCCAAAGAGCCAAAAGATAACATCCAATTAATACGCCAGCGCTTCCTTTACCACGAGTACATTCGACAACAATACCCTGAAGAAAAACAAAAAATTACAACTCAACGAAATAACAACTAAGAATGAACCTCTTCACGGTGCTGAGCAACATCCATTCGATGAACAAATTGTTGACATTGCTGCATTGTTGGCGCTCCACCCTCAGGAACATGATAAGTTTGAACATGTAAATCAGCTCGAGATTGATTCGGTATGTCAGAACGATAAGAATCAGTTATAGAAATAACTGTATGAATACGTTGTTCAAGTAAATATCGAATATGTGATGCATGAAATGGGTGCGCACATATAGCTAAACGTTTATCTATTATCCATTGAAAATAGGGTGGTGTAGACGATTGAATGCTCATGTTGATCGTATGTTTTCGAATAAAATTTATTATTGACAACAATATGATCGTATGAAAAATTCTTCGTTCTTTATCGATTGTCGTTGTTAAGCTACAGCCTCCTCAGAAATCAAATGTAAAAGATTTTTTTTCTAGATTGGCCTAAAAATGAATAGTAAAAAAAGCTTAATAACGATAGGTTCATGTGGTTATTATTTTTAAATTTAGTAGTTCTAAACAAAGAACGATGTTTTCTTTAAAGTTTCTGAATAGTTGAGACAGTGAAGATCGAAAATGTGTGAGAAAAATATTTTCTCTCTTACAACACATCGTAAAATCAGGAGCGCATGGTCTTGATTTCAAGGTTTTGTTTTGTATTGTGCATCACTATTTAGTATTAAATCCTAAAACTATATCTAGCAGGTGCTTATCATTGCTGAAGAATGTTTTCCAGGTTGAGTCTAGTCGATTTACTCCGAGGGATCATCCTCTAAAAGTTACACACAATTATAACTTGCCTGTCGTCCGTATTGTCTCAGGAAATGTATTGACGTTGGTTGGCGGCAGAATATCAATAGCCGATAAAAATATATATGAAATCTTCACGAGAGTCTATCGAACGTTGATAGGCTTCTAACAGGATGATTTATTTTAAAGTTCAATATTAGTATAAATAGAAAAGCGTAAACATATTTAAAAAGATTTATGCAAGTACGTTTTGTCGGAACATTATTTTTGGTGCTGTATTTGGTACTTCCGGCAGCTGATTGATCATTTGTATAGCTGCGTCTGCTGGTGTTTCGATTCGAACATTTCGAGCTCGAATTTCGGTTGTAATAGAGTTTGTAAATGAATTAACGAATTCTTTTACATTTCCTCCTTTGAAATGATTATATTTGTATTCGATGAGTCGACATATTCTTCTCGTTTTTTTTCTATTTTTATCTCCTAATTGAATAAAATGGCCAGTTATGTGAAGTTTTTTTGTACGCCATACCACTTCTGTAGCACGTTTTGATTCCGGTTGGCCAACATTATTACCACCATCAGTAATAACAATAAGATATGGTGCTGATATTTGATTGCCAAGTATTTTTTGTGTTTTATCAAGTTTATCTAGACAGAAATCAATCGAATCGAATAGCGCTGTATCTTTTCCTTCGAATTTTAAATCTTCCAATAGTTGTAAATGAGTCTCATCGATTGTTTCGAAATCAAATTTCATTGTTGTAGATGTATCAAAAGTATATAAAGAAATTTTATCAGTCATTGAATTCATTCTGAAGAAAAGGAAAATTTCGATTTTTCAATAAAACAAAATCTTTCATGTTTACTTTAGCTTGAAAAAGTCGTTTAAAAATTGTGTAGCATACGTAAACCGACTTGCACCTAGAGCAAAAGGAAGTAAACTGTCGGAATACCACATCGAACTGCTAGTATCAAGTAGAATAAGATAATAAGTTAGAGGTAGCTCTAATGATAATCGATATTCGTCGACAATTTTCAACAGCGCATAGTTCACTGTTAAGTTCTCTTCGTTAATAATTTGGCCGCATTCTTTTCTTGGACATTGTTTCCCAATACATTCACGGTCAAAAGAAAATCCACAAGTTCTATGAACAACAGGATTTTTGTACAATTGCTTACAAACTTGACATGTAAAACGGTCTACGCTCGCCGCCATTGCGATAAAATTTAAAATGATAATGTCTTATCTATTTGATACTCTTTTGTTTTTGTCGTTCTTGTGTAAGATTAAACGTGTTTTTTCCAACACTATCATCATTTTAAAATCTCCTATTTCTTTTTGCCGTTATCATTATAGTTGAAAGATGGCTTTTTCCGAGAATATCGTCGATTTTAAATGTCCTATTTGTCTTCGCCGTTTTCATGATCCTATTATTCTTAATTGTGGACACACATTTGATCGATTATGCATACAACAATCGTCACGTTCAATACGTTCGAATCTATGTCCTCTATGTAACTCTAAATTTGATCCAGCAAGTGCTTTGATATCGGACAGGTCTTTAACTAACCTTATTCAGTATGTGCCAACATTTGAATATTTTTTAATTGATATAAAATCTCAGCAACAAAAAAACGACGCTCTTTCATTTCTTAAACGTGTTTTCGATACAAGGTAAATGGAAAAATAATCTATTGGGAGGAGAAAACAACGATCTGTCTGTTGATTTTAGAGATGTATTTGAAACTGATTACATTGTTTTTCAAAGTCAAGATACAACAATTGAATTGAATCCTAACACAAAGTTTGATCAAGAGTGGAATCTAAAATCTGTATCAAATTTAAATAGTATGATACAAAAAGCATGTGTTGATTTACAACAACGAAATGGTCTTCGAAAAATTTGTATTCTTACCGATGGATTAACAAAACATATGGATTTAACAAAAATTGATTCGAATATAATTAATCAACGGGCTATTGTTCATATCGGAGAGAAGAATGCTTTACGCACACGACAAATTGCTGATGAAATCGATTTTCATTTTGAACATTTTAATGAGAAAACACTCGATAGTTATGTAAAACATTTTATAAAGAATTTTTAAACTTTTTCTCCATTAAAACAGCCTAATTAATAGATTTTTGAATTTTTTAAAGATATTAGAAAAGTGAGTATAGGTCCTATATTGACTACAATGAATGTTCGCACCGATCACTCTTATTCTTGGAAACTCTATTTATGAATAGCAGAGTACCTAATTCGAATTATTGAAATAAATACAAACATATAGGAGTTGGTTGAAGATAAAAGAGACTAAAATGTATTATCACTATCGTCGTTTCATCATATAAAACTATATTTCAAAATAAACAACATCTATTAATCGATTAAATAGCCTCCTGTACTTCAAATGCATGTATTGGCTATTCATGCCGACATTATATTGCGCATGTTTTTAGAACTAGATGAGTTTTTGCAAAATTATGAATGCGGCTAATGCGTACTTTCAACCTCCCTTTGCATATATGTCAAACTTGAATTCAATTGAAAATGGAAATTTTCAATTTTCAACTTTTAAACCAATAGCATTCTGAATAATCGTGACTCATACATATATCTCGTTATGAGATGAAAGTTGAAATTTTCTATTTACTTCAACTGAATTCAAGTTTCAAATTTGACGCTACTGTCCCTACGCGGAATAAAGTTGCTTCTGCAATCCGAAATATCGTGTCGACACGCCCCAAATCGAATCAGTGCCCGTCGGACACGCTCAGAGTTCAGTGGGACCCTGTCAAAGTCATATATAAATATTAGACTTTGTTTTACTCGGTATTCTCCTCATAATTGCTTTGCCTCTCCTTTCCTCGCCACTTCCATCCACGCATGCACGAAAGAACAAATTAACAGTGTAAATCTAGTTCATTCAAATTACTACATTCATCTAATCAAATCAATAATAATTTTCAACAAGGAAACGATCCAATAAAATAAGATAGAACGTGTGTTTATATCAGCACGCACTGTTCAATTGATATTAGGCCATAATAGGCTCTAAAACAAAATAAGATGACATGAAATGAAAAGTCTATACTCGGTCTATGGTTAAAATATGTATACACAAGTTTGACTTCTACAGAGCCCATTTCATAGGAGATTTATCCCTTTCCAAATCGTAATTTTGTGAAGGAACTACTAACCATTAGAAGAATTGAAATTTTTACATTAGCGAGAAATCAATTAGACCTCTCTATACTAAAAAGAAAAGAATCACGTTTTTGTATATCTGATGATTTTGCTTGATTATATGCGATCGTGGTTTACATGTAATGGTTCGTATCTGGAACTCGACAATATTAAGATACGACGAGAACTATTGCTTTCTCAGGATCTCTTACTGGCTCTATAGGGAAAATATTTCATTAGATGGCGGTATATATCATGAATTTCCTCGTATTTTTGAACGCCTTCTCTGTAAATGTAAACACACTAGTACGAGTGCCATGAAGCGATAGTGTTCAAGAAGATCTCTATCACACATCAAATTCGCACAATTAAAAAAGAAGAAATATGCGTAAATAAAATCTTAAAGTATAGACCGATGCAAGAAAGAGCCAGATTCTTTGTTCTTATCTGTATTGTTCCTGAGGAATCTATAATAGGAAACAAAAGAGGAGCAAGTGGAAGTATCTTTGCTCTGACTATACTCCCTCTATTAGGGTGTTTATTGTTGTTTTGGGTGGCCTCTTGCGGACCAAGCTACTCTCGAAAATATCTGTTGGTTTAAAGGCAAAAGAACTAGAATAGAGCTAATTAGTTTCCTCAAAAATGTCCTGTCAAACATACTCTAAAATGACGTCATCAGAATTTGTCACATTTTCTATAATCGTATAGAGTCAATCGCTTTAAGAATTGTAATCCAAACAAACATATTGTTCCTTTGCTGGAATATTGCACTTTTTCTAAGACCACTTTCCTTTAGAAAAAAACATATTTTTGCAACGTTTACAATTTATCAAGGAGACATGAATCGAAATCTTTTACGGCACATGTATCTTAAGCACATGAAAAAAAGGAATACCACAAACTTCGCATTTTGATCGTATAAACATCGAACGAAGTTTTCTATTGATAACACTAAAATAATTCGTTCTTACTATTATTGTTTCTCGTATCAGTGATAACTGACCTACATTCAGCCGAAAATAAGAAATCATAAATCTTTTTTATCGAATAACCTTTATACAGTTCGATATTCGTATCAATCCAATGGAAAAAAAAAGCAATCAGTAAAAATCAACGATCTGTAAAATCTGCGCCATATTGTTTTATGACTGATAAATAAGTCGTAAACCAACATTATATAATTGTTTCATTCAAGCATAGATAACAACAATTAATTTTCATCGTTGAATAATTCCCAAACAATCATATATTGTTACTTTACTGTTGACATCGAATGGAAAAGAACACAAAATATGGTCAATGATCAAGCAAAAAGACATAAATCATACAGGAAATATATACAAAAACAATGAGGAAAAGCATAGAATAGGATAGAAAAGCGAATACTAAAACAGAAAAAAAGAACGAAGACCAATCTGTATATCGTTGCATATATCTAACTGTTGCACACATTAATTAAAACACATATATGTATATTCATGATAAAGATGATTCACTCCCATTTAATAGGTTTTGTTTTGTTAACAAAGATTTTAATACTTCATTTTCTTGTTCGACTGCACGAATCTTAAAATAGAAAATTACAATTATATTATTATCGTTTTATTTTCGCCAACAAACCCGCTCTCTTAGTAAATCATTTTCATGAAGAATTATTCCCGCATCAACTGTTTGTTTGACCAACGCAAGATTCTGTGTACGAAGTTCATGTAAGTGCGCAATTGTTTTTTCTAATACAACTGTTTTACTCTAAATACAAAATACTTTCTTTTTAATTCATAGAGAAAGTGACGACAAAATTACTTGATTCTTGACATAATTACTACAATCGGGTATTAGCTTTGATAGTTGTTGTATGTGTTGATTGATACGATCACGACGTCGTCGTTCAACAGCATTATGTGTTGCACGTCGTTTTGCTTGTGTTATCTGTGGTACAACATCTTCATTATCTGTAGGGCTTGTTTTTATATGGCAATTAAATTCAATTGAATTATTATTATCACTTGTTGATGATATTTTTTGTTTATTCACTAATGTTGCTGCTGCTTGTAAATCAGCTAAGAATTGCTGAAAGAAAATTTTTTGGTTTTTCGAGTTTAGTTAAACGAAGCAATTTTTTTGTTTTTCATTCTTACTTGTTGATCTGTTGAAGATGGAAGTAAACTTTGAGCTAAAGCTGTTAACATAGAATTGACAACTAGCGACGGATTTTGTAATGTTGTAGGTACGTTTTTTGAAGTCTAAATTAAAGAAAGAAATCGATTGTTTGAGACTAAATTCGTTTTCTAATTCATACATTCTGTTCATGTGATTGATCGTCGTCGTTCATTTATAGTTTATATAATATTATTATCTAAGTCTATCTAGGCGGATTAATCTATTAATTTAACACACGTGAGTGTCAGACTAGCAATAGCAAGTAATAAGAGCATGTTTTCTATTGGTCATATGTCAAAAAACGATGTAACAAGTCGCGTTAAATGTTTTTCTTTCTTTTTTTTCTGCAGCTATTGTAGATGTCGGGAGTGAATTATTTGCTGTTTTTGAAGAAAATTCACCTTAATGTGATGATTATTGTAGATTTTTATAAAGTTCTTCATGAATAAAGATATATATATAACATAACATGAACAACAAAAAACAAGGCTGTAACATTATCATCCGATATATTAATATCATAGTGGGGTAACTTGTTCGGTCGAATGAAAACTAGAATCTTATTCTGCATCTATTTGCTTACAAATAATATTCAAGTAATCTGAGATGAAGTTATAATAGAAACATTTTCATGATTTTATAGTACTACTATTCAGACCGGTACTTGTAATTCATCATTCAGAATCTAGCATAATTTATGGCACTATAGCACTCGATTTTCACCGTTGAGTCTTTTTTATTTCCATCGTTTCTGACTTTTTTGAAAGAATAAAAAACAACATGTGTTAAATTCATCGTCCAAGCGAAATTCAATTTAATATTTAAAAATACAATATTGAATTTAGTTAAGTTTTTTTTTATTTTTTTCTACAAAATATTCATTTTAAATAAGAAAAAAGAACCGGGAAATCACATATCCGCGACGAGAGAGCCTAAATTGCTTCTTGATGAATTCCATCGATCAATCATTAACATCATTTTGTACCTAGATTCTCATTAATAATCTCTTCAGTATGTTTCGTAGTTTTTTAATATTTTGTTGGTGATTCACCAAAACTTAAAATTTATCCGATAAGCTGTAATAGTAACCGAAGTATTAGTTATACAACCTATCACAACTGCGGCATGTTTTCTTTACAATTTATAGAAATTCGAAATTAAGATATGATTCTAAAAGCAGACAAAGGCTTGCCTCACTCTCTAATAGATGAATGAAACATTTTATTGGTACTGTAACAAAAAATGATCAGCTTTTTCAAGAGTTCGCTTTTAATTGAATGTAAGACGACATACACCTCCTTAAAAGCTTTCACTTTTCCCATCATCTCAATTCTCTCAATGGCGACAAAATCATAGAATCATTTTAAATTTCCATAATTGGTTCTATCGTATTAATATTAAAACGTTCAGTAATAACATTAGCCGCTGATGAAACATTGATACGTGCATATCAGAGCTTCTAATGGGATGGGATAGAACGAAATTTTCGTCTCGTTGGATAATGCAAGTCGTTCCATCCCATCCCGTGGGATTCGCTATATTGCGAAAAATCTTACTGAAAATCAAGGTTAATTTTTTCTAACTGGAAGTTCGAAGTTTTCCAGCATTCCGATTTGAATATTGGAATTAGGGATGCACCAATTCCTAGTACATTGCAAGAAAGATGATATTTTTGCCTGATATAGAATGGAGTTGTCCTCTGATTCCATATCAGCGAAGACCATTTTTTTGCTCTATGCAAAACGATAGTCGAGATTTATGAAAGATTTAAAAAAAGCCGTTTCTGAAAACATGTAAACATTGGATAAAAAATTCAAGAAAATGACGGAATTTGATCTTTTCCCTACTGAAAAATGACGTGCCTGGCAGTGAGAATTATCGCTCGAACATCTCTTTATTCATATTTTTCTGTTCAGTTTTGAACTCTTTTTCCAAATCTATTCTTAGAATTTGTGTAATGCAAATTGCACGTCTGAAACTAAGTTGGATTTGGCGGAAACCGACCTGAAAATTGAAATTCGGAGTCAAATCCAAAAACGCTTTTTCATTTTTAATAAATTTGGATCATATTTTTTCATAGATCAAACAAAATGATCTTGGCTGATATATGGAACGGAATCAGAGGACGACTGCCTCCTACATTAGGCAAAAATTTTATCTATCGTACCATGTACTAGAAATTGGTGCATTCCTGGTTGGAACGTCATTATCAATACCTTTCAATTCTCTTTGTGATGCTGTAAACGAAATTTGATTTTCTCAACTGAATATTTCTGTTTATCCGAAACTAAGGATGATAATGAGGAAGAAATAATTATAGAAGGTGGCATTGAACAATTTATAAAACAAAAAATGATGATATTTTATTAGAACATTGAAACACAAAGAACATTTATGTTTATTTATGTTTTCTATGTTTGATCGTATTCTTTATTCAATTGTTCGAATAGAGCTCGGAGTTGGGTTAATGATCAGTACAGAAAAAGAATGATAATTATTCACACTTTTCATCTATTGTCAAGTGTGACATAAATGAATAATCATTTTTTCTTTAAAAAATTATCACATTTCCCATTGGATTGGGAACTCATCCCATCCCATTAGGAGGCCTGATGTATACAGTGCAGCTTGAATATCAACTCATTTAATATTAATAGTTTTTTATTCCATATAAATAACTACTTGATCATTTAGATGAAGTTTTACGTCGTGGATAAGAATATTTGTTCAAGAATTTTCATTATTATAAAGCACGAATACAATTAAAATTGTCATCAAACATAGCCATATCAGCTGTAAGAGAAAACTAATTGGATGCTCGATGCTCAATAATACTTACGCTATGACTTAGTAATTACTGAAGGCTTAGTTCTTATATTAAATGACACATGATGAAAATTTTCATGTGCGTAGAAGTTATCAATTGAAATGCGGCTTGGTGCTGGTTCAATACATTTTACGAAAGGATATTTGTATCAAGACAATATGAAATATTATCAATAGAATAAAATAGAAATTTCAAAAACAAAGATCAAAACGATCTCGTAGGTAAAAGAATTAACATTATCCTGATCTTTAACATAGCACCGGTAATTTTCATTAGAATGTTTTTCAAATCAATATTATATGACGCAAATCGTTTCATTGAAAACATTTCTTTTTGTTAAATGTGAACATGCCTGCTAGTCGTTTGAGTAGTGAAATCTCTTTTCAAATTGTAAATTTCACAGGAGATTCTCCGTATCCAAAAAAAAAAGAAATCTGAGCTGTTTTTCATGTCGACTTTTTTTAAATGAAGAATAATATATATATATGCTCTTTCAGAAAACATGGATCTGCGAAAGCTTGCTTTCTTGTTCTAACTAATGAACGATTCTCTTACTTAAAAAACAAAAATGTGTATCCAATGTTTTTTCTTCCAATTTCAATCAATCCAATACTATATGAAAGATGAGAATCATTTCTCAAACTTTCTTATCTACGTTAAAAACAAGTCTGTTGCATTTCACATGTTAATCACAAAACTACGGATAGAAGTGCTAATCTTTTCAATAGTACAACATTTTGCACTTTGCACTCTTTCTATTTGTGACCTTTTTCGCAAATATCACCATGATACGTCGATTGTTCGACTTTTCAAAACTACAATTTGCTAATTCAGGTGACTTTTGATATATATATATATACAACACGTAAGACGACATCGAACTTGCTTGCTATAAGAAATCATCTGACTTTCTCTGTTGATTTTTTTTATATCAGATAATACAAGATTAGTTGGCAGTCTACTATATTTGCATAAGAGTTTTTCGTTTTCGATGATTGTAAAATGCAGACCATTAGCAATCTGTCGCTATCTAATTATTGAAATTCCAAACAGCAGATATGAAATAGACTTTTCCTATAATTAGTCTTTCAAGAGCGAAAGCATTGATATTAACTGTTAGATCAAGTTCTCAGAAGGAAATATTGTCTAAATATCAAGTTGCTGTTCAGTCGGGACAATGTTCATAGTATAAATCCCAATGAGCTACAGATATACTGATCAAAGCAGCAAGTGTTAGCTCATTCGAACTGAAATTTTTTCATATTAACGGCATTTATAGTCTTATGCGACGATTCCTATAATTTATATGCGGAACAATGGTAAACGCATCTTTTTTTTTGCGATTACCTCTCATATACACTGATAGATTCTCTGATGCTATTATTTCAGAATAGGAGTAACTACAAAAAGATGAAACTTTCACAATTTATTTCCGTTTCTGTGTCCTATGTTAATATTGCAATTCATTTTTCTTCAAGATGAATGTTGTTGTACGGTTAAAAATTGCTATTTCTCGGCTGTGATAAGCTAATAGCTTTTATTTTTATCAAGATATATTCATAAATCATGATTACTTTCATAATTCATATAAAGTCTTGACTTAAAAGCATTTTGACACTCGAGCATATTCTTCATTAGTCGAACGCTATTTTCTTGATCAAAACATTGTATGCAATAAAATAGTATTGAATGTAATTTAATCTCTTTTCCCGGCTCAGCTCGTTTGACTGTAAACAAAAGATGTCACTGTAAAAATTATTAAAACGAATTATTTATATGTTTTAAAACGGAAGCAAATTATAAATTTTCTATTTTTCATAATATAATTAAAGTGTTGATAAAATCTTTCAGATTACAAATCGTAAGTTTCTATAGAAACTTTGATGAATTCAAGTAAAGTAATTACACTTTTGCGTGCGTTTAATTTTACATTTCGAGTGCTAGACAAGATGTCGAATACAAATGTTGGCTCTGAAATTGAAGTAAACAAAAAAACAAATATTCTCTTCTAAGACAAATAGATATTTTTTCATGAATTTTTGTTGTCTAATTCAGGGTGAACTAACTAAAGAAAGACAAAATCTATTAGAAAAACTATCGGAAATATTTGATCCGGAAACCGCTTACGATTATGTATGGCCAAAAACACATGAATATCGTCAACAATTATCTCTTGAAGAACTGAGACGCCGTATGTAAATAGAATAAATTTAAATATTTTTTAATGAACACAGTAGAACTTCTTTATTTGAATCATATTAATCTCAGTATTAGTATCTGATGGGGTACATCATCGATAGGAAAATGTGAGAGTTGATTCAAGCAAAGAAGAATGTAGAATAATAGACTATGGGTTTTTATAATACTCTTATATATTTATCAGATGAATCTAAAGGAAAGAAACTGTCGAAACTTGTTTGATTCTAATCGAGAAGCTCTATAGTGAAAAGCAAACAAACTGTTTGTATTCATGAGGCATTTTAAGAAAACAAATACATATGTTTTCTTGTTTGAATACCGTAAACTAATATCAATACAAAAAATGTAAAACATAACGATATCTTCATTGTCTCATGTTTTGCGTATCCAAAAAAACTACTTTTTCAATTAAAAAAATTAGATTCTATATTATATTAATACATTACACTAATGCATTCGATTTTGTTTTGTTTCTATTGCCATTAATTCTTTTCCTCAACAATAACTAAGCATGACGTTTTCAAAAATCTACAATCCGCCTGATATAGTTCAATCAATATGAGACGAAGTTTGCACGACAAAACATTTTGCCAAAAAAGAAAAGAACCCAGAGAAGTCAGTGCATATCGAATTCTGCGTGAATGCAAATAGGAATGTATTCATTTCAATGCGTTGCAGGCAAAAGGATACTAAGAAGATGAAAAAACGTGTTCTAACATTACTGCGCTATTAAAATAAACATATTTTTGAAAAACAAAAAAACACTCGAATTGAATCTGATAGAATGCATAGTTAATTACTTGAAAAAGAAAAGAAATATATATATCAGTGTAGTTGTGAATTAAATGTGTGCTTGTGTGTAATTGTCTCTTTATTTAGAGGGTGATACGTTTAAACACAGGCCCCCACGAATAGTGATCTACACGACGGCAAGGGTCCGTCTAGTTATTGTTGTTGTGTATATAACGTCTTGTTCTATACCCTAAATCGTTTTATCCTTTGTTTTTCTTTGGTCTTTGTGTCATATTTTTGTTTCATTCCAACCTTGTATTACATTATTGCAGTCAATTATAATCAACAAGATGAAACTTTAAGGCGATTGTGTTCGTTGGTACATTATCAGACCACAACGCAATCGCTCTCACATGCCGATCTTGAAGTATGCTTTTTTTAATATAATGCTTACGCATTTACCAACTGTGCACGCTTACTATTCTATATAAAACAATTGAACATTGTTTTATTATTATATATCTTTAGGGAGCATATCAATCATTTGTTCGAAGTCAAGTTGCTCAACACTCGCCACGTCATGAACTTGAACAATACGTACGAAATAGTTCCGATATAGACTCTGCTAAACGTTATGTAGACATGGCTAATGATGTTTTAACAAATCCTCAACAGGTATATACATATTTTTTTTTCTTTTTCGATTAATATCTAAACACAGTAAATATTAATTAAAATAAAAAAAAAGGAGAAAGATCTTATCATAAGCAATATAGAGATTGAAATAGCTTAGGGAAATCTCTCAAGCGAATAATCAGCTCAACAAAAAATAGAAAAGACATCAACAAGAGATTTGTTCTTATGAAACATGCTTTAAAATATTTAAAAAAAAAGGGCAACATGCCATGTTTTTAGTCATTATTATTATTTCGTTCATCAAAACTCAATCAACAAAAAGCACATTTATTGAAACAATCTGGTTGTAATAGTTTACAAAATTTAAATCATGATCCAAGTCTACAAAAATATTTTCCTGAACGATTACATGTATGAGTTATTCTCTAGCTCTTTTCTTTTTTGAAATACATTTAATTAATCTTTCTTTTTTATGAAAGAATACCTCAAGATATATTCCTCAAGACGAAGATGACTTTTTCAATAATAAAAATGATCCATCTCGTCCTAACTCAATTCATATGGCACACAATGAGAAAAAATATCATATTCAATTTCTAAAAGATTACGACCGACATAGTGAATTCTATAGAAAAAAATCTAATCGTCGTCTTAACTTTAGAGAACCATTAAAAGCAAGTCATATTGAGTCATTGTTTGGTTCAGAAACTTCTACTATCGCACCAAATCAATCGTCAGAGTTAAATACATCCAGTATGCATCGTGACAGTAACAAAATTTTATTCTTTTTAATTTCATCTTAAAGTTTTCTTGTTATTCGATCTAGTTTTTCCACCATTATCTTTATCTGCATTAAAAGAATATCGTCCATCTGTTACACCGAAAGCAGTATCAACTCCAAAGTCATCAGTAACACCTAGAATAGCACAACGACGAAAACCAATGCATAAATCAGATTTTATATGGAACCAATCAATTGTTTCATCAGCAACATATGAATGATATTTTTATATATTTTTTTTCCCTTATAATCTACTGCACTCTCTAATATTATTGACTCTCTATATATAATTTTGTTTTGCTCTATTGTTTGTTCGTTGTATCGAACACACAGCTGGACTTTATGTGTGTGCGTGCCAGAACGGAAATGAAAAGGAAAACTAATAACAGATTACAACATCTCTCTTGTGCGCTTTCCATCTCGCATTGGCATCTCGACCAGCGATAGTTCGCTCTATCGTGCTAAACCTTTAAATGAAAGAAAGGATGTGACGGAGAACAACATCTCAATGTGGTTGCCGTTTTTTTTCTTCAGCTTAGCGACTGAGAATCGGAAAAGAAAGAGAATGGAAAGACAAATTGAGCTATGGATCTTGCTTACTTCTCACATTTTTTATTCAAATAACACGGCGACGTCTGTCGATTTGTGTTCTGTTTTTTTCTTTCTTTCTTTTTTTCCTTAGCGCTTTTTGTGTGTGTGTGTGTGTGTGCTCTTTACTATTGCTGATCTAAAACTCGTTCCACTGGTAAACTATATTGATACGTTTTCCCGCACACTAAGCAGAAAGAAAAAGAAGCAGTGTCGTCGTCGTCGTCGCCGTCGTCGCCGTCATTTCTAATTTCTCGTGTCAATTTTCATTGTGTACAACAAAAGAGAAGAAAAAAGAGAGAGAGAGAGAGAAAAAAAGAACGATGCCGACGATAGATGGATAGATGTATGGACGGAGAAGACTTCTTCTTCTACTCCCTCTCTAACACATACATTCAGGGAAAAGAGAAGAAGACGCAAAATGGTTGCCAAAATCATAAATAATAGCAACAGCAACAGTAAAAGCTAGAAATTGATGAGGGAAGAGAGTACTAACGAATAATAGTAGAGCTGACATGCATTTTCTCTTCGTTTTTTTCCTTTCCTTTCCGTTTTGCTATATCATCATCATCAGGCTTTGCTGCCATCTTGCGCACCACCACTATCAATACCATGTGAGTACGTATATTTGTCTATATGTTGATTTAGCAATAGAATATCACGGGAAGGAACTGAAGTAAGTTCATTTTAAATGGCAAATTTTTAATGATAAAAGAGAAGAAGGAAAAAAAACTAAGTTCTTTATGGCTTTGTTGTCAATTGTATCTTAGTCTGTAATCAACATACACGCAATAGAATTATTTGTTTCTTTTCTTGTCGTCGTCGTCATGATCATTATTTTTAGTTTGCATGTTACATCTACTGACTATGGAAACTTGAGATGATGATGTTCGACATAAAGTCTACCTTGTCTGATTCAATATATGTATAGCATCGTGTGCTTCTCCTTTTTTTTTTTGGTAGTATTGCGTCTTCCTTTTTTTTTGTAACAATTACAGTCAGCATCTTTTATTCATATGAGCTCATGTCAGACGAATGTGTGCATGTGCCGTTTTCATTGTTCCCCAACTAGAGATAGCTCTTTGTCTTTCTTTTGTTGTCTAGCAGGTGAAATCACACTCGTTACATTTAAGTGTTTTGTCTGATTGAAAAACTAGAGAAAGAACACAAAAAGAGAACTAAAGAAGAACAAGAGAAGACAACAAAGAAACGAAGTTTCTTCTCTCTACTAATTACTCCTTGGCTCTTTTGCCTTCCTTTTCTTTCTTCTTCTTTTGCAACATTCGCTTGCTTAACCATTTGTCTGATGAAAAACGTCAGCAACAAAAAAGAAAAAAAAACGATGAGCATTAGTAGGATGAGTGCGGTAAAACAATTTTATTATGCTGAATTTATATCGAACGTTAATGAGCAATAAACTAATAAATATATGCATCGAGCTACAGTAGTAAGACTAACTTTATATTTATTCACTTATATAAAAGTTATCGATAGATTTGATTAGTTCAGTCAGAAGCAACGACAAAACTAGTAATCTTGCTAAGCTACTGGCAAATGTCACCAATGCCAAATTAACAGAGCCATATATTTTTAATAGAATCTCTCTCTTGCTCTCTCTCTCTTGCTCTCTCTCTCTCTCTATATATATATATATTGCTTCGGAGACACACAACCGCACGCACAGATAATTCTCATATCTATAAAAGAAAGAATTAACCTAAATTGTTCTCTTTCTTTTCCTATAGTTGTTTATCGTTTAATGTTAGATATAAAGACAAGAAAAAGAGGATGGAGAAAAACAAAAAAAAAGGGAATATTTCTATGAATTTTAAACGGTCGATAATTTTTGTTTTTCATTAGATTTTTACTAGTTGATTAGTTAGCTTATTCACACGTTCATTCAGTTGATGATAACGAAGATTGTCATAGTTTCTGATCGAATGTGAACAGGGTCACATGTTTCCTAAGCTTTGGATCTGTTTTCTCTCTCTATTATTTGGAATAATTGTTGAGCTTTTTGTAACGGAATAAAACAATGCTCGAACACATCCTTATCATCATCATTATCATCTCTTCGTTATTTTCTCTTATTTCTCCCTAACCTCGTATTCTCTTGTCTACATATGTGTGCGTGTTTGTCTGTTTGTTCTCTTCATAACTATTGCTGCGTCTAGAAAGAAAAAAATTTGAGATTGGTGTTAAGAGCTCTATTGCTAAATCGTCTACGACTGTCTTCTAGGTACTAGTATTATAAATCAAAAGGATGATAGCATGAGATAAGAAGAAAATTGATTGAACCATTCATTATTCATAGTGTTCTTTTTATTGATTTATTTATTTTTTTTGTTTGTTTCCAGATCATGATCAGTTATTATCGAAAATTATCTTCATTCAATACATAGGCACATTTATTTATATATATATAAATGAATACATAAAAATACTGTTTTCAATTATTTTAATTCAAGATCAACCTGCATTATTATTATTATTATTCGAATATTTCTTGCTTTCTTTCTACCACACTGCATGGTAAGTCATCATGATGGCAATGATCATCGCGCGCAGAGAGAAAGAGACGAAGACGAAGAAGGAGCAGCAGAACCAGTAGAAGCCACAACAAGAAAACAGCACGTTCGCGCCTACTCGAAACCATCGATCCCTTCTTTGTCTCCTTCTCTTCTGTATCCATGATGAGACAGTCGCTCTTAATAAGACAAAGTAGATCTGGAAAGCGAGAAACCTTCGTATTATAGTCCTTGCTATTTTGGACATTTTCTTTTTTGTCTTATTTATAGACGCTTCAATGAACGCTAACAAAACACGAACGCGCCTATCGCATTATGTTCGTGTTTTACAAAGAGACCACACAAACATTGAAATCTTCTTCAATTAGGTATGAGAAAAAAATGTTAATTTATTTCTGTTGTGTTTCATTTGCTTTTGTGTTTTTACCGAGGCAAAAAAGAAGTATTAATTCAAAGTTAAAATATCGAACAATTATGTTTTTCTCTGAAATTTCATACTTAGCAGATAAGTTTCCGTATTTTTTTCTCTTACATTAAAGTAAATTTACATTTAATATCTTATTCAGATATGTAAAAATAATTTCTATTTCTTGATTGAGAAAACAACAAAGAATAATTTAACACAACTTAAATTTAACGTTAAAAATAAACTCGTTTAATTTAAGAAAAAAAAAGAAGAATGAACTCGTCATTCATCATTTTTTTTCTTCTCTATTACTATACTTATAAGTTTAAGTGACTGTTTCCATAGAAAAAGAGATCATGTATAGATCTTATTTTACTAATAAACGAATGCAAAAAAAATACCAAGCATGAACGAGTATGAGCTCAATAATACTGATATTGATCATTCTTCTTATCCCATATGTTCTTTTAAGAAAAGGATTATAAAATACGCCAGCAAGGGTATTCAGAGTGAGGATGACACTCTCTCTTGTCAATCTAAACATTTTCCCTTTTATTTCCTCAAGAAACCAAAAAGTTTTCTTCGGTTTGTTTTTGCTAAGCAACGACCTCCCCTCCGTCCTTCTTCCTCTCCCTTAATCTTGGCGACTTAAGGACACGTCTGTCAGCCAAGCTATTTTTCTTTATTACGCTTAGTATTCGGTAATGTTTGTTTTTGCTTCTTTGGCTTTATATTATCGGGTGGCCCAGGTTAAATGTCTCTCGCTGTGTTTTCTCCAAAAGATTCACTATTAAGTTCTCTACAAGATTGATACTACAGTTTTTTTTCTGTTGAAAGTTGAGGAAAAAAAAAGAATATTCAATAAGTATAACAGCGTCAACTTTCAAAGCTGGAAAATAGTTTTTGCAGATTTTTTCGTGGGCCAGTAACGATAAAAATTAAGCAATGTAGGTATTTCGTAGCCTTTGAAAAGCTCTATCTTCCGATAATAATTGAGAACTTGCCACATCCAACCTTGTAATGCGCACTCTAAGTATCTTCTCTTTCAGGTTTGAGAGAATTTAGCTCTTTCAAATCAGCAATTTCGATACTCTTAGGAAAAGAAGCGCAACCAAGTCAAAATATCATTTTGTGCATTCTGTTTTTTTCCATTTTGATCGAAATGGCCTATTGTACCAAAGTCAAACGCGAAATTTGAGTGTTAATTTTTTTCCTTTAATTCAGCTAGCGCCAAACATCTGATTTAAAGTATTTTGAAGAGAATTTTCAAAGAGTCAGATTTTTCGATCTTCCGTTTGATTTCAACGAATTCTGAGCTGCACGATGAGAAATAGTACACTTCAAAGTACTCAGCAACATCTTGGCTTCTGTTTCGTTTTGTGTATCATTGTAAAAAATTTGCAAAAGTCTGTTTTAAAAATCACGTTGGAAGTTGATGCTGTTATACGTGTTGAATATTCTTTTTTTAATTTTTTCCTCAACTTTCAACAGAAAAAATTGTCATATCAATCTTGTAGAGAATTGAATGGCAAATGTTTTGGGAAAAACATTAAGGCCTAGAAAATGAAAATAACGAAGTTATTGAAAAAACACTGATAGGGACATTTAACCTGAGCCATCCCGATATTATTGCATGATATAAGTGTAGAAATCAATATTTATATTTTTTTTATAGGAAAAAACGCATAGCATCAGATTTAGTGTCAAATACTTCATCACCGAAAACAGCTGTACTCATAGAAAAATATCCACGATATTATCCTTCAACTTCGTCTACAATACCCTCCTGTTCGGTTCTGATATTTTCAGTTGCCGACTTCTTTTTTCGACTTACAGAGGGTTTTGTTGGTCACGTTGAAGAAGTGCACAAGAATTGTTTCCGTAAAGTAAGTAATAAAAAAAAATAAACGCATACGACTTGAAATAGAACAGAAAACAAAAATGAAATGATTTTATTTTTCAGATTATGAGCTCACGTCATTCAAATCAAGAAAACTCATCAATTTACGAAAGTAATCGATCTCGTCGTCAACAACCAACACCTTCCAATATACCTTCCAATCAACAAGATCCATTGAATTCATCTCCTGCACATAGTGATCAAGCCTCCAAAGCCTGTTGTTTTTGTTGGTGTTGCTGTTGTTCCTGTTCGTGGTATGTCGTTTAATAGGCATATTTTTAAACCTAAGTTTATACATTAATTTCTAATTGAAGTTGCGCAGAAAATTAGTTTATTTTCCTTTCTTCTCTGTCCCCTCCTGTTCCATCTTTCTGTCTGCCTGTCTGTCTCTCTTTCTCTCGTCGTTTTTCTTTTGTTATTTACTATTTGCCTTTATTTCTTCTTGAGCCGTTAGTTGACCTGTGCATAATCGTGGTATTTTTCTTGTCTATCTATCTTGCTTTAGACATCGGTCTCCTCATCATTACACGTTTACACACAGACAGCAGCATTACAGTCATTTATACAAAAAACTGGTCCCCTTCTCCTCTTCAGTCCTCCAGGTGATTTTGCGCGTTTATACTAGCGCGCGTGCGTGCATGCGAAAAGAACATGATTAAACATTTCAAGTTGAACCCATTCGGTTCCATACGACGCCATCCAAAGTATGTTTGATATTTTGATTATTAACTTCTTAGTGCTTTTATATATCTTCTATTTTTATTCTATTCCTTTTTGTTTTTCTGTGATGCTGCTCTCTCTCTTCTGATGATGTGCGAATGAAAAAACAAACGAGGAGACTCACGTTTGGCAAATATGATTTCCGTTTCGGAAAGACAAGAATAATAGGTTCTGTTCTAATTTAGTCAGTTTACTTTCATTGTTGCTGTCGATCGACCTTTCCCTTGTTCTTCTTTCTCTTCTTCTTCTTCTTCTTCTTCTTCATCATCATCATCGTCTTATCTTTGGTGAAAGTCAAACAACAAATAGATACATATTTTGAGAACAGATGGACTCTTAACGATAGAATATCAACTCTAATTGCATTTCTATTGGGAGAAACGATGTAAAAGTAGCTCGCTGCTGTGTTCAATAATTCGATAATAAAGCTGTTGCTTGTATATTGCGTGTATTACATATCCCTGCTTCTTTTTGCACTGAGATTGCTTCTTTTTTTTCTTCTTTCTTGTGAAACTATCACTTTGACAAGAGAAAACGCAGCGTCTCTTCCCTGTCTTTTTCTTTCTGCTCGTCTTCTTTTTTTACCCACTCCTAATCCGATTAGAGACATATCTATACTTTGTGTTTTTCCTCTTTCCTCGACTTGCATTGCCGGTGCTTTGCTGTTGGGTATCTGTAAAAAGAAAAGAAAAAGAATAAAGAGTGTTCAATGCCATCGACAACAACAACGACTCGTTCTCGGCTTGTCGTCATCTTTATTATTCCAGAGTTGTTATGAGCTAAATTATGTTAGCTAAAGAAGAAAAAAAAACTAGGCCTACGCTTCTCTCTTTCATCGGTCTTGCCTTTGATGTGATGTTCTTGTTAGTAGTGCGAAGCTAAAAAACGAGAGAGAAGAATAAGAAAAAAAAAGAACATGTCACTCTCGCTTGTGTTTCTTTTGTCGGTGGTAGTAAGGATGATGATAGTGGTGAAACTTTGACTGTTACTGGCGTCTTCATTTCAACGTCGTTGAAGATACAAAAAACCGAGAGAAACACACAGTAGACGGAATAACACAAGAGAAGAGTTAATAATAATCTTTTCTGTTTTGCCGATGGTAAAGATGGATTATGAAATCCGAACAGCATCCGTCATCGTTTTTGTCACATCGACGTGACTTTTCAAGTTGAGTCTCGTGATCAGATTATTGGCATCCGAAATCATTTTATATAATAACAAATCATATATCAACATCGTTGGGTTCAAAAGTTACCAAAAATAAAATGACTCAAGTTGTACCTGAACATCTAGCTCGTGCTAAGCTCAGTAATAATGTAAATAATAATAATAATAATACGCGAAAAGAAACTAATAGTACTTATAAAAATCGATCACACCGTTCAATTCCTGCTACATCAAGTTCAATATCGGTCACATGCGATACAGATACACCTTTAAAATCATCTAATATTTCACATCAACAATCATCATCATCGCCATCATCATCATCGAAAAAACCTTTTTCGATAACAAAAAATCATATAAGTACATCGTATTCATCGTCAGTTTTAATGAATGCAACTGTTCATTCTTCTCCAACATTATCTCGTAATCATCGCCGATATGAATCAAATGGTAACAGTACATCATCAATGGCAACTAGTTTAACAACATCATCTGGAATAAATATCGCACGTGAGAAGCTAACATTAACATCGTCAATATCAACAATTTCAATATCAAATAATAGACACATAAGGAAAAGCACAGGAGATGAAAGTGAAGGTGCTGTGGCTGGAACAATTGTTTCAACGAAAAGTCTTTCGAACAAACATAAATCAAGTTCATTAGATGATGATAATTATAATCATCATCATCGTCATCAACATCATCAGCGTAACAATCGTACAAGTCAAAATCGTAGAATCGGAAGAAGTGTTCTCGAGCATCTTGTTTTTGTCTTTCCTGAAAATGTTCGCAGAATACTAACAGGAACTAAAAAGTAACCTTAAACATAAGAGAAAAAAGCTCATCTTCTATTCTTTATTTCTTATTCTAAACAAAATCTATTATTCAATAACTATCGATCTATTTATTTCTTATATTTTTTTTAGTTTAACCGTGCGTTCCGACGAAGGCCGCCAACCAGCTGAGCCCATAGACCTCGGAGAACCGTATGTGCTTTTATTTAATCAGAAAGGAAAAAATAATAATAACTATCTTTTATTTATACATAGACCATCTGTGGAAGAATTAAAGGGCTGGGCTGAATCCTTTGATAAACTAATGATTAGTCCTAGTATGTATATTTAATTATTAACATATGGTCTAATTTAATTAATTTTCATTCTAGTTGGTCGACGTTATTTTCGTGATTTTTTACGATCCGAATATAGTGAAGAAAATTTTCTATTTTGGATGTCCTGTGAATCCCTTAAAAATGAACAAAATCCTGAAATCATAGAAGAAAAAGCAAGATTAATCTATGAAGATTATATATCCATATTATCTCCGAAAGAGGTAAAATCATTTTTTGTTTTATTTAATAAATGAATATAAAAATATTCTACTATTTCTTTTAGGTAAGTTTGGATAGTCGAGTGCGCGAAGTAATCAATAAAAATATGGTTGAACCATCTCCTCATACATTCGACGAAGCCCAACTGCAAATCTATACTCTCATGCATCGTGACTCATATCCACGTTTTATAAATTCACAAATGTACCGGCGACTACTACGTATTGAAGGCGTGAACACTTGATATAGATATAGATACATATAAGCTTATCATAAGCGCCTAACCCGGTTTTACCTTACTTTCTTCTGCTTCTTTCTTTTTTGTTCTATCCTAAATTACATTGTCTTTTGTCTTCACGACACATTCCACAGTGTGGACGCACCTGTTGTCGCGTAGAAAAACAAATCAAATCAAATCAAAACACAAATATCAAATTATCGTTCAAAGAGTTTTCTCTTTTCTTTTCCTCATCGTTTGGGCGTCAGATGCCCATTTACATCATCGCCGCTATTGAATCAAAGTGTTTCTATATGTATATTTTTTTATGATCTAGACATGATTTTTCTCATGCGCATGCGCGACATCCGATTTCCCGTCTCTCAACTGTGATTAACTCATCTTTTTTTCCTTCTTTCGTCTTTTGTTGTGTTGATGCGCGTTTTCTTCTGTTTTTGGGCTCTTCTTTTTAGTCGTCTCCGTCTGCATTTAAACGAACAGTGACATTGAATGCCATCATATTGTTTGCATGCATGTTTTTGTTGGTTATAAACGCAAAAAAAAAGAAAACAACCGAGAAAACATCTTTCTATATAGATACATATATATGTGCACGTCGTCTATGTAAGATTTTCATGAATTAGAACAATGAAGAAACAAACAAAAACTTTTGAAATGATGGCAATCCTGTTCTTGCTTTCTTTTCTTCTTGTTTTTTTTTTGTATAGTTGATTGTTGTTCTTTTTTCTTTCGTGCTCTCTGTTTTTCTACATCACTGTGTTGACATTCATTGTCAATAACCAAAGTTTTGGAACAGTATTTAAAACAAAGAAAAAAAACTGCAGAAAAAAAAAGCATGATATTTCTTTCAAAAACAATTTATTTCTTGCATTTAAAAATAAAACAGAACAATAGTTAGTTAGTGATTACCACTGGCGGATGTGTATGAAAGGGCCCTGTTTCCTGTAATTATGCGAATGAATATATTTAATCTCATCAAAGACAGTATTGGCAAAGTACTTGCTTTTTGCAAAATAGTTTGTAAAACTAGATAATTAATCAAAAGTTACAAGACATGTCCCGACGCATCAGGAACAATAAATGTTTTCATAATAAATATATTTATCTACTTAGATGAATTCATTCATTATTTCGATGTGCAATTTGATTATGAGTCTGGCAAGAAAATTGTCAGAAGAGATTCACAACATCCGAAAGCGTCTTTTCGGTACATAAACAGCGAATCTGTTTATTAGAATAACTCTCAACAGTATTCTAGATCATAGTCTACTTGTAAAGAATGCCGCGAGTTTTACGACAATTTGTTCTGACAAGAAGAACTATAGACGCTAAAAAAAGAATTAAAAAGAATTTTTTCTATAGAGTGGATCTCATCTTTAATAAATGTTCATTTTCTCTCCTGAATTATGCTTCAAAACCTGGTTGGATCTATTCTCCAGAAATATCAAATTCTAAAGAAAATTTCCTATTGAGAAAGATAACTTCACTTTTTTTCAACTATCTCAGCAATAGCTCATTTTATTCTAATAATAATTTTCATCATAATAAAGAGATCTTCAATGAACCAGAACCCTTTGAAGATTAATCTAGTGTAAAGATGTTTTCTATACACTCAAAAATGATGAATTATCACAATATATTCTCTTGTGAGCAAAACGAACGAGAATTATTTCAACATTGGTATCGTAAATAACATAAAATAATGCGAACTCCTATTGAAATCAACAAACAATAATAGAAATTGTTATTTGTGTGTGACAAATAATCCGTATGTGCCTGGAAAAGTATTATTGATTAAAGCTTGTTTCTAGGAAAGTTATGATAGTTTTACGAACCTTTTCCTAATTGGCAAAACATTGAATAATAATAATCGATCGAACAAATTTTTAGTAACAAAAATTATATAACATTTTTGAAAAACAAGAGAAATTCACTCAAAAAGAAACAACACCATATGATGAATCATTCGATTTGATCAATGTTTTTTATCATGACAATCATCGCTAATTGTTTATTCCTTAGTTCATGCAAAAAAACAATTTGTCTAGAAGTTGTTTTTGACGTTTTCTTTGTTTTCTAGTTTCCGATTATCAATAATAAGGCAAAATGTAAAGATAGATTATACATTATATGTCACTATTCAACCTCGAATTTTTTTAATATTATATTAACGTTCAGTAAGTTATGATTACAAGAAAAATTATTGATTATTTTTCATGTATAATATAGAACTTTATTATGATCAATGTATTAGTAAAACTTGATCTCTTTTCTTTTCCTATTGAATATATAAGAAGCAAATGAAAACGAATGATTGTTTTCTTTCGATTGAGATAAAACTGCAATTGACCTAGATCTTTTCTGTTGTTGTTTTTGTAAGCGTGGAACTTCGATAGAAAAAACAACGCTTCTCAGACCATATGATATGATGTTTTTATATGTCGAGTAAACTTAATTAGTTAACGTTCACAAAAGAGAAATCTGAAGATTAAAAACTAAATATTTTTTCTAATATCGTTCTATTGACAAAGTTACTTGGTCGTCTTATTTTTTTCTCAACGGAAATTAATATTTACGTCTTAAATATTCAAAATATAATTAAAAGATTTTAGCATACGATGCTGTCAATCATTTTAAAGAAATACGTCTGCAATAATCACTCTTTACAAGGGAACCGAGTGTCTGAATACTGACTGTTTGAGCTCATATTACATCTGATCGAGACTAGGAAAAAAGGCTTTAACAGCACCAGGCATTGAGAGAAAGAGAGAGAGAGAGAGAGAGAGTTTTAATTTTAGTTTCATTTTCTTTTTTGTTATTTATGCAAAAAATTTAATAGCAAGATCCCGGTGGAAAATGCTGGCTATGCAATGCATATCCTAGCATTTTAAAGCAAAATATTCTTTTGAAGAGGTATTCGACTTGCAAAAAGCGAAAACACTTGGCATCGAAAGCAAGCAAATCTAAAAATTCAATATATTGCAGCGTATTTGAAACTTTTAGAACATTGAAAAAAACTCTTCATCAGCACGATCTCACATGGAAAACTTCATTTGCTGAGTTATCTATAATAATTCTAAAACAATTGTATTGCATATCCATCCATTAAAACGACCAGTCACAAGTAATCGCAAAAGACGAAAATTTTTTTGTAAATGCCAGCGGGAGATGCTTACGTGAGCTCACATGTCAGATGCAGTTCCCTTTATGCTATAGATTTAATCAGTAACATACAAAATTTAATTAAAAACAGAATTGACATTTTAATTAGGATTATTTTTAACAAAATTTTTTATACTATTTACACTCTAACTAGGATTTGAATCAAATTTGTCTTAAGCAGACTGCAGTAGATTACAATAAAAACTCATTTCTCTTTTTCAATCAATCACAAATCTCTTATTCATATCAATAATTCATCCAGCTAAAGGATATTATTAACTTCGATTTCATTCCCATGATTCCTTCTTTCTGCCTGAATTCATATCAATAATATTTGTATTTCACACACACACACACACACACACCTTCATTTAAACTACGCCTACAATGATTATCAGACTTTCTTAATTGCCGTGTTAAAATTCGTCTAGCATAGCAAAAAATTATATTCGATCAGTTCTATGCAGAGTGTATCAAGCTAGGTGGTAGGATGCGTTCATTACGGATATCAATTTACCTGGTGCGCAGCTAATCATTTTCTCTCTTCGTCAACATTCGTGATTATTTCAATTGGTCAAATTTCATTCGAGAAAAAAAAACGAAAGCGAAGAAAACAAATCGATATTTTTCGATCATGTCTATATACGATTTTGTTATATGAATAAATGTTCATTCATTAGTGAAATAAAAAAACTAAATATTCAACGAACTCAATCACTCATGTTTTACAGTTCTCAGTACGATCATCAAATTTCCAATGAGGTAAGATACAAGAAATTTAAAGTCAATTTTAGAATATTTTATTAATCAGAGATGATTTCAAGATCAGCGTTTGACCATTATCCTACATTCCTTATTGGAAATTAACTGCAGATACGAAATGTATCGTTCAGTCTGCAATCTTATCACGAATCTGTTCATAAATTAAATCACACTAATATTGACTCATGCTAATTTTTCAGACAGTATCTACTTGTATGATTAATTGCTGAACTCTTTGATCTTTCCGGGATACCTTACATCCCATAAAGTTGTTGCGTAATTCGTTAACAGTCTCATTAATAGATCAAATTTTCAAACTTTTGAATTTTCAAAATTATAGAAAATAAATGAGGAAACATCGGATTCACATCCGATTGTTATGTGTACTGCAAAAACTAGGTCGATTTATATATGTTGTGAATAATTCTAATAAAAAAAATTTTTTTTTGAAAAAAATCCTGTACCCCCCCTCAGGGATGGTCTAGTCAGTACTGAAAATTTTTTCGATAACTCAGCCATTTCTTGACGGATCCTTCTGATCTTCGAACTCGACTGAGATATTGATGAGATCATTATGTGTACAAAATTTCATGACAATTAGATGAGACTTTCAAAGGTTATCGTGTTAACGGCCGGACACACTGACCGAATCTAGAGTGTACTCACTTTTTCTGAGTACACAAAAATAAAGAATTCTCTTTTTTTTTGTTTTAGAATGAATTTGCTTCAGTCAATCAAGAAAATGATCATACCAACCGAATAAATCGCTTAACAACATTAAAACCAAATAAACAGTTACCAGAAAAAGCGATTCGTTTAATGAATGCTTGGTATTTATCACACGAAGATAATCCATATCCGAATCGCAACGATTTAGATTATCTAGCCACCACTGGTGGTATTAAAGAATCTCAAGTAAAAGCTTGGTTTTCTAATAAACGTAACCGAACACAAAACACACATCCGAAACGTGCTAAACGATATCTCATACGAAATCAAACACAACAAAATTCAGCTTTATCTATTGAACCCGAAAAAATTCATATAGCCGATGAACTTGAACAACGTGCACAATTACCACAACAACCCAACGCTCAATCATTACCATCGTATTCTACTAGTTGGTCTTGGCTGCCATCACATTCATATGATTATTATCATCAGAATTATTATTATAATCAATAGGAGCAGAAAACACAAAAAAAAAGTTAATACATGATTTGTTATTTTTTGTTTTATATTTTTGTTCGGGGAGGGGGGGGCGGCGGGTTAAAAGGAATGCTTGAGATTATAAATCGAGGGGGAAATAAATGACCTAGATCAATTCATTCTCGTCATGTTCTATTTTCTAATTTTTCATTGCTTGTTTTTTGAAATAAAAAAGAGACAAAATAAATATCGTGTGTTTTATTCTTCTTTTTTGTAACCATTTATTTTTGATTTGATCGGTTGAGATTTTGACTTTCCTGATGAGGATTTGTTCTTGTAAACTTGTACATAAAAGTTTGCAAAAAATAATAAAAACATTATTGCGTAGGCAAATATCCAATAAGCAAATAAAATTGGGTAATCACATTCCAAAAAAAATAGTTGCGACGTGTGAACCATTACAAGCATAAATTGAATCTAAAGTCGGATGCATTTAAATCAAGATAAAATGTTTAGAAACGTAGTAGTTCTGTCCAAATTTTCCTTACATGTGCCACACATAGGATGAATCGAAGAGAAACACTGGCTATTTTACTTAGAAAAAAAAATCTTCTTATAGAAAATTGCGCCAGCGATTCATTTCGATATTCTCAAGTTATTACCGATTATAGAAAAAGTCAAAACTACTTTTATTTCCCAAACATTTCGTCTCTATGTTTTCTACTAACCATTTGCATCCATGTCATGGATTTTTTTAAAAATAAGTATTGTCGAAACGAAGGGCTCAGTGCTGCAAGGCCATAATACAAATACATAAGAAAATGTATAAATGAATTAATACAAGAATGAAAGGTTCCGAAACCGCCCGGAACAAAACGAATACCAAACCACCAACTAATCGGCATTATACCATGATGCAAAACATGTAAAACGCTAACTTGATGAAAATTTTTTTTCATTATAAAAAATATTGTATCAAATAATTCGATAAATTTTGAGAGAAAAAATAAATAGCAAACACGAACCATCTAAATTGGAATGTAGTTATTAAAAATGAAAACAATTATTATTTCTTTACTCTCATAGCAGTCGCTGATCGAGAATAATCGACAGGTTGACAACCCAATGAGTAACCATTTAGCCAGCCAGCAGCAAGAAACTAAATAACGAAAAAACAAGAATAATAATAATAATAATTTTCTCTTATTTGATATTACTTCATAGAAAAGATAACCAGATAAAACAACCATTGTAACATTATAGACTAATAACAGTTGACGAATGTTATATGGCGAACGATTGGCCATGAACTTTGGTCCCAGACAAACAGCTATTAAATACCCTATACAGATCAAAGCCGATGGAATTGGAGAATTCATCATGAAGAGATCAGATGTTCGTGGATCTACGATTTTGAAAACAAAAAGTAGATAATTAATACAACAAAGAGATGCATTCGATAGTTCATAATTTTAGCTAGCTCGCTTCTTTTTTCTTCAAAATATATGAATGAGAACTATTTTGATCTTTTAATAGAATAAATAAACACGCACCACTATATTTCTGTTTGATTTCCTGCCATAATCCATTATAAAAGTTGATGGTTTCCATTTTTAACTGATCTGACGTTAAATCTGAAACTTCGATAATAATTAAAAATAAATAAATCTATCATCGATGTTTTCTAAACAAACAAAAAATACAAAAACAATTTGGTATAAAAATCACAGTTGAAAAATGAACATATATCGATGTGTTTTAAATATAAAAAAAAAACGTCGAAAATGCATCGCATAATATCTGTTCAACTTTTTTTTCATTGATTGAGCGATTTCCTTGATTTCAGTATTATGTTTAAATATTGCGTTCATCGATGCACCTGTCATTGGTGAATAATAAAGATTTCTTGTGTTAAAGAACATGTTAAATTTTTCACCACTTGTGTGTTCGATGCTGACGATGTTGCCGTTGATTCGTCATCACATGCTGATTGGTTTTCAATTGTTCCTATTGAATCATCAGATCCATATGTTGTATGTTGTTCTTTCGATGCAGATGATTGATGATCTATGATAATCAATTTATTCTCTTTTGCGATTGTAAAACCACCGCTGTTATTTAAGTGAAGGAAAAAACCAAGATTTCCACTCATAAATGGATCTACTGTTGGATGTGGCAATTTAGAAGAAGAATAGAAAGCCAATATTGGTGCTGTCGAAGGTAAACTAACAGTAGAAGTCAGTGGATTTTTCTTCGATAAGTTTCTGTTATATAACGATGCTGATCTTACTGAATACCTGATTGGATATCTGAATGCGATCGTTCATTGGTTTCTGGGTCAAGTATTGAATCTAGATCAGTTCTTCGAAGTCGTTTAGCCATATCTGCTAATGTTTCATTATTTAAAGTTAAAACATTCATTTGAAATCGATAATTACGAAGTAAATGTTCTAATCATTTTTTATTGTCATTTTGTATTACATAATGTAAAACAACATTTGTTGAAAAAGGAGGTTTTTCATTCGCTAATTCTGGATTTCGGTTAAGAATATCAATAACTAAACGCTAGCTTTAGCTGCTGGTTGAATTAAATCATCTTGAAGAAACAAATGTTCAACATAATTGTACATAGCAGGATATACTGTTTTTCTTTCTTAAGCAACATTTAAAAGAGTTTGCCTATATTTTGACAATTTACGAATATTAATTTGAGCGTCAAAATAAAGTGCAAGAATACGTTTTAAACGATTAACATCTCTGCGGAACGCTGTTTGATGTCCAATTGGCCATGAACGTCCACGTGGAATAGTAAATAAATCTTCAGGATGAAGAAATTTAAAACGATAAACTTTATCCGATTCACGAGCAGAATGTGCTCAAAGAAAGAACTTTGCCAAGCGTTAATGGTACTTATGATGCTAGCATAGAGAAGAAAAAAAAACGTTTAGATAATCTAGAAACAAAAAAAAATAGTTTTGTTTGATTATTGTATAAATACGATAAAATAAAGAAAAGAATACAATTATGGAAGTAAATTTCGTTGTCGAAGTTCAATAATCAAATTCTTTGTAGGAATATCATCGACAAGTACACCGTCCATGAATTCACCGGTTTGTGGTGAAACACGATTTCCACGAAGCCAATCTATGATGGCACTTCGTTCATACGTTTTTCCATCAGTCGCTTTAACAGGATCAACAAATATCCGTTTTGTTATCGTACATGTTAAATTTTTTAATAATTGAGGTGTAACTTGTTGTACTGTCGTTGGTACACTAGTCTGACGATTAGCAGTCGTTGGCGGAGAATCAACGAACACTGATCGATCGTCTTCACGTTCATCATTCATCGTAGCATTTTCTCTGTCACCTGAAGGTATCAATGATTGTATTTCTTCAACAAGATCATCGTTCCGTTGTTCTTGCGCTAAAACCAACGGTGTTTTACCATCAGCATTTTTTAAATGAATTTGAAATTGATAAGATCGTAAGACATAATCAGACAATTTTCTAACATCACCATATAAAACTAAGTAATGTATAAAATAATTTAAGCAATACGGTGGTTTTTCATTCAATAATCGCGCATCTCTCTCTAACATGTTGTCTACAGTTACCCAGTCATATGCTTTACATGCTCTGTTAAATTTATCTTGGTCAAATAAGTGTTTTATATATTCATATTGTTCTCTAAACCGTTCCTTTCGCTCATTAGCTACATCAAGAATAGTCTTTGGATTTGGTGTATCTCTAGTTTTTGATTCTATATCTATAGGGTTTCGTTCATTGTATAAACTCAGTAAACTCTGCAAGAGTTTCAAATTGCCATGATAGACAATTTGATGTCCAATAGACCAAGCACGATTAGATGATATATAAAATAACTCATTCGGATAAAGGCGAATATATTGAAATATCTGATTCCATACTGTTGCATCACCAGTAAATCCATTCTTTGCTTTCAAGTATATCTGGTCATAGGTAGGTGGGCTGGTTGCTGACATCTGAAAATTAAAAAAAATAAAAAAATGTTAATAAAAATGTTAATTCTGCAACTATAGTTAAAGTCATCTGTGAGTCATTCTCGTTATTTCTATTTCTTTTTCTCAGCGAGTTCACTCAATGCTTGTTTGATAACCATATTGGGTACGAAATCCATTCAAAAAACTTCATGTCTATTTTATAGACATTTGGAAATTTGTCTCATGCGAATATTCGACGTTCATTTTTGAATAAACTCTCAAGAGCAACATTCGTTAATTCAATATTTGTCATTGGTGAACGAGTATGACCTGTATCGAGCCACTGTTGTATAGCTGCTCGTTCATAAGTAAAGCCGTCCGATAGAACAACAGGATCTTGAAAAATGTCTTTTGTTAATGGACATGTAAAACAAGCTAGCATATTATTTCCATCCGTCTTCCTTATTTGTTCTTCAATTTTTTCATCTTGTTTGAGTTTTACTTCACTTTGCTTTTTTCTCTCTGCATCTCGTTTGAGGTTTTCTTGTTCGTGTTGTTCACGTATATTACGCATTTCAGGCGATAGAGATTCCAAATAAGCCGCAAATTCTTTATGTTTTTGTTCGAGTGCAACTTCAGATGCTGTTTGTTGATCGTTAGTCAATAATGTCATTTCCATTTCACCTAATTTTCTAAGTTGATCAAACGCATCTCTACTATTTTCGTAAGCTAAATGATGAATTAAATAGAATTTTCTATATGGTGGTTTTAGATTAATTAAATCGGGATCTTGAAGAAGCATGTTTCTACAGTCCTGTATTTGTTTATGTTTTCCATGTCCAACAAATTTATCCAATGTAACAAGCCGATCTATTGTTTCATATAATTTTTTATGATCACTAGATTTTGTTTGATTGTCAGTTGCTAATTGAAGAGCATCTTTTCTTGGTTTTGTTGCAGTTTGTGTTAAAAGCATAAAATGTATATTTGGTATGGCAATAATTCTATTGAATAAATCCAAGTCGCCATTTATAACAAGATAATGAAGAATTGAATAGCTTTCATTATCTGGTATCTTTGTGAAATCTTCTGGTTTAACTAATAATGTACGATAAACTTCGTCAAAACGTGGTTTTTCATTTTGTTTGACTATATCGAAAATTTGTTCGAATGATAATGGTTTTTGAATAACCGAATTACTAGTAGCCATAATCTAGAAAAAATGAACATATAAAAAAATGTATTCTCTTACCGGTTTTTTTCAATGAAAAAATTAATTATATCACAGATATGAAAAATCACAATAAATAAGTATGTTCATTGAGCATTGAGCCATTAGAAAAGTTGTGTAAAAAAATGTACTTAGGTCATAAGTTCAACAGCAGCAATAATCTGTTTGATAACTGTATTTGGACTAAGAAATTTATTAGGAAGTACTTGATTTGTCATGGGTGAGCGATCGTTGTTGTTAAGCCAGTTCTCAATTGCTGAACGTTCATAGGTAAATCCATCAGCAGCAATCACTAATTGAGAAATAGATGTTTTTTTCTTGCGAAAAAAAATTAGAATTTAACTCTAACTCAAGAGGGGAATACTCATTCCGAGCCATTCAAATGGCTGGGAATGCCCGAATGATTTTTTTCTCCTTGAAAAGTTCACTCTACAAGTTCCTCGAAGGCTTCTATTGCGATGAAGATTATCTTGACCGAGGATTATTTTGTATCTGAAGAAGAACGCATCCCTGTAGATTAAAATTTAAAAATCCTCATAAGGTTAATGTTGTAAAAGTTTAATTGTCAGAGAATTATACCCCAGACAAGTATCACCAGGACAGATTTTTATAGAACCTATGAGTTCGATCGGTATACTACTCTTGGGAGTCTTCGCTACTATATGCATCGATTAGTCTATATACGTATACCTGAGGCAAACACGTATTCATTCGTTTTGTTGTATGCGTCAACAGTACAAACACCTTTTTTACTCATATTTACCCGGATCAGTAAAAATAGCCAGTGCAATGGGACATATCAAATTGTCGAGTAACATTTCTTGATGTGAGGCTTCTTCAGGTTTGATAGTTTGTTTTTCTTTGCCTTGCAATTCTCTTTCAGATTGATTTCGCACTTGATTCAAGTAGGTCATTACTTCACCTCGATTCTTTGCTGATTTTACAGGTGCGCCCATAAGATTGTCATCTAATGTTTTGGCGATGACTTTATTTTCCATTATAGCATTTATAGTAACTGTACGTCTTCGTGCTTCGTCCGATGGTTTCTCTAGTTCTACGTCTTCATCTAACAAACTTGGGTACTCGCGTTCTATAAATCTGGCAAAGGCTGGTTTTTGTTCTTGCTCAGCAATCTTATTAACTTTTAGACGATTAGCCCTCAAATTTAAATCAAATTTACAATTTTTTATTTCTTTAAATTTATTAAATTCTTCCATAGCATCTGCACATGCCATATGATGAATTAAATAAAATAGACGATATGGTGGTTTCTCATTTGCAAAACCTGGATTTTCTTTAACAATTTCATAACATCTGTTCCACTCACAATCTTTGGCATAGTTAAGCATTTCATCAAGTTTAATGAGTTTTTCAATATGCATTTTCATTTCGGACGTATCAGGACGTATGGATGCAATGTCCAGTACAGTTTTATTATCACGTGTGTTGGTTAATAAGCGAAATGTTTTATTCAATTTTTGTAAAGCAAGTAACTGATATAGATTGTTCACATTACCAGAAAATATAACTTGATGCAGAATTGCCCATACTCGACCTTCAGGAATCATAGTTAACCATTCCGGATGAAGACTAACAGCCATTAAAACTCCAGGAAAATTTACAAACTCTTTCGAATTGTTGATCGCTTCATGTAAAAGATTCTCGTCACTCATAATTAATTTAAATAGAAATCTGAAGTTAAAGAATATATTACTTAATTTACAAGAATGATTCATTACAAATAAGAAAAAATATAAATTAGAAAGTATCCATTGTGTTTCCGTTTGCTTAGAAAGCTCATCGAACAACTACCATTTGTTGCGTGATATCACGTGCAACAGAATGTTATGCAAAGATTCAGCAGAAAAACTAATAAGGAGTATGATACGTATAACGATGAAAAAATCATTTCTTGTTTGACTTCGCTGGTAATGAATTTGCTCCTTGAAGAGCTTGCAGAATGGATTTAATAGCGAAGTTTGGTTTTAATTCGAGATCTTCAAGTTCTTGATTTGTCATTGGGCTACGATTTGAAGTTTCAAACCATTTGGTTATAGCTTCTCGCTCGTATGTAAAACCATCAGCAGCCACAACTGTAAAATCAACCAATCATTCAATATGATATACGTAAGAAATTTCTTGTGACGAGTAACAAGTCATATCTTTCTTTTTTTTTTTTCGTTTTTATCAAATAAAACTGAAATCAATGTGAAATTTTTCATGGCTTAAATTAAAGCAAGACTTTCGTTAGAAAAAAAATGGATCTATTCGAAAATTGAGGCAAATTGTCAAATTCATACATACGTATGATGATGCTTGCCAAATACTATTTTTAGTGCTGCTAGTTTTTCATGGCATATTTTGACGGTTGAAAATGGTTATGAACGCTCTTGCAAAAATAATTGAATCTGGTATTAAATATCGATAGGATTTTAAAGACGCAATATTTTATTCAATCAACAGCATATTACAATTTCTTATTAGAAGATTAGAAAACACAAATGAATACTAATATATCTCCTTTTGTCTTCAACAGCGGCTTATAAAATAGTTGATGATAATTCTATTTCTAATACTATGAAAGTTTGAATAGTGATTTTGTTTTGAAAAGTCGACATCAACTTCAGAGTTGTCTCTATGAAATTGATTCACGCCAAATTTTAATACGCGTCAACACAGATCATTTTATTGAGAACTTCGCATTCAGTTTTTGTCACTAGATTAAATGCCTATTCATGGGTAAACAGTCTTCACAAATTTGACACTATTGCCCTAGAATACGTGCGTTGTATTCTGGGACCATCAGCTCTTGAAGTTATAAATCAACTATTTACATAGATGAAAATTAAATTTGCATCAATCAATACGTCATATGTGCTCTATCTAAATTAGTTCTGAGCTGCGTGTAAAAGTGATATCAGAACTACGAGTATCATAAATGACTAAAATCGCCCTGCTAATCAGTGTTTCATAGATGTTTCGTTTACTAAAAGACTCAATATTAACAACTAATGTACTACTATATTATAGAGGAGTATTCGCTCAAATAATTTTCCTTAGTACTTTTGATCGTTGATAACACACTAAACTATCAACTCGAAACTTCTTAAAAACGAATAAATATTTTCTTGGTTACAATTTTCATAACGCAAAATTCTGATATAACAAACTATGGCTGAAAATGAAGATTGAAGAAAATACTATCCTTTCGTTCTTTTACTTTTCGATCGTCCTGATATATTATCTGATTAAAATAAAATTTATATAAAGACTATCGAGATTAGCTTTAACCGATGTAAATATTATCATTCTTGTTTTACCTGGATCACGTAGTATGGCTTTTGTAATACAACAAGTAATTGAATTAAGCAGATTTTTCTCCGACATATGCGCAACATTATTTATCACTGTTTGTTCATAAGCATTGTCCTCCTCCTCAGTGGTTGCACTCGAAGCGGTTGCTTTCGACTTCGCAGGTTTTTTATCATTATGATTATTCTGATGATGATAATGGTTTGTTGTCGCTGGCGCTGGCGCTGCTATTGACGTTGGATATCCGCCTTGATAAAGAGTGTGCGTTACAAAATAGTGATCGTTGGTCAAACTCGTAGCAACATGTGCAGGAATGAATGATATACAAAGATCATCATTATAGCTTGTACCATAATATGATCCACCACTTGCTGAATGTGACGAGGAGGCTGCTGCAGAAGCAGTCGTACCTTCAGTTGTGTCATTTGATTCGGGTTGAAGATGTTCAACGTATTCAGCAAATGGTATTTTATTATGTTCACGTGCAATTTGACTGATAGTTTTGCCTTCAGCAAGTAGATCAAGTTTAAAATGGCAAATTGTGCTTAATTCTTTAAATTTATCGAGTTGTCCAACATAAGCAAGATGATGCGCTAAATAATAACGACGATACGGTGGTTTTTCGTTGACAATATCCGGTTGTGCGGTAATGCATTGTTTAACTAACTCCCATTTACGCTCTTTAGCATTATTTAGTAATTCATCAACAGCAACAAGTCGTTCAATACGCCGTAACATATTCGGATAAAGTTGCGAACGTTCAGTAGCAACATCACGAACAGTTTTGCCATCTCGTGCTTGAAAAAGAAGACGAAATTGTGGATTACCTGCTTGTAGAGCAAGAACTTCATTCAAGTGTATGACATCCCCAGAAAAAACGATTTGATGTAGCATTGTCCATGAACGACCTAGAAAAGAAAAAAAACGTGTTCTAACACTATTTATTTCAACAATTATTCATTGCAGACCATCAGGAATTCGAGTTAACCAATCCGCATGCGCTAATAATGCACCAGAGACTTTTTCCCACGTACGATTTAATTTTGCACATTCATACGCTTCTAAAAACGCCGTATCGGGATTCATTATTTGAGAAGGGTGTGGTCGTGCCAGTGGATGTGAGGGTGCAGCTGTTGGCGCTGCTGTATGATTTCCAACATCTCCAATAGTATATGATGGTAATTGACCACCCATTGGGCTTGACGGTTGTTTAGACATTCAATGAATTTTTATTTTTTCTAAAAGCAAAAAATCATAGATCAACTTTATGGCTGAGTTCGGTAGAATGAGAAAGAAAAAATGGGCATCCACTAGGTAACCAGTGCACATGAGTTTTTTGTGCCACTTATAAATTTGAATAATTCTGCGTAGGAAATGGTAGAAATGCAGCTCGTTTTTACATTTTCTTTTTTTTTCTTTCGACGTCTACTGCGTGCTTGAGAACAAAGAACAAATACAAGTAGGAAAAAAGGAGAAGAAAAGTATTCAGAAGCATCGATACTGCTTGTAACCAACACAACGTGCTGGTTGTGTCGCTAAATTTTTCGACACTCAAAAATAAAAATGAAAGTTGCGCCGTTTTCGATGCTAGTATGATTTCGGCGAAAGCTGGGATTTCTACTTTCAAATTCGTTTCAGAAAAAAAGCAAAGAAAATGAAGTATTCATCAAAAGGGATGCGTACCATGTTGCCGATGCTGTCTTAAAAATATCGTGACTAACTCACCTGAATGATGACATAAAAGTGATTAGGAAGAAGCAGACAGATCGCATGCATAATTTTGCACCGCTCTATTGAGTTGTTTTTTTTTTTTGAAGGACCATTAGAGAGCGACGAAAAAACGTCGACACACTATTTTCAGTTCTTATCTTCTTTTATTTTTTCTTTCGAAATTCGAGAATGACACATAAATAAACAGTACTGGCAAGACCTGGACTACACAAGGAAATTAGTGAAGGAACATGTTTCATAATATTTTTATACTCGCGTTATTTTATCAAAGAAAAAAAACATATCTATGACTAACTGTGCAAATGTTGATTGTTTATCGCAAAAATAGATTATTCTAAAAAGGAAAGTAAAAGACATATCTGCATGGTTCTCATGTTTAAATCTAAGTGTTGTTGTAGTCAAACGAGTTTAAAACGACTTTTTCTATTATCGATATTACTTAGCTTTACACAAAACAAAAATGAAAATGTTAATGATACAACTTGCAATTTTCTTGTCACTCAAAATATTAGTATCATAAAATTGTTAAAATACTGTCATTATCTTTTCGACATATCATGCAATATGAATGCACGCTAAAATAATGCCCCGCTAGTCAATAAATAACTAATAAAACGCTTTTGGCATGAAAAACACAAAACGAACGCTTTATTAATTATGAATATCGGTACATCGGATTATTCCTCTGAGTACTAGCATGATTCATTGAAACCAATCTATTGTAAATTTCAATTAATTAGAAAATTTCTTTTTCTCCACTCTCCTATTCATAGCTCAATACTGAATGATGCCATTGATCGATTTCTTTACTCAAAATAGCATTTACCTTTGAGGAGAATTTCTTCGTTAGTTTTATCATAAAATAAAGATCGTTGGATTCAAAATAATTCGGAAGAAAAATTTATTATCTACCAAAAAAGAAAAAAGAAAAATATGAGAAAATGTTAGCTTCAACTCTTAATCAGGAGACAAGAAAGTGGCCCTTGTCTATAACGATCTATACGATGCACAAGATTCGTATTTTAAACATGTAAAGCAAAAGACACTGTTCACATTCCATTATAAGCTGGACCTTCTCCGCCTTGTGGTGTCACCCAATTAATATTTTGTCGTGGATCTTTTATATCACATGTTTTACAATGAATACAATTTTGCGCATTTATCTGCAATTGACGTTGGCCCAAGTCATTTTCAACAAACTCATAAACACCTGAGAAAATGATTATATTTCAATCAGAATTCAAAAACAATTTTACCTGCTGGACAAAAACGTTGTTCAGGTCCGTCATAAATAGCTAAATTAACACTTGTTGGCACGCTATCATCTTTAAGGGTTAAATGTGGTGGTTCATCGTTATCATGATTTGTATTCGTTAGTGAAACACTTGATAGAAGATCAAACGAAACTACATTATCAGGTTTAGGATACTCAATAGGTGTACAATCTTTTGCTTCTTTCAAACATGTATGATCGGGTGCTAAATTGGTAAAAAGAAGAAACGAAATGACAATATAAAATATGATTTAAATAATAAAATAAATGTTTACTTTCATGTTTAAGTGTAATTGGTTCTTTACCACGTAGTACAAAATGAAGAGCTCCATAAAATATAGCACCAAATACGCCTAATGGTGTATTAAATGATGGACGGAAATTACGTACGCTATACAGTTCTTTCCATAACCAACTATTTTTAATGCGATTTTCATAATCAACTGGTTCTATTCCTTAACATTTTGAAATGAAATCATGATAGAATAAAAGTCGGATTAGCTGTGTTTTTCGCTGATACCTTTTGTTTTACTGTCAGTAGTTGGTTTTGATAATAAACCAAAAATTGATTCAGCAGCTACAATACCAGATTTCATAGCCGTATGAGTACCTTTAATTTTCGGTACATTTAAAAATCCTGCACTACAACCAGATATACAACCACCAGGAAATGTAAGTTTTGGGATAGCCTAGGAACATAAAAAAAAGACAAAATATATAAAGAAAATATTTCTAACGAATGTTTCATACCTGAAAACCACCTTCATTTAATGCACGAGCTCCATAACCAATACGTTTTGCATTTTCAAAGAATGGCCGAATTTTTGGATGAGTCTTAAAACGTTGAAATTCTTGATATGGATTTAAATACGGATTTTTATAATCTAAAGCAACCTAAAATAGATATAATAGATCAATACAAGAGACTTCTTGAAATTACATACAACATATCCAACAGCAACCAATGGTTGATCATTATCGACTAGATGATATATAAAAGAACCACCATATGTATGCGTGTCCTACAGCAAAACAAATTTTTATCAGAATGAACGAGTTCACCAATCTATTAATGACGGAAGAGCATGAATAACGTCATAGTCAAATTTAGGAATAGCATTTCAAAATGAAGTTACACACATAAATAGAACGGGCAAAGTGACCTAACTGATTGATCATTTTTGAGTCGGAACTACCAAACGAGATTGTCTCCACCGGAAATGAAGATTATAATTGAATGTTCCATCATTGTTTTAAACGGATTGTCTTATAAATGAAGCATGATGTAGGGGAAAGATAACACGAAAGAAAGTTCCAGTGGGGCATTAAATACATCTCAAAATGAATTTTTCCGAATTCTATTCGAACGGTTCTCGATTGACTGAAGTCAAAACCGGCTGCTTAACTAGATCTCTAGTTGTGATTAAATAAATCATGTTTTATTGTAAAATTAAACTCTAAAAATTAGTTTATCTGATGTTTCTCGGAGAGAACTAACGTAAGACATTCATTAAGAAATAAGCCTGAAGTTTGAATTCATTCCAAGATATTCATCGGTGATAAATATTTCAAAAGATATATCTTCAACATAAATCGACTTACCATAGGCCATCCAGCTGTGTGTAAAACAAGGCCTGGTTCATGTTTACTTTTGTCAACTTCCCACATTTCTTTTAGACCAATACCATACGTTTGTGGTGTACAATTTTTTCTTAAATCAAATTTTTGGAACAGCTGTTTAGCCAAATGACCACGACAACCCTCAGAGAAAATTGTATATTTTGCATGTAACTCCATGCCACGTGCAAATGAATCCTTAATAAAAAGAAAAGACATTGATTATGCTCAAAAAAATAGAATATATTTTTTTTTTCAAGAAATAATTACTTTAGGTGAACCATCTTTAGCAATACCAACATCATTAGTTGCTATACCTTTCACACTGCCATCATCATGATACAAAATCTAAGCCACATAATAATCATCAATCAAAAATGTCAAATGCAAGAGGACAAAGTACAAACCTCGCTAGCTGCTGTTGCTGGATACATTTCTACGCCAGCTGCTTCAGCTTGTTCGCCAAGCCATCCAACTAGTTTACCCAAACGAACGATGTAATTACCATGATTATACATTGGAAGTCCTTAAATAAAATATTCATTAACAAAATTAATCGAATATGCCTATTACCTTTGATGATCGGGATTGGAATTGCTGAGGTTTTCGTAAGAAAATAAAAACGATCTTTGGTAACTGGATTGTTTACCGGGGCACCTTTTTCTTTCCAATCTGGTATTAATTCATCAAGTGCTCGTGTTTCAATACAAGCACCAGATAATATATGAGCGCCTACAATAAAAAAAAAACTTGCTTATTTTTCTTTTTCTTAATATTTATTATTTTACCAAAGGTCGACGCTTTTTCAATGACACACACTCGTAATTCTTTACTTTGTTGAGCAGCTAATTGTTTCAGTTTAATTGCAGCTGAAAGGCCAGGTGCGCTGGAGTTAAGGAACCTAGATAACTTTTATAAGAACTTGAAAAAAACAGGACAACTCAAGAAATAATGAATAGAAAAGGATATATGGTCCACCACCAACAATAGCCACATCGTATTCTTCTGTATAACGTTCCATATTGACATCTATAAAGAATTGATACAAGAATATGATAGGAAAAGTTGTTCAGTTAGAAATGAAAGGAAAAAAAACAAAATACCTTTCCATCGTTCATCTTTGTCTCTTGGATAAATTGTATAATGTGTCGTTATTTTGCGTGGTGTTTCTGTTGAGTTGCAGCGTGTTGACGAAAACGAAGGTCGTACTGAACGATAAGGAAGAATGTGAGTAGAGTTCGTTTCTTTTTCAATATATACATACTTTGTTTAATTATTGATGACTGAAGACAAAATCGAAGTGGATACGACATTCACGACAAACAAAAAATATCTATCAATAACTTTAAAAGAACCAAATATATCATATTATTTTATCTACTATGTTTTTCAATCTTATCTGAATGTGCAGCACAGTCGATATCCAAAATAAACACACACACACACACACACACACACATATACACGAAGAGAGCAAAAACGAACGAACGCAACGAGAAACTTTTATCTGCGGTTTTTTTCATTGAGCATAGGAAAAGTTACAAAGCAGCAGAAAAAAAATATATAGATAGATATATACAGACATGTATATATTTAGTTAGGCGCTTAAACGATGATCGTGTGATGTTCTTGGCATAATTTTTCGTTGCTGAAAAAAATTTTCCTTTCCAACTTTCAATCGTCGTCGTCGACGACGTTTTGGTTTTTGCATAGAATTTATACTATTATTCGTATTATTTGTTATTGTCGATTGTTGATTGTACATTGTTTGAAGAAAATCTTGTGTAACAACAATACATTTTGTGTACGGTACCGATACAGAAACTCGTGGTGATGCATCAGTAAGAGATTGTCCCATTTGTTCTGATAGTGTTTCATGTTGTAAAGCAAATAATTGTTCTATAGAATTAAAATCATCATTTTCATTATTAACTACCGACGGTAATACCGACGGTATTGGCGTCTCAGGCAGATAATTTTGATAATCCATTGGCGGTGTTTGACTAACTAAATCATTTAAAAAATCATCATCAAAATTTAAATCATTGGTACTTTTATCTAATAAAAATGTGATTTGATCATTTTCTTCGTTACGATTTAATTGTGAAACGATTTGTTTTGATAAATTAAAAAATTTTTGAAATTCGCTAACTTCACGGTCGTTGTCAGGCGTACTCTCGTGTTGATATTTTTCATAATTTGCATAGAGATTTGAACGTAGTTGATTGAGATGTTTACTTTCATCGAGAAAATTTAAAAATGTTTTTGACATATGTTCATTTTCAAGATATTCAAGGATAAGCAATGCTTCATCTTTTGCCGATAGATTATTCTGAGACATTTTTTTTTAAATAAAATAAAATCAAAGTTGCGTTTTTTTCTGTACACCTATCGAAATAATTAAACTTATCTAAAAAAACAAATTTATTTTTGCGGTCAGTCTTTGTGGGATGAGAAATAAACTGATGACACTAATTTTTTTCTGTTTCTTTTGTTCTTTTAGTCAAAAGAACAAAGTATAGTCAAATGAAAAAGAACTAATCAAGAAAATCGATAGATGTCAGACGATAATAGAATTTTTTTTTTCTGAGACAGACGATATGAATGGCAAGACAAACAGAGCGTAACTGTACAAAAAGAAGCGAGGTGAAGAATTTAATCAGGAAATTAAGAGACAAAATAGAATGTATAATTAATAAACATCTTGCATCGAGGAGTTTGATTGATGATGAAAAGTTGCGTGACGATTTTAAGAAATATAACAAAGACATGGCAATGCTTTGCTCGATGTTCACTATTACTCTTGAATGTGCTAAACTTTCCTCGACGTGAAGGAATGTGTTAGAAACTAAGAGCAGATCGATAAATTCGATCATTCCTTTTATATTCAACTTATATGAGTAGTGATAAACTATAATTAGAAATAGTCTGTTTTTTATTGTTCTACAGGTTGTAATACACTTGAGCTTTATTCCAATGATTTACAGCTTTTTTAATTCTTCAAAATACGTTTCAGTGTAGAGCGACACCTAACGTTTGCAATTAACTACGAGATTAATTTCAAGTTGACTATGGTCAAGTTTTCATTTTAATAGGCCTACTATGTTAGATGCGTCGAATATCATCACCATCAGGGGGCTATGCTGAAGAGAGAGACGTCACGGAAGAATATCCGGAAATTTTTACTACCGATGGGGATACTTGTGAGTATGTTGAGCTATCCAGCGCATGTAGAAGATGAGATCTGATTTTGAAGTATTGAAATACAAGTAAGTAGAAAATTTAATTTTTCGATACGATGGAACAATATCATAAAAACCCAAGATTCTTCTTTTCAAATCAATCATATACTCAGCTCGATAGTTATATAAAATAAATTTCGTTTGAACTTCAATACAATGATATTTTATAATTCGCTTGCTACATTTAACGCTTTAAAGAAAACTTATCTTATTCTTCTCTACTTTCATCAATTTTCAATGGATTCATCCTTACAGTGGTTTGTTGAGTACGGAATCTTAAGCTACAACTGGTTTATGTCTAATTTAAATTTAGAACCAATATTCAGCAGATCCAATCATGCACGTTCTCTTTCTGCTATAAAAAAAAAGAAGGGACATATTCGCATCGTTTCTTGAACTCTCCGACCATCGATTCCAAATTTTTTGAGTAGGTCCATCAATTAGATATTGTAATTCCCACATCTTTTTTTTTAACAAAGGCAATACTTATTCAGAACATATTTTCTTTCGAGAATATCTCCTAGTTAAAATTTTCTATAATAAAAAAAGGATTTCGCAATCAATTTTCTCAATATTAATTGAAGGTACGCGTATGTTTTTTTCAACTAGCTGACTTTTGTTTTATTTTATTTATTTTTTCATTATGCTTTTTCATAACAGACAGAAACAGCTTGTGGTGCAGGGCATTGACCGCCGAAATATAAATCTTGCATCATACCAAGTTTAAAGTCTGCACATTGACGATGAGCAATCTCTTGCGTTTCAAGAAGTTGTTCGTTAGCATCAAACAATTGATAGATGGTTTTTGTTGCTTGAAAGATAAGTGTTACTTTATACCATGAATCAACTAGTAAACGAGTTGAAAATTCTTTCAATAATGTACCCTGATTTTCAAATGGTTTAAGACTATTATCATAAGCATAGGCAGCTATTTCGATTAAATTTGCATCAGCACAATTATCATTTTCACCAACGACATGTCCGGCCTCATAACGAAGACAACTTCCAACACGACGAAACACAAATCGATCGGAATCTTTATGATTACTTGTTAAATAACCACATCGACAAGCGCCCCATAATTTATTCCATGACGATGTACATAAGTGACCTTTAGGATCTGTCGATGGAAATAAATAAGTAGCAGAGCTATTTGTAAATTGGACACGTGATGAAATCGTTTCCGCAGATTTAAAACCATGGAAAGGAATTAATGATGTATAATGGGCACCTTGCTTTACTGTACGACACTCTGCCGAGTTTACGGCATTGTTAGCGATGAATATCGTAGCGATTATGGTCAAAATGAACAACATTTTTATTGATTGAATTTTCTATACTCCAATCGAACAGCTTTATTTCTTTTGTTTTGGATAGATATAAGTACTAATAAATATTATCTATACACCTGCGCAATCGAAAAGATTAATATGATATCTAGCATTGCCACGGGTCGATAACGAGTGCAATAAGTAATTGAATGAATAACAAAGAGATCAATCGAAATTGAAGCTTATAAGTAATTTTTCTGATCGTTGTTGTTTTTCGAAATAGTAAGTAAATGAAATTTATACATCTGCCAGTGAAAATATCAAAATAAAAATAAAATACTCATTGACAGTAAAAGCCATCATTGTGCCAAAAGAAAATCTAGTACTATATATTTTATATGCTACAAATTGTAACATTAAAAAGTGTAATTCAAGATTTTTAACTCCTTAAAATTCCTAGTCAATAGACGATTCAATTATGAATGATATTCAAACTGTAGTACGGGAGCGCAATTCAAGAAGATCTATCAATTAAATTACATCGAACTTCCCTCATAGGTTAATGTTAAACCATATCCATATTAAATATCTTACGCCAATATAATCGATAGGACTTTTTTTCTTCACAAACTTCGTTAAGTCTGTTCGATACTGATAATAAAGTATCGTGTCTCACCCTGTTCACTTTGAAAATATTATACGAAGATCTTGTATCGACATAATCATACGAATGTTTATTGTAAAAATGCTTTTACTTCTTTTATTCATCTGCTCGGTGATCTTTGTGTTCCATGATGAAACATGCTTTAAAACTGTGAGAAAAACAAAAAACACACGCGTACAAATTGGACAACTTGAAATAGTAACAATAGAAGCTGTACACCGCACTAGTAGATCCTTTTCGATGCAAGCAGACAAAACAAAAACAAAAAAACACATCTAAGATAATAAAAGTCAATTTAGTGCATAAATATTAAATAATCGGAAAGGATAAAAATAAACAAAACAAACAATCACGGAATACGAAACTTACACACAAAATAGAGCAATAAAAATGAAACGTAATATTTTAACTGTCAAACTGATGAGAGATTGTTATTCTCGAAATATAAGATCTGACTCAGGCAATGAGGCAAATAATAACGAATGAAATCATTGAGATTTTTAGTAAATAAATCATTCAATATTTTTATACATTTCTTCAATTTGTGTTTCAAAATATTTTCCCACTTCAGGTCGTTTAGTCTTCATTGTTGGTGTTAAAAGATTATTTTCTATTGAGAATAATTCAGGATGTAGATAAATATCTTTCGACTATAGAAAGAAAAATTGTAATCAAGCACAAAATCAATCATAATAAACATACCATTTCAAAGCCTTTTAATGAATTGGCTTTTTCTAATTGTTTCATATCATTAAGTATTAGGTCTTTTATTTCCTAAACAATCGCCAACGTGACTACGATAAAAACATAACAAACAATCTTACCTTTTTCTTACACAATTCCTCCATATTACCCGTAATATTCTTTTCACGAGCATATTTTTCAAGAACTTCAGCATCGGGAACAATAATAGCTACTGTAAAACTCTAGAAAAATGATCAAAATATCTTTTAGAAAAGTACACATAATTATCAATAATTTTACCTTATAACCATTACCATAAACAAATACTTGAGCAATATATTTACTATGAATATAAATATTTTCAATACGTTCTGGCGCTACGTATTCGCCCTAGAATGAATTATAGAAAAAATATTTTAAAGACAAGTTCAATAATCTAGAAAATTCGTTAGGAAAAGAAAAAAAAATATGCATAAATCGGTATCTCAAGAAAAGTATGAGCAATCATATAGATACTCGACATTTTCAGAATCCGCGGGATATTTCCTGAGCTAGAACAATCGACTAAACTCGCGATTCTCTACAGCCTTAACAATAGGATAGAATTCTATTCTATTTTCAACATACTTGTGATAATTTAAACATATGTTTCTTTCGGTCAACAATTTGAATTTGCCCAGTCTAAAAAAAAAAATAAAATACATTCGAATAAGTATTTCATCTTTTCTTACCGGTACCCATCTGGCAACATCTCCTGTATGTAACCAACCTTCACTATCCAATGCTTCTCTTGTTTTTTCTTCATCGTTAAAATATCCTTTGAATACATTTGCACCTTTGATACATAATTCTCCAACGTTATCTTTTGCAAAATATTGCATGTCTGGTACATCAGCTAGTTTAATCATATTACAATTTAACGGTACACCAATATTTCCTGTTGTTGGGTCACCAAGCATTTGACACGTTGATATACCACAACATTCTGTTTGTCCGTAACCTTCAACAACATAAGCACCGCAAACACGTTTAAGAAATTCAAGAATCGGTGGTGATAATGGCGCAGCACCGCTAACAATTAATTTAACTCGTCCACCAAGACGTTGCTGAATACGTTTTAAAACAAATCGATCCCAAATCATATGACGTTTAATACGATGTTTTTCAACATCATGCGATTTGGCTGCTAGAGCTTGATTGAAGAGAAAACGTTTGAACGAATTTAATGGACGAATGGTTGCTTGAATATTATCATACTAAAATAGAATGAAGAATAGAATGCAAAAATATAGGAAACAATATTTTACCATTCGATTAAGAAGTCGAGGTACACAGGGCATTAATGTTGGTTTTAAAGCAGCGAGATCATCAGCTAATTGACGTACATCACCTGAAAAATAACCAATTTTAAAGCCATTACATAAACAGTAGAGCTGAAATGGAGAATAAATAAATATTTATTTAGAAACAAAATGTCGCTATTAATCGTTTACTTCAATTGTTTGTTCATATGAATGAGCTAATGGTAAATATGAAATAATTGTTTCCAATTCAGTGAAAACTGGACTCTAAAAATAAATAAGCCAATGAAATGCTATATAAAAAAATTAAAAAATCTTTCACTTACGAAAACTTCCGTAGCTGCTTGAGCCAAACAGACCACATTTTTATGTGTTAACATAGCACCTTTTGGTAAACCAGTTGTACCGCTTGTATAACATATTTCAAACATATCATCAGGTGTAGGTGGCTAAAAGTAAAAACTTGGTTTGCTTCTTCTTTGTTGTTTTAATTTCTTACATGATGAGCTACTGGTTTTGATCGGCCAAGATCCTTGAAAAATAAATAGAATTAGAATTTAAAAGGACGTCAACGGACGAAACGTAATATTCTTCACTATTTTCTTCAACGGTAATACAGTTTAAACAGTTCAGAGAGAACATTTCATTAGTCGAAACAAATTCCTGTCAGGAGAACTAATTGTCGATCTTCCATTTTTAGGTTTGGCTGACAAATTTCAAGGAAATAAGGATGAACAACATTGTAGTTTTTTTCTCGGCTCTTTTAAGATTTTGTGAAAAGGAGTGTATTGAAAAAAAGAATAAATTTCTGAACACAATAAAAATATCTGCGAGCTCTGTGCGACCGAACTTCAGTAGACTGCGTTGATAGGAGCCTTAGGCGTAGAAATACAGTAAATTGTTATAAAAACAATAACAAAAAGGTTTTTACACCTATGACATTCTTTAAATATAGATTATGTGGAGCACTGACATGTTGTAATCTATTTCAATCTTCTATTTTGCTTGAAAATCCAAAAGATTGGTCATTCGCATGGAAATCTGCCCATGTGAATCCAACAAGTATCGTTCTCGTGCTAAAAAATTGCTTTAACTGTTCTAATCTGTTTTCCTATTAGTTCTAATTGTTACCGTTGAGTATGAAAAATACTTCATTTCTCCTTCGCATAGGATTTTCTTATGTAAAGACTTACTCGTAATTGAGTATATGTCATAATTTCAATGGCAACTTCTTTAGCTTTATTTATTATTTCCGTATTTTTATCACTCGGCAATTGTTTAGTAAGAATTATTCGTTTTAATGTTGGTACTTGACTGGCAAGTTTAATCAAGCATAGGACATTTTCAGGTTTATCAACAAATATTGTCTTTAATGAAGCTAAACAAAAATAAAAGAATATCATTAAGTTTTTTCAAAGAAATGACGTAGCAAAAATAAGAGTAATATACTTTGATTAATTATATGAACAATAGCAGGTTCGCCTAGCGTATCATAAAGTGGCACATAAATCATGCTATGAAAATGGCATGCCAAAGCTGTTGTCATCCACTAGAAATTTAATTTGACTTTTAAGAAGAAAAAACATGCAGCTTTGTTAAATCTTACCTCAACACTATTAATTGTATAGATGCCAATAAAAGTATTTTGTCCATGATTTTCACCTAATTCAATAAGTGCACTACCGACTTCAGTAGCAGCTTGATCTGCCTATAGATGAAAATATTCATGTAAATATTTAATCATTTCATTATTTCTTACTTCTTCATAGGACACCCATTGATACGGCGATTGACGATCGACTCTATAACCTAAACATCGTTCGTCACCTGCAATAGATAAGATAAAGTAAATGAATAAATATTTTTTCGATAAAATAATTGGACTAACCCCGTCTGGTCGCAATGGCTTTGCCAATTTGAAAACCTTCGTAAAATGTCGCAAATGTACGATCATCAATAATAGATTTCCCTATTGTTGATAAAGGTCGTGAACCAATTGAAGCAGGAATCCGTGCTTCAGCACATCCTTGTGCCTAAAAAAAAAAGTATTGCAAGACTATTGACATACGTTTGATTACGGACGAAAAAAAAAGCACTTCATTCAGTTTTTTTTATGTGTTATTGAATAGCTCTGAGTACTTGAAATTTCTAAGTAACTTTTGGTTGTTTTGATGTTGAATAAATAAAAAAATGGCATATTTCAAAGGTCGGAAAAAAAGACGAAGCTCACGCCTCAACCGTCAAAGTAATTGCGTTTGTTTTTATTTTACATTTTTGGAAGAAAAAAGTACTCGATTAATAATGTTTCTTTTTTGATCAAACCTTTCGTGTGTGTATTCTTTTTAAAATTACAATTAAGCGAGAGAAAGAAATACTAACCTGAGCTGATATTGTTAGTCTTTGCCAATTTGTATCTTGGTTCATTTCTTCAGTAGCGAAATCTTCGACAAGTAATGATGATAATTTATCTTTATGCCGATGAATAACCGCAGCAGCAACAAGAGCAAGCGCACCACCGACAGCTAATGTTGTCTGCAGAGAAGGTGAAAAATTTTCATCAGATACCAATCTATCCATCTTTTATTTATTTCAATCTATGATTTTTATTGTGTGCACGTGTATATATATATATATATATATATATGTATGATTAGTTAGTTAATTAATTAATTAGATGCAACAGATATCGAATATATTAATATCAGTGTCAACACAAACTAGAAAAACAAAAAAAGCATATTTAAATGGTAAAAGTAGAAAACATATTAATGCTATTAGTATTTTTGGGTATGCTACCAACGCAACGCGAACAGAAACGACAGAAAGTAAAAAACACTCCTCATGTACATTTGCAGTACATATATTTACATGTATTGACCTATACTTCAAATTATGTAAAAAATCAGCGACAATGAAACTCGTAGGCACATCAGGAAAATGAACCGATGATTCATCGATACGACGTCATCGTGTACAACATAGTATTCTACGTAAATGCATGAATGAAATGTTGTCATCATATTACATACTCAATTTCCATCATCTTAGTTCTCCTGTTGACATTTTGTTAATAATGGTGATGAGTATTGACACACCTCCGTATAAGTCTAATACTTGTTGTTATTGTTGTTATTATTCGTCATTTTTTTATACATATTGAAATTTTTATGGTCAAATAATATTAGAAGCAAAGCATACACACGCAAATATTGTTATGCTTGATAAGGAAAAAATATCTGTTACAATTCTAGTTCATTTACCTTTCACGAGTTTTTTATTGAATAAATACGATAAGAAAATTGAGTTATAAAGAACTTTTCGAAACTTGTTTACACGACGAGTTTACGGCGATGAAAACTAATGTGCCAACCTAATGGCAACAAACTGAAAAATAATAAGAGTGATGATGACAGTGCTGCTACTGCTCTAGAGAGGACGAAGAAAAGAGAAGGAAAAAGAAGAAAAAAAGAGGAACGAGAGAATGTACAATGACTTCAGATTCTTTGCAAAGATCTGTGAGGAGGAGGAAGAGGAACAGAGAAAAACTACGCCACACAAAAAATGGCCACACCTTCAAAAATAATTGACCAATCAGCACATGCCAATTCACATATTAGTTTTGACCCTCCTCTACGCTTGTGATCGATCGATATCGTTAATGGTTATTTTTTCACAACAAGAAAAAAAAACCTAACTCACAACTACATATCTACACGTAATAAACATTATTGTTAAAAAGAAATCTAAATTGAATTGCTACTAAAACTAGTATATAAACAATCATATCTATTAGAATTTTGTCGTTCTTTACACGATTACCTAATAGATTCAACCATAGATACACGATGCACACGATTACACTATTTCAATGTATAGGTCACTTTCACACGTAATATATTCACATAAACGATGGAGAAATTTTCTGGCCTATAAAAAACCATTTATATAATGTCGATTCATTAAACTATACTAAATATAGATTTTTCTCTACAGACGCGAATACCTTGTATATAAAATCTTTTCCCGGATGCCAGTTATATATTAAAGCAAAATGCCAGCAAAATAAGCTAATTGACATCGACGTCTTTTTTAAGATTAAAGTTTTTTTTACATCTGTTGTGAAATAATATTGTTGCTTTCAACAGTTTCTGACAACAAACAAAGCCTAAGTAGAATAATAATGAAAGCAAGGATGAAGAAAAAAAGCATTTGTGTGCATTCTTCGACAGTTCCATACTAGTGGAAGCTGGAAAAAAGGATTCTCTTTCGAGTTCGCCATGCAATGTTGATCAAAAATATGTTTTATGTATATCGAAAGAGAGAGAGAGAGAAAGAGATAGTTCTAAATCGCGTCATTGTTAAGACATTTCCATAGAATGGTAAAACAACATGATCAGCGAACTATATCGTGAGAGATTTTTCTGCTCTTATTCTCCGCTTCACATAAGTATTGATTCAAAAAGTATCCGAAACAATGAAGTAAAAAAAAAGAGCAAATTTTGTTTGGTTTTTCACACGACACATCACAAATACTTTCAAAACCAAATGCAATGAGGAAAATACACTATTCGCATTGAAAAATGTCTATTGGTTTAAAACAGTGATTAATGCGTTCTTGTCGTCATCGTTTAATAATAATCCTGGAAATATAAGTTGGACACGAAAAATAAGTTTTACTTAAATATCTATTTCTAGTTATGGCTTCGAATGAAAACAATCTGAATCTTTTGAACATGTGTTACAGCTGTAACTCACGTATGCGATCATTGATTTTTGTGCTCTTGATTCGATGACTCAATTATCAAGCTTTGACTACGTTGACTAGCCTTCGGAAAACTTCATCGAAGAAAAAGAATAAGAAGAAAACTATGCTAGAGATGATTAATTGCTAGAATAAAAGAAATCTCAAATCAATAAATTTCAATCAAATCCAATCAAAATACTTTTGTCAATTAGCGTTCTTGCTTTATATTTCAATCTTTTTCTTATGTTTTAGAAAACAAATTTAATAGATATTATAACTAATTTAATAATTTGTTAACGTCAACAGATGACACTATTGTACAACAACTTGGCAGTTGAGTGATTATTATTACTTGGCCATTTGTTTCTTCTTCCGTGTCATGCATAGTTTGTTGCCTGGCCGTTCTGGCGCATTCTCCTTTCTGTTCTTTCATTTGTCTTCACATCACAATATTGTACTGTGCTTCGTCGTTATTCTATTGCCGATCAGATTAGCATCTCTCTTATCGTTGCTGATTTTCAACTTTGACCTTTTCTCATTCTACTAGCCATCTTATTTCTCATTATTCACATTATAAGATGTGAAGAAAAAAAGAGAACAACGCAATAATCATCATCACAATCTAATTCAAGTTAAAATCTTGAATTGCACTATCAGTTCATTCGAAGTAGACATTTTATGCTCCTGTTGTTAAAAAAAACATACTTTTTCATAAGCCATATGTGTGATTCTATATTTTAATTTAACCAAAGTCAAATACCAGCAGAAAGTGTCGCATAGTTTCTTTTGAAAATCAAACATTTTCTTCATGTATGATTAATCTATGTAGTTGTTATTTTTTAATTTAAAGTCATACTCAAATGCAATAGATATTTATCAGAAGCCTTAAACGGATTATTTTAGATATTCATAACGAATTTATAGGAGTATAACCTGTTTATTCGTATGCGATTTATTGACTTCTTTTTCTTTTTTTTTATGAATGGTTTCTTTAACAAAACTGCAAAGGGATAAAATAAATATGGGTGAAAATATAGTTGCGACTCAACGCGATTAATTATTGGCAAAGTTTTTCTGGTCATTCGAATCTAAAAAGATTGATAAGATCAGAGTTGCCACCTCTTCCGCTTTTTGCGGAAAGTTTCCGCTATTTTCCCGCTGTTCCGCTTTTTCGTATAAAACGTGTTGCATATCAAACCTACGTACAGAATAATATTTAATATTATTCCCATGTCGCGAAAATCGTGCCGATTTTCATGATATGGATTGAATCAATTCTTATTGTTTACAAATACCATGAGCCATCATTCTTTTATGTTTTGAAACATTGATGAAATAAAAAGAAATCCAGTAAATATGAAAAAAAAATGCCTAATATTCTCAGAAGCACTACAAATCTGCAACAATATAAGTTTCCGGTTTTTCTGTTTTCCTGTCCGCTATTTTCCGCTTTTTAAGATCAGTTTTCCGCTTTTTGGACTTTATCAGGTGGCAACCCTGGATAAGATTCATTAGATTTTTCTATTGAAATAAATTGTGAAAATTCAATAAAAAAAGATAATCGTATCTAAAGATCTCTATCAAAAAGAAATATACTTGTCCTGAAGATGGATAACAACTGCAGATAGATATAAATAATGAAGATGTATTGTACTTAACAGTTGTGTCAACTAGCGCCAACTACGTTTTTAATATTCAATAAAATGTAGACAATATTCTTTCCTATTAAAACACGAAACACAAAATGCATACCTTATCAGTTTATTAATGATCGTTCATCAATTTGGATTCTACATGAATTGAGTATAATGGTACTATTTTGTAATTGATTCAAGATTGACCAATAGAAAAACAAATTGCAAAAATTTTGAAATATCGACAATGCAAAGAAAACTTCTCCATCAGTCATATTAATCAATTATCATCTTAATTTAATATGGCTGACACGTTTAAAGTCCCACCTTTACCGTCAGAAGAACCAAAAGAAGATGATACAGTCACTTCATCAACTGTTGAACAAGAAGAAACTTCACATGCACCATTCGTCAAACCAGAATTACCACCAACCAATTTTTCAGCACCAGTTCGTCATAAAAATTTACATTATACTGTACCTGAATCATCTACAGTTCCACCAATAGAATATACACTTGAAGTATTACGAAATGGTTCTATTATTGATTATATTGCACTTTCTAATCGTCCATATACAGCTTTCGGTCGTTCACCGGATAGTGATGTTGTACTTGAACATCCGACTATTTCACGTTATCATGCTATTGTACAATATAAATCTGAATTTGAACATGGTCAACCAGCTGGTCTCTATGTATACGATTGTGGTAGTACACATGGTACATTTGTTAATAAAAAACGTCTTGAACCAAAAACTTATGTACGCATTAAAATTGGTTTTATTATTAAATTTGGACAATCAACAAGACTTTACCTTGTCCAAGGTGATACATCAGCTGAAGCCGAAAGTATTGATACGTCTGCTGGTGATGATTTAACACATGAAAAAATGAAACAATTTCATGCTAAACGAGCTAAAGTGCTTGCTGCTGTTCGTGCCAAACGAGAAAGTGCTGCTAATGAAGCCAATACTGATGATAACATTGAAATGGATTGGGGTATGGGATCAGAAACCGATGAATCAGCTGCTGCTGCTGCTGCTGCTGCTTCTACAACTACTGCACCTGTAGTTTCTAAAGAATCAATTCAAGAAATTGAAGCTTTTCAACGTGAAGAAGAAAATAAAAAACGTGCTGCTATTGATGATCTTAAAAATCGACTTGAATATCAACAAGCACAAAATGACAAAAATATACTCAAAGAAATTATGTCACGCGTAAGTTGTTTTTAAAAAAATCTAAACGTGATACAGTGAATTTTGATTGTCTCAGAACTCACAGTCTTGGTTTAATAAGACTGGAATTCAGAATGTTGTATTTTCTTTTTCAACAAAGTTTTGAGTTTTTGCTTTAGAACAATTTTTCTATATTTACTCTCTTTACAGGTCGGTGATCCTTCAAAAGACGACGATGATGAAGATGGTAACAAGAAAAAAGAGCCATTTTATCTTAAAGAACCCAAGCGTACATTAACAGCATTTTTCGAGCGTGAAGGTGCTGAACTTACCTATGATGTTGAAGATCGTCAATTCGGCTCCTTTCGATGTACAATTAAATTGCCTATTGTTGATGAATATGGCCGTGCTGTTCAAGCTGAATGCGAACAAAAACATTGTAAACGTAAAGAAATTATTCAAGAATGTATTATTGAAGCATGCCGTATACTTGATGATCACGGTGTTTTACGTGAAGGCACAGCAGCATCCTCTCTAAATACGCCACGTGTACAGCAAATTAAACGAAAATTACTTGAAGAAAATGATTTTTATGAAGAAGATGAAGATACATTTTATGATCGTACAGGTGAATTAGAAAAAAAACGTCTTAAACGTATGGAATGGTCAGGCCTTCTAAGTAATGAACCACAAGTTGAATCATTTGAATCACTTTGCTTAAAATTAACAAATCTTTATCAAGAACAAGTCGATCTTGAGCATAAATTAGAAATAGCCAAACAAATGGAAGACAATGCAGCAAAAAATGCAGCGAATAGTGAAAAAGATATTGATGAAATTGATTTATATATACGTCAATTAAAACAAGGTGAAAAATTAAATCTCAAAGTTAAATGGCAATGGAGAAAACGCTTGTTAGAAATTGAAAATGAAGAACGACAATTTGCTAAATTACTTAGAGTATGTAAACCTAGAGAATTTAATATTCAATCATGGCGACAAAAATTACGTGAAGAAGCCAAACAAAATTTAATTGCCAAACCATTACCTATACCATCATCGCAATTACCTCATCTTCCGAAACCAGTAATCGAAACTAAACCTACAATTCAAAAAGAACAAATGCCACCACCGCCACCGGTGCACTCACAATCACAATCAGCAGCATCATCATCAGAAGACGTTGAAACTGTTCAACCTGTTGCAGAAGAAAAAAATATTACCGTTGATCCTATTCCAGTAAAAAAACCCAAAAAACAACGAAAACCTGTTCATTCGACTAGTAATTCTAAAGATCAATATGATGATGCTGATCATTATTCTGAAGAAAAATTTGCTGAATGGATGCCACCTGAAAATGAACAAACAGGTGATGGAAGAACAGCTCTAAATGAAAAATATGGCTATTAAATAAAAGTTATTATTTTGTTTTGTTTCGATTTTGTAAATAAATATATGATGATTCTGTATGAAAACGAAATCGTATGCTATGAAGATTGTCTGTGTATAGGCGAAAAGTTTTTACGAGTAGACAATTTCTCAGATAGAGCAGTTCGTAGTTGTCGAAGTATTACTTTTTGACCATGACAATTATCGATTGAATGTTTTTTTCTTCTTTTAACGACAACATTATTTTTATTTGCTCGATTTACAAATACATGAAATCTCTTGACTGTATTGATTCAGTGCAAAATAATGGCAAGTTAATTTTTCATGTAAGTAGTTACAATAAAATTCAAGAACAAACAATAATTCTGTTTTTCTTTTGAGATTACAGAGAGAAACTCACTGAAGGCAATCTGATAATGTAACAGTCATTTGGCATCCCGGAGTAGATGACAAGAGGTTTATTGACAAGGATTATAAAATGGAAGATACGCAAGGTTACTATGCCCTATTCTAGAATTTCATGCATTCGCTAGAATATTTTTATTAGTCACAATGTAAAAAGAGAACATACACCTTACAGATGCTTATCGTACATAAAGTACGATGACGGTTTAAATCTTCGACAAAATAATAAGGAAAATTTATAAAAATGACATTCGAAGATGAACGTCTGTTCATTTTGTATATAAAAAACGAACAAAAACAAGGTAATCGTAAAATGTTAGTTTCGCGAATTTTAACTTCTGCTTTTGACACTCGCTTTGATTATTTTGTTTTTTCAATGATAGATCTTAGCAGTAAACGAAAACTATTCTTCTATAAGTGTTGCTAAGAACAAGACAAAAATTGAGTTGCAAAATCACTGGTTGCTTTTGAAAAATGTATTTAACCAAAGGTCATCGCGAACCATCGCACTAAACAATCAGCGCCTACCAAACGAAAACGATACCTTTATCGTTGACTAGCGTATTTTCTTTTTTCTCGACCGCAAAGTCTTGTTTTTCAGTGAAAGGGCATAAATTACGTTCAATTTCGATTAGATAACGTTACGTTACAGAAATATTGTTCTTGCTTTCTGTTGCATAAATATTTTTTTATTTTCACATATTGCCCATTGCACTAATTGTAGTGCATATCTACAAAAAAAAACTAAATGAATATTTCAAAAAAACACAACAAATACGAAGCTATTCGTCGCTGTAGTCGAAGTCTTTATCTACAACGTATTTCAAAAGCCAATCGGCACATTTTATGGTTGACTTTTGAATATATTCTTCAAATTCTGCATCGATAGCAACAATATTTTCCTCTTCGTCTTCACTTTCATATAAATGAACGGCATTTTCATTCTTTTTTGTCTTTGACTGTTTTAAATCATCTTTATGTATCGCTTGTAGTGGTTGATTATTTGGTGTTGTATATGAAGATTTGACTTTGGAAACTTTTCGACAATATGCTTTCGGAATCGAAGATTTCGTTTTCGATAAAGATTTATGTCGTGATGCAAGAAATGAAGTGTCATTTTGTTGTTCAGTCAATGTATGACTTGTTCGTGTTTGTGTACGATGCGAACGTTGATGAATATCAGGCATATTATGAGTCGATGTTTTGTTATTCTGTAAAACGGGAACTGGCGTTGGCATGGTCGGAGTATTTATTTGAGACTGTTTAGTGAATCCATTTGGCGAATTATAGCTTGGCCAAATTAGCGATTGCTGATTTGCAGTCGATATGGAAGATAAAACAGATGGACGTGACTCGTGACGAGCGGATACATGACCGAGACGTACATCTTTACTTCTTTCAAGTAATTTTTGCGCAGAAAGATTTGAGAAATTTGTTGAGGAATGTGTTGTAGCACCGGCATTACTAAGATTTATTGGTCTAATATCAGTAAAGTCATAATAGGATTGAAGAGTAATACGAGATCTTCGTGCTTGAATTGCTCGTATTTTGTTGTTAACAGCAATTGGAGAACCATTTGCATATATCGATGGATGAGTACCATTTAACATATGACGATGATGGTTTATAGGAAAAGCAATGGCTTCCGATGAGACGTTCATTGGGAATCTAAACAAGAGATCAATCACATTTTTTTATTTTTATGATTAGCATTTCGTGTTTGCAAAAAGACGCAACGAGGAGCAAAAAAATTTGATTCTAATGAACCGTTTTATTCTTGTATTTATAGTAGCTGCAAAGAAGAACAACCGTATGAAGTAGCTGATGCTATTTTAACCGGTGAATCAAACATTTAATTATACAGTAAACTAACAGCTTTTAACCTCTTGAAAACTTACATCAACAAGCCACTTGATGATGTCGACGATGTAGTAGCGGACATCACTGATGTCAAACTATTTTTAGTGGAGTACTTTAAATCAAACGTTCAATGATCTTGAAAAACTATACTGGTTATATTCGACTAATTCTTCTCGTATAAGTTTTAGAGGCGAAGAAGAGCTATATATTCTCTTAAGCCTTTATCGAGGCTCATTACGCTAGAATTTCGTGGAGAAAATATTTTTCTTCCATCTCAAGAATGTTTGTTCCACTCGGCAGACTTGTAATATCGAACGTCACTTATCTGATATAGTGCTTTTTCCAGTCGAAAAAAGATACTTACAACATTTAATAATTTACAATAAAATAAACTATAAAAGTATGCAGATGAGCCAGTTGAAATTTTTTTAATAAGAAGAAGAAAAAACAAAATGTAAAATAGGTGTTGTTTTCTATTATGCACCAAGAAGTATTGAATGATTTCTTTGTCTTTTTTCTCGAATTACTTTTTTTATTACTAGTCGCGTTCGCACAAGAAAAGGCTCCTTTTTATGTAAATTGCTATACGTCTATTTATTTTTCATTTCATGTTGTCAGAAAATAAATTTGTTGTATGTCTGCGTGCCTTGAAAGTCACAATTACAAAGTTATGTATAAGAATAAATATCTATCATTAACTAAATATCTTAGATAAATTTCAATATAGAACAACGTAAAAATCAAGGACAACAGGAAAAAAACTAATATTTCGTTTTCATGTTTGCTTCAAATGCAATCAATGATACAACAATACTGGCATAAAAAGTTATCATAATTACTCATGCGTAGAAAATGAAAAATATAACTTCTCGCTTGCATTCGTTTTTTACAACGAGGTTAATTTTCGTACTCTACATATTGTCTTGTTTTATAAAGGAAGTTCTAAGAAATTATTTTTCATTCAGACTAGTATTAAATACATTTCCTCTTCTATATCTTCTTGAGTACTACTGTTGTCAATGTCAATCACAAGAAACTTCGCACGCAGTAACCAGTCTTAAAGAGACGTCTTATTAATAATTGACACACTGATTTACATACAGTGCATGCGATACTTTGTTAAGTGGCCTATTCAAGTAGTATGGAAATTTTTCCTTATAAGATGAATGAAAAATGAATTCGTTAGACTTATTGAATCGTTAACCTTCGACGAGAGAAATACAAAAATTGTTTTATCATCGATATACTTCTTTCGGACCGAGAGAATATTTGAACAAAAAGAAAAAATGTAAACAGATGACTACATAAAATAACCTTGCTATTTAGTGGTATCTTGCTCTCTTTCTCGCTCGTATTTCTATCATTCGCTTTCATTTTTTTTTCTTACTCGACTTCTATTACTACTTAATTGTTTGTTATTCTTATTCGTTTTGTAAAAGAAATAAAAAGACAATTAATACACTTTGATGTCTATTTGCCTTTGTCAATCTTAATCAAAAGATTAAAACCAAGTAAGAGACTAATCAATACCTGCGCGTGTTTTTGTAGCTATGGTACAAATTCTTTATATTGAAAAACAGAAAATAAACTTTCTATTCCACTTAGCAAAGACATGTCAAAACAGAGAAAAAAAAGTTCTGATGACGTCTTCAATCAAATTCTAATTCGTTTGATTCAAGTGAGAATCGGATCTTTGTTTTTTTTGCTTGTGGAAAAATAACCACTTGAAAAAAAACAACATATTGTTTGAACAATCAAAACTTGAAAACTTACTACATTTAGAACAGAATATATCAAAGAGTTTTTAGTGATCCGTTTATAAGACGAACTAAAGCAATGATTGTCAGAATCTCACATCAATAGAGCCAAAGATGAATGACAAAGACACACAGAGAGAGAGAGAGAGAGCGCTCGAACGCGTGTAAGCGCACGGGAAAGAACAGAGGAAAGAGAGATTACTGATTTGAATTGGCATCGGCAGAGTAAGCAAAATATAACTCACTTTTTTTCTTCGTCTTTTCTCGTCATATAAGCCCACAAACAGAACAAGATCGCATCATTGTGTTTGTTATGTCCACAAATACTGTTGTCGTAGTCTACTTCGGAAACATATGAACCAATATTTGAATAATTTTTCAGGATGAAATCCTTAATTTAATTACAGAAACGATTTCGCAAGCATTGACATAGTCAGCACATCATGTCATTTGAAAATCAGTAATACAATATCAACAAAACAAAATTATGATAAATTTTTTTCGCATATTTTTGCAGTGTCTAATAATGTACATGATATTGCTGTTAATTGACCCGAACTGAACAAGGTTCCAACTAGAAATATTTAGACTTCATGTGAAAATGTTTGAGTTTAGTTTCAAAATAATCGTGAATATTTTGCGAAAGGCTTATCAAAGAGTTCTCGCGATTTCAATAGGCGTTAATCTAGAAATTCCTTCTCGCTATGCCAATCTAATTTAGTTTCGAGTGCTTTTGCGACGAAAATAAAATGCATGTCTGATTATAATTCAATTTGAAAAAAAAGTCAATTAATAGATAGAAAAAAATAGAGACCATAAAAGAAAGAAAAATACATAACGACTATGTTTTCTTTTTTTTCTTGTCAGTGTTTTGAAAATTTCTTATTCATTCTTTATGAATCATTTTAAAAGATTCAATCTGATTACGAGTCTTTGAAATTTATTGAATCGAAAAATAAAAAATTGATTGATACGGCTACTCATTTTTTCATCGGTTTGAAATATTCAACTTAACTCTACAAACCTTAATCCTCAAGAAGTCACGACTAGTCAAATCGACCTCTAAACCGCTTCGTATAAATTCATCTGCATCTTTTTTTTCTTCCTATTCTCATCCTATTGTTCTGTCTTTGAATGTTACATAGAAATACATCTGCCATCTAAACTAATGTTTTACGCAATTGATCTAACATACATCTCATCACGAAAGATGTACGTCAGCCTGTCTTGTAGTTTATTGTTTGCTACATCTGTTGCAGCGATCTAACGAGCTCAAAATTTAAAAGTTAGGCTACTTCGTTGCCGTCCTATTAAAAATACAATTCACAGTGGAATTTTTTAAAGAAAAAATACATGTTTAAAAGTTTACTGTCAAAATGAATGTAGCACAAAATTTTTTTTGCTTCTTTCTTTGCATTTTTTCAAAACATAATAAATAAGTGTAAAAGCATTTTCTTGTTGATCTGTTAATTGCTTCTCTAAATGCTCTTGTTTTCATCAACATATATATATATATATATATAGTTTAAGATTTTAACATGTACTTTTATGTTAATTATTTATTTTGTTTTTGCCGTTATCAAAATAAGTACTCAAACTTTACAGCTACAATGTGTTAAACCTAGCAAAGAAATAAAAACAAAAAAATTTATTTTCATTTCAACTTCGTATAAACATATTCGAATGATAAAGTAGGCCTGGATCAAAAATATAAATAAACGATGCGGAAGTGTTTTCTTTCCTACTGAGAAAGACGTCTTCACTTTCAATCTTTCAAGCATAGTGTTAAAATAATAAATAACATACTACCACCACCACCACAAGGATTCAGCGGTATTCTATTTATTTTTTCTAGAATGATTATTCGTTTTTATTTAAATGTACCAATTCTTTAGGCTAAACAGAGAAAAATATTTTAAAGTTAACATGTTTGAAAATTTGATTGAGTTATTACGAAACGGTGATTAGTACAAAATACTGAACATTGTTGTTTATTGGCTAATAGAGAATAAGATTCAAAATCCAATGGAATTTATTTTCATGAGAAGAAGAATTCAACTAGAACAAATGTTTTGTTCACGTGTGTATAAATACATATAACAAGCAAATTGAACACACAGACAAACAAAAAGAAAACGACACAAATCAAACGATGTCTGTTAACATATGAGACGGACAACGAACAAAAAAAGAACAGAATTTTTATTCTGTTTAAGTTATTCATTTCGCTAGGCATATTTGTTTGTTTTTTAAATTGGTTGAATCTTGAAATGTAAACCAATAAGTGAAAAAACGAAACATTTCAAGTCTTGTACCAAATAATAAAAACAACGTAAACCATCGGGATCACGACTATTGTTAATATCAATTAATGAACCAATTTTGGCTGTTGTAAATGCTATGTGTTCATCGCCGAGAACTATTTCAAGTTCTTGACGACCAGTACGATCTTGTGGTGGCCTGAAAAACAAAACAAAAATATCAGTCATGTAATTTGAGGATGTTTATGTTATACACATACCAAACAGCATCATCTTCTTTCATGAGATCCGATTCATTAACGATTCGTTTAAGTTCTTCAATAACAGCACGATTGACATAGACTTCTTTACGAATCAATGTATCTTTTTTATAATTTGAATTATTTGCATAACGTAATTTTCCATCAGGTCGAAATTCGAATTCAAGAAATTCATGGCCAAATTTACCCTTGTGACCAACATAATATCGTAGATAGAAATCATCACTTGATTCGCTCATAATTGTATTATTATGTATCTAGAAAGAATAAGTTTAGTGTTGCTCAACAGGAAAAAAATTAGTCGAAGATTTTCTCAGAGAAAATTAACTAACATTGGATGAGTCATGTAGCCTTTATGTTATCTTGAAACCAATGAAGTTAGTTTGTCAAACGGTGAAACAATATAAAATTTTTATTCTAATAAACTTGTATCATAATGCTTTTAATAGAATCAACTAAAAAAAGTTATTAAAATAAGAGTTTTCATTGATTGAAATGCGATTTTCTGTTGGTGACATCTACAGGAACTGGCCACATATCGGAATCGGAACTTCAGATTCGGAAGTACTGATGATCTCGATTTCATCGGAATGCTACGTACTATTGTTAAAAGCTGCCTTAACAGATGTTCATAGAAAGCAAGATGACAAACACAGAGAAAATCTTTCATTGCTCCAGCATTTTAAATTAAAAAAAGAAAAACTGCAAAGTGAGTGTGAAAAGAAAACAATTGTTGCATTAGATATATTTATTTATTGGTCAAGCAGTCATTTCATAGCAATCTGATCATAAAATGATTAACTTTATAATTTTTTAAATCTTCTCAAATCCGTTAAAATATGACTGTAGGATCTACGATTTGTGCAAAGTGTTGCTTAACCTTCATTTCCCACATACAGAATGATGAGGCCTGATATTTTACTCACTAATAGTACTTGTGGAGGGCTTCTTATAAGAATGATTTGCATCAAATTCCGACTAGTGGTTTTCGAAATAAGATCTAACATATTGCGTTTGAATGAGTATAGTGCCAGTTTAAGCTCGAATTTACTATATTAGGGTCTCAGACTCAATATGTAAATTTTATAAAGATTCTATTGGTATTCAAGTCGATCATGTTTTTTTTATTTTCAAATGCTCTAAGAAAATGAACGTGAGATATAACGCTGAAAATTATTTTACCAATATAACATTTTATGATCTATCTTATAATTCAATTGAAAGGTTCCAAGCTTACTCAACAAAATAAAATAATAGGCAAGTTCGTGACACCATATTTCGAGAAAAATTAGCTTGTGCATGGTTCTAATCGAAATAAACTCTTAATTCGTACACAATATTTCAAGAAATACAAGACTAGAATACTTGCAAATTGTCGACAGAAAGTCGATGTAAATCTGTGAAAAGCTGCGTGGAAGTAGCACATTGGTATAAGAGGAGCTGATCTAAAGAATCAAAACTTTGATTCTGTAGTGGATCTAGTCGACGATATTGACCTTCTAGCAAGATTCTTGTGTTTTTGCATCTCTTACATGAAGATTACATTGTGAAATGAAGAAAAACAAATTATTTTATACATGGAACAACAAGAAAAAAAAGAGGATAAATTATCTTTTCCAAGATTCCAGATCTTACTATCACACCCACGACGTATAGACGACCAGTATGTCGACGTGTGGGACCACCACGATGAGGACTGTCACTACATCCTTAAGATTTGGAGATACTCCATACATTAATGTCTTCTCACAAAAAGAAGTAACTAATTAATCTAAGTTTTTTGATGGTCATAGCAGAGTTCAACTCGATATAGTTATGAAGAGTTCTGACATATTAAATTGAGATATTGCAAACAAAAATAGAAATGTTTGATGTCATCACTTTATTGAGACGAGAGAACTTCTACCCATAAAACACGATTCTAAGCTAAGAGTCATCTTTTTTTTTCAAGCGAGAAATACAAAAACCTTTATCATAGAGTAGCGTCATCTATTGTAGTTTCATGTGCATAAATCATTATTACTTGAATGAATAAAGCCAACCTTAATTGACTATTTCCCATTTATGGTCATAGAATAAGCAATTTTGATAGGTGAATTTTTATTCTGTCAATTATTGAGAATAAACAACTGTTGTTCTCTATGTGTTCACCTCCATGAAACTATGATTCCATGGACATAAATATATCCATGAATCGATCTATCAAGGTTATTCAATCATTGAATCACAACGGTCTAGTCTAAGATATTTTAACCATGAGAGAATAATAAAAATTTGGAAAATAAACTATTTGAAGAAGAATATTCTCGACTGCACTCGATTAGACTAAAGAATGAGACATATCGTGCTTCTTTCTTTTCTAATGCTCTGTAAGAATCTGATAGGTTGATCAAGTACTTTAAATGAATCACAGATACTAGTTTCAGTCTAGATTCATTTTTATGTTACATCGTTGTTTCATCATACATGTGCATAGTCATTCGGCAAATTTCCAACATGTTTAAAAGAGGTAATAGATATATAAGAATAAAAATAATAAAATCATAGTGAGAGATAAAAAGAAAATAAATCAAACAAAGGAACGAAACGATTTTTTTCAATTTTAGATGGCAACAACCGATCAAGCCAAAGTTCCTGTTCTACATTTTCCATATTCTTCAATTCAATTTATAGCTGATTCAAATCAATGTCAACATCTAACAGATGAATGCATTAAATATTTGACATTAGAAGCAACTGGTGTTGTACGATTTTTATTACAGGTAAATTGAACAACGAAAAAAAACAGAAGATTTCTGGAAGGTTTTTGTTTTTTTATAGGACGCACTTAAATTCACCAGAAAATGTCGTCGAACAAAAATGATCACAGAGGATTTTGAATCAGCAATGAAAATGCGATATTTAGAAGTAATACAAATTGATGAAAAAAAAAAACTAATTCTAAATCTATTTTTTTCAATTACAGCCGATTGTAGGATTTCGTTTATCAAATGGAAACTTACCATTTAAAACCACAACAGCAGTTGGCACAAATCATCGTGAAGTTCAATGTATTGATGATCATGAATTACAGCTTGATCAAGTTATTACTGCACCATTACCTAAAATACCATTTGATATTTCTATACGAAGTAAAATTCAAAAAAAAAATATTGTCAATTCAAATCAATTTCTTTCTAATATTTAGCACATTGGCTTGCCATCGATGGTAAGCAACCCACAATTAATGAAAATCCAGAAATTGTTTCCAAAGCTGATCTAACCTCTGATTCGTTAGATCCCGTAAGAAAATATATTGAAAGTTAGATTTGATTGACGACGATCAACCGTTCTTTTTTTTGTTTTTGTTTCCTAGATGAAGTCATTAACGAAAAAAAGATATAATCTTGATGCATCAAAAATTAAAACTTCAAATCCGCACGAACTTTCATTGGTAAGAAGACAAAGGCATTTTCCAGTTTGAAATTGCTTTTCTCAGAATGTTACGATAAGCTACTTAAACACTAATATATTTATTCATAGGAGCAACAAATTTATTACAAAGAAATCACGGAAGCGTGTGTTGGATCTGAAGAACAAAAGCGTCAAGTATGTAGTCAAATAGTTTTGTTATTTTGTATTAAATTTAATATTTTAGGAAGCTATTGCTAGTCTATCGACGGAAACTGGACTTCATCAAATTTTACCTCGAATCGTTTTATTTATTTCTGAAGGTGTTAAAGTTAATTTAATGCAATACAATTTAGCAATATTAATCTATTTAATGAGAATGACAAGTGCATTGCTGGAAAATAAATCTCTATATTGTGAAAAATATGTAAATAGAATTATTTCAGCTTATCGATACGAAATTTTATTTACTCTTTAGCTTCATCAATTGTTTCCAGCTATAATGTCATGCATTTTAGCGAAGCAACTTTGTGCTAGACCCGATACAGATAATCATTGGGCATTACGCGATTATGCTGCATCACGGTGTGCTCAAATGGTCAAGTAAGTTTTAATTAGGTTGTCAAATGTATAGATGTATTCGATTTTTTTTTGATAGAATGTTTTCAGCTAATATTCATGGTTTACGCAATCGTATTGTACGAATATTTTTACGGACATTCCAAAGCGAACGTTTACCTCTTGTTACACATTATGGAGCACTTGTTGGTTTATGTGAAATGGGCCAAGAAGTGAATATAATCATTCCTAACCAAAAAAAAAGAAGGATTGCACTTTTCTTGTGTAGGCAATCGAAGAATTAGTATTTCCCATAATACGACCGCTTGGTGATCGTATTGTGAAATCACATGAAAATGCTGCATTGTCTTCTATGGATAAAATAACAATTGATCGTATTAATGGTGTTATATCAGTAAGATAGTTTTGTTTTAGTGAACGAGTTAATCAATATATTTTTTATAGAAATTTATTCCAACTGCTTATCGTACGTCACGTCAGCCGTCGGATGAGCTTGAACATTTTAAACATGAGTTTGGTAGCTATTATGGACCTCGCTTACATGCGCAAATCATTCAACTACGTCAACAGTCGAGATCGTCTTCATCACAATCTTCACAAGTAAATAATTCGATATAAAGTATTTGCTAATTATATTTTAACAAACATATAAAATACTAATAAGAAGAAAAGAAGCTCGGAGAGTAAAAATATCAATAAAATAGATAAATACTATTTAGAATCGCATATACTATCTCTACGGCTATTCATGATAGAGATCATTTGCATTAGCTGAACTCCAAAACATGTGCACTCTAACAGTCCACAATCAATGTAGAGTGCGTTAGTGATCAGATTTTCAAAAGCCAAAAATGCTGCTATGTTCTGAATGATTATTCCACGCTAATATGAAATTTTCACGTACAGCAGTAGAATGCAGTTCGATCTGATGAGAAACTGTTAGAATCTGCAGACTTTAATTAACAATCTCCTATTCGCATTAGACTTCCTCCAATTAAAATCCTTGAATGCCCACTATCCTATTGAGCCATATTGTTTTCTTAGCAAATATTTAGTAGATCCCCCATGTCAAATACGATTAGTTATCATTGAAACAAATAGCTACTTTATCGAACAACACTGGAGTGAAGTACTATTAGAAATCGACAAGTAGTAGAAGTCTGAAGTAGTTTTACGACGAAATAAAAATCGTCGATGAACAATATTTTCATTTAAAAAGACAAAAATATAGTGTCACGTGTCAAGAAAACTGTTGTTTATGCATGTGATACGAAAATTATAGTTTCTGTTTGTACGCATGACTCATGCACAGCGCACGTCTTTACTCAAAGACGATATTATTCATTCCTCGTGCTAATCTGCGCCTGACTATTTTCTAGCAATATATTGTATAATCTGGGTAATAGCTCTCAGTTTGATTGCATTTCAATAAATAGCAGAGAACGTATCGCTTAGCAACCTACTGTAGCAAAAAAATAGATGAATTCAATGTTATGTTTTCATTTTAGAATCGTCAGTTTTCTTCATCGTCTGGTTCTAATTCTCGTCCACCAATGTTATTGCCAGGTCAAGCTTCTCCATCATCATCACATCATCAAAATCCTGGCTCAGTAACTCCATCGCGATCACCAGTTCGTCCACTGAATCCTTCGTTGTCTCGGCAACATCCACAATCGTCAACTGTTTCATTGACACCAGCTAATAGTCATGAAAATGTTATTTTGTAAAAAGAAATAATTAGGATAATATTTGTACGATTTATTCTACCGTGTGTGTTTTCTCTTTTTTTTGGGTTTCTTTATTCATTTGGTTTTGTCTCTACATGAAACTATATATATATTTCTAGATCTAATCTACTAGAAACATATTTCATTTGATCAATATTTTAAAACAAAAATGGCTAAACCAGTCGATCCAACCAAAGAAGATAAATTTGCAACAGCTATTTTAAATCGTAAGGAACGTCCCAATCGTTTGATTATCGACGATGCTGTTAATGATGATAACAGTGTTGTTGCATTATCACAAGCAAAAATGGATGAACTTCAATTATTTCGTGGTGATACTGTTCTACTTAAAGGTAAAAAGCGTCGTGAAACAATATGTATTGTTCTTGCTGATGACACATGTCAAAATGATCGTATACGAATGAATCGCGTTGTACGAAATAATTTACGCGTACGATCAGGTGATATTGTTTCAATTCAAGGTTGTCAAGATGTTAAATATGGTAAACGTATACACGTGTTACCTATTGATGATACAGTCGAAGGAATCACAGGCAACTTATTTGAAGTTTATTTAAAGCCATATTTTGTTGAAGCTTATCGACCTGTACGTAAAGGCGATGTTTTTATAGTACGCGCAGCAATGCGTGCCGTTGAATTTAAAGTTATTGAAACTGAACCTAGTCCATATTGTATTGTTGCACCAGATACAGTTATTCATTGTGAAGGTGATCCAATTAAACGTGAAGAAGAAGAAGCTTCATTGAATGAAATCGGTTATGATGATATTGGTGGTGTTCGAAAACAATTAGCACAAATTAAAGAGATGGTTGAATTACCATTAAGACATCCACAATTGTTCAAAACGATTGGTGTTAAACCACCACGTGGTATTCTTTTATATGGACCACCAGGCACAGGTACGATCGGGAAATATAATTCGAATGTAGAAAATGACTAAAACCTCGATCACTTTTGTTTTCTTAGGTAAAACTTTAATAGCACGTGCTGTGGCCAATGAAACGGGTGCATTCTTCTTTTTAATCAATGGACCGGAAATTATGTCGAAATTAGCTGGTGAATCGGAATCAAATTTACGAAAGGCTTTTGAAGAAGCTGAAAAAGTAAAGAAAAACAAGCAAACATTTTTCTAAATGTTGATTGCAAAATTTTAGAATTCTCCGGCTATTATTTTCATTGATGAACTTGATGCCATTGCACCAAAGCGTGAAAAAACTCATGGTGAAGTTGAACGTCGTATTGTTTCGCAATTGTTAACATTAATGGACGGTCTTAAACAACGTTCACATGTTATCGTTATGGCGGCAACAAATCGACCAAACTCAATTGACCCTGCACTTCGCCGTTTTGGTCGTTTCGATCGTGAAGTTGACATTGGCATACCGGATGCTGTTGGTCGTTTAGAAATTCTTCGTATTCATACAAAAAATATGAAACTAGGCGAAGATGTTGATCTTGTACAAATTGGAAATGAAACACATGGTTATGTTGGTGCCGATTTAGCGTCATTGTGTTCGGAAGCTGCTCTGCAACAAATTCGTGAAAAAATGGATGTCATCGATTTAGAAGAAGATACCATCGATGCTGAAGTACTTGATTCATTAGCTGTTACCCAGGATAACTTTCGTTTTGCACTTAATCAATCGAATCCTTCAGCTCTACGCGAAACTGTTGTTGAAATACCAACAACGACATGGCAAGATGTTGGCGGTTTAGAAAATGTTAAACGTGAATTACAAGAACTTGTTCAATATCCAGTTGAACATCCAGAGAAATTTCTCAAATTTGGTATGACACCATCGCGTGGTGTTCTCTTCTATGGACCACCGGGTTGTGGTAAGTTAGAATATTGAAGTCTTCGATTTTTCGTTAAAAAAAGTTTTTGTTCTAGGTAAAACATTACTGGCAAAAGCGATTGCTAATGAGTGTCAAGCAAACTTCATTTCCGTTAAAGGTCCTGAATTGTTAACCATGTGGTTTGGTGAATCGGAAGCTAATGTACGCGATGTATTTGATAAAGCTCGTCAAGCAGCGCCATGTGTACTCTTCTTTGATGAATTAGATTCAATTGGTATGATTTTTGGAAAAAAATAACGACGAATAAATTATTAAAAGGTGGCAATGTGTTTTTTTGTTTTTAGCTAAGGCTCGTGGTGGTAGCGCAGGTGATGGTGGTGGTGCAGCTGATCGTGTTATTAATCAAATTTTAACTGAAATGGATGGTATGGGTGCCAAGAAGAATGTTTTTATTATTGGTGCAACCAATCGACCAGATATTATTGATTCGGCCATTCTTCGACCAGGTAAAATATTCGAGTCTTCCATTTGAGACGAAGGAAATCAATTCTCATAAGATATCGAGATATAATTTTTGTTTTAGGTCGTCTCGATCAATTAATTTATATTCCATTGCCAGATGATAAATCACGCATGGCTATATTAAAAGCAGCTCTACGAAAATCACCCGTCGCTAAAGATGTTGATATGAACCTATTGGCTGGTGTAACTAAAGGTTTTAGTGGTGCTGATTTAACAGAAATTTGTCAACGAGCTTGCAAATTAGCCATAAGAGAATCCATTGAAAAAGAAATCAATCTTGAAAAAGAACGACAACGTAATGGACAAACAGCTATGGATTCTGATGAACCAGATCCAGTACCAGAAATTCGCCGTGACCATTTTGAAGAAGCCATGAAATTTGCTCGACGATCAGTTAGTGATAATGATATACGTAAATATGAAATGTTTGCTCAAACATTACAACAGTCACGTGGTTTCGGATCACAATTTCGTTTTCCTGATCAACAACAACAACCATCGCAAGGCAGTGGTGGAAGTGGTGGACAAGGTGGACATCGTCCTACTAATAACGACGACGATGATCTTTATGCATAAAAAAAACTAACAATAATCATCTCAGAGGAAAAATAAACTGTCACATTTTATTACATATATAAACCTTTAAACAGAAAAAAAATGATCGAAATTGTTTGAAAAAAAATATCCTTATAAACTCTATTGTACTTATATGTTCTTTATTTCATCAATATATGTTGTGTATACATGAGCTGCCTAGCGGCGTCCGTTAATATGTGCGTGGAATAAAAATCTATAGACCATTTCGTTTTTGTTGCTATTGTTATAGTGTTGATGTTATTGGTATTTGTCTTTTTCTCGTTTTCTTTTCGTTTTTTCATTGTTATCATGCGTTCTCTTTAGTTAACTTTAATCGCCTCTTATTTCTTTTACAACCAAAATAACATTGTAACAAACAAATGATGAAAACACCGTCATACATTTTAGAGAAAATAAAACATGATTTATATCATCAAGAAATTTCTAATCCGTTTAATCCTCTACCGAATCCGATCTACTTGTTGTTTGTTGCTGCTCCTAGTATATTCCACTTCTAAAGCTATCGTAAGGAGAGTTTATGACTCTGTTACTGATAACTATTTTGTGAGCTTACACTAAAAACGAATAGGTATTGTATGAAACCGCTGCTGGTACTGAACGTTCTACGAAACTTAAACGAGTTTCAATTTTTGAAACGAGTTCTAAACCTTCTTTGAAGCTTTCATACGAAATATATGAAACTTTAAAAAAAATACTTCTGAACTCTTGGCTAATTTTTTGAAGATGTCTTTGATTCGTACAAAACTTTTCAAAAGGGAAAATAGATTCCGTACAGCACCTATTTTTCAGGGAACAATTTTCTATTATCGGTTAAACTTGTGCTTAGTGAAAATTATGAGTCAGGTCTCAGTCGCTTCTTGCCCACCATACAACGTCACCGCCCAAGTCTACTCGATGTCGAGCTTCAGACGGGTATAAATCATATAGGTATGGTGTGTTGATCATTCGACTTTCCTCGCACTCACATTCACACTCTACAAAACAGGAGGGTGTGGGCAGTTATGGTTTTAATGGTGAAGGCTATCATTTTGATCAAATCTCGAAAATAAAAGCTAGAACTTAGAGAATGACCTTTCTTTTTTCTTTAAAATTGTCAAATAAATTTATTGGCAGGCAGAGAATACGTAGCAAGAAAAAAAACAGTCAAATATGTTTTGCTTGAAAGAGCCTATGGTCACATAGCATAAGTACTAGTTGAATCAAAATTTGATGAAAGATTAATAAAACCATGTAATGAACGATAATTTATTGCTATTGTACTTTCAAGATCGCTTGATAATGTATCTGCCAAATCACCGTATGAAAGTGTTGTAGGATTGAGTTTTGAAAACGGTGATAAATCGTCCTAATCGCGTCTAAATTAAATAATACATATATCAAAAAGGAAAAATAATAAAATAATAACTAACCAAGGTGTTGATGTATATGTTGGATCCCAAATTGATGCAGTATCGTGAGCATGTGAAGTCATTGAACCATCTAACGAGGCGTCTAAAAAAGAAATTAAATATATTTTTATTTAAATGTGCATCACTGGTAATTTCTACACGGTGATAGAGGTAGAGGTGTAAGTCGAGTAGTTGAGGGCGATGGGGTGTAAATATTCTCAATTTTTTAAGAACCTCGGCGGCGACCGATTTAAATGAGTAAACCCTTCAGCGGCGGCTGCTGCTAAGTTGAAAATTGAAGTCTTTTTTTGAGAATAATAGATCCCCATTTATTTCAATCCCTGCTCATTTTCATTTTAACGTGACATAGCGGATGCCCGTGGAATAATGAAACTCCCCAGTGTTCTAAGAATATCCCCATCAATTTTTATTTGTGTCGGCTTTGTGATTTTTTAAAAAAAGATGCCTCATTCAATTCTCTACAAACTGTAGAAAACGTTTTCATGTAAAAAGTAGTGGTAAGAAGTTCTGGGCTAACGACTGTAAGACACCAAAAGGAGTGATTTTGTTAATTTGTTTTGTCAGTTTTCATTTTCTTGGGTCTGAGACATACGATATATAAAGAAACCGAATGAGCCATTGTGTAGCTCTTGAAATGTTCTTTCTTGATCGGAATTAAAAACTCCTTCGGATGTTTTACCTTTTGCGCAGCCCAGTCTTTTCTTTTGCATATATTTGACACTTTTCGGCAGGATTTTTATCGACACTTTGTCAAACTCCTGGCCTATGTCCTAAACTAACTTTTAATGATAACATATTCTTACTGTTTTGAAGGCAAATGATTTGTCTATCAGAGTTACGCAACGGTCTGGCACATATTGTATACATTGTGAAAAGTTGTGAATCGAGAAGAAGACTTTCACGTGATTTTGTAAGAAATATCGCCATCTGTGCATTGCTAATCTGTTCAGCTGACCTTCACTAAAGGCCACGAGATAAGACATATTCGAAAATATTGAGAAACAGAAACGAGCGTAACTAGGCGCCTGTCTAATCAGAGATAAAAGGTAATTAGTTCTTTGAAAAAACGCTGTTGCAAAAGATGTCATTTTGACACATTGCGGTCTTTAGCACAGAAGTTTTCATGGTTACCTGTTATATCAAAATGCTTTACACCGCTTTGTGGAGAATTAAATGAGGAGTCCTTTAAATAGTTGCAAAGTTCAAACAAATGCGAGTTGATGAAGATATCATTCAAATACTGAGAGGTTCATTATTCCTGGGACACCCGTTACATGATATAACTAGCAAAAATGTTCGATCGCATATGTATAAATGTCAGCGGTGGCTGAAAAGTTTTTGAAATTACATATGATTTGGTGGCGGTGACGGCGCAGCCGTACGGCGTACAGCTGTAGCAGTGGAAGCCTCTGTGAGATTATTTATAAAATCGTGGTTGCTACCTCAACTCTCTTGTCGATTTGTGTTATAACATAGTTGTTTGTCTTGCAGTCGATGTGTTTTCATTCGATATAGCAGTGGCAGTAAGGTATTGGCAGTCCAAAATGAGAGTAGTAATTGACGGAGAACGATGTCGCGGAGGCTTAAAGTTCGATCAGCTTTATAAACTGTTCGACCGATAATCTAGAGTAATGCATTTTCACAGTAGTTGAACAACACGTAACAGGGGTTTTTGAATAGTCGTCGTGCTGCTGTGAAGTAGAGTGGAATACGTTGAAGAACTGGAGCGTCAGTTGTTGTGCGTTGATTATAATGTTTGATTCAAAGATTATCACATACTTGATTCGTTCGATTGATTTTATGGATAATCTGTCTCGTCATATATCGTTTGTTATGGATCGAATTAGTTTACTTATGTTGTTGATTGTTCCTTTTCGTCGGAAAATACAAAGCGCAAAGCAACACAAACAATCAAGTGACCATAGATAGTAAGTTTTGTCATTATCAGCGCTTTTATTGAATGGGTTTACGAAAAGCATTCACCAACACAATCTGTACGAAGACTTTCTTAGACTTCTTTGAACAGAATATGTTAAGAACATAAATAAAACACAAAATATTGACTGATTATACTGACTTATTTAATAAGAACAATGATGACACAACATATTGTCGCTGAACTTGATACAGAAATAGTTTGTTACTGAGACAAAATAAGTCATAGTTCCAAAGATTTCGCTTTATTTTGTCGTTTTCTTATTCTATAGAAATATCGAACTCTATCTTTAGTAGAAATTTTAATGGTAGGCGTTCGATTCAACAATCTAATCGATAAGTTCAGAAGAAATAAAATTGTTATTTTGAGGCGTCACTGAAAATCCTTTTTAGTAGCTGTTCTCTTTCATCGACATCAACAAGTACTATTATATTAGAACATTAAAATCCTTATAGTAGAATAATATAACATATTGAGCCCGTATGTGCTAGCACAGATCTAATGGATGATAACATGTGATGTTGTAGATAAACATACATTGCATGTTCATGAATGGTATTTAGCATTCAATCATGTATTCTTTTCGTAGGTGAATATTTAAGATTGAAATGAAAGTATATCAGAGTTAACCGATACGATAGAGCAATAGTACAAAAGTTAGTTTATATTTAACTTGGTGGCGTATCGTGTGAGTAGTTGTTGGATAGATTTATATTTTTACTCGTAGAGCATTAATTTTAAATGTGTAAGCATAACATAATAGTAGAACATACGAAATTTAACAAAACCCGAGATGAATGATTTTAACTTATATTATCTTCTCTGTGTATACATAGATTGTTACATCTATTCCACCGGAGAATTTCGGTTTTCCATCTGTAATAACCAGAAAGATACGAGTAGTGTAATTCTTCGTGTGGATTTCTCTGTCGTTTTCTTTAAGATGGTAAATATTAAAAAAACACTATGATTTTAACGAGATCTAAAAATCGAAATTCTATCAGCATAATAAGGAAAAAAATGTGCATCAAAATTTAAGTATGTGCTCTGCACTTTAAACTATCGCGTATTTTAATCAGTTCAGTATTTTTCAATTTTTTCACGGCTCTACTTTCCAATTCGGATTCTCTTTCAAATCTTTCTCCTCTCGATTTTTCTTTAAATACATCTTAAACTATCGGGATTGTTGCGACATAAGCCTATGCTACTAAAAAAAGACTATTATACAAGAATATGACATGAAGAGGATCAGGATTTATCGCACAAACTTTATATGAAAACATTCAGACTCGCAAGTATCACACCCTCGTTTTATTTTCGTCAACCGTTATTTATATAACGATAAGATGTATATTCAGTTCATCAATAAATAGATTCAACGAGATCAATGCTCATCTCCTGCTCTATTTTATTATTAATACTTATTCATAGATTCTCGTGGTATCATAAAGATAAAAATACTTGTTTTGGATCAAATATTCTGCATGAAATGTGTCATCTAAAGCGCATCATGTTGATGTCTTAGGAGTCGGGTTCAAGAAAAATGAAATCAACAAACATTTTTCAAATCCGACTTATAGTGATGATGGTAGAAAATATTCAAGTGTGATTTTAAGTCAGGAGATTTTGCTTCTATGAGATCTCGTGTCGATTCCGAAAAGAATTTTTACTCTGCATTTGCCGAAACGTTGAAAGATCATATGATAATGTTAGTGTTTTGAAAGATTTCTCGTTGAAATGTTTTCTTATTCTACACGTGAAGTACGATAACCGATTGTTTGTTTGGCTATTTGCCTTCTGAAAACTGATAGGTATTGTATTCATAAGTTTATTTCTCGAATTATCTGTGTAAAAAGAAATTCACGATTGCCTTTCTCGCTGTCACAAGAATTAACAAGAATAGGAAAACACCAAACAACATCAAATGTTTTTATACATGATTCGATCTATTGAACAACAATCGCAGCCATATGATAATACGAAGTAGCAATTGATGCCACTTGCTGATTATTAAAAAGATCAATGGGTCTTGGTTCATGCTCTTTGTAGAGATATCGATGGCCTTGCGCTTCGGCATGTCCTAAGCGACCGTCTGACCCACAGCCCCAAGTAAAAGCACGGCCATCGTTTGATAGTGCACTTGAATGAATTCCACCTGAAGCTATCCTTTTAAATGGGCATGAACGTGTTGATTCAATTAGTGTCCATTCACCGGTAAATAATTGATTTGATTCAATACCTAACTTTGCCTTATAATTTGAGCCCATCGAATAAATAGATCCTTGTTCGGTAAGCAATAAAACATGAGCATGAAATTGCCCGCGGCTACATGATATTTGTAATGGTCGTTCGTTATTGTCAGTTCTTAAATCTCGTTGTACTGGATTATCAATCGACACATTTCGAAAATTCTCTTCACTCGAAACCTTCCCATAAGGAACGGTAGGTCCCCATAAATAAACATGACCTTGCTCTGTAACAAATCCATTTACAGATGCACCAATATCGATGTGCTGAATTCTATCATTAGCATCAGGCAACTGATAAATAGAAACCCATTCTGTCGTAAAGCCATCTCGATTAAAACGTCGTTCTTTTATTTCACTACCACCGATAACAACAGTTAGTGAATTTTCACTACAACAACAATGCGTTATTATCTGATCACTTTGCAGGATTTGTTTTGCGACACAGCCTATACCTTTTCCAAAGCCCCATAATTCTCTTTTATCCATAGCTAATAAAATAGTTGTTGATGGTCCAGATGCGATAAAACCTATCGGAGGAATATTACCTTTGACTAAAGTTAATGTTGGTACTATTGTTTGGTCATCACATTGGCCAAGTCGACCATATTTAGGTTCATCACCGACGACATATACACGGTGATTGGAACCCAAGGCAACAGTAAAATTCGTACCACATGCTACTTGTTCAAAATTGCCTTCTATTCGTTGACTTACTACAATTTTGCTTGGTACATGACATTTTATTCGTTTATTGGTCTGAGAATCATAAATGATTCCCCAGTGATACAGATGCATTACCATTTTTGACTATTTAATTGTTAACAAAATCAAATCAAGGCAGAAAAAAGTGTTTATATACGATGCATTTGCGTCAAAAGAAAGAAAAACATGTTTCTATACAGAAATGAATCATTGGACACGTTACCATAGAAAGAATAACGAACGACAACAACATTAGAATAAAACAAGAACATTTGCTACGATAAATACTTTTTGTAGGAATATTTGTAAAAAGAACAGTCATTGTTAAATGATATAGCTAAAACATTCGTTTTTCGTCATCATCAGAAGACCGCAATGAAAAACTTTCTCTATTGTTAAAAACAGGCTTGTTGTTTAAATTCCTTGAATTTTAAAATCTTATATTAATATGAGAGAATTAAAATCGAGAAAAGAAAACAATGCAATTCCAATGCGTAATATAACTGCCCGATGAATAACAGTGACTGATTCATAGAATGGCATTTCTAGTATGATAGTTTAAAACAGGCCACATTGGTGCCTTTACAAAATCATTAACATGAAAGATTTAGTTCTAGCAAGAAAGCATAAAGAACAAATCAATAGTGATGTAAAACAGGAGACAATCAAACAATATAGTTACAATCACAAATAGGTACAATAATCGATGATTAGTTATTTGCATCAATGATAGTTACTATTTGAGATAAGACTAAATATCAACAGTTCTAAGTTATTATGGTTGGTTATTCAATTTATTTTAATCTGTTTTTAATAGAACAACAACAAAAACAGAGCATCTCGTTTATTTATTCCACACATGATCTTCTATTCGACTCGGCAATACTCTGCAATTAAAGCGTTTGCACTTTATTTTGAAATACGTGATTGCTAATGGTGAGTTTGTTATCCGACAGATTCATCTATCTGTGGTTGAGCAATTGACTCATTTGGTTTTATTGTTGACATAATGATATATACTTATTCAAGTAAATCAGTATCACTATTACATAATTTCCTCGTGTGAGAATATAATTGTTGTTGTTGTTCTTCATTTTCATTGTGAAATGCATTACTATTAATGATATTCGTAAATATGAAATGTTTGCTCAAACATTACAGCAATCAGCCGGTCTCGGATCACAAGACAGTGGAGGAAGTGGGCATCGTCCTACTAATAACGACGACGATGATCTTTATGCATAAAAAAAACTAACAATAATCATCTCAGAGGAAAAATAAACTGTCACATTTTATTACATATATAAGCCTTTAAACAGAAAAAATGATCGAAATTGTTCGAAAAAAAAATATCCTTATAAACTCTATTGTACTTATATGTTCTTTATTTCATCAATATATGTTGTGTATACATGAGCTGCCTAGCGGCGTCCGTTAATATGTGCGTGGAATAAAAATCTATAGACCATTTCGTTTTTGTTGCTATTGTTATAGTGTTGATGTTATTGGTATTTGTCTTTTTCTCGTTTTCTTTTTGTTATCATGCGTTCTCTTTAGTTAACTTTAATCGCCTCTTATTTCTTTTACAACCAAAATAACATTGTAACAAACAAATGATGAAAACACCGTCAAANCATGAGCTGCCTAGCGGCGTCCGTTAATATGTGCGTGGAATAAAAATCTATAGACCATTTCGTTTTTGTTGCTATTGTTATAGTGTTGATGTTATTGGTATTTGTCTTTTTCTCGTTTTCTCATTGTTATCATGCGTTCTCTTTAGTTAACTTTAATCGCCTCTTATTTCTTTTACAACCAAAATAACATTGTAACAAACAAATGATGAAAACACCGTCAAACATTTTCGAGAAAATATCAAATTGACTGCGAAAAGAAAACTCATATTTTCAAAAAGTTGCAAATCGAAGCTAGGCGACAATTTTCGATCAAGCCAATGAATGAATCACGTTTGTATATTTAGCCTGATTTAGAAAAACAAAACTTAGTAAAACAATTTCTTTCATAGTTTTTCTCATGATTTGTTATTTTTCACGACAATATTCTGTAATTCGAACTTTAGCACGTTGTTTGGAAACTCGTGTTTGTTGACGATGAGGTGGCTGCTCGCAAGTTTCGTCTTGTTGTTTAGTCAATGAGTCACTTGGTTTAACTGTTGACATAATAATATACACATATTCAAGTAGGTCGGTATCATCATTGTATAACTTTCTCATTTGCGGGTACAATTGTTGTTGTTGTTCTTCACTATCATTTGGGTAGGCATTAGTATTACGATTGTATTGTCGGCATGTACAAATATGAGTGTCGAATAATTTTTGAAAAAATTTATCAGGTTCAGCAGGATTTTTATCAGATACAACGTCAATATTCATTTATTTATAGAAAAAAGAAAATTAGGCTATCTTTTTTAAAAATAATCAGAACAAGATTATCGGTTGTTAAGTTACCTCTGTTGTTGATTTAATATCAAGCGCTTTGATATAAATAGATAGTCAATGGATGAAAAACTTTTACCAATCGGTATTGATTCTGATCATATTGATGGGCTGTTTACAGTTGTTACGGGACCGATGGGCCATCAGCAAGTTAATTATCATATAATCGACGAAGAGCGCTCTCATCAGAAGTCAATAAATGAATTTCCAAACGAAAGTTCATTATTGAAATCACAATTATCTTCATCAACACATAATAACGAAATTTTAGGTTCGGAAATATTGACAAAGTTAAGCCCACTGATTGAGCTAGAAAGATTAGCATTTCTAATCGGTGAGTTGATCTTTATAATATTTTTTTGATTTCTTTTAGTATCGAACAAATGGATAGAAAATAAATTACCGGATAACTACGATCGAGCAGCTCGATTTTCGTTACCAGAGATCGATAGTTCTAATCAATATCAAATTAAAAACAGTATCGACAAAAATTTTGACTTCAAATTTACTCTATTTTTAAATATTCTAGTTACTAATTCATTGAGATCGATTCGAAAAGAACAAGTAGACTAATTTTATTCAACAGCCTAATTCACATATATGTTGACATTCTAGTCTATTTCAAACCGAATAACCAATCGTCAAGAAAAAAGCGAACAAAACATTTCTTCTTCTTCTACGAATGAATCAACAATTGAAATTCCTACACATTGCCGCCCTCCTATAAATAATACATTACAACAGCAAGCTGAAAGTTTATTACCCTTTTATATATTCAATGAACTAGCTCAACATAATGATTCAACTGATGCATGGATTTGCATATTTACATACGTCTATGATATAACATCACTTATACAGAAGACTAGAGGCACTGTCGTATATCAACTATTGAGCAAATATGCTGGTCAAGATATAAGTTCATGGTTCGATGAACAAACGCTTGAACCACGTAAACGAATTGATCCTCATACACATGAATCGGTTTTGTTAATGCAACCTTTGTCCATTATCGAGACATTCGGTACACCGTTTTGGAAAACGAAAGATTTATTAATCGGTCGTCTTGCTGAACATTCTCGATATATTCGTCTTATACATAATTTTGCTCCTAAAGAGTCATATCTATTAGAAATAGCAGAAGAAGAAACGATCGGACAGATAGCAAAGAAATTCTTAAAATACAATTCGCATAGTTTTTCTTATATATGGCAATACGATGGTAAAAAACTCGATTTTAATAAGACTCTGACGGACAATGGTATACCCAATGAAGAATTCTTTCATGATCAATATGGATGGAGATCAGATAATGAAAATTGTCCTACAATTATACTCTATTTTTCTGATGATTTAACCATTGCTTGATTTAAAATACTTGTGTTTTTTAAATATTTATATAAAAGAAGTTTCTTTCTCTATGTTGTCATGGCTTTAGACAATAAAGCCAGCAAATTCATCATATGTGTGTTTCGGTAAAAAAAAGTTTGATAAATCTATGGTAATGAATTATCAATATTTACTTTTTGATAAGAAAATACGAATAATCCTCATAAAATCTCGACAATTTTATTATATTTTAATAGTAGAATGACGTTGATTTCAATATGTAAAAGAAAAGAGAAATAATACATAAATGAACTTTCTTCCTTTTTTTATTATTATGAATAGATTAGATCGTCATGCCATTTTCTATCGAATGTCCATTGCTGATCATTTAAATCGTTCCCAATGAAAACATCATCATACTGTACGATTTTTGATGATAAGGAATTCGTTTCTGGTGATCTCGTATCGCCAATATTCGATTGTTTGTCATGATTGACTGAAGAAATAGGAAGATGAGTTGTGCTACGAACACAAATGTTACCCATTTTTTCTATCAGGCGCCAACTCTCTGCTCATTTCATTAACTAAACATTGCAAGTTCTTTTGTTTGATACATTAGCAAATAGACTATATGTAAATGATTTGAATTGTCGTGTCAATGCATCAGAAGACGGTAAGGGGATATATATGCAGATCGATCTAGTAAAGACAATCAAAAATTTAAATCGACCATTTATATTAAAATAATGAACAATTAAAGAAAAATATGTAAATGAATAGAATTTAATGATGAAAGCGTCTTGCTGGTTCGTACCAGACCAATGCATTTACAGTATTTTGTTAGTCTCGTGCAAAAGCACTGCCTGGCACGAACAATCAAACGTTAAGATTATTTACATATATGTTGTATCAAAACAGAACTTACAAGCTCGAAGCCATATCCATGTTGTAAGCATGTGATTGTTACCAATTGTTGAATATCGATTGTCATTGATAACATTAAAAAAAATGCTGTTCGAATGAGACTTATATTCACATTTTACTTCTGGATCAAACTGCAAAACGAAAAGTTATAGAGGTATGAAAAGAGAGAGAGAGAGAGAGAGAGAGAGAAAGAAAGAAATAGAGAGCCAGACAGCAAGAGAGAAAGCAAACTAAAAATACTATTTCAATTTTTTTATGGCAGCTCGTGTAATACTTCGTTCTCTCGTTGCTCTATACTTCTCATAACAAAGAGGTTTATATCGCTAACATATTGCGCCCATTTTTATTGTCATCGTGAGAGAGAGAGAGAGAGAGCTTAGTGTATGAATGTATGTATGCAGCTTTATTATCATGACTATGGGGTGATTGTGATTGTCTCAGCCGAAATCAAGTCAGCTGTGTGTACACTATAAACTTGTATTTGCCTAGTTTATTGCAGTTGATTTTTTTCTCTCTCTCTCTCTTTCGATGACATCTGCGTCGGGCTCGTATGTTCCATGGAAGTGTCATGCGATATATTTTCTCTTTCTTTTTACCTGAATCAGTATGTTTATGAAACGGTAAAAATCGAAAATCTCTATCCTATAATACAGAATTAGCCATTTCTCGGCTTATTTACTAGTTGCTTTAATCCTTCCGTTTTATGAGCTGCATTACTTTAATATATACACTGAGATACGTGCTTAAATTTTGTAACTAGTACTAACGAGAGATCAACGATAGCAAGTAACTTTTAAAAATAGCGAACAGCTGCAATAAACAATTTTTTTCTCTCTCTCTATTCCACCGATTAAATTTCCTCTTATTCAATCCATCATTTTATTCTGCACGAATCTCGAGACCTTCTCTTACCTACCACTTATGTTCTTATCAGATTATATAAATATGCAACAGAGCAAGAGAAAAATTGGCATTATTTATGTGCATTGCAATCTTTCTCTCTCTATCCCTCTCATTTTTTTCCTCTCTCTTTCGTTTCTCTGAATTGCGCCGGTTTTATTTGATATTGATATCCTTTTCATTATACTTGTGCAAATGAATGAGACAGAACTAGGGAGAGAGAGAAAAAGCTGCACGACAAATTATTCTTCTCTTTTTTTTTTCTTCTCTGGTCTTCTAAACTTTATTAACATGAAATTACAAAACAGAATTACTACTATCAAAATTGAGCACGTAGGTCCCTTTTTCTTCTTCTTCTTCTTCTTCTTCCTTTCTCCTTTTTTGCGGTTAACCTTTAATGATAAATGACACTGATGAACTCTATTCCATTGGATGTTTGCATATATATATATATGTATTTATTTATTCACTTCATTGAATAAAGAATTATTTAAAATGAATTTAAATAAAACAATAAGAAAAAATAAACACTAATAATAAAAAATTCCAAAAGCAGCTACAGCACAAAAGAGGCTCTCATTTAAATAAACATATTCAGCCATACCATCGGTATCGGAATCCCATAAACATCGACAACCGTATTTCACACCTTGTCCTTTATTCTCACCAATAACACATTGAACAATAAACTTGTATCGATCAAATTTCATATTTGCTGCTTTGAGACGGTCACGGATGTTGACTGTAACTATTGTTAATAAAGAAATATATCAGACATAGTTTCAACGTTTATTTCAAGAAAAAAGTCGCCAATCAATTCATCATATCAAATTACTCGCTCATTCTAAACTATATGAATTTGATTTTTCATAATCGTTTGGTGATTATAAAGAGTATTGGATTAACTTTTAGTCTAGAAAATATGATCTTGAATGCGTCATATGATTGCAGATCAATATACGGATTGAAATTAATACATATGATCGTATTAAATTTTGATACTGATGTACTCAATGGAACAGACGGACTTGAACAAAAAAGAAAAAAAAGAGTACCAATACTCATTTTTCATCTCGTCTATTAATGGTGTCGTATGATTAAATCATCTATCATGTTATATAGTTTTGTTCGGTCTACAAAGTTGACGTTTCGAACGTGTCAATACTTTTCAGAGGAAATCTTTCAAATAAATAACATACTAGCTTTAGTCCATTCTGCGCATGCCTCTTGTTCGAATTTTTTGCCGCCAAGAACATCACTAATGCACGAATAAAGAATTTCTTGTACTTTTGTCGAACGAAATTTTTCTTCGAAATTTGGTCGAACAACATAGCCTGTGGTTTCGTTTAATTTATTTGAAAGTGTCGCAACATCCATTTGTTTTTGTTTTTCTTTCTTTCTTTCTTTCTTTCTTTCTTGTCGTTTAACGAATCTGAAAAAAAATAAAATCTTTTTATTCCTTCGTATGTATAAATATCAAAAAATATTAGTTTTCAAAAACAGAAACATATTAAAAAATGATGACAACTACAGGTTAAAAATGAAATCATAGTTAATTTTGTTTTGAAATCTATTAAACCGGTTGATGACGAGCATAGAGACTTTTTTCGTTGCCTTCCTTTGTTCGTTTGAGCTCACGATGAAAACTAATAGCCATTTTAAGTTCTTGTTCAAATTTTAATTTTTCCATCGATGGATGATTATCTCTCATGACGAATTTTTTACCGCTACCGTATTTGTATCGTGGTTGAAATTCTGGCGAAACATTTAGAGAGTTTTGTGGTGGTGGATGACGACTGCGAACGGTTGATGCTGAAGATTGTTTATGTATAGCGGAAGAATTTGATAGACGAGATGGTTCAGCAATATCTATCAAGAGAAAATCATAGGAGATTTCTTCTTAGTGTATATGTTCCAGGGAAGATTAAAATAGTCCTTAGGGGAAATTGAAATTTTAATCTTCCCTAGGAGAAATTAAAATTTTATCTTTTCCCGGTTCAATTTATGAGAAAAGATGAAGATGAAGATTTTAAAAAGTTGTACATTCGCACCCACACTCACAACCACATCTACAGGGTACATTCATACCCACAAATTAAAAACGTGTCTTTTGTACGAATTCAACTCTTTGGTAAACACTGATGTGATGGAATTTTAAAAATAAAATGCGGGTGTTGGTGCAGGTGCGAATGTAGAACTTTTTGAAATCAAAATCTTCATCTTTTCTCATAAATTGAACCGAGAAAAAATGAAATTTTGCCTGAGGGCTATTTTAAATAGCCCTGGATTTCAATCCTCTCTGTAACATATACATGAAACCATGTGTTTTTGTTTTACCTGACGACACAGGTGGATTTCGTTGCTGACTTTTCAAACTTAACATACGTAACATTCTTTCATCATTATCGGCTTTAATAAGTGCCATTCGAAAATGAGATTGACTTTGAAAAAGTTGTTTCTTATTGGCTTCAAAATATTGTCTTAAATGATTTTCACCAAGTTGTGACGGTGCTGGAATAATAATTGGATATTTAAATGCTGCGTCTTCATTTAATCGCGATTGGCCATTGGCACGACGTGCACTGTTACTATTTACACCTGCATAATAATGACGATAGTTTCTCCATATATTGTAATTAATCGGTGGTTTTCCATCAAGACTTTTCGCATATGTTGACTTATGTGAATGTTTACCAGCTTCAAGCCAAAGAGCATAATCAAGATTACTCATTGCTCCTGGCCGTGAGGTTGGCGATGAACGATCATCATAGGATTCTCTTAATGTATGAAGTATTTCATGATCAAGAGAGGTTTTTGGATGTTCAAGTAGAGTTAAACGTTGAGTTATATGAGGTTTAAATGATAGTGTAGTTGTTTGTTCATCAACATTTGTATTTACAGGTATATAGTCACGATCTCGTGCACTTTTCATCTAGAATAAAAGATAAAGTCCTTAAGATATTTTGAAAAAATTCTATAATTCTATTGATCATATTTTATCTGTCGTTTCTAATTTACTTTATCAAAGAGACTTTTGTTTACTTATGCTCATAGAATCTGTTCGAATTAATAGTATAACCACGGATAAGTCATGGCAATCTTTGTTCGTACCACTAAGAACAAGAACGGAAAACGAACAATTACCATCTTTAACAATAACTCAAATGGTACTTTTTTCTAAATCGTCGGACGCTACTCTAAGTGCTTACAACTGCCGTCAGTGCTTCTACTATGAATTTATTTTAAAACCATATTGAGAATAACAATGAGATCGATCAATTCTTCTTTAAATCACGTGGTACAAGAAGAAACAGCGTTCCATTTGGGTTGGCGCAATTGATAAGCTACTAAGATGTTGATCTTCATCAGACGATTATTTTGAAGAAATTCCTAACAAACTTTTGAAAGAAAGTCATTGAAACCAAGACGAATTTCATTATGAATATGCTAATCATGCAGGTAGTCGAAATAAATATTAATCGAACGAAATAATAATGCCATTCGACATTTTAAAAGTCCAAATGAAAGTGAAGCCTAGCAACTGAATAGATTTCAATAGCATCGCTATCGAATGAGATTTTTCTTTCTACGACATCTATATGAAACGATGTCCAATTGAAATACCGACAATTGTATTTATTTTTTATTTATAAACGGCTCTGATGATGAAAGGATGAGTGAAGTTCAACTTAATTCTACTAATTATGCTATGATTGAATATTCGGGATTAATAGTCTTATCTCTTTTGGATGTCAATTTAAAAATAAAATAATGACTCCTTCATTTCTATTCAACCAACATAAAACATGATAGACTAAGAGAAGGTTGTGAGTGTTCTGAACGACAACGCCTACACCCACAACCTTAACATAGTCGTGCCATACAATGAACAATTAGCAAAATATCATAAACTTACGCCAAATACCAATAAGATACAATTTAATACTAAATAGCTAATTTTTTTCTATATCATTCTCCTTTACAATAGATTAATTGCATCAGGATATTATCAATGTAAAATAATTACAATCCCTTGAAAGGAATTGAAAATTTTATTCGTGTCTCTTCGTTCACAACATCTGACTTCATGCTTTTCTATTTTAAAAGGATATGTTCTTCTGCGATTTTCTGCCAGAAAAGGTTTAATTGAGACGTGAAAACTGCGTTTCTGCCAGCAATTACTGAAAGGCTTGCAAAGATTTGGCAGAAAGTATTAAAAAAATTCGCAGCAACCCTGATCACATTTCAATTTGGAGAGAGGATAGCACCTCCGATCCGCTTCCTAATCGGCATGCATGAAAACATCCAATATACTTCAATCGATCTTTGATATCCGAATGGGAGACAGTGACCAACATGAGTTTTTTAGTAATGCACTCTGTCGCGATTGTGACCGCTCTTATAGAATAATCTCTGAACACGGCTAATCATAATAGCTATCATGATCATTAATTAGTTCTATCAATTTAGTTCTCAGTTATATCACTGACAATTAAGTGATCCTCCCATTCACGAGCAACTGTCTGGCGAGTAGAGCCCATCGGGTCTAAGAATTTTCGGACCCGAACACGAACTCGATAAATCAGAATTTTCAGACCCGGACCCGGTACATCAAAAATGTTTGAACCTATACTAGTAGTGACACTAAAACTTTGAAACTACTCTGATAGAATTATTCAAATAGAAGTAAAATACTTTCCATATTAGAAGACCTCCAACTTTTATCACGCAAAACCACCAGAAATTTGAAAAATGGTGTTCCTATAGGAAACATATTACTTTTTTAGGTTTTTTTTTCTATTATGGGAGGGGGTTTTAGCGTTCCTCTACTTTAATCTTTAAATTAAAAGCTAAAGCAATCATATCTTAGAGTTTAACTTTTTAAAAACTGTAAAAAGTCAAGTATCAGGAAAACAATTGTCAACATATTATATTTTAACAGACAAACGCAACTAGCACATCTTGAAGAAATAGTTCTTTCAAGATAGTGAACTTGTCTGAATATGAAATGAAGAACTGTCAAATTTTTCAATGCAGCCTATTCACAACTATATTATTCGAAAAATCAAAACATGATGAAATTGCCAGTTTTGATATTTAACATTGTATCTAATCCGTTGTTTAATAGTTTGGCTCAAATTCATTTTTTCGAATCAAAAATTACTCAAACTCTTACAAACGAATAAATTAATTTTCAATTACAACGTGATTCATTAATAAATGAATTATAATTTATTCGAACAAACTGAAGAATGTAATCCTATTCTTAAAATTTGCCATACGCGTTTAAACAGGTTTTTGTTTAGTAATAAATGAACCTGAACAACAATTACAAACGGATACATCAATTTATATTCATAAAAGAAAATGCTATTAATACTAATTCAATACGAAAACAGCCTGTTGTTGATGATTATCAACAAAATATTTTTAAACAAAAGTAATTATTAAAAAAAACAGAAAACACGATTGTAAAACAATGGATCGCATAGAAGAGTAACTTAGATTTGATATCAAAATTTTAAAAATTCTCTGAATAAAACATGCTTTCATCTGTTTGATGATCATCTATACCAAAGATCTCAGTAGAGGAGATTTTATGCACACTCTGTGGTTTGTTTTATTTTTGTCAATCTCTGACCTCTTTCATTGATTAACTCTTTTTATTGTCACTGCGAGCGAAGCATTGAACAAGACTTAAAATTACACAAAAGCACATGTTCGATACTTAACATTTTTCATTGGTGCATTATTTATACGTTTACAACATTTATTTGGTTTTGATGCAAGAGAAAAAACAAGTTAGTTATCAATCATGTTGATAAAACAATCAAAATGGAAATCCACTGAACTTGAAACTGTTCTATACGAATTTCTTTATCACACAAAATATGTAAAGATTTTTCATTATGAAATGGAAAAAGCAATGATAAAGCTCATCACCTCGATTCGTTTAAGGCCACGTGAGAAACAAAAATAACGTTTAAGCTACGAATCTGAATGACACGTGAATACTGTGACTTTCTTCCGTTGAAACTTGAAAGTAATTGCAAGAACATTTCAACTAGATGATACATCATGGTTTTGGTTAAATATTTCGTATAATGGACATGAGCGAACTTGACGTAAATTTTAATCCATAAATTCAAAAACGGCTGTATCAAAGAAAACGAATAAAACGAAGTTCCATCTCTAGAGAGCTCATCATAGACGTGAACTATAGATACAGTTCTTCGTTTGTTAATCACGTGTGTTATGTGCGCGAACATATGATCAATCATCTGTTTGATTTATAACATTGCTGACTTATTAACAATTCATTATGTGTTCGTCTTTGTATAGTGTGTATTGTATCAATTGTAAATCAACAAGTTGATATATTTATATGCACAAAAAAAACAAAAACTGAGGCGCCAAAAACGAATACTACCAACAATGTTATATTTTCGACATTGTCTATAGTAACAATAATACTATGGCTCTTGCAACTCCTATGCGATTATCAACTCCATTGCCAACTTTAAATACTGAAGAAAAATCATCGGATATTATTCCTTCAATTTCCATATCGACATCATCGATAACAAATAATAATCTCACAAAATTATACAAATATTCTCAAGAAACTGAAATAAAATCGTATCTCGATCCAAACGGAACGATTCATCAGTATCGACAATCAACTGAACGTGCATTACTTGCTCAACGAAAAATTTTTCTTCGAAAAAAATTAGGTGAAGGTTCGTTTTCGTCTGTGCGAGAAGGTTTTGATATATTTCATCAACATAAAGTTGCTATTAAAGTAGAACTGAACATTTTTCTTTTCTTTGTTGTTTTCAAACTACTTGAATAGATCGTTGATACTCAACGAGCCTCAAAAGATTTTCAAGAAAAATTTCTACCACGTGAATTAGATATTTGGCCACGCGTTAATCATGAAAATATTATTAAAATGTACGATCATTTTATTGAATGTGGAAAAATTTTTATGGTAATTTTTCATATTCTTTTTATTTGTTGAATAACATCGCTGTTTTCGTCTTATAATTAGGTACTTGAATTTGCTTCTCAAGGTGATCTTCTAACGTATGTTCAACGAGTTGGCGCTATACCTGAACAAAAACGAACAGTATGGTCCTATCAATTATGCAATGCAATTAAATATCTTCATGGACTTGAACTTGTGCATCGTGATCTTAAATTAGAAAATCTTCTACTGGATATCAATGGTAATGAAAATTGATCATTGAGTTATTTCAGCATTCTAGAACATTTTTAGATAATATGAAATTATGTGATTTTGGTTTTTCGAAAGATGTACTGAAATGTAAAGAATATTTAAGTAAAACGTACTGTGGTTCACGTGCATATGTATCACCGGAAATTTTACTTGGACTACCCTATGATGCAAAAAAAGCTGATATATGGGCTATTGGTGTTATTTTATATATATTTGTTACTGGTGTTGTAAGTATTTTGAATTTTGAATTTTCTCTTCTATGAAATTATTAAAAACAAATTAGATGCCATTTAAAGAAGACAAAAACAATCAATTGATTTTAAAACAAGTTTGTTTGGAATTTGTTTAAGTAAATGAAAAAAATCGTCTTGTTGTTTTTCCGTAGCATCAAAAACTTCAACTTCATTGGTCAATTGAAAATGAGCGTGAACAATCGGCACGTAATCTAATTCTGAATATATTTACATATGACTGGCAAAAACGACCAAATATTCAACAAGTTAGTTCACATCCATGGTTTACAATATCTCAAACATCGAAGATAGTATCCGTACCAATTATAAGATCTAATCGAACGGCTAATAAACGTAAAAGTCGCTCGTCGTAATTCGTCTGGCAAATCTTTTTTTTTCTTTTTCTTTCTGTTGAATTTTATTGTTAACAGTGATTTTTGTTCTCTTGTTGAAAAATATAAAGCAACCAAAAAACGAAAAGATAGTCTTACAATTTTCATCGATCAGACTGTTATTTTTCAAGCGTAAATTGATCAGCGATCATATCATCACTATTGTGATAATAGGAAAAATATAAATATGTTCGATTGGCCCATAATTGACTATATCCATATTCTTGATCATGATATCTACTCCATGCCGCACCTGAATACTGACCAGAATCTATATCTTGTCCTGCCATACCAATCAATACATGTGTTATACCATCGGATACACATTTCTGTTGAAACATCGGACAGGTTCGTTCATACGAATGTTTATGTGCAAAAAGATTTACATCAACATGATATTTATAGAAGAGCGGTTCCAAAGATAATTGTAATATTATTTTCGTAAAATCATAAGGTTCATCAGTTTCTGATGCATACATTGGTCGATGAGAACCAACGATAATCCATGGAGTACGAGAACGATCAACTGAACGGAGATCTTGTTCAAGCCATGCATATTGTGGTGATGTATGACGAAAATCATGTTCTGTTGAATAATAAATAATATGTACAGGACCTACATCAAAACTATACCAAAAGAGACTATTGCCATTAGACGGAGAATGAAAACGATGAACCATGGGAACAGCACATTCGCCACCTGAATCATAAGCATAATTACCCCTAAAAAATAATTCATCATAAAAAATATGTTTAACTTTCTATTCAACGAAATATATACCATTCTGGTCGAAATCCACCTGGTCCTGGTGCACCACTTGGATCTTTATCGCCGCCTAATACATGATCATATTCATGATTTCCAATGGCAACCATGTAGGGTATGTGTGCTGCTATGGGTTCGATTTGCGTCATAAATGCATCCCATTGAGCACCAAAACCTCGAGCATAACTAATATCACCAATATGTAACAAACAAGTAATATTGAACGATGTCGCTCGTGCTGTAACTCGATCTGTGGTAAATTTTGAACCTGGTGCATATGGTGCCAACCCCATATCTCCATATGCAATCATATATACTGTTTCATTTTCGTTTGCTGGCCGATTTGTAAATGAATAGATCGATGACCAACCATGTTCATCGCTACCAACACGATAATAATATGTTGTTGATGGACGAAGATCTTCTAGTAAAATTGTATGCATATATCCTGGATCGATAAATGTACGCGGACCCCATTTATTGGCTTTTCCTTCGCACATATCAGATGCTGTATAAGTAGTTGTTGTTCCATTTTGCCGAAAATTCAACCATGATGGAACTAATCCGTATTGACATTGAGGAATGCATTGTGACGAGTTTGTTACATAAGAAACAAACATTTGATCTGCTCGATCACCATACGCTAAATGAATTTGTGTTGGTTCATTGTAATTGCGTGGCTGAATAGCAGGAGATCTAGCGATAATCGAGTAATTGCCCGAACAATTCTGTTCTCGTGAAAAATAACGAAATTCCAATGGACAACGAAGATTAATCATACGCCATGATGTACTACTCTGTGTATTGTTCACAACTTCATTATCAAAATAGCTACAAGCTAGAACAATAGGAAAAAGAAATGGCATAGCTAGCTCAAATGACTGACAAGTTCACCTGACGTAATTGGAGTCTCAGCAAAATAAATTCCTATATAATCATCGTGACATGTCGTTAATGGCGATGACCAGGTGATTGTGATCAATTCGTTACTTGAATAGATCGTACTGGATACATTCAAACTAGCTACCGCAATATTTCTAGACGAAGATACTTCGCCTGGAGGTCGTTTACATTCGCGACGGGTTAACTCATCATCGTCGTTATGACGTTTACCAAAAGGCCCATTCGCATTTAAATGTTTGCCTGCTGTAGCAAAACTAACGAGGAAAACCCAGAGAATAATGACCTGTTTCATCGAATTAAAAGTCGTTACTTGTGATAGTTTGTCTCTCTTCAAACGTCCACACTCTCAAGATAAAAATGAGTGCTCTTTTTTTGTTATCATGTCATTTTTTTTCTCTTAAATAAAGAACTCGTACATAAAGAAAAATAAAACATAGCATTAACATAAATGAATTCGAAGAAAAAAAAACAAAATAATAATAATAATAATAATATTTCTTTCGGAATGCAAATAAAAAGGAACTCATAAGATAAGAGAGTATTCTGGTATCGCTTTATTTTGTCAGAATTCTGCAAATCTTGTTCAAGCAATACTAATATCATTTCGAATTTTTCTTTTTTTCTTCATTAAGACATGCTAAAAGAAAATTTTGCCGTTGATTTCGACTCGTATGTTTATGTAAAAGTGAAAGAGCCAATATATCAATACAAATATTCAAAGCCGCTTGTATATTATTATCAGTTCTTCTTGCATACTCTGGTGTTGGCCAAGATTTTTGTAAAAATAAAAGAAATCGAAAAAACAAATTTCTTTCTTTCGGCTGTAATTGTTCAATAATGAAACTAACAGCTTTTGTCATGTGTTGCTGTTGAGAGGGACTCTCGTTGGGTATATTTGATTGTATTGTTGCACCACTGGGTAATTGAGAGGAGCGATTATTTGAATTATTAGTTTTTAAAAATATTTTATCTTGTATGTCACGTGATATCAATGGTTCTGGTAATGCTTGTAGTAAATGTAAGAGCGTCATAAATAAATTAATACTTGGATAGTTTTTAAAATTATAATCATGTGCATAGATTTGATCGCGTATTGGAATTAAATCAAGTGAATCTTGAATTTCACCATTAAATACGCTCAATAGATCAAGATCATTACGTTCTTTTAAACATTCAATTAACGATATGTAAAGTGCTGGCGGATCATTTTTCGTTTCGACAACACGTTCACAAACGTCTTTTGGATCTGTGAAATAAATATATTGCCGTTTTTCACTATCGAATAATGTCGGAGGAAACTGATCGAACGCTAAACCAAATGGACCCATGTCAAGTGTAACGTCTAATGTGATAAATGTATCAGCACCGTTTTCAACATGTAAGATTAATATTTCATTTAGTTTTTTTCCCAACGACCATGAATATTGAGTTTTCATTTTAAAACTAATTTCAACAGTTTGTTCTTCATTCCTTTGCAAAATATATGGACCGTTTGGTGTAAATGTTAGACAATCAAAATAGGGTACTTCAATTAATTCTTTTATTTTCGTTGGGCGCGTCGGTTCAAATGTTGACGATGGATGTATTGAACATGCACATGGACATTCGCCAGTATTTTTTATTAATAACGAATAACTGACTTTATCTAAATAACGTATATTATTAAATGCAATAGCAGGTGGACGTGGATAAATTTCTATGGTTGGTATTGCATCATTTTCTTCACGATCAAATTCACGTATTAATTCATCGCGTATACGATTCATAAGTTTATCGTCATAAGCAATTTTAATGCCAACATGGTAGAGACCACTTACAGGACGATGATCACTAAATTTAATTGTTTTAGCGCATGAATAATGTAATGGTATGATGGATTGAAAAGATGCATTGCTAGTTTCATGTTGAATGATCGATCGTTTCGTATGATATAGTATACGATCGGTCCATGATGGTGTACGGAACTTTTCGCTAGTATCATAATCATCTGTATTCACATCGAATTTATATGTTGGCATGAAATCAATAGGTGGTTCACGATAGCCAGTAAAGGCATGATTTTGGTTCATTTCATCACGCAATTGATCTTTTTTAAATAGGGATTCAATTGATAATTCAATTAGATTTTTACGAACTTGATCATTCGGTAGAGATATTCGATAATTCATATCGCCAAACCAAAAGACAATATCATGATCATTGATTTTCCAACTAGAATCAACAAATTGTATGAGTATGAAACGAAATTAAGGGTATCAGTCATAGAAAAAATTCGAGTTACTTACAATCGAGTTGAAGCCATAGGATGTTGAGCGTTCGGTGCCAAACTATTCGGTGTTGTTGGTGTATACCAAATATAATCTTTATACGAATGATTAATTCCATCTGTGAATGTCATACGTGATTCTATAGTCTGATAATCTTCGTTACGCCGTTGTGTTTGTGCCTCGCCCGATGCAAAATGACAATTAACAAAGCACAAAGTTGACTCATAAAAACGAAAACTAATACCAACGCCACCTTTATTGCCAGTAATACCCATAAAACCAGTTGGCACTGATGCTCGAGAAACTGACGAACATTTTAGCATATGCGAATGATGCACATAGACAAACAGTAAAATGCCTAAAAATAATTTTTTTTCTACATGAAACAAGGCTTCAAGAACAAGCAATCAAAATCGATTTAAACTGCCAAGAAAATTCTCTCATGCTGGAACTTTCCTAGATGTTAAATAGCTTTCAAAATTGAGATTAGTTTAGTATCGAGATTGGAACACGAAAAAACGATCATACTCGATATCTTCCATAGTCAGCAGAAGTATGCGTGATATGAAACACATTTTTTCTTCGCTCGTCATCGATGATTAATATTACATCAACCACTAGACATTGAGACTATTAAGGTAGTTAGTATTCTTATAATTAGAATCGAAGCAAGCTACGCAAAATGAGCGCTCACCTGAATCTCATATCAATAGATGTCTTTCAGAATAAAGCATCAATTTCACAACTATTACATTTTGTTCTTATTTCTTTTTTGCAAGTATGAAAATTTTAAAGCCATACAATTTTCAACTCACCCATTAGCCTAATACGATTGAGCAATTGAAACTCATCAGCGTTATGTTTCGACTTATAACAATGTTTAATCGTTCGTCGTACGATTTGTTCCCATTCGTCTTCTTTCTTCTTATCATCATATATATAAGCACCGCTGCTTGTATCAATTTCTTGAAAGCCAACAGCTATGATATGTGGAACAATATGTTTCCCCTTTGCACTGTCTGTTACACGATAAAGCCATTCTTCGAGTAGAGTGTTTGGCGGGGCTTGCCGATTATTGACGTTGAATGTTCCGGCAAGAATGTAGTGTTGTTTGTAAATTAAATATTCATTTTCACGTTCTTCTAAATGCTTCTCCAAACGTTTTGTAGCTTCATATAACTTTGCATTATTTAATGATGACATAAAAAATATAATATTCTTCTCTGCCGCCTTTGTTTTTTATTCTGTACTATTTAGTATGCAAACTATCTACAAGGCTTTGTTCCAAAAATGCCGAATTTGATGTAAATAAATTTAAAAAAAACAACTCCGGCCAAGAAATTTATTTTAAGTTTTCCTTTTTTTTCTTTTCTTTGTGCAAGAGAAACAAAAATTGTTATATGATATGACAAACAACAAAGACACTTTTAACTATCTGTACATAATGAATGTCTCATATATTAATTGACTAGTGTTTTAACTTTTTGTGTGATGACGATGACGAAGAAACACCATTTGAATGTTTCGATGAATGATGATGATGATGTGAACGTTGATGTAGATTATGATTGGTATCCTTAGTTGATAGTGGATGTTTATTGTTACTCTTTGAATAAGGACTGAAATCATAGAGAAAAATAGGAATACATTTTTTTGTCTGATTTCAAAATTAATATACCTTTCTTCGGATGATGATGAACGTGATCGTCGTTTTCTATCTTTTTTTCGATGATTCGATGAACGACTACGATGTCGTTTGTCTTTTTGATGTTTTCGTCTTTTGGGTGTTGATGAGCTGAAGACAAAAACCATGTATTCAAATATAAACAAACACATGCATTCGTACCGAGATCGCGAACGACTTCGATGAGTAGTTTTCTTTTTCTTATGCAATCGACGAGTTGAAGAATGTGAACTTGATCGAGACGATGATCTGATATGAAAATGATTTTTCAAATTAAGTATAGACACTTTGCATGTAACTAACTAGTAGTAAGCTGAAGCGGTATATTGCTAACTGACTACCCAAGAGTTAAAGATGTAAAAGTAAAAAATTTACCTGCTTCTTGTACCACTTCGTTTTCGTCTTGAATGATGATGTCGATGTTGATTCACTGTTGACGATTCTATTGAGCTTCCTTTATCATGTTTTTTAATCACTTTTCCATTTGTTGTTGCTGTCGTTGTTACATTTGTTGTTTCTTGTATCGTTGAAATCACAGTTGCAACTGAAAATATGGTTCATTCAATAAAATAAATCATTTTTCGTTCGTTATTTTTATTTACTATGTTGTTGTTGTTGTACAACAGTCATTGTTGTACTCACGACCGATGATACTATAGAATTTTGAGCGATTTGTTGTTGAGATGGTGAATCATTGCCTAACTCAACTGGTTGACTTGTGTCAGGTCGTAATTTTCTCCTTTCATCTTCTCGTTTTTCACGAAGTGTATTCACATTTTTTTCAAGATCATCCAGTGATTTCTAATATTGACAAATAAATGAATTGAATTCATGCAAGAGATCTATTTCTTACTGGTCGATGGTTGTACAAGCGAAGAATAGCTATCATAATAAAATGAATCTCATCATGTTTTGCACCAAATATAATATACCATGGAGGATTTTTTGGTAATGCGATCTAGTTTATATATGAAATAGAAAGAATTATCGTTTCTTTAGAAATTTACTTGAAGAGTACGTGCTGCTAAATCAATACAGGCACAAGCAATCGTTTCAGGAGTGAAGCGTAGAAAAATATCTGTTCGTAAACTATCATTCATATAATTCCTAAATGAGACAACAACAAAAGAAAGATTTAATTTTGGCTCTTTTAATTAGACGACAGAAAAAAGAGAGAGAGAGAGAGAGAGAGAGACAGAAGCTAATCAATCAAGTATCGGTGCATTGGTAACGAAACGAAAATTCTAAAAAATATGTTCTCCATCAAAAAAACTCAAAACGGTAACGAAACGAAAATTCTAAAAAATATGTTCTCCATCAAAAAAACTCAAAACTCCTGGCATTGTTTGTTATGTTTGTTTCTAATAGAAAATAATTAAGTTTAATATCAATCTAAAACACATAAATAAAATCATTAGATACATAATTAAACTAGATAAAAATTTTCCTTTGTTCAAGCTCAAGACAGAAACCAAACATAACAAACAGCCAAATTTCGATAGAAACTAAAATGATAGAGAGAACATATTTTTAAACATATATATACTCAGGTCAATAATTTCGCTGCCTTGATCTGAGTATACATATGAAAATATTATAAGAAATATAATTAAAAAAAGGACAACGTTACCGACCGATACTTGATTATTAGTCGAGTGCTGAATTAAACGACCCGACGTTGTAATGTATATATTCCGACGATATGAAGGGTTATATACGCATCATCTTTCCATATATATCCTGGACGAAAGACAACAAAATTCATTTTATTGAATATTTTTTTAAGTTCAAATGAAAATTACATTTGGGGATTGAAAGAAAAAGAACACTAAAATTATCCACAAGGGAATTTTCGTCATACGTCATTCAAATTCTTTTTCCTTTATGATAAATTATGTAGCTAATAGAGAAAATAATAATATTTAAATAAATAAGTAAAACAAAAAAATGTTTTTAATTCGAACTCATTATTTTAGATTAGAAAAAAGTTACAGCCAACTCCGAGAATTGTCTTCCCGAGTTTCGAAGAGCTCATCGAAAACAAAAATGAAAATCGTACCACACACACATAGTATCTTGAACTTCGACTAATGGAAACACTATCATAGATTTCATACATATCCTAATGAGAGTTTTGAACGAATGTAAAATCTTGTATAAACTTATTCGGTCAAAGCGAACGAAAATAAGTTCCAACATGATCAATACGGACTGTTCGACAAACTCAATTAGTTTATGAACTCTATTTCAGCTTGTTCGTATATCATTGAAAATGCTGGAATTATGTGAAAAAGCGTTTGTTTTTATTCGTCAACAAAAAGTTGATTGTCAAGATAGAAATGCAAGGTACCTACCAAGCAGTTTGTACAAGATTCTTTTCACGTTCTTTTTCTAGCACTTTCAAATACATTGTGATCATCTAGTAAAAGTAACGAGATCCACATGGAATTATCAAGAAAAAAAACGAATTTATTACTTTGTGTGGATGTTTAACATAAACACAAAATCCAAGCTCTTTGAGTACACGTCTTTCAGCTTTAATAACTTCACCTTTTCGATCAATATAAGCTTGATCAACCAATAATGGACGAATAGTTCTACAAAATTAATATGCAAAACGTAGAGAGACAGCGACGAGAGAAAGTATTGAAAACATACTTTCCCGATCGAACTTGTTTAATATGATGAAACACATTGATCACATCTCGTATTCGACGAGCATTTTCTTCGATTTTAGCTGCAAGATTTGTACAAGCCATTGCAAATATTTCCATTGGACGACGAACGAACGATGATGAATAATAGTACCGATGGAATAATACTTGGCCTGTTGCTACAGCTGTCTATAAACAAAAACAAATTTGATTGAAAACTTTCTATGAAAAATTAATTTTTTGATAATTTATCGATCCCATCAGTGAAACTTCATATTATTATTTTGTATTAATAACTTACTTTTAGTAAAACTACGTATTGACATAAGAAAGCGATAAATTCGCCGAAAACTTACTTGTGGTAATTTTAATAATAAACATGCCGATTGTATAAGTTCACAACCGATTAATCTTAAATCATATTCAACATCGTAAGGTAAACCCTCGATAATTGAAGGTGTTGGATTTGGATAAAGTTTTTCTGGTGGTAATAAAACATTACTTAACGTTAAAACGACTCTCCCATATTCGGGCATTGTTCAAAGTTTCGTCGATGCTATTACTGTTTTCTTTTTGTGTTCTATCCAAATGACATGTTGATTATTTATGCATAACTTATGAGTACTCAAACAGATAGATGTCAGTTGTGTTTTCTTTTTTCCTGTTGCATAGATATGTTAGTTTCGTATGAGCCAATAAATAGAGCGATTGCACTTTTTTTTGTAGTTGTCTGATTGTGTCGTTGATGAAAAAAAAAAAACTCTAAATTATCTTCATTCTTTATTTGCTACGCCGTCTTTATGACAGATTGAGTCAATTAGAATTTTATTTTTTTGCTTTATTTTTCCTTTATTTCTGTTTCCGTTATGAATGAAGAATAAATAAAATCGATATGCTCGATGGTAATGTGTCATTGTTTTTGGTTTTATTTATTAATTTGATTTTTAAACATTAGTTCCTTCGTCATCATCATCATCTTCATTGATTAAACCTACCATAGAACCAATAAATCGTTCAATATCTCAAACACCTATGAATGAAAAACGACGAAATTATCGGTTCTATGCAGGCGATCCGTATGCAAACAAACCTATATTTATATTCTTATCGAAACTATACGTTCGTATTGTTTTAGTGCGATTCATCCAGCAGAAAAACGATTGTATGCTAATGGAGATTTCGAAGGGGTAAAGAATAATCTATTTTCTCTAATGAAATTTAACAAAATGTTTTTGCTTTTCTTGTATATAGACACCACTTCATGTTTCTGGAGGTACAGATCCACGTGATGTAACTCGATTCGATCGACCATATTATGATTTACCTGTACCAAAATTTAAAGTAATTCGATCGTTTTACATATGGCAAAATCTTCAATTTGTTGTTATTGTCTCTCTCTAGCTTGATCGTTCTTGGGTTGGTGTTATTCCAGCTAAAGAAGTTACATTTCGAAATTTAAATGATAATATAACAAAAACATTTTTAACTGATATTTGTAAACGTTTTGGTGATATTGAGGATTGTAGAATATATTATGATCGACAAACAAAAAAACATCTTGGACTAGGAACAGTAAGAGTTAAAACGAGGAGAAGTTTTTCGCTTTATCGAAAAATCTCATTTCAAGGTAATTTTTAAAGCAACCAGAGCTGCACGTGAATGTGTTGGTGCATTGAATATGACCACAAAAATGGGTAGTGTGATATCAGTATCATTGGAAACGTCTGGTCAAGAACGTACAAAACAATATGCAACTATAATACGTGCACAAGAACAAGAAAAGGCAGCACAAGAAAAAGCATTAGCTGCATCGGCTGCTGCTTCTCCACCACCATCATCATCAACGGATTCAAATCTTAATAATAAACAAACAGAAAAATCTCATCAGTCATCACAGTTGTCGATAAATCATAAAATAACAAATCATATTTCTCAAACATCAAATTCATATTCAAATCAAAATAATTATCGAACAACAAAATGTTAGTAGAATTTTGTCAATCAGAAGTTCTCGTTCATAGAAAAAAAAAAAATCATTAGATTAGATATTCAGAAAAATATTTAAAAAATATGTTTTCAGCTTCGACATACAAACGAAATAATCAACGATCAAATGGAACTTACGTTAAATCGTATCAACGTAAATGTATTACTTACTGCTCAGTTAACTAAATGCTTGAAAAATCTAATAATTATTTTGCTATTGTATATTTTTGAATAATTAATAGAGTGTGAGATTGAGTTAATCATGTTCTACGCTTGCTTTGATTCTTTTTGAAAACATTTTTTGCTAGAAACACATCAAAACAAAATCCATATTTAGATCCATCAACATCAACTCGGTATGATTCGCGAGGTCATCATTCCGTTAATGATAATGCCGATCAATTTTCATTTGATCCCTATGGTTCATTTGGTAATAATAGTAATAATTATAAATCGTCATCCCGTCGATCTCGTCATCGGTCACATAATCAACGTTCTTATTCTCAACAACGTCGACGGCGTCGAAAGACTAGTAGTAGTGCAACATCGTCATCAGCTTCTCGTTCATCATCATCAGCATCATCAAGTTCATCCTCAAGCTCAAGTTCAACATCACGGTCCGATTCGCGATCTTCATCGTCAACCACAAGATCAAGCTATTCATCAAGTTCTAGTCCGCATAGAAAACCACCTATTGATTCTCGAAAAATAAATTCCAAACAACCAAACGACGACGAAGATCACCGCCCAAGTCTAGATGAACGTATTGCCGCTTTATTTCAACAGCAACAACAACAACAAACAACTATTCCGACATCTATACCAACAAAACCTCATCATCGTCCAATACTATTACCAAATGCGCCACATCCATCAATGTTTTCTTATCCACCACCACGTTTGCCAGCACCATTAACAAATGTTGTTGGTAGTCATCATCATCATCAGCAATCCTACGGTGTTGTTAATAATTTTAATTTTTTCGGTAATTCATTTCCACCCGCTTCGTTTCTAAATTCCACCGGAGGTACGAATTGGCAAGATATGTTTAAACAACCTCCACCATCGACCACAACAACAACGACGACGACGACCACAAATAATCAATCGTATAGTAGTACATCAAATGGTCTTCAACCGCATTCAAATGATAGTATTGATGAACGTGTAAGAAAAACAAACGATTTAACAACAGCCGTATCTAATATTGTCAAAGGAGAATTAGTTGAAATTCTTCGAAAAGATTTAGCAAAAAAACTTATCGAAACATTAGTTTATAAATCTATTGAAACGTGGTATGATAATGAAGAAAGAAAAGATAAAATTAGAAAAATAAAATCAGCCGAAAACCCCATTCATGAACCAACACCTATAACTGAACAGTCAACTCAATTACATCATTCTATATCAAATCAATCATTGGAACGAACACCAGATGAAACGCCTAGTCCTGTGATAGTGCCACCACAGAATTCTTCTGCTGCACCGTCTACAAATCTCTCAACATATTTTGAACACATGAAAGATAGTATAGGTTCATCGATACGTTCACAGATGCCCAAGATACCATCATTTAAAGTAATTAAGATATGCCATGATTCATTCGTTTATTGTATTGATTTTGGTTTATTTAGAAACGAACTATTCCAGATGAAAAACCAACTGTTCCAGAAAAACGAACAAAACCGATTGAAAAGAAAGAACCCAAACAAAAACCAAGAAAAATACCACAGAAACGTAAATTTTATTAACGAAATATTTTTGTCATTATTCAATTTCTTTGTTTTAGGTTTAAGTTCTAGTAGTAGTAGTGATTCAAATATAACACCGGATAATGATGATAGTCAAAGTCATGATTCGGTTCCGATGCCTCATGAAGATACATCCACATCAGATGCCAAAGCAACTATTAAAACTTCTATAGAACATCCGACGTTGGAAGAAGAAGAAGGAGAAATAAAAGATGATGATAACGAAAAAGAAGAAGAACACCAACACCATAATAATTCAAATCAAATTGAAAGTGAACCACAACCACCTCCAGCAATACCAGAGCCGCCTCCGGCACCGTCACTACCGCCTCCACCATCACCGACAAAGAAAGCGCCGAATAAAAATGTTGCTAAACAAAATAAAAAACCTGGCGCTCCAAAAAAACGGAAAATGGACCAGATTAAAATTGAACCAATACAAGACGATGATATTTATAATAGTACACTAGCAAAACGAAAGAAAATGTAAGACTATATTGAACATAGATACCTAGCCTCACAACTATTTCTATTTTTCAAATTTAGTGCAACAAATCTTAACCAAGCGGCAACAAATTCAGATATCCAACCTATTCAAACGTTTAATTTGCTAGATAGTCTACCAGAACAAATACGATCACCGCCCAAACTTTACAATCCATTTGCCTATATAGAATTTGAACATAATTATGCTATTATGGCTAAACAACCTGTGCCAGTAGCTAAACGATTAACAATCGATGGTTTAAATGATATGGGTATACAAGCTCCGATGATGCTTCAGCAGACACCGAAATTTCCACCACGTCAACATGATGAAGAAATGCGTATTATGTATGAACTTGATCATGGTGTCGACGAAGAAGACATGTCCTATCTTAAGCAAAGCTTTCAAAAGTATGCATTAAGTCGCAGATTTTTTTATCTCTTAGAGTTGTAACTCTCGATTCCAGCCACATTTACATTTCCGTCTCGAAATTTCAATTAAAATTTTGACTGTAAACGATAATTAGCTATCATTGATGTTTTTATTTTGAATAGATTATGTGACGAAGGACATTCATGTACTACGAAAACTCGTTGGGTTGATCATCCACCAAGTCGGGACTCACCATTTGTTAAACAACAACCACAAAAACATCGAACAGGTATCAATCTCTATATGTGAACCAACAAATTTTTTGAAATTGATATTCTCGTGTTTTTTAGGATGTGCTAGAACCGAAGGTTATTATAAAATAGTTAAAGTTGAGAAAATTCCACGCTTGAAAACTTCTGATGGTTCTCAAAGTTTATCTATGCTTCCACCAGCTATACTCGATACCAATCGTACAACTGGTGCTCAAATGTCACGTGAACTTCGCAGTGAACATCGAAGAAATTTATTAGCATTAGGTGATGTCGAATTCGCTGATCATTTTAAATTTAGTCAACTTAAAGTAAGAAAAAAAAATCTTGCTAACCCACCCGTTGCATATTTTTCCTATCATAATAAATTATTTAGTTACGAAAAAAACGTCTTCGGTATGCCAAATCAAGTATACATTCATGGGGTTTATTTGCTTGTGAACCAATTGCAATGGAAGATATGGTTATCGAATATGTTGGCGAAACAATTCGACAAAGTATTGGTGATCTACGTGAAAAAAAATATGAATTAGAAGGAATTAATTCAAATTATATGTTTCGTGTTGATTCCGATACGATTGTCGATGCAACCAAATGTGGAAATCTGGCACGATTTATTAATCATAGTTGTGATGTAGGAGAAATCATAGTTTATTTTTCTTGCTTTCGAATTCCATTTTTTTTGTTGTAGCCTAATTGTTATGCAAAGATCATTCCTGTTGAATCACAAAAGAAAATTGTTATCTATTCAAAACGTGATATACGCCTTGGAGAAGAAATAACGTATGATTATAAATTCCCACTTGAAGAACAAAAAATTCCATGTTGTTGTGGTGGACCAACATGCCGTGGTTCACTTAATTAATATGTTTATTTTGTATATGCCTTCTTCTTCTTGTACTTTTTTTTTGTTACTCGAAAAATAAAATCTCTTTCTCTATTGAAAAGATTATTTCATTTCTCGTTCATTTTTTTTGTTTTTTCTCTTTAGAATATCATCGAGTTGTTGTTATTGTCTTTCTTTTTCTCGCCCTGTGACGACCATTTTTTGTTCTATAAATAAAACATTCACTGTCCATTGATTTTTAGCTTTAGACTAATATTAAAAACAAACGGATCAAAACATAATAATGTTTATATATTTGTTCGTTTGTATTGAATACAATAAAAAAAAAACATTAATCCTTTGTGTATGTAATTTCTTGTTTGTCTATATCGTTTTTTTTTATTGGATATGATTGTGTGTACATATTCAGATATTTTCCGCGGTGGATGCATATGAAAAAAAAAGTTTTCAAACATAATCTGTGAAAGAGTTAAATCTTTTTTTCTTTTGATTTCCAGTAATGAATTCTATTGTTCACGATTAAGATTGAACAGCAGCAGATGGGTGGGTAATGGGATAGATATATTCAATTCTGTGTCAATGTTGATATTTTTTCTGCACAAAAATAATTAGAAGTGCTAAACACTTTGTTGTTAGAAGTTACAATCATTTGAAAAAAAAGAAAATCGGCATTGAATAAATTATTCTTACAATGAGTTCATAAATTCTGTAACAGCCTCAATTGCTTGGCCACACGCTTTCTCATAAATTCCTAATCAAAATCAAAAGAGGGTCTATTTTATTTACTCAGTAGATATTTTACCTGGTAGACTAAAAAATGAATGAATGATATTATTCACTAATACTAATTTTGTTTTGACACCAGCTTGTTCAAGTTTTTTTTGATATTCTACAAGAAAAAGAAAGTTCTTTTTGCATTCTTTTTTTTTCTAGTAAAGTTTTACCATAACTATCATCTCGTAATGGATCAAGTTCAGCTACAATAAATAAACATGGTGGTAAACCTTGAAATGATTCATATAGTAAAACAGAAGCTCGAGGATTTTTCGCATCATTATCATCGCGTAATGCATTCGTTTGAAACCTAAAACACATCGAAGAGAAATTCATATTAGAATAAATCATCAGAATATAAATTACCATGAAAGCACTTGAGGCGTTAAGATGTGTTCTGGACGAGTAAATTCTTTATAAGATTCTGTATTACCAGCAAAATCAAATGCACCATAAACAAGAATCTATTCATGAACAAAAGATAAAAACTCTGATTCAAAACTAGATCTCTACCTGAAAATCAAGGCCCTTGACTGTATGGCACACTGAAGCAGCAATCAATCCGCCCGCACTATCACCTGCAACGCCAATCTTTGTCGTTTCATCAGCACCTATGATTAAAATAGAAGAAAAACGAAATAAAACAAATCGCAATCTATTAATTGTTACCATAATCGTTTTTATTGGCAAGAATCTGTCGAGTAGCTTCACATGCATCATCAAGCCATATAGGAAATTTATATTCAGGTGAAAGACGATATTCAACTGAAATCCATATCGTTTTAGTTGCACTAGAAACATATTAAACGTGTTACATTTCGATGCACAATCGAAAGAAATACTCAGCAAGCATATTAACAATAGTTTGATGTGTTTTTCGGCTACATTGTGTCCAACCTTGAATATTGATTGATTATGGAGTTTATTAGAGAATGAAATAAAATTTAGTATTTACCTCCACCATGAAAATATAAAACCATCATATCTTTTTTAACATCAGCGGGTGTATAAATTGTAATTGGTATTTCTAAAGAAGAAAAAATCCAATACTAAGAAAAATATTCTAATTCTAATTTCACCTGTATTCTCATCAACTTTTATTTTTCGTTCTTCTTCTGTTCCTTTAAATGTACCAATTAGTTTTTCATTAATTTTTGCATGTACATTTTCACTTCGTTGACGCATCACTTCTAATGTCAAACTTTTTGGTGCTGGAAAATTCTCTGCGATAAACTGTGCATAGGCAAGTGCTTCATCGCATAACCTTTGATCCCTAAAATTTTATAGAATTGTAAATCATTTAAGCATTCTATTAAGAATCAAAGAAAACAAACTTACATTTCAGGTATTCTTTGTTATACTGTGTTTGAAAATGATAATAAAAAAGCAACTAAAATACCACATGAAGACATTTGAGTCTTAACATACCTTTTCTTTTTATATTTGCGTTGTATAGAGAACGAAAAAAAGAAATAAAACAAGGTGAGGTAAAAACTCAATATAAAAGCACGCGAACGACAAATATATTGAGGCTGTCGAATAAAGCATGATCGTCGTTTAAAGTAAGCCAAAACATTTTTATCATTTAATGCATTTTATTCAAAACCATGCACAAGAACCATTAAGAAGTTCTTGAGGTTACAATAAAAATATAAGATATCTCGTTTCTAATTTGGGAGATGTTCGATAACATCTATTCACTTATTACATTATTTTTTCAATAATTCGTCGTCAATTCACTTCGTCATATCAATAGTTTCGCCTATTGTGAAAAAAATTAATGAAATAAAAGTTTTTTGTTCTAATATCACTAACTTGATGTCTACAAGAGAGAATATAGCCGGTCGGGTCTATGAGGCTTGGTTAGTAATAAATCAAATAACGTATTCATATACAGTCTCTTAGATCAGCTTACATGATGACGTTTTGACATACGTACATCATCGATTGGAGACATAATCCAATATACTCTAAGTTTGGTGCGATCATTATTGCAACATATATTCAACAATATCATCTTATTTCTGTATTAAACATTAAATAGGTTAAGTAATGGACTGCTGCTTTCATTTCTATCGAAGAACATTTTTCTTTGTTCGTTTTCAAATGCATCAGTGTGCTATGATAAGCATGTTCTACGTGAAGAATATGTTGTGTAATGAGAAAAAAAAATTGATTTTGTGACATTATTACAGTTATCATGATCAGAATTATATTGAATTGTTGATGACGAGTAAGATTTTCTAAGTTCAATTACTTTCAAGTTGTAGTACAGCATTCTGATCATTTATTTCTGATAATGACGGGAAGCTGTGAGTATTTATTGATAAATCAGCAGCTTTTGCTAACATGTGAAATCTAGCACGGCATAATTTAATACAGAACGTGCTAATTTTTATAAATAACTTTCTAAAGTAGCTTAAAATTGAAATGTAAACATACCCAGAAATTTATTATTACGTTTCATTTTTATAGATATCATTTTACTGGTCGACCCCTCGGAGAGAATTTCTATTTTGATTAGCATATAATCTCTTACCTGTGCAACAACGCATTATTTTCGCGAATCGAACTTCGACATCACTATTTATCGATTTCAATAGAAGCATTCTTGTCTAAAAATATTTAGAAAATTTCATTAAATGGCGGATTAATTAGATAAATTACACAAACAATAATCGTTTTCCTTTTCATGATAATTTTATTTTGAAAATTCTCGCTAAATAGTTTTACTTATAAAAAAAAACTGGAAGATTGCCTCACCTATGAGGAAGAGACAGAGAAAGTATCTCATTTTATATGAATACGATGAAAAATAGAAATTTATTTTTCTTCGATTAGTTACAGTGCACTGCATTCTGTAGTCAAAAGTATCTGCATCAAATTCATTTGATTTTGCATCTTTTGAAAATATCTGTTTTATCTATATCAGTGATGCGACCGGTTCGGTTCGAAAGAACCACAAATCGATCCCATCACTGGTTAAAACAGGCCAAGGAGTTTTCACTTGGACTGGTGGCAGCTGTTACGAGTTAAGACATTAGCAAATAATTCGTCAATCTATTCTACATTAGGTTACTGCCAGTTAGTATTAGTTCCGTGAAATAAACGAACAGCTATTGGGCCAATGGAAAGATAACAAAAGACATGGCAAAGGTAAAATGAAGTGTACAGGTGGTACAATCAAAGATGGAATATGGGGCAACGGTGGCTTGTCGGTTGACTCAAGTGTATTAGTGCTACAAGTATACGTTGAATGATGGAACCTATGTGATGTTTTACGTGTTCATTATCCAAAATAATGTCCCTCTTCCAAGGGGAAAAAACGAGACTTCTGGAGTACTTACCTACTCTACTTCACTGCACTCACATTGTACTCCATTTTTTTCAATTAGAGTGAGCCTCGCTTTCTCGCTCCCCCTGTCCTTGGTGTTGACTCGGAGATTACGACGAAATCTACATGAAGTGTTCAAGTCAAGGACTTTCATCTCAAGTATGGAGAAATTAGCGACTGAGACTGAACGAATAAAACAAACATTTTAGTAAAATTATTTTTGACCGAATTCCTTAGGGGGATTACAGGCAAAGTTTTCGATGAAAATAAACTTTTGCAGTAAAATTTGAAACATTCATTAGCCGACTACGTTGTTACTGGTGATTCCAAATACGCGATTAATTTTGGCACATGTTGTATTTTTCAGATCAAAACTTGTTGAACACTGATAAGAAATGTAGAAAATGATGCCTTCAAAGAAAGCTTTTAACAATTTCGCCAGTGAGTTGTATACTGTTATAATTTGAAAATTTTAAGGTATACTAACAGACAGTGGTTTATCTACTGCATGGGTAGGATGGGCGGCGCTCACCCGAAAATATACAGTTGCTTTCATAAAAGTAATGGGTGGCCCATAAAAAATGGCGGTCTTATTATTTGCTCAATATGTTTTTGCTCTTCATTGATTTGAACTGAACATTTTTCCAAAAAATTAAGCATTCGATTCTCTACAAACTCATGTGTAAAAGATTGTTTTAGACTACAAAATGGCTAAGTACTAAGACGAAGAAAAAAGGTTAAAAAATCTTCAACCTTCAACCCAGGAGATTCAATCCGACCAGTGGATCCGATCGTTTCCGGCACTGGATCCTATGGATTCCGTTGCTTTTCGGTCGATTCCGTTGAATTCCGACGATTTCCTAACTAACGGATCCCGGTTCGGGTTCCGCCGGAAAAATTCCGTTAAGTCCGCAAAATTTCGACCCGGAATTCGTCGGAAATCGACGGAACCGATGGGAATCGATCGGAAATGGTCCGACGAAATCTGGACCGGAATCCGTTAGTTAGGAAATCGTCGGAATTCAACGGAACTGATCGGTTCCGACCGATTCCGACGTACCCTGATTCTCCTGGGAAGCTCTGAATACATTAACATTTGAAGTATGTTTCGACAATTTATACGCAAGCTTAAATTACGAGACAAGCATTTTCTGGTATTTTCCAGTACGCTCTTTCCGATATCTTTAAAAGTGGTCTTCGCCTATTCAATCGATATTTTCTGTAACCTCGCCTATAACTCCTTAATTTCGGGTTTCAAGAAAGCCTACTGCAAACGAAACTTTGCATCACTCGAAAAAGTGTACAGGGGCGTAGTCGAGTATGTTAGCGTTCAAAGAAAAACAAATTTTCTAAAAATAACACTTTTTTTTAGTGAATGGCATGCGTTTTCGAACAAGCATCAAAAACATGAAATGACAGTTGGGTTTTTTAGAAAAAGCAAAAAAATTGATGCAGAATTTTTTACTTATTGTGTGATGAAAAAAAATCTCGAAGACATGAATCTTGCCCAGAATCTGATGCTATTTAACATGGTGGACTCAGTTTTTTTTTTGTAAATCCTCACATGGAAAGCAAGTTTTCAAAAAAGCAACTGATTTGGTGCTTGAAAGTTGAACATTTTTGGACACTTTTTGTTTGTCTTAGAACTTAACCGTTTTGTAGTTTAAAAAAATCTTTTGCACATGAGTTTGTAGAGAATTGAATGGTTAATCTTTTGGGAAAAGATTCAGTTCAACTCAATGAAAAGCAAAACAGATATTGAGTAAATAATGAAACCGCCATTTTTTATGGGTCATTTGTTACTCTGTGATAATAAATTTTCTAGCCAGCAGCCTCTCCAAAAATTTCAACCGTTCACCCGAAAAATGAAACCTAGATAAAACACTGCTAACAAATGCAGAGTTCTGAAAGCATTGTTGACATCAGATCTTATTGTAGCTCTAGTGTCTTCCTCTTCAGAGATACTGTTTGATGGTTGATATCGTATTGATGTACAGAATTAACGAGCAATTCAAAGGAATGTACCACTTTTCCTCCAGAATGAATTAGAAGTAATAATTTTCTCTCTGGCATAGATCAACAGTATATCGTATTGATATTTATGATCAAGAACGGAAAAGTAATCGAAGCAGTGTTTCAATCTTCTTCGTTATTTTCGCTTCCTCTTGTTCTTTTCACAAAATCACCGAAAACAATTCTTTCGCAAACACCAATACTGGCTTAGATAGAACAGACACGACAAAAAAAAATGCAATGATTGTAAACGTAGTAGAATGAAGCCGAAGAAAAATAGAAGAGAACCTACTTATGGTAGGACACATATCTCGTGTCATAACAAAGCGTATAGCTCAATTTCAGGCGACTAGATATAATATTTTCGATGATGATCTTCAAATAATATGAAAAAAGTATTTCTTAGTAATAGTAAATCGTGTGACAATGGCTTGTTCACAACATTGCCATATTTTAATCAACTTACAAATAAAGATAGATCTGAGCTAAAAACAACGGACTCATGCCATTTTTATGAAGATTCACATTTTCAAGAGTATACATTAACTTATTAGGGGCACTTTATCCAATAGCTTTGACCATGTGAACGATTGTAGAAAGAAACCTTTTTTTCTAGTAACATAGACCAATGCATATATAATCGGCCACCTACTTCATACCGCGGATCTATATTGATTGAATAAAATCAACACAATAGCTCTATGATCTGACACCATAGAAGCAGTATTTGAATGATCGCCACGCATTCACATCCTGTGTCAAATATATGTATCAAAAAACGTTTTATTCTCCATTCAGTATGAAGAAGAAAGAAATTCTCTTCAACATATTTGTTATCTTTCCCGTATTGCTCTACACAAACACCAACATCGTATGATAGGCATGTCAGTATCACACCGAAAAATACTGATAAATTTGTTCTTTCTTTTCACAAGATAAAAACTCTCTGCATACAAACCCAGCTAACGGTGAAAAAAGATTCATTTTCAATTCAGACAACTAGCCAACACCATAAAAAAACGCGTTTTTCCACTAAGTTCTTTCGCTCTCAAGGTGGCTATACAAAATGAGTGACTTGTAATTTAGATAGTTATGCATCGTTTTACTGACGTAGAATCAACTCCCGAACGACTTCCAACAGTTTTTGGCTATTTATCGCATCAACTAGTACCTCTTAAAAAAGCGCTCGAACCTATATTCCCACAGATCGATCAACTCAATCGCTATAGTAAAATAGCTACAAACAAATGCAAATTTCCTTCAGAACATGGACTTACTCGAGATGAATCAGCTGCTATCTATCTCTACACAATGGAATGGGGTGAGGATACTTTCTATCAAGTAATTAACCGTTTACGACGTGCCGAAGATCGATCAAAACTTACACCGTGGTTTGGTTACCTTAAACTATTTGATACTGCTGTACAAAAATTACCCACCATTCGCGAGAATCTTTGGCGTGGGATTGCAACAGGCACAGCAAAGTGTGACGAACATAGAGAGTGTCGTCTGTGCCCGCCGGCATGATGGTGTATTGTGTCATCTGCACATCTCTAGTCGTGCATTTCCTTTAGTTACATTCCCTCATATACGCGAGAGCGATCACACTTGGGCGGATATAGGCAAAGAGGGAACGGTCACGCAATAGAACAATGAGAGTTCATCAGATCAATGCACAAACATAGGATACACCGAAGAGGACAAAGTACATAAAGTGAGCTGTAACGGTAAATACCGTTACACAAAGGACTTCACAAAGAGAGATGAGTTCAACTCGTGGGCGATTATTTCATGCTCAGTGCCAGTGGATCGCGTTAAAGAGTTTCTCAGATCCAAATCAACACTTCTTGATTGAAGCCGTGAACGGAAAAGATATTTCCGGCTACGCGGACAATCCAACTGAAAGTGAAGTAATTCTTTGTCCGGGTACACGACTTCGTGTTGTCAATGATCCTCTTGATCAAGCGCCAATGCGTGTAGTTCATTTACAAGAAATTACCGATGAAGCTGAAGACCAACTTACAAGTGGTTTCGACGAGATCTCAGCAGCATCATCCTTCGAAACGAAATCGATTTTAACAACAGCAACAGCGAAATCGTCTGACATGAAAACTGTCACAGATCCATGGAATAATATATATGAGAAAAACATTCAAATATTGTAAAGATAGTCTTGTTGATCAACGGACATAGCACAACAATCCACGTCGATAATGAATAAACAGAAAGGTGAGATGAAAGCCGAAACAAGGCACCGAATAGGCAAAATGGATTCTTAAAAAGGCGACCCGCACACAGATCATTGGGTAGATGGCGTCAGAACCGGCGAGGGTATTCTTATTTTTGTCAATGCTAACCGCTTTGAGAGGAAACATTCCTAAATTCGTTATCGATGTGCTTTAAATTCCATCCGATACAAGACGTTTCCTGTTGACGAAATAAGAGAGCAGTTACCGGGACAATTTAAAGATGTCAAATTTCATAGTAACCGCAAAAATGGAATTAACAAACAGAGGCAAGTACACTCGAGATTCAGTTGATGGCGCAATGACAGACGAAGGCACTTATATTTTTTGCCAATGGTAATCACTATGAGAGGACAACTTAAGGACAACAATTTTCAAGGTAAAGGCAAAATGGATTTCTCAGACGGCAACAACTACACAGGTGATTGGGTAGATGGTATCACAGCAGACCAAGGTGCTCACATTTTTCTCAGTGGTGATCGATACCAGTCGAGCAATTCACATATGACCAGTAAATATTTCCACAATCACTCTGCCATTCTTCAGGATTCCTCGACAAAGCAAATGAACAGTTATCGGAGAAACTTGAAGACGACAAATTACATGGTAAAGGTAAAATGGATTCTCCAGACGGTGACAACTACACAGATTATTGGGCAGGTGACACAAGCGCAGGCGAGAGTACTATTATTTTTAACAATGGTAATCGCTTTGAGAGGACACATTCCTAAATCCATCATCGATGTGTTTTAAATTGCATCGGCTTCCACGAGTTTCCTGTTGACGAAATAAGAGAGCAGTGAATGGGACAACTTGAAGAGGACAAACTTCATGGTAAAGGCAAAATGGAATTTGGAAGCGGAGCCAAGTACATTGGAGATTGGGTTAATGGCGCAATGACAGGCGAAGGCATTTATATTTTTCCCAATGGTAACCGCTATGAGAGAAGATATTCACAGATTCGTTATCGATATGTTTTCAATTACATCAGCTTCAAGGAATTTGCTGGTGACGAAATAAGAGAATAGTGAATGGGACAACTTAAAGACGACAAATTTCATGGTAAAGGCGAAATGGATTTTTCAGACGGCGACAAGTACACTGGCGATTGGGTAGATGGCACAATGACAGGGGAGGGTATTTTGATTTTTGCCAATGGTAACCGCTATGAGAGTAGATATTCACAAATCATTCGTCAGCATTTGTTTGATTACTTCACGTTTTTTGAGGAACGCTTGATGAATTAAGCGATCAGTCACGGGGCCGCTGGGACGAAAATAAAGCACATGGGATAGGTCGACTGGATTTTATAAACGGAGACAGATATACGGGTGATTGGGTTTATGGCGCAAGAACAGGCGAGGGCATTCTTAGTTTTGCCAATGGTAATCGCTTTGAGAGGAAACATTCCAAAATCCATCATCGATGTGTTTTAGATTACATCGGGTTGAAGCGTTTTCTGTTCATGAAATAAGAGAGTAGTTATGGGGACAATTTAAGGATGGTAAATTTCATGATGAAGGCAACATGGAATTTGGAAGCGGAGCCGAGTACACTGGAGATTGGGTTGATGGCGCAATGACAGGCGAAGGCATTTATATTTTTCCCAATGGTAACCGCTATGAGAGGAGATATTCACAACTTCGTTATGGATGTGTTTTAAACTACATCGGCTTCAACAAGTTTCGTGGTGACGAAATAAGAGAATAGTGAATGGGACAACTTAAAGACGACAAATTTCATGGTAAAGGCAAAATGGATTTTTCAGACGGCGACAAGTACATAGGTGATTGGGTAGGCGGCGATGTGACAGGGGAGGGTATTTTGATATTTGCGAATGGTAGTCGCTATCAGAGTACATATTCACAAATTATTCGCCATCATTTCTTTCCATACTTAACGTTTTTTGAGGATCACTTGGTGAGTTAAGCGATCAGTCACGGGGTCGGTGGAAAGAAAATAAGGCACATGGGACAGGTAGAATGGATTTTGCGAGCGGAGACAAGTACACGGGTGATTGGGTAGATGGCGCAAGAACAGGCAGGGGTATTCTTCGTTTTGGCAATGGTAATCGCTTTGAGAGGAAACATTCCAAAATCCATCATCGATGTGTTTTACATTACATCGGGTTGAAGCATTTTCTGTTCATGAAATAAGAGATTAGTTATTGGGACAATTTAAGGATGGTAAATTTCATGGTAAAGGCAAAATGGATTTTTCCGATGGCGATAAGTACGCTGGAGATTGGGCAGATGGTGCGCTGACAGGGGAGGGTATTTTGATATTTGCAAATGGTAATCGCTATCAGAGTAGATATTCACAAATCATTCGTCAGCATTTCTTTGATTACTTCAGGTTCTTTGAGGATCCCTTGATGAATTAAGTGATTAGTCACGGGGCCGGTGGAAAGAAAATAAGACACATGGGACAGGTAGAATGGATTTTGCGAGTGGAGACAAGTACACGGGTGATTGGGTATATGGCGCAAGAACAGGCAATGGCATTCTTCGTTTTGCCAATGGTAATCGTTTCGAGAGGGAACATTCTTAAATCGGTCATCGATGTGTTTCAAATTACATCAGGTTCAAGCCGTTTCCTGTTGATGAGATAAGAGAGTGGTTATTGGGACAATTTAAGGATGGGAAATTTCATGGTAAAGGCAACATGGACTTTGGAAGCGGAGCCAAGTACATTGGAGATTTGGTTTATGGCGCAATGACAGGTGAAGGCATTTATATTTTTCCCAATGGTAACCGCTATGAGAGAAGATATTCGCAAATTCGATATCCATGCGTTTTAAATTATATCGGCTTCAAGGACTTTCCTGTTGACGAAATTAGAGAGCGGTGAATGGGACAACTTAAAGACGACAAATTTCATGGTAAAGGCAAAATGGAATTTCCAAGCGGAGCCAAGTACACTGGAGATTGGGTTGATGGCGCAATGACAGGCGACGGCATTTATATTTTTGCCAATGGTAACCGCTATGAGAGTGGATATTCACAAATCATTCGTCAGAATTTCTTTGATTACTCTCTGGGTTTTGAGGACCCCTTCATGAATTAAGCGATCAGTCACGGGGCCAGTGGGACGAGAATAAGGCACATGGGATAGGTAAAATGTATTATGCAAGCGGTGCCATGTACAGTGGAGGTTGGGTGGATGGCACAATGACAGGCGAAGGCGTTTATATTTTTGCCAATGGGAAACGGTACGAGTGGAGACATTCATAAATCACTGGACAAGCTGTCTTTCATTGCTTTAGCTTTCATTTTGTCTGAATGATGAATTAAGCGATCAGTGATGGGGACAGTGGAAAGATGGCAAGCGAGTTAAGGCCGCGTCTGGTTGTGATATTTCCTGATTTGAGCAGGACTCTCTTGATTTTTTAAACTGTTTTCCGAGAAAAAATTCTGCTGTGTTCGGTAGTGTATCTGGAACCATTTGTTGTGATGCTTGCTGTTTTTTAATTTCAGCTCAAACTTTGATTTTTGTGATATTTTGAACCAATAAAGAAGTGTGGAAGAGACGCAGGAATGTTGTGATGCTTGATGGTGGCAACGATTACATCGTAATTTCTCTTTATTTCGCGTGTGAGATAAACAGCTATATTAAGTGCTGGGTAGAAAAAAGGAGAACTGTTTTGAGCAGTACATTAAGGTTTATCCCTAATAGGTGGAAAGTTTAGTTTTATGGAATGCAAAAGTGGCGGAATTGTCGAAAGTGACGCAGGAAATTAGACTATTTTCCGATTAGAGAAATCATTTTTTCCCCTTGAACTGTGACAGAAATTCGTTGCGCAAAAGGTGAGTGTTACGACCGAAGCGTTCCCCTTCGATTGTATGGCGGAACAAACGAATAATACGCGCTCCTTTCTTGTATAGTGGTAGTACAACTGCCCGGAAAGCGGAAAACGTTGGTTCGACTCCATTGGAGGGGATTATCCTTTTGTTCGGTTCTGTCGTCATACTATCACGTTGCTGTGCCGCTGATGACTGAGTTTAACAATGTGAGAGAAAAGAATACATAACATTGAGTGATTTATGTAGCTTTCATAAACCATTTCGCTTGTGTAAAGCTGTGAATGGAGTCGTATTACAAATCCACCTGGCTTTTGATAAATATGATAAAAAGTTATCGTCATCACGATTCGCAATAAGAATCGCGCTGGTAGGCACCTTCGGTAACAGTTAAAAATTATGCTCAAATGAAAGCGCTCTCAAAATTTTGTTGAATAAAAATAGTTCTTTTGTATCATACTTTTGATACGTCGGGAACGTTTGCTCCGCGAGTGTTCTTTCCACAAATATGCAGCAATTTCTATTTTTGCCTTCGATAGTTGCACTTTTTGGTTTTAGTTAGAAGGTTTTGCTGTGGTACCAGTTCTAATTTTCCATGAGAAAAATATTTGCTAATTTCTCGTTTCGGCCTGATCCCAAAACTTGGAGTTGGAAACCCTGAGCATTACAGACTGAATGGTTGATATCAATGTATATATCCGAGGATGCTGCAATGAAGTATTCATATGCATGTTAATCAAATAATTAAAGACTGCAAGCAATTCTGCGGTTGGCTGAGGATTATCATTCTATAGTATACTATGTCATTGTTATGGATATTTTTATATAGTTACCTGCGGAAACCCATTCTTACACAAAAACAAACAGTAAGTGATCAAAATTAGACCGTTGAACATCCGACTGTCTTCTACACTTTTCATCGAGGAACAACGATCAGTGGTGTATTTCATTTTTAAACTGTATAATTAACTCAAATATTTATGAGAATTATCATTAGATAATAACACAGCAAGTTATTTTTCTCACAATTTAGGAAAACATCAAGAGTTCCTATGCTCGAGTTCGAAAAACTACCTTCTCTATTGTTCCGGACGAAAAATGTTTGCTTTTTGATTTCTATCACAGATGAGCTAGGGACAACGTTTTTCTATCCTATGCTTTGATCTGAACTCTTTCATTTTGTTTTGAAAAATGACAATATTCTATGGAATTAAAATCTTGTTTCTTTTAGTAAAGGACTTGCCACTGATTTTCTTATTTACCGCCAGGAGAGAGTTATATGGAAAATCATTGTCATAGTCTAAACAATATTTCATCTGAAATAGCATGATGTATATTATGTTTTCTATTGCAATCAGAATTGACTAATTTTTACTAGGCAATTTTCACTATGATTTATTTCAATGAAATTTATCTGGAAATATCTGAGCGTACAATCGATAACTTGAAAATTATTGGTAAAAGTAAACAAAAACTAAAATTTGACCACAAATTTTTATTGAAAAAGAAAGCAATATACGTTTATTGGTTTTCCATAAATTCTTGAACAGTTTCAATTACTTCTTGACATGATTTTATAAATATACCTGAAAATATATTCTGATCAAATAAAAGAACACAATTATATATTCATTTATCGTTACCTGGAATGCTAAAAAACGGATGAACAACGCCTTTAATCAAAACAAATTTTGTTTTCACTCCTGCTTTTTCAAGTAGTTCTTTGTAATCTAAAAAAAAGTATAGAGCTACAAATTTTCTTTATCTTTTATTCAATGCCTTTTGTTCTTACTATAACTATCATCGCGTACTGGATCAAGTTCAGCAGCAATGAATAAACAGGGTGGTAATGAATCGAATGATTCCTTATCTAATAGTGAAACTCTTGAATTTTTCTTGTCATCGTCATTACGAAAAGCATTTGAAGAAAACCTTAAAAATGAATGCTAAATATAGATTATTAAGATCTGCTTTTATTTGTTTCAGTACCAATCAAGTACATCTCGCGTTATAACGAAAATATTATGATTAAATTCTGTACGTGATGGTAATTTATGGAAAAAGTCAAATTGGCCACAAATAAGAATCTATGCATAATAAACATAAAAGAGTCTCACTCAATAACAAAAACTAAAGAATTTGTACCTGAAAATCAAGATTCTTAATTTCATGACAAATTGATGCAGATATGACAGCGCCAGCACTATCACCTGCAACGCCAATCTTTGTCGTTTCATCAGCACCTATGATGAAAATAGAAGAAAAACTAAATAAAACAAATTACAATCTATTGATTGTTACCGTAATCGTTTTTATTGGCAAGAATCTGTCGAGTAGCTTCACATGCATCATCAAGCCATATAGGAAATTTATATTCAGGTGAAAGACGATATTCAACTGAAATCCATATCGTTTTTGTTGCACTAGAAACATATTAAACGTGTTGCATTTCGATGCACAATCGAAAGAAATACTCAGCAAGCATATTAACAATAGTTTGATGTGTTTTTCGACTGTTCACTGTCCATCCTAAAATAGATGTGCATTCGAGAATCTACTCTATACATTTATTCCTTACCTCCACCATGAAAAAATATAACCATCTTATCTTTCTTAACATCAATTGGTGTGTAGATTGTAATTGGTATTTCTAAATTATTAGATTCAGTTTTGAAGAAAAAAAACTAACAGATTTCATTGTATTGCATACCTAAATCATTATTAATTCGAACATTTTTTTCTTGTTCTTTTCCTTTAAATTTGTCAATAAGTTTTTCATTAATTTTTTTATGTAGTGCTTCAGCTCTTTCACGAATACCCGCTATTGAAATATCAAATGGTGGAGGAAAACCAGTTCGTAAAAATTGTGTATACGTCTTTGATTCATTATTAAATCTTGAATCCCTGGAGTAAAAAAACAAGAAAACGATCTAATGACAAGGACTATTCATCATCATCATCATTGAAACTATAGCTTATACATTTACGTTTGTTCGTCGAATCGTCCTGAGAAATAAAACTGAGTAGTATTACAAATAAAAACAAACCGAACGACATCTACGCCTAGGTAACCACTCATATACTCGAAATATGGAGGATTATCGGAGGCGTCCTACTCCGGTCTCATTGAAAAGTACGAAGTTTTTTCTTTGCATCTGTTAAGAACAAAGAGATAGATAGATAGATATGCTTCGTTTGCAAAAGAAAGAAAGCGTGACTCCTTGATAATGTTTGTCATTTTATAACATCATGCTATACCAGAGTAAACAATACTTGAATCATTAGTTACATTTATTCATAGTGAATATCAAAACTTTTTATCATATTCTTTGATCTCTGTTATTGTACTGATAAATTTATGACAAATAAATCTTATATTCCGACTAAATGGTATAAACAAAACAATAAGCAAAACCAATGTCGATACATTAATGCAAACATACAAACAGCAGTGGTCCTATTATGAACGTTTGATCTTTTTTCAGACGCATAACTTAGCAAGACAAATAGAGAACAAAACGAAACAAAAAAATAATAAATAGTTAAAACTCATCAATAACCGATCAATTATCATTGACAGAAGATCACGCGTGCATCGATTACATTTTTTTCAATTATATACCTGCCATCTTCCATATGTGCTCTCACGCACACACTCATCGATCTCGTTTATTAACAGTCGATTTGGAAAGCATAGGATGCAAAGAAGAAAAAGAGTTGTCATTCTCTTTTGTATTTTGATGCATCACATCAATAGAAAACGATTTGCAATGAGGCACAGAATAGAAAAGAAGAAACCGCGACATCCATCTATTCAACGGAATGTATTTATAATTTGTTCAAAGTGTTAATTGGTCTTATATATGCTTTTGTCTTGCCTATAAACTTCAATTGAGTATGTTGAATGACGAGAAGAAAAGTCATCTTGTTTAAACGACACATACTCATACAAACCATCTGGAGCCACTAAGTATCACAAGATGACAGACAAACAGCAACAGCTACTATCAATGACTCGTTTTCTCATATATTCGATGTTTGTCACTGATGTTTGCCCCAAGCGACAAAAGAGAGAAGAAAAAGAAAAAAATATATATTTATATATGTAGAAATGAATATGACTGACGTGAACCTATCTTCATCACTGTGATTTTTTTTTTCTTCTTCTTCTTCTTCTTCTTCTTCTTCTTTCGATTGATGATACTTATTGATTACATGCTCATCAAATAGTGATTCGTTCTAATGCGCCTACCATCTTCTTGTGCTCGCCTCATCATTCGAACCTAATTTTAATTTATGAGCGAGCAATAGAAATCATGGATAGCGGATACAAAAGAAACCCATCGATCATGCTTGACGATGACATCGAACGTAAGAGCAAACAGTCAGTATAGAGTCCTCTTCTTCTTTGTAGCCATATAAAAGAGAGAACGCGAATGCGCAAGTGTATCCTGTTTGTATTACGCGAATGAATGAATCGATGACAAACGTAATATGGAAAAAATTCATGATCAAGCTCTTGTTGCAATCATTAGATATGCAAATACGTGATCACGCTCTTGAAGAAGCCTTTTTTTGTCTAAATAAAGAAAAATAACACCTTTCGTCTTTTTTTTCTTCAAATATTCTTCGTCAATATTAAATAAGTGGAGAAAAAAAACGCCAAAATATTAGCAATGTCAATAAAATCTATAATAATAGTACGATCGGATTAATGAATTTAAATATACATATTCAATTGAAATCATACAAAATTCTCTCTTGGATTTAAACATCTATGCTAGTGTCATTTTTTGATTGTTACACATATTTATATATCTACGAATATATCGTTTGATTATCACTATTCTCTGACATATGCCAATAGGCAGACAACACACACATCTAACTATATTATGAGATTCTTTCTTTTGTTTGCTTGAGAAGTTGCTGCTCGATTATTTTCACATATTGTATCTTGCTTTCTTTTTTCTCGTTTATTGGCCAAACAACCAATTACTATAAAGAAAGACAACGAAGACATACTCTCCGATTGGTAGTTGTATAAGTAATGGTTTATTTTCTTTTTCTTTTCATTCTCTTATTCTTCGTTGTGCTGTATGTCGACGATGATGAGCTGCTAGAGGCTAGAAAGAAAGAATGTTGGTAGTCGTAACTGGCGCAAGAAAAACTCAATCATCTATCTGACAGAGAAAGAGAGTCATGTCCTTCAGTGTATATACATACACATACACATACACATCTTTCTTTCTATCTATCTTCGCTTGAATGAATATCTACATATGTATATGCAAGAGTAATTTTTTTTCTTTCTCCTTTTTCTTGTTCGTTATCAACCAATCAATAAGCAGTACTCTCTCTTTTTCTACTCTTAACCAATTCTCTTTTCAACCGAGAGAGAAACAAGAAAAAAAAGCCGAGACAGAACACGAGAGAGAGAGAGAGAGAGAGAGAGAGAGAAATCCAGTGAACTACAAGAAAGAACTCAATCAGAGTAGAAGAGAGAAGTCAACTCTGTGTAACGACAACGAGAAAAGATAAACTGCGACAAGAGAGATCAGTTGATACACAGGCACGCACATATATACGCATAAAAACAAAGAAAAGATTATCGTTTGATTATTTTTATATTATCTACTAAACAACGAATTATGTATCACCCGTCAATGTGGCATCCTATTCAACCACTTGATATGGCAGCAGCATTTCGTTCAATACGGCAAACAACATCATCACCTAATTCAACAACAACAACAAGTCCCGATAAAAATTCTTTATCGGCTGCTGTTGCTGCTTTTAATGCTGCCAATGGTGCCTTTTCTGTCAATACACTTCTTAATCAAACATCATCTGATCATTTACGATTTCCTTCGGCTCATCCATCTATAACGGCCGCAGCTGCAGTTCATCAACATCATCTATTTTCAACTCTTTTTCAACATTATCCTTATGCGGCTGCATTTCGTCCTTTATTAAACGGTACGACAACAACAGGTTTATTAACATCATCAGCAAATTCAAATTCATCATTATCATCCTCATCGGAATCGTCGGAATCATCTGCATTTTTACCAGCGGGAAAGCGTTTTAAAAATAACACACATGATGAAAATCATTGTGATATATCACCATCAGAAAAAAGTAGTGATGATAGTTTTGGCAAATATTCAGGTAGATTTTAACAAACAGAAGAAGAAACTAACTTTATCATTCTAGTTTCTTCTGTTTTATTTTCCTTTTTTTTTTGGTTTTGCCCTAAAGATGACTTCATCCGGTTGATTTCACACGTATACGACTGGGTGGAGGTTTATTAATTAACAAGCTAAAAACACAAAAAAAAAATCAATTATCATTTATTGTTTATCTATACTCATACTATAGTTTCCTGTAATATACATATAATCACAGTTTCTTGCGAAAAAATATCTAACTGTGAGAATTATTTGCTATTACATGAATAACTATGTAGTGTTAAGATCAAACAAGATTTTGATTGATTGATCGATATTTAATAAGAATGAATATGGGCAACCGTTCTTCTTCTTTCTTGTTCTTCTTCTTCTCTCCTCTTATATTAATCCATAACTTCAGGGCAAATCATCACTCTTCACTTAGATTTCTAGTACTGTTGATATAATAATAAGAAGTATTTATTTTGTGTACGTATCGACAGGTTGACTTCGAGGAAAATATTCAGCTGTATAATCAAAATTCTATATGATTAGGCTATTTAGACATATGGCACGATAGTAATCCATAAGCGAAAAAAAAGAAGTCATAAAATAATCAAACTCTTGACTATGAGAAGACTAATGAGACGGAATAAAATACCGGATGGAATAGACAGGACAGATCGTCGATCTTTTTCTTCCTCTTTTGTGTTTCTATGTATGTGTTTGTGCGCTTGTGTTAAGAATGTGTCGAGTGGCTTGTTGTTAAACACAATACCAAACACATTTTGTTGTATCACTCTAGAGAGTCGATGTCGATCATCCACATATGATCTACAAAATCCACAATGTCCCATTTGCCAAATATCATTAAACGGACAAGACATGATGACGCATATTCAACAAGAACTTGATACTATTGAACGTACAAGACAACAACATAAATATTCAATACGACGTTCATCACATTTAACAAATGGTAATAACAAAGTAAGTTATCATCTGTTGTTAACACGCAAATTAATCATAATAGACTATGTTTATCAGACAATGATCATTATATTTGTATCTAGATTCTACAAGAAAATACAATTAATAATATCGATCAAACATTTAAGACACGTTATGAAGTAAATATAGAAAAATAAATCTCTTTTTAATCATTACATTTTCTACTTTCTAATAGACATATATACGAGTGAGAACAAGTCGACAACAACGTTTAAATGGTAAGAGAATATAATTGTTTACTAAACAATCAAAAAAAAAAACTATCTTATATATATATCATGTACAGCCAAATTACAATTACATAATCGACGATTAAATCGTAATGATACACGAAATTGTCCAATATGCTATCAAATAATTCCAATGAATACAGATGAAGAATATTTTTGTACACATGTTCAACAATGTTCAAGAAAAGTACAATAACAAGAAAAACGAATCATGTCTTTTTCACGCTCTTCTTTTTGTCTAGAGAGAACAGCTAGCAGCTAATGCAGCTCTAGCTGCAATGGCCAATCAACATCGATTACCACAACCACCGCCTCCTCCACCATTGGTAATATCAGCTCGAGACTCAACATCAGGTATAAATAGAGACATTTTCTTTGCCTGTGTCATTGCTTAAAATGTTCATTCAATAGATGATCCAGATGTTAATGTCGTCGACATGGATGATGGCATTGAACATGAAGACAATAATAGCAATCGACAAAGTACTAATGAAACAACGAGTACAGCTGATCATAGGTATGTGCAATAATTTTAATGAGCCTATTTTTGGATGAAAATCTGTTCATTTTCTTCTACTAGCGATGATCGATGTCAAGAATCGTTTAACAGTGATCAAAGGTAAATAAAATTTTCTCGATTAGTTTCTTTAATTTTAAAATTTCAATTTAAAGATTTTCTCCTTCAACACAAAAAAGTGATTTACTATTTTCATCAAACGTAACCGAGCTTGATCCTCCTAAATGCGTCGTTTGCATGGTGAGTAAATTGTCTACAATGAAAATTTGTCAGCATTATTTGTTTTTGTTTTGTTTAATCTAGTAGGAATCGTGTGTAAAACCGTGTGTGTCACTTCTTTGTTGGCATATAAATTGTGAAGAATGTTGGTCAAAGTATCTTAAAGAAAAAACTAGTTGTCCACAATGTCATTTAAAAACAACATCAAAGAATCTTCGACGAATTTTTTTTAATGAAATATCTAAATAAACACATTTTTTGTCTGCTTTTTTTCTTCTTTTTTTCTTTCGGTTTTTTTTCTTCTTTTTCTTTTGCTGTATTTGTCATGTAAAATAAAACGTTATTTTTTACAATCGAACATTCACTTAGCTAACAATCAATTTCAATAGACATCCGTCTCTCATTATGAATAGATTCGAAAAGAAAAGAGAATGAGTTTCGGAAATCATATCGTTCGATATAATTAATAGTCACCTGCTGAGTACAACAAAAAAAGAAAGAACGAAATGAAATATTTCATATTCATATTATTTTCTTTATGAAACAAAAAAACACAGACGAATATGACAACTCAATCGGCTAGTTACGATGATATTCATGAAGGTAAGCCACGCATTACATCTTACGATGATAATGGTGTTCGTACAACCACCACAACAACAAAACTTGGTCCAGATCCTAAGGAAAAACCGAAAGATATAGTTACAGTGCGTAAAATTCAACATCCCGATTCAATTGAAACAGTAACAATAACTGAAAAAAAACTACCACCAATACGTTATACAGAAACTATTACACGAGAAAAATTACCAAAACAAAGTACACCATCACATACACAAGTAGCACAACCAGCACTGTTAAATGTACCTACTTCAGGAGGATTACGTCCTACCAGCATACCACCGACGCCAGCAGAAAAATATATTACACATGAAATTCCTCCAACTGCTACAACAGTATGTTTGAATAAGATGAAAGTTAAATTTCGTTTATTTTGATTATTTAGTATAATGTTGTACGCCCGCCTATTGTATCTTATTTTCCAACACGTCAAGAACGTGTTATTGTAACACAACCGGAACGTTTAACGGGACCTCCAGTTGTCCTACGTTCAACTCCTGAACCCACATCCTATGTTCCAGTACAAAATTCTCGTACAACACGTTTTGTGGAAGATCGCCATACGCTTGTTAATTATCCAGATGATTACTATGGAACACGTCGTACCGGTCAACGTTCCCATTGGTGTGGTAATTGTGGAGGTGATTGTTTTAGTTGTAATTGTTTTGATGATTGTTGTGGTACAACGAGTTGTTGCCGAACAAATTCATTTGCTCGACGAAAAGATGTTGTTTCATATAAAACCAGAGTTACGAGAGATGGACGACGTGTTCGTTATCGTGTAAGTTAAAAACAAAAAAAAAGAGAAAATGATATTAAATTTGTCTTGTATTACTTGATGACTTCGTGGGTGTTCGCCAAACGATTTACTTTCACACATAGAAACATCATTATTATTGTTCTTGTTATTATTATTGTTTCTCTATTCATATGGAGATGTGAAGGAAGAAAAAAAAGACAGTAGACACACGCGAAAAGAATGTTATGAAGCTATTCTAATGGATGAGATATTGTGTGTCAACGCCTATTTCTGTTTTTGTTTTTCACTTGAGCAATCTTATGACTAATGTGTGACAATTAAAACTAGAAGAATGAATATGAGAACATTGAATGAGACGTACATTCATTTGTAGATCATAATTGGTTAATAAAAAATTTCTATCTTCAATATAATATACTATTGATAGGAATTCAAATTGTAGAATCTTTCGTTAGACAAATCCTAATGAACTAAGTCAAAAATCTAATTCTCCTATGTATTCAACTGTCTATTTATTTTCATTTAGAATGCTGACGTACCCGGTTATCGTTGTTGCAATTGTTGTACAGGATGGTGCTCTCGTGTATGTCCATTTTGTTCTTGTCTCGAATGGTTTTGTGCATGTCCATGTTGGCTTTGGCTTTGCTGTCTCCTACCGTTGCTGCTCGGTCTTCTCGGATTATCAATTGGTTTACTGACACAATTACCTTGTAAGTACGCAAAGAGATTTTTTGTTTCTTGAAGTAGTTTAGCTTGATCTTAAAATTCGGATAGCGATCACATCTAGGACGAGCAATGTTCGAACATTACGCGTGATTGAACAAGTCACGAATGAAACATGGTATGTCTATGGACTTGATCAACCATGTCAAGGTAGCGCGACAATATTTCCACCTAGTCTATCAACAATAACAACTCTAATACCATGTGCACAAACAACAACCAGTTGGGCACGTATAATACAAGCAACAACATTAATAACTATAAGCAAAAGTTCAAAAACATTCATAGAAAATAATTTCCTATTCATATTTTTATTTGTTTTTCAATATATTTCTCGTTATTTTTTTCTCTGAAAAGAAAAGAAGGCAAATAAAATCTATTCTTTCAGCTATCAATTCAAGTGCAGGCCAATACAATGAATTACGTGTAACACAATCGTATAATACTGTCTTAGCTGTACTGGGACAAAATGCTGTTTGTCAACCAGATCGAAATCAAGCCGGTATACCCCTCTATTGTGACCAAACAACAACAAGTTTTTCCGTATCAGCAACATCATCATCAAGTACGGTTTTTGCCGTACAAGTAAATCACAGTTCTCATCTCGATTATGATTATGTTTGTTTTATTCTATTAACTTTTTTATCTGTTATTATGCAAAAATATTTTCAATTAATTATAAGAGCGATTTTTATTTATTAAAATAAATAAAGAATTTTTGATCATTTACCAAAAGATAGAATTAAACCAAAGGTTTCTAAGACGATAATCAACAATTTTCATTCATACTAACATGACTTATGAAGCGCGTAATCTTCTCAACTCGTCTGAGTATGTTGAATAACATTTTTGCTTTCTGTTTCATATGAATTATTTTCAGAGATTTTAATATTGATTACAGTGATGTTAAATTGAATTTAAAATTGCTTAATAAATATTTTGAAGTCAATACGCTCGATGAAATACTGGTACGTCGTCGAAATGAATTCAAAATACGTGCTGAACATTTACAACAACGTAAAGAAGCTTTGCATGAAAGAGAAATAATGTTTAAAGAAAGAATAATCAGGTGAGAAACCATCGTTGCTTTTCGTAGATCGTCTATTATAATATAATTAATCTATTTAGTTATGAAATGTATATACGAGTAAGCAAAAAAGTCCAGTTATTATTATTATGGAAGAGTAAATTTTGAAAATTATCAAGGAATTAGCAATGAAACGTGATCGATCGTTGAGACGAATTGATGATGAAAAACGTTTTATTGAAAATAAAAAAATCGAAATCGAATCCCTTAATCAAGAAATTCAACAAATACAAGAAGAAAATAAAAAATTAGAAAATATTATTCTTCAGTATCAACCTCATTTAAATCTTCTGACACAAGTTAATCATAGAATTTTTCTTAAAAAAAAACGTTTTTCAATTTACGGCATTATTCTAGATCGTTGATCGAACGGATCGTTTTCAATCGATTGATGAAATCATTGAAAAATTTAATATGCTTCATGCAAGTTATCAAGTACGAGACATTTTCTTTTTGTTTGCAGCTTGATCGAATACTTGAGCATTTAGGATATTCTTATGACTATTAAAAATTCTAATCAAGAGTTGAATGACGTACAACGACAATTATTATTAACTACTGAAGTAAAACCTTTTTTTGTAAAATATATTCATTGCAGTTCGGTTGAAATTATAGAAGAAAAATACTAGAATATCTTCAATGAATAATCATATAAGAGAATTACAACAGGATCTTACTGAAATTCAACAACGTATTGATAAAATTCAAACTGAAATTCATAATTACCAACAAATATCCATAGAACACTTTACAGAAATTGGTATCATAAACATGTAAGAATGTATCCGGTGTTTCTTTCATACTCCGAAATATTTATATTTTAGTGCGATTGAATCAATGTTTGATATAGTTAAAAGATATAGTCATCGTTGTAGAAAAAAAGATTTAAATATTGATAAATATTCACCAATGAGTAATAATAATCAAAATCTATTCTTGAAATTCAAACAAGTCAGTGAACACTTGAAATGTTTTTATTATAAATAAAAACGAATTCTATAGATTGATACATTTCTTAGTGATCTAATATACTATGTGGATTATGTTAATAGTAAACAGAATAATACTGTAGTAAATAGAGATTCCATTGATAATGATAATATAAAACTGAAACAAAAAATTAGTTTAAATCAAGTCAGAGAAAGTATACATGACAACAATCAATGGCGTGGCCCATGTGAAATTGATCGGCGTGAAACACTGGCAAAGCCAATTGAAAAAAATTCACCACAATCTTATATTTCCTTTCAAGTAAAAATATTACTTACGAGAAAATCTAGTCGAAAAAGGAATATCATCATCAGAAACTCTTGAGTAATACAAAGAGTAGTATAGGAAAAAACATATTCTTCTTAAATAGCCGTTTCCATAACAATCCAATCGATTTCCATGATTTTATTTATTTTTTCGAAGATTCGAGGCGAAGATAACATACTATATACAGTTCAAATGGCTCGTGTGTCTCAACCACGCAATAGTTTGTTACCAGATCGATCATCAATATCTATTAGTAGTAAAGAAAAGAAAAGTAGCGTTTTTCGAACATCTGCATCGAAGTTACATGGAAGTACTGATATACAATTGCACTCGTTAACAAAACAAAATACACGAAATAGTTTCAAATTAATGAATCAACAGTATCATGATGACAAACAACTGCCTTTTCAGCCTGAATTAGACTTGATTCGTTGAACTTCAGTTATTCATTGTTATCTTATTTTGATCGCATATATTGAAGGACTAATGCGCTGGGAGTTTTTGTAGAGTACACTTCGATATCGTGATATGCTCCTACATGTAAAATCAGGTATTGGATGATGCAGTGATGCATTTTTTCTTATTTCTTTTAAATGCGTCAGTATGTTGTTGCAGTAATTGTTTTCGATTAACAAGATTTCTTTTCGACCATTATGCAATAGAGTTATTTTCCAGCTTCTTTAACGGTTCTTATTAAATTGTTAATGCTCTCAAGAATCGTCAAGACTATAGAATATTTTAAAAAATATTCATTTCGTTTGCTTTCTTCAGTGCATCCAAATGAACTTAGTTTCATTTGAGACAACTTGATGTACAGTAGGGGATAAAAGTCGCCATCTACCCAGATCTCAGCTACCACAAACACTGGAGGTCTGAAAACTTATGTATATATAATCGATCAAGAGTGTCGATTGGAGCTATGAGGTCATCCCGATTGCTCAAATGCAGCTAGAGCCGCAATGAGCAGGGCCGTTTTTGGCTTGCAAAAGCTATCAATGAAATTTTGCGATGGTTTTTATCAAATACATAATTAATTCTTGGTATTTTACTATACGACTGAAGCACGTTGTAGATCTTTGTCCACTCAGAAGATCATATTATTCTCTGTAAAATTGCTACCCCTGTAGATATTTGAATCCTTACCGCCGACATGACTATGCATGGCACACTATTTCTCTGGGAACAATACTTCAATCATGAGACTTTCAAACAACAATGTTCAGCTACAAGTAAAACTTCTTTAAAAGTTCGAGCTCAATTTATTGAAGAATTATTGAGTTATGCTCTAAAAACTTTCAACACGGAGTTTTTCGCTCTCCGAATAGTCACAGTAAATGGCCACAATTCTAGTAAGGATTTATGAGCTTCAGTGAAATTGATAGGGTCGATAGCTGGAGTATAATCATGAATAATGAGGAGTCAATTGGACCATGAAACTCTTTCTTTTTGGAAATATATAGTCCACAGGAAAAATAAGTGCTCACCAGTATCAACCGTTATAATTTTCGCTTTATGTTAGAAGTCGGAACAAGATCATAGCTCCGATCTACATTTTTGGTGGACTGTATGCATACAAGTTTTAAAACCTCCGGTGTTTGTGGTAGCTGAAATCTGGATGGATGGAGACTTTTGTCTACTACTGTAATATTTTCAATGAGGATTTTCATTGCAAATAGTTGAAACCTTTTTTATTACCAATTTGAAAGTTTAATCTTTTACAGTGAGGAGAGAATCACCGATATCAGAACTATACCGAATGATTGGCAATTACTAAAGTTATCTTAATCCAACTTTAACTTGCAATATAACACTATTCTATAAGTCAAACATTCATTATTTGATAATATATTTATGCAATCTCGTCGACATGTCAGTAATATCAGAAAAGTATATCTTAGGAATATAATGAGTCTTCTGAGAATGATACGATATGCTGACAGAATCGTCACACTTCAATCAAATGAATAGAAAAAGTGGGTCTGAGTTTAGAAACTCAAGTGATTTTCATGAAGACTCAAACTTTCCACAAAGTCATTTATCTTATAAAGGCCAGCTTTTAAAACAATTTAAACGTTATGAATGATTGCCAAAAGAAAGTTTCTTCTAAGAACATAGACAAAGACTAAGGCATATATAATCAATCACTTATGACATCCCGAAGATTTATATTGAATGAGTTAATTCAATTAAATAACTTTATGATCGAAAACCTTGTCAGCCGTATTTACAACCGATCTGTTTTGTATGTACGCGTAGAAAAATTCTTCAATGCGTTGGCTTTATCTTCAATCACAAGGGCAAAGCGAAAAAATGTTTCCAACAAGATTTTACTATTCTGTGCTGTTCTGTCGAAAAACTCTCGTTTGCACAATCGTACATCATATCAGAGCGATGCAAAAATACCGTAACTCACTTCGAAATGTCTTTCTTCCTTCCTCTTCATGAAAATGAATACTGTGTAAGTAAAAACATCACAACGGAAAAAAAATCTTTTTCAACTCTTTCGAGTTACCAACAACATGCGAAGCACGCGTTTTGATTGTGTTTTTTTGAAGCGACTACAGCACATAACCGATTTATATTGCAGATACCTATGCATCGTTTTACTGATATAGAATCAACTTCCAAACGACTTCCACCTGTTTATGGCTATTTAACGCATCAACTACTACCTCTTCAAAAAGCTCTGGAACCCATCTTATCTCAGGTTGATCAGCTCGATCGTTTTAGCAAAATAGCTAAAAACGAATGCCACTTTCCTTCGCAGCATGAGCTTACTCGAGATGAATCAGCCGCCATTTATCTCTACACAATGGAATGGGGCGAGAATAGTTTCTATCAAGTAATTAACCGTTTTCTACGCGCTGAAGATAGGTCATCTCTAAAGCCGTGGTTTGCTTATCTTAAGCTATTTGATACTGCTGTACACAAATTACCCACTGTTCGAAAGAATCTTTGGCGAGGGATTGCAAAAGACATAGCGAAGAACTTCAAAAAGGGGGAAGAATTCACCTGGTGGACGATTAGTTCATGTTCAACGTCAGTGAATACCATTAAAGACTTTCTTGGACCCGATTCAACACTATTCTTGATTGAAGCCGTGAACGGAAAAGATATTTCCGGATACACGAACTTTCCAACTGAAAGTGAAGTAATTCTTTGTCCAGGTACACGATTTCGTGTTGTCAGTGATCCTCTTGATCAAGCGCCAATGCGTGTAGTTCATTTACAAGAAATTACCGACGAAACTGAAGGCCAGCTTACAAGTAGTGTTAATGCGATGTCAGTAGCATCCTCCTCTGAAAAAAAATCGATGCCGACAGACGTAACGTCTAAATCATCTGCAGTGAAAACTGTTACTGATCAATGGGGTAATACATATCAGAAAAAGATTCACATATTATAAACGCATAGTTTTTGATCCATGTCTATGCAACGAATGAACACATCGTTATTGAATAAAGAGAAAGGTGAGATGAAAGATGGTAACAAGCATGGGAAAGGCAAAATGGATTTTGCAAACGGCGACAAGTACACAGAAGATTGTGTCAATGGTATCAGAACAGGCCAAGACCTTTACATTTTTGCCAATGGTGATCGCTACGAGGGGCAGTGGAAAGATGATAAAAAGCATGGGAAAGGCAGAATGGATTTTGCAAACGGCGACAAGTACACAGGAGATTATGTCAATGGTATCAGAACAGGCCAAGGCCTTTACATTTATGCCAGTGGTACTCGCTACGAGGGGCAGTGGAAAGATGATAAAATTCATGGCAAAGGTAAAATGACGTATGCTAACGGTACAATTGAAGATGGAATGTGGTCCAATAGCAGTTTTGTGGGCTAATGGAAGTGTATAGAGCATATGTTGTACAATAGAACAATGATATTTCATAGTCGAATGCGCGCTTCCTGAGTTGTGTGTTTTTTGTAGAGCTCACATATATTTTTGAAAAGATGGTGAGTGCAAGTTTAAAGGCGAGATTTGTGCAGCTGTCCATCGCCTCCATATTCCAGATATTACCAATCATGCAAAAACTACATAAAGAATTTTTTCTTCCGATCTATTATCTTGCAACACATTTCGGACTTTATGTGTTGTATATCAGTAGAGTTAGGCGAAAAGTCATATGTGAGTTCCACGGTTTAGCGCCACGAGAGCTGGATTAGCAACCTGTCCCAATAAAATTGTATTATTCAAATCCATGTTACGGAGCTGGAATTGACTGAAGATCGTTAATCAGAAATTCCAATTGTCCTGAGTTGACTGAAAATAATGAAAACTGATGCTGTTCTTGAATTTTCGTTAACAAATTGCACTGCTGTTCCCCAGGAAACAAACTTTTGGAAAAAGGCGTTTAAACACTGAATCGGGAACAGCGATTATGAGTCATTCACACTCGTTAACGAAATGTGCTTTTTTTACGCAGAATTCTCACTGTCCTAGCGTGAGAACGAATAAAAACTCTAGTTTTGAGCGTTTAAACGCACAGTTATTCGATAGCTTAAAAGACAATTCGTTTAACCACTCATGATTGGAATTTTAACCCGTTTTCACCCTCGGAAAGTGAGAATTCTACGTAAAAACGCGTTTGTCCCAATCAGGGTTCCTGATTGAGTGTTTAAATGCATTTTTCCAAATGTTTATCTGCTAGGGTTACAGTGTTGATAATGAATCGACTCTTTGAAACAGTAGACTTTGATGAAAACTCATGGACGTTTGGCTTAGAATGAGCCCAGACAGAAATTGATCGTAATGTGTCACTGTAGAACCGACCGGCGAAATTGCAATCGTTTTCATTGCATCGATTGATCTTACTGTTTCCAGCATTGATTGCTAATGCTCGCAACACGTATAGTTCAGAGTCGTAGAATTGGCATAACAGGTATTCTTTGAGCCAGAATCTATAATTGGATAGGAGCTTCTTATAAGTAATGATCAGAAGTTTTCCGATCTGAATCACATGAAAATCCAATCATTACTGCTGGTGAAAAGATTTTTCGCAAGCGTCATCTAACTTCTAGTGTGTAGCAAACTATGACCTATGAGACGACATCAGTCTAGTAGAAAGTGATTCGCAGAGAAGAACTCCTATAATTATTAATGAAGATGTAATATATATTTCAGGATTGTTCTTACAATGCTATCTCATTTCATGCCTGAAGTTGTAATTTGACAGCAAGTAACATTGACATTTACAGCTACTGTCAGTCTGATATCTAAAACAGATGCTGCTATGGCAAATCTGATGAAAATAAATAGAATATAAACTGATTCTGTACTTTCACTTTATTTTATACAAGCACAGCTATCTTATAATTCTGTACATCGAGCACCAGTAAATTTTCGATAATGTTATATAGTACCATTCAGCATGTACGAAGAGACAATGAAACTACTTTTTCTTCAGAATCCACACAGTGAAGTGCCGGCTCAATTCCATTTTTTTGCGAAAAACCCAAGAATTACGACCTATATGATATTGAGTACATCTGCAAAGCTTCATGTGTAGATAGAATAGCATTTTATTGACAAAAATAACACATGAAATTATAGAGATTAACATGATGCAGCTAACAAAAAATAAACGTTCTATAAACTATTATATCTTCTATTTAAATAAAAACTTTAATTTAATTATATATCGCAGTCGCACTTGTTTTGTATCGTAAACAATATATTCATTATAATTAAGTGTATAACCTTTTGAATTAACTACATCAGTTACTTCAGCTGGGCCCATCGGCACAAGAACATCATTATCTCTTTTGAAAAACAAAAACATTTTTAAATTTTGCTCGTATAAATAAGAATCTAACTTACAATTTAACTCCATTTTTTAAATTAGGTGCTATTGAACCAAGACCTTTTACACTTGAGTAACCATCTGGTAATCGATGAGCATTATTATCAGCATGTACTAATTCATTAGATTTACCAAGAGCAACCTAATTCGAATAATCACAACGATATTCATCATGTAAATCAAAAGTCAACTTACTTCAGCCAGAAGAACTATACCAGTATTTTTGCTTGGCGTTGGATAGCAATAATTAGCACTTTTACTACTCATATCAGCAAAATATAAACCTTTTCCAAACATATAACCAGTCTAAATTATTTAAAAGAAAAGTTAAATTGTCATTTCCCATGCAGCTCACAATCAACCAATTAAAGTAATTTAAGTATTTGAATATCTACATTCTTGCTCTTCCTACTAAATCTTCGTCTTATCATTAGTATAATAATGATGGGTTTACCAAAAAGGTTCTCGTTCTAAAGAGATTTTACTTACAACAGGTGCTTCTGGTGGTGCAATACGTAAACCTTGACTCATAATACCGGCAATATTAGTCAAACGAGAACCATGCCTAATAGATTTTAATTATAAACACATACAAAATTTAGTAAGAATTATTCTATACCAAAGTAGCATTTTATTTCCAACATCATTAAACATTTGATCTTCGTTCTCTCTTTCAATTTTAAATATATGTTCAATTTCCATTTTATATTGTTGATGTGTAGATGCATGTGTTGATTGAAGATACTTATCGATTGTTAAATAAATATCTTCATGTTTTTCAACAGGATACAATTTACATTTCAATTGTTCATAATGTTGATCGATTGGATTCAAACGTGCATTTGTATCTGTATTCAATGTTGTAAATGCTATTTCGATATCATCGAGTGCTTCAAGTAATTCAATTTCATGTTTTAACTGTTGAATAGTTTTTATTAACGGCGGAGTATTTCGACCGAATTCATGTGGAACTAAGCAGAAATAAATAATGTAAAAACAATCAGAAAAAAACGATGCACATACTTCGAGTGTAATAGGTATTGTTGGCTTCGATAAAAACAGAATTAAATTTATTTGTTTTAATGAATGTTTCGATTTCTTTTAATGCTGCATAACCTGCTTTTATTTGTGTCGAACTTAATTTACCGAGCGGATTTTTTCTTGCATCAAATTTCATTTCCAACAATGCTTCTTCCATAGCTCGTATATTGCATATTAATTGAATAAGATTTTGTATACGTTTATCAATTTTAGATTCGGGTAGAGGTAGACTTTTTAGTTGTTCCACAGTTGCAAGTTGCTTCTTATTGTTTTCATCCAGTTTATCAGATGCCTATAATAATACAACGTCTATCTATCTAGTAATTATGTTCACGATGAAAAGTTGGTCGAAAAGCAAAAGAATGATGTCTGACAATTGGATATGGTCCTTCGCGAGTTTGTGAATCTTACCGATGGATTATAATCAAGTTGAACATAATCGTATTTGCCAGGATATTTCGTAAACGTATGACGATAATAAAAATCATTTTTTGTTTTATCGCTAAATCTAATAGACAAAAAGAAATAGAATCGATTCTATACTCTATTGCATACTTTTGGCAGAAAAATCTTTTTGCATCATCTAAATCACAACCAAAATGTTCTAAATTATTTTGTCCATTATAGCCAACTCGTCCCCTATCGAACAAAAAACAATATTTGAAACAATTAAAAAAAGAACAGTTCTTACCAACGCAACCAAACGTAATATTTTTTAGCATTGTTTTCTTCGAGTAATTGTATTAGATAGAATTTATTATTATTATTACCAACATTAGTCTAACAAAACAATACGTAACAAATTTATTATCATCACATGATTTTTTAGAATGTTCCTACTTGATTCAGCATACAATCAAATACGTCACTATTTTCACAATAAACATGAACTTTTCCTGACATCGAAACACATTCAGAATCAACTGGCACTTTTCCAACAACAGTTGTGACAGTACGCACTGAAGAGGAACATATATATTATGGAACGTCATTTTCAATCTAAATCATTGATGCTTACTTGCACTTTTTTCGATTGGTGCAGATTTTGTAGATTTTGATACAGCGCGTTTTTTCTTAGTATCATCAGCTTGATTCTCGTCCTTTTCTAACGGTCGTTTATTTGATATTGTTGAAACAGTCAATGGTAATTTTGCCACTGCGTAAAACAAAACAAAAAAATGAAAATTTGGAAAAAACTATCATGGAACAAACTTGATTTAACACAGTGCATTTTTCGAGTGGTTTTTGTAGTTGAATTTGTTTCAATTAACTCATCAAGATCTATATCGTACGATTGATTTTGATAGTTAACTGTTAATATTGTTTGATCATTTTCGATAGCGTTAGCAATTTTAATCATGATTTCAGCATTGTACACCAGCCATTTTTTATTTTCATTCTCATATTCATATACGAAAAAGCCATTTTTATCTTTTAATTCCAAGCAAAGACGAATACGACGCATAAATTTTGTTTTTTGGTTTACTTGAACCATTTCACGAAATTTAATTAATATATTGATCTCTTCAGTTTGATTAACAGTAATCTTAAGAACAAAGACTTTCTATTAAGTAAAATCAAAAGCAACATTCTTTACTTCTTTGTTGTCAGCATCGAATGCTTGAGATATTTTCTCTTGAATATCCATGGGAAATTGTTGCCAAACACCTTTGTCTCCTTCCCATTCCCATTGAGCAGATAAAGTCGAAAGTCTAATAGCTTTTCTACCAGATGCCATTGAGTCAATCTATAGAAATAATAAACTAAATCATGAAATAAAGTCTGAATTACATATGATTTTGATTTGTTGCCGCAAAAAAAGGTATTATTGATGAATGAACTTTTTATTGGTTCTAATTTTTATCGATCATAAATGAGCGACATCTTTTATTGCAAATAGAAAAAGAACAAAAGTTAGCTCATTAATGTATAATTCAAAGCAAATATTAATGTATGATGCATTCATTGAATTATTATTTTCGTTTAGATTTTCATAGTATTCAAGGTACCTCTAGCGAAACGTCAGATGAAATGGAGATTGTTGGGAATTAATCATATTGAATGTTGAATAAAATCGATCAGGATTGAATATTTTCGGTCAAAAATAACTACCATCCAATACAGAAAAATTAATTTTTAGTCCCTCTAAAGAACAATTTATTTGCACTGACAGAGTTAAGGTTATATACTATTCTAGACATTTGAATTATGACGAACTCAACATTAGATTATTCAATAGAACCTCTTTATTCTTCACGAAGAACGGATCGAAGTCAAAGTGCAGTAAGCTAAGAATATTCAAAGGTATCACTTCATTTTCGTCGATTCATAGATTCAAGCTCATCGTGGCGATGTTCCAAGTAAACATGATGAATATCTTATTCAATTACAAGAACGAAATCGATTACTTAAAGCATGTCAACAGCAACGTCCATCCAAAGATAGTAATTTAAAAAAACGTGAAACCGGTTTTCAATTGTATTTAAATGGAGCGCATAGTGCTCGTCAACGACGACCAGCATCAATTACACGTAAATTGAAAATAAACACTCGAACACTCTGAACTTGATTTTCCTTACTTTTGCAGATGGACCATCGAATCGAACTGTAACTCCTTCACCGTATTTCGCTGATTTTTCATTTCCGACACCGTCAAATACAACACATCAAACTAATTCATTGCCATCCAGTGGTCGCCGTCGATGGACGCCGTCGACAAAAACAAAAATAAAAACTGTCGAAGGATCTATTCTTGCTGATGTTGATCATAATCCTACACCTAATCCTACGACTCAAATGCCACATTCAAAATCTCTATTTAATCACAAGCAATTTCAACAAGTAACATCTAAACGTGCAGTAAAATCAGCTGGAACACCGAGTGAAGCTTTACCAAAATCGGCATGGGGCGAGCGTGTCATTGAGTTAGATGCTAGCCAGATAAAATCTAACGGTATGAATGATCAAGTATCATTCTGTAAAATGAAACCAGAAAATATTGATCAAAGTTGGATGCCACAATGGTTTTCTAATACGAAATCAAATGAAGATGAAGTTCAAGGTAAATTTTCTAAAACTCTCAAGATTCAGATTAGAACAGGCTTGTGCGTTATTTCTTCATAGAGTATGAATCTGACTTTGAAGAATGCTCACACGATGAAGATGAAGATGACGACGATGATGATGATAATGATCACCAATTATTGAATCGTGTTTGTAAGTTTATATTTTTTATGATAAAAATTATTATTATACGCAAATATTTTTTCTTTAAGCGCTATCTTTTGATGACATTCCGTCGATAGTTAAGCTCGTAAGTAATAAATCACGATAAGAATATTATTCTAGATCATTGTTTAGTCTATTATGCATGAAAAAAATACTGAAAAGCAAAATAAATGTCAAGAAGAAACTTCTTCTCGATCGCCGCCGGTAAGTAGGTAAGATGTTGCCGTAAAAGAAAAAAATATTTTTTTCTCTTCGCACTAACGACAACTATGTAGTTAAGAAGAAGGCAGCGTAGCAACACCTATAAAAAGAAAAAGAGCAGAGTGGCAAAACGAAAGAAGACAAGTATTCTTAAAGAAAAAAACTCAATGGTAAATTTTTCTGCATAAACTGTTATTTTTTACTGATTGCCAGTGGAATAACTACTACGCACGTGCCTTTTCTAATCTTACATGAAGTAATGAGTCGTCGAGATCTACCAAGAAGTCCTATTCAAAGTCATTATAATCTTCCAAGACAAGGAGACAACCGATCGGGTAATAGTTTTATACAGAAACAAGATTTTTTTTGTTTTGTTTTTGAATAATTTTGACAAATCTCAGATGACGAGAAAAGAATCGTTCTACTTTAAAAAAAAACATTACAATTGATATTTAACCATTTGAACTTAATTCGTATTGTTTTTTCAATTTGAAAAGAAAGAATAACAGGAGATCTAACAAAAGAAAAGAAAACATGTTTTGTTTGCTTTCACTTACGAAGAAATATTTTTCATAGACCATCGAAACAAAGACATACTTGATTTTCAATGACTTTTGTAAATTGCAATTATTTACATCAATAGGAGGTCGACTTGTCGGAGGCGATCCGATGAAGAATAATAGTAATTACTCAAATAATCAACAATTATTCGTCGTTGGAACAAGATCAAAAGTAATTGATAGTCTCGATCTTGAAAATTTTTCACAACAAAAGTAAGGTTTCTTTATTCTGCTAGAGATATTAATTAAAATTACTTTTTTTTTGTAGAGAAATTCATTTTGATGCACAAATCGAAGATCAGAAATCACCGAGATTTCAACCAGCATCAAACCGCCGAAGTCCATTCCCAATCCCAAGTTCCAACGGTGAGTTATCAGTGATACCGAAATTTTATGTTTGTCACATATTTTTCGCCAAAAAAGCAAAGTTTTTAAAGAAAGTAGCCCAATGAGATATTGTCATTATTTATAATATCTTATAGATTAAATTTCTTTCATCATACTAGACCATAATGCACAAAATACCGATTGGCTTGAAAACTCCATGTGTCAAATTGATCTATTCAGTCGAAGACATCGCGGAATGCTTGAAAGTATTTTTTTATAGAAATATTTTCTATTTTTATCTTGACGTTTTTCTTGTATCAGATGAACATATAGAAGAATATTTTACAAATAGTGCTTTCAAAAGTGAAAATGACAATGATGAAGAACAGTAAGATATCATATCCGATTTTTTTCAATCGCTCATCCCATAAAAAAACCATTCCTCTAGTTTTACAATACCTGAATTACCTAGTGGCGAACAATTAGTTTTGAATTTAAAAACAACATGGGGTGATCGTCACTATGTTGGTTTAAATGGTATTGAAATATTTTCTAGTCAAGGATGTCCAGTAATGATTAAAAAGGTAAGAAATCATCCCGTTTGTTTTTCAACAATTATTAAAGCAAAAATCATTTCATTGGTAGATCACTGCCGATCCAGCAGATATCAATGTTTTACCTGAATATGGCAGTGATCCACGTGTTGTAACTAATTTAATTGATGGGGTCAATAAAACACGAGATGACATGCACATGTGGCTTGCACCATTTGCAGCCGGCCAAGATCATTTCATTTATATTACATTTGAACGTCCAACAAAGGTTGCTATGATTCGAATATGGGTAAGATTGAAATTTTGCAGTAAACTATTCTCGTTAAGATATGCCTGTAAAATTAGCTAACTAATTGTATGTTCGTTTGATTTTAGAATTACAATAAAAATCGTATTCATTCAGCTCGTGGTGCTAAAGACGTTGCAATTTCTCTTGACGGTTTCATGATATTCAAAGGTGAAATAAGTCAAGCGTGTGGTAATATAACAGCTTCAAATGACCCATCAGCTTGTGGAGAAGTTTGTAGTTTGTTTTATAAAATATATTCAAATAAATCATTCATGCATATTAGACTATTTTATTTACTACCGACGAGGAAATTCTTGAAAAAATATCTACCTATGATGAAATGTATGTTGATCTAGAAGCTTTTCAAAATGATGAAGAAAATTCGCGAACAAATACAAATCGACCACCAACTACTGAAACTGATGTAAATTAATTTTCGTCATTCGAATCTTTTTCTAGAATTAATTCATTTTTAATTAGATTCGACCAATGACACGTGCTATATTACGGCGGCCTTTTACGTCGCTTCGCTCGTCCGATTCAGATCAAATACCGGAATACTATGGAAGAAGTATGTACATTTTCGTTTTAGCAAATTTCATAAGGAATTTTTTCTTGATTTTGTTTTTCAGAATTAATTTTAACAATAACAGAAACATGGGGTGATCAACATTATTGCGGCTTAACAGGTATTCAAGTTGTTGATATTAATGATGCTGAGTGCGTAATTAAATCGTATGATGCACGTCCTCGCGATGTAACTATTCTAAAATCGAATGTGAACGATGTTCGAACACTTGATAAGTAATAACGACAACAACAAAAAAAATAACAAATATTTCTTTTGTCAAACAAACATAATTTTAGATTATTTGATGGTGAAAATGTGACTTGTCAGGATTATCATATGTGGTTATGTCCGTTCAGTAGAAAAGAGAAAGTACGCATTACGATTTCATTGAATACATCGAAAAAAATGCATGGCTTACGCATATGGAATTATAATAAATCAGTAGATGATACTTATCGAGGGGTAAGCTTAGTAGATTTCGTGAAAAATTCATTGAAAAAGAATTCCTGTTTTCTTTTTTGAGAACAGGTGAAACGATTACATGTACAATTAAACGATAAAATTATTTCACCACGACAAGGCTTCCTATTGAGACGTGCACCTGGCCATTGTTATTTTGATTTTGCACAAGAAATTATTTTTGCTCATTCAAAAACAATTCAGGAAAATGCAGACAATCAAACTCGAAAAAAGTAAAGGACACTGGTCATGTTTATTCGATTCTAAATAGCCAAAGAGAAGTCTTTTTTTTATCAATTTTATTCTATATCGGAATTTTCATTAATCATCTTCTTCGTGTAGTCTATGTAAGAGAGCTCAGTGCCGTAGGAAAAAATTTAAGATAACTTTGTTTTTATTTAATTTCTGATGCATAATGTATTTTGTTATTTTAGGCAGCATATGGCTACTAGTGATGACATTGATTCAGATATTTCAATGCCAAATGGATGTAAGTTGATCTCAAATTTTCTTTTTTTTTATACATGTCAAATATTCCTAGAATGACATAGACACGCTTGTAGATTTCACTGTGATGGAATTTGACAAGCTTTCTATTAAATAGAAAATTTCACACTTGAGTAATCCTTTCTTTGTATGTCACTTACAATGGAGGTGTTTGTATTGATAAGCAAAAAGATAAGTCATATTCGGGTCAAATGAAAGCTCTCATCGTGAAACTAACAAGGTTAAAATATTAGCACCTCTTGGCTTGNTCCTGATTTTTTTCCATAGGCTAGTCTCATGAGACCTTCATGCATACAAAGTTTCAGGTTCAAATTCGAAAATACGATACTGTTGGGAAAGCCGGTCCTGTAGAGAAAATTCACTGAAAAATCGAATATCTTCCTCTAGACACGCCAAGAGGTGCTAATATTTTAACCTTGTCAGTTTCACGATGAGAGCTTTCATTTGACTCGAATATGACTTATCTTTTTGCTTATAAATACAAACACCTCCATTGTTAGTATCACATCGAAGAGCATAGTTCAGTTAATTTCAAAAATTGCATGAAATGCTTTTGACGCCTGTAGTCGTTACGATTGACTAATTCATACTAGAAGGATTGTAGTCTTATTTGAAGCTATGAAAAAAATTAGAAATATTTATCTAAACATTTTAGTTATTTATGAATTTCACCTTCATGCAACTCATGGTGATGCTTACTATATTGGATTGAATGGTTTAGAATTTTATGATGAAAATGGTGAACGTATTGGTTTAACCGAGCAAAGTATAAGACGCTTCTTATCATATATTTGAATTCAATTCTTTTAAACAGATATCGCCGCTTATCCACATAGTGTAAATAGTCTACATCCAGGAACGGATGATGATATTCGTACGCCCGACAAATTAATTGATGGCGAAAATGATGAAATTGATGGTACACATTGCTGGATTGCACCTATCTTAGCTAATGTTGTATGTATATTGATTTTAAAAGTGATTTAAAAAAAGACTTCTCTCTTTTAAGATAAATCGTATATTTGTTATTTTTGATCGACCTACCTCTGTATCTATGATTAAAATATGGAACTATGCAAAAACACCTAGCCGTGGTGTTAGAGAATTTTCTGTATGTATGAAAAACTTTGATGTTAAAAGTTTTAGAGAATTCTTTATTTGATTAGTTACTCGTTGATGATTTACTTGTATGGACAGGTGTATTAGATAAAATGAGTGACGATGATAATGATAATTATGGAAAACATGTGCCTTTTAATACAATTTTATTTTGTGATGAAAGAATTTTGATGGAACATGAAAAACGTACAGTTTTAGAGTATGTATAAAGAGTTTGTAATTTTAGTGAACGTCTTATGTTTTGCTTTTTAGAAAGAACATATCAGCAGATAATATTTCCAGTCAAACATCAAATAGAGATCGATCCGTTGATTATTGTAAGTATTTTCCGAGTTTGTTACAAGCCAATTCAATAGTTAGGGCTTGCGTTTTTTTTTATCTTGACTCTGTACATATGTACAATGACTGGAGATATATTCAATTTTTCTTGTTTCAATATAGAGATCAGCTGACATAACGTTATCTATGAATGAATCCTAATGTATGAACATGCTCATCATTTAAATCTAAATCATATATTCAATTTAGAATTTCATTTTAACAATAGATTATTACTATTGAAAAATTCAAAACAATCTCTATTTTCTAGCTAAACGGCCGACAACATCAGTACCACGTAATAGAAAGCGCCATTAAATCAGAGCGCATACTTATGTCCTGTCGTTCGTCAGATTATTTATAGTTGTTTATCTATTATTCCTTGATTTATTATTGTTTGCTTTTTTTGACAAAAAATAAAAATAAAACAAAAAAAAAGAAAGAAATTAAAATGCTGCTCTCATTATTAGGGATACATGGTACATATAACAAGAAAATAAAATCTTACACGAATAGAATTTCACTGGGGCAAAATCTGACTCAAAGAATTTTCATGAAAATAAAAAAATCATTTATTGGATGTATTCCCTATAGATGAAAGATTTGAACTTGACAATGGCATCATATAACCACGTGGTCGAACTAGATATGTTGTCATATTACCTTTACCTTTTACATAAATTGGGCCACGACATTCGCATGGATAACCATGTTCAAATAAGACTCGTTGTGTTTCTTCAGGAACCTAAAATGAACATGTTGTTTATTCTTTACGAATAAAAAAAAACTAGAAAGAGTTTATTAACTTACATGTATGCAACTAACGACACCAGTACTATCCATACGGGAAGCAACATTTACTGTATTACCCCAAATATCATATTGAGGTTTTTTGGCACCAACAATTCCTGAGCAAAATAAAAATGGCATCAGAAGTGATATATTATAATAGTGCGTTGTGTTCAATCAGACAAGGAAAAGTTACAACTGATTTCAGAGCTCTCATGTACAATGATTAGTAAAGATGGTCTATGCAGATAAAGTCATCTCTCTACATATTGAAACTAATAACATAGCTGAATAGAAATTATGTACGCGTTACCTATTTAAAGACTGACGACCTATTGGCTCTAAAGAAACTAATGAACTACTTCTGGTACTGTTAAAACTCTTCTGAAAATACCGCTCACTGGCTATAAGCAACTGTAAATCGAAGCGTCTGATTCTTCTACAATAATCTGCGCTATTGTCCTACTCTTTAATCTTTTCGTTAAAAAAAAGCTTGGATTGAAAAATCGATTTACCAGCAACAAGAGGACCATTACACATGCCAACACGTAATTTGAAATCATTAAAACAATCTCGATTGATTCCTTCAAGTACTGCAATCATAGCAAAAGCAAATTCCGCAAGTGCAACAATATTTTGATTGTACCGCTCTCTAGTCTAAATAGAAATACAATTAAATAGTGGCAGAAAAAATTTCGTGTATATATTTTTTTCATACCATACGATGTTCAACACCTGGATTGAGTCCAGCTGCTGCCATATAAGTATGGCCAATAGTTTTAATTTTTTCTACACAACTAAATTTATTTTTATCTAATAGCTAAATGAATATAAGTAAAAAGAAACGATAAAAACAAGCATTTCTTTTTGCTTTTAAAAAATAAACCTTATCAAATTCAGCAATGATCTCATTGAGTAATCTTAAACATTCTAATCCATCATTGTTAACATCCGATTGAACATAGAATTCTTTAAAGTTAGGTATCGATGCAAACAAAACAACAACATTATCGTAACTTTCATGATAAAGACCCTTGGAGAACGAGAAAGAAAATAAAGAAGCAATTATTTATACAATTAATCTATTACCTGACTCATATTTTCTTTAATAATAATTTCTGCTACATGTTTTGGTAGAATATTTTCTAATAACAATCGACTAATAGTGCTTACTGTTTCGACCTCCTGTTTTTCATTTTGAAATTTTATTGTCCACAATAGATCCAATCGACTCATATATTCAAACTGCAATGAAGCGTTTCAATATTTGATATGTATCAAAACTATTAAATTTACCCGTCGATCAAGACCAATTAGTAGAAGAATAAAAAAAATAACTTCAACCGTTGTTTCTACAAGTATTGTGCTACTTTTTACACCGTAGCTGTCTGAGATAATATTATAAATATTTGATTGATATGAATAAAACACATAGATCGTTACTACAATAATCATAATCAGTGCTTTGAATAGAAAATAAAGATGCATGAACGAAGAAACAGTTAGTAGAGCCAATTGAATTAGTAATATATGGAATTCAAAATGAGGACACAATTGAAATAATACTGAGTTTGTTAAAGATGATAAACTATTAATTGCATGAGTTGGTATCAGAATAGTCTAAAGGAAATATACAGGCTTGTAGTAGAAGACTTTTCTGGTTTTTCAGAACGTGCTGTGAGAGTAGTTGTTCATTTTTGTAACTCAAAGTCTAGTTACGAAAACTTCTCAGATGGTTGACATGCTAAGAGCATTATTGAAGTCAGAATTTCAAACAGATTCATTCGGTCCCCCTTAAGAAACTTCATCTTACTTGATTAAAACGATTTTGTGCAAACGAAAGATTCGATGCTGACAGTAATATATCACTGTTTATTGCTGTTGTATTTTCAAGGGATTCGACAGTATCCATTGTTGATGGCCATATTACAGCAAATGGTGTTAGAATACAAATAATAATTAACATAAGACTCACAGGTAAACGAGCAAAATAATAATGTGTTACTAAATAAATTGATTGGTCTAGTAACGAACGATGATTATCACGCTTTATCTAAAACAAATCATCAGATTTTCCCTTAGATTCAATTGTTCAATAAAACAATTTACTTTTGAAATGTCTAGAAGACAAAATAATGCTGCTATACCAAATGCACATAAACCACAAATGACCAGAACGAGATAAAGAGCATTTCTAGAACAGATATAAATAGAGTTCGAAGAAAAACAAATTCAGTTTTACTATACTTTTCAAATATCAATGCTTGAATAATCACAATAGCACAAAAAATACAAGCCGCATTAACAACATAATAACGATAGCGTAATTCAGGTAATGAACGAAATAAACTTTCGCTAGCTTTACGATTTTCTTCATCGTCATCGAGCGTTTTATTTGTTGTTTCGCTTTCTTTTTGAAAACTTAATGTCAACGGTTCGAGATCATTTAGACTATGATGTTGGCGACTAAAATATGTTCAATACTACTTGATATGTCGAATTTTGCTTTCAAGTTAAAACTTACAAACAAGTTAATGAAGCTGCTAATGGTTTTAAACTATCTTCAAGAAGTATAAAACTTTTTGCTGCATCCGATTTGTCATTATCAGCAAGTTGCTGTATAGAAAATGGAGTTTCATTCGACCATGTATCCAATAATTTTTGTATCTTTTTACCCGATTTACGTGTATCAACACCGCTAGAAAAAAATATTTCAATCGTACAAAGCAAATAATTTTAAGCTTATTTTACTTCATCGTCAATGAATTTTGATTATTCGGAACTTCTCGCGGAATAATAAAATATGTTTTTATACCTAATTTGGCGATATAAGTATCACGTTCATGCCCATTGGCTACTTCAACTTCGTATTCATTACCAAGATGAAGTAATGTACTTTCAGAAATATGAACACGACTAAAAACGAAAAGAAAATCTTTTTTTTCTTCATATTAAAACAGTTGACTAAACATTTTTAATCCAGTCGATAAATTTAGATGAAGATTAATCTACGAGAATTGTGTGAATCTTTAACTACGGCGGCAAACAAAAATCAATAAACATATGGTAAACATCAACACTTTTACGAGAGAGTATCTTTTTGTGTACTCAAAAAGTGGGTACACTCTAGAGTCGGTCAGTGTGTCCGTCCGGCCGTAGGCACGATAAATTTCGAAAGGAGAGTCACACCGTGATGAAATTTTCCACACAGTTCAATCTCATGAATATTTCGGTCGAGTTCGAAGATGAGAAGAATCCCTCAAGAAATGGTTGAGATATCGAAAAAATTGTCATTTTTGACCAGACCATCCCTGAGGAGGGGTACAGGGATTTTTTTCAAAAAACAAATTTTTCTCAGAATTATTCACAACATATATAAATCGACTCAGTTTTTAACGCTGATTCCGAATCTGATATTAGTTTTGAACTAAACCGTAGCTTTCTAACGAAACANCTCAAGAAATGGTTGAGATATCGAAAAAATTGTCATTTTTGACCAGACCATCCCTGAGGAGGGGTACAGGGATTTTTTTCAAAAAACAAATTTTTCTCAGAATTATTCACAACATACATAAATCGACTCAGTTTTTAACGCTGATTCCGAATCTGATATTAGTTTTGAACTAAACCGTAGCTTTCTAACGAAACATCGCCTGAAAAACGTCTCAAAATGCACAAAAACTTCATCCAGAAATCAAATTGCCTAGTTCCTCATGATAATTTTGTTGTTCAAACATTCTAGAATGACTCATACGTCCCATGCACTTTTTGCAGTAAACATAACTCTCGGATGAAATCCGCAGTTTCCACATTTATTTATTATAGTATTATGCATAAACTTTTCTGTGTGACACAATGACATGCAAGATGCACTTGATATCGATGCGATAATTAACAAAAAATAAATAGTTCTTGCCGAATATGAAATGCCGAGAATTTTCCTTATCTTTTGAGAGTAGTTGATCTATGATAGTTTTAGATACATCAAGTTTTTTCCTATTCGCCCATTGAATTTTATCTTGCAATGCTTACAAATAGTTGTCTGTAATATTTTCCTTCCTTATCTTGATAATCTTTCAACTTATTTCTCATAAATCAACAGAAATTTTTGTCCAATTAGCAATTCTATATTGGAACTAAATATAGTCGAGAACGCGCGAAATGCTAACCCTGGTACGCCACCCGCTTCAATATGATTAGCTAAAGTCACATCATCCGACCAAGTATCATATTGCCATTTTTTAAGGCCTAATACACCACATAATACGCGTCCAGTATGAATACCAATACGCATATCAACATTAACACCGGTTGCTTCACGTACTAATCTAAATGATCATAATAAAAAAAGAAAAGAACTTTTATTAATCTCAATCGGCAGAGAAAATAATCTAAAACATACTTAATATCTTCAATCATCTTTAAACCCATACGTACACAATTAGTCGCATGATTCGGTCGACTTATCGGCAAACCACTAACACAATAATAACAATCACCTAAAATTTTTATTCTCATACAATCACATTCCTTAACAGAGAGACCAACTCAGTTAATTAATTGTGTTTTTTTAAATCCATCAAAAACTTACTTGTGCGAGTTGATCAAATTTTCCAAAAAGTTTATTCAGTATTTGCACAAGTTCTGGTGGAGTAAATTTTTCTGATAACGGCGTAAAATTCACAATATCAGCATAGAGTATACTAATACAGAAAAATAAATAAATAAACAGTCCGTAAAAGCTAAACAACTAAATACTCACGTAACGTTTTCATGTTTTTTTATATATAAATCATGAAACGCTGCTTTACGTGTATTGATTTTTTTTGTATTCAAACATTGATCATCATAATCACGTGATTGAATGTTATGATACTTTGCTGTTTCCTTTACTTTGCGTAACATTTCCGATTTCATACTTAACGCTTTTAATAAGAACAAAATATATAAAAATATTTACGCAAATGTTTTTTGGTCTTTACCGATATGCGCTGGAATCACGCTAAGAATTAATTTCTCTTGTTGTTCTTTTTCACGTTCAAGTCGTAAACGAGCTTCAATGCAACGCATCGTATTATGATAACTTTTTCTTTGATGTATATCAGTTAAATAACGATGGCATAATCCGAATACATTACACGCAACAAAGAATAATGAAAGACAAATGAACTAAAAAAAGCAAAGCATGTTCCGCGTGTTGAATAGAATAATTGAATAACGACAGTTTTTCGGAGAACAATAGATAATAAGTTGTCTCTATTCGAAAAATCGGCTTGTCGGCCTCTTATTTGATGTCTGAAGAGAGAACATTCAGTCTTAAGAATGCAAACTGCATTCTGAATACATCAGAATGAGATTGTGATGACACCTTTATCTTCAATTCACAAAGTTTCAAGATTGATTGCGACCCTTGTCAACAACACTTCTTCATATTTATTATCTAACGCATGCAACATTTGCCTCGAATAGATTAAATTCTATACTAAAACTAATCCATGGCAAGATTTTAACTTTATCTCTTCACATTTTCGAAAACTTCCGGTTTCATGCGCATAACGAAGAAGAAGAAGAAGAAGAAATCAGTTATTCTACCTCAAGTTTATATTCCATTTTATGAGATCGATTATTTGGATCTTGAATATTATGTGTACGTATGACAAGCATCAAATGAATGACAGATGTAGTGAAAGCCATTAGGATAGTCCACAATCGTGGTACAGGTAATGTTGTATGTATAGTAATAATAGAAAATGTAACAATGCCCATTAATCGTATAACGGATGTATATTGTTGTAGAATAATTGGTATGATTGCGAATGATGTTAATAAGAACCATATTGATAAACATGATACATAGACGTGAGTATGGAAAAATTTTTCACGATGAAGTAATAAAATAAAGATAATGGATAGAAAAAATATTCCAATAAAACCGAGAATTTCAAGAACAAATTGAGAGAAATAAGGCTACGAAGTAAAAAATATATATATTTATGAAGAGAATTTTTGTTTTTTAATGTTTTTATTTACTTTTTCAGAAAAAACAGCTATTAAGAAATATATGAGGCTTTGAAAAGCCGTAAGAAATAACGAAAAAAGAACTAAACCATGTTTAATGCGAATTAAATAAAGACCAAAATAATGTTTATTATCCATAGTGGCTAAAAAAAAAGGAAAGAATGAAAATATTATTAAGGAAACGCATGAAGTGCACATCAATAAAAAATTCATAATCAATTCAAGTGTACTACCTTTCACTTCTTATTGTCAAATGATAAATTATCAAGATGAAAGAAATTTTCATTTTCTTCTTCTTCTTCTTCTATAGACTATCGATTGATCTCGTTTGATACTTATGAAAATTCCTTCAAGTAAAAATAATTAATTTAAGCCAACAACGAAAAAAGGAAGATCACATGAAAAGAAAGGATTGAGAGTATAATGGATCTTCTATTTGTCAATAGAAAAAGAAAAAAAATTAAAATACGTACTATTATGAGAAAATATAACAGATGTGTTCTGTTTTTTATGTTGGTCTCATAAAAAAGAACAATAAAAATTCAGTTCTATTCACTCAAACAGCAGGCAATAAACTATATATAATTGTTTTGCTTCGACCCAAAAAGCAATTGTTTTTATCTATCTAACTCTTTTATTTACCTACATGGGAAAGTAAAAGATTTATGTATATATACACTTGCTTACTGACGTTTAAGTACTATAAAATGAGTAGACAATACATCTATGTGTGACATAAAAAATGAAGAAGAAGCCGCTTTATCTAGAAAAGTTTTCATCCGATTTCTCTATTTATTCGCGCGCTTTCGTATGCGTATGCCTGCATGTTTGTATGTGTCATTAGTTGAAATACAAATATATACGAGCTATCTGAATTTGCACTTCCGCAGCTAATCGATGCCGATTGAGACTCATCTCCGTTTGTTCGTCGCTCACTCTTAATCTGTCGTTAGAATGAAGTGGATGAACCACTTACACCATCAACAAACATAGGACCAATTCTTGAGAACAATGCGTGTTGAATATAGCCTCAAGGATTGATTGGAATGTTATCATCATAGGGGGGACAGAAGAGTGCCAAAATACCAACAAGAGCAACTGTCTACTTTTCTTCTTCTTCTTCTTTTTGGAAGAATCTCTGTTTATTATTGATAGTGATATCACGAATGATCAAGTTACTATAATATCTCTTGCCTATGCGAATTATCATATATGTGATAGATTAAATAAATCGTCTATTATTTCTATAGTTTATTATCATTCATAACGACTTACTAAAGACATGAATGATCCTGTTTATGTCTCTAGAAATCGGCTATACTAATCAAACAGAAACGTCTTCTATATGACCCGGTATTTCTTCTTCTTCTTCTTCTTCTTCTTCTTCTTCTTCTTCTTTTTCTATAAGTAAAGAGAGAACAAGAAAAGAGAAGAAAAACTACAATATAAACTAAGAACCGAACCTGGATAGCATGTCTTTGTTTGAAATAAGAAAGGCATAGCTACGTTTGAGTTTCTTTACTAGTATATTTCTTGGTGTGTGTGTGTGTGTGTATCTCCTATTTTTTCATTCTCAAGAGAAACGTCTAAGCGGCACTGTCGAGTGATGTAAAATGAGTAATCAATAAGCGTGATGATACAAAGCAATTGTGTTCTTCTCTTGTTTACTTATACAAAAAAGATGAGACTAGTCGATTTTTGTCGCGAAACAGATTAACGATAACGACAAGAATAAAAATGCATTAACGCACAAATGAAAAAAACGACCCAAAGAAAAATGATAGAAAGAAACCAGCAGTTTATCTCTCCGATGATTCAATCATTGAATCGAATTAGTACGGCTATTGAAATATAAATAGCTTGTTTTTTACTATAATATTTATATATAAAGTAAAAGTATTGAATACAAATAGTAAAACATTATCGTATACCTGTAGGTACACCCGGTGTTGACCAATCAGCTGTTAATCTTGCATGATCCTTAGTATTATTATATGTATGATCGATGATACATTCATGAATTGATTCTAGAAGGAAGAGAAAAAACCCGGACAAAAATAATTAATAAAATATGATTGACAAAGAAAATGCTTCAAGTTTTTTTATATATACACCAGAGACTTTTCTTCTATAAAAATGAAAGCATGACTCGTATTCTGACGAACAAGATTATAACACCACCGACAGCTGATCATATGCACTAACGAGGAAGGGTCACCTACTGTTCAATCGCTTTTGCGTTCAAACTATTTACATTATGTAGCTCCCAAGGAGTTATGGGTACGCTGAAAATATTTTGAGCGGATAGCTTGTTGTTACGGAAATAGTCTGTTTGTAAGGTACGGCTTTTAGTGAGTGTCTGAACTCCCCCTCAGGAACCTTGAAAAAAATTGATTTTCGAATTTCGACTTGAAACTTTACATAGAAATACACCTCAACAAGAATGGGGTTTGTGAATTTTTTGGTCATTGAATTTGTTTGTTTCATCAAATCTGCTACCTTACTTAAAAGATGTAAAATAAAAATTTCATAATAGCTGTGTGTAATGATAGGAATAGTAGAATGGTCTGAAACGACCACAAAACACTCTTCTTGTTAAGATATATTTCTATGTAAGTTTTCAAGTGGAAACTCGAAAATCAATTTTTTTAAGGCGCCTGAGGGGGAGTTCAGGCACTCACTAAAAACCATACCTTACAAATGGACTATTTCTGTAACAGCAAGCTATCCGCTCAAAATATTTTCAGCGTATCCATAACTCCGTGGGAGCTGAATAATGGAAATAGTTTGAACGCAAAAGCAATTGAACAGCTAGTGGCCTTCCCTCTTAAGAGCATAACAATCTGCGCGTTGTTATTCGTTCTAGTTGCCCTAATGACACCAATTATTTAATGATTATACGTAGTTTTTGCTTTGCTTTGTTTTCATCGCGTATTCGGCATGGAACATACTGAGGTGCGCTATTCATTGGTAAATTGTATATATTTGTCAATATGTCAGTGTCAAATCTTTCTAGCTGAAACCAATATGACGAGAGACAATCGATGATAGTATATGATCGATTCTCTAAGCCATATAACATTCGTCGAGTTTCAACAGCAGGCGGTCCTGAGCATATCATATATATATATATATATACACAAAATCTTTTTTCTCATTTAGTAAATCGATAAATGATAGTTGACAGTCTGTCATCTTAACAAAAACAATTATGTCTGAAATAAAATTAGCGAGTTTTTTCCTATCTCCTCTGTTTCAATTCTTTTGACAACTTGAGAAAGCTATACGTGATATCTTAAGACGTATAGCGTATTACTAATCTCCTATGTCAAATCAAAATACTAGTCGCAACAAATATATTATTCCTGTTCAATTGTTCTGTTGGATTGCATTATATTCATAAACACAAACATAAGAATGAATGAAAAGGTCATTTTTGTACTTTTGTTATAAGTGCAATTAGAAAATAAATGTGTTTAATATTATACGAGTATGAATATACTAACAAAGACGTTTGTTCCATAGGAAGAGAGAGAGCAAGAAAAGCAACATTGAAGATAAAGAAAACGTAATTGGCCTTTTCTTTTCTGATAATAGGAATCTTTTCTCATATTCACTTACTTCCTTTATTGTTGTTGTTGTTGTTGTTGTTGGGTATTTGATTCATAAAATAATTACTATTTCTATGCTGTTGTTCGACTATTTCAAACGATGTTGACGATGTTGATGGTCGTTGTGACCGCCCATCTGGTTTGAAAATACAGGATCTATCTGTTTGTATGTTGCTTTTTTCCATCTTCACAAATTTTCTCTGAATGATGTCTAAAAATAATTATAGTAAAGTTTTTGAGAAGCTTTCCCCCTCTGTTTCTCTCTCTTCTATTCTACTTGAGAATGTGTCTTTTTTGCAAAAGGAGCGACAAGATAAATTGAGCGTAAAATACTTTAATGAGAACTAGTGCTAGCGTCTCGTTTCTTAATTACAATTCAGTCTTGTAATAAATTGAGTATACGATCAACAGAAACAGAGATTCTCAGTTGGGATTCTTTTATTTGCTGAAAAACAAAAATATCCTACTAATGATATTAAAAGAAACAAGTTGACCCTCGGAAAGATTATGATATAAGATAAAAATGCATGGAAATTATTAAATATCATTTTTCTTTAATAAATATGTTGCCGATAGAGTTTTGACGAAAAAAAAATGAAAGAATAATATTCACTATTTATATCTAACTTTCTCTCTCTCTCTTTTTTTCATCTGACAAAAAAGAAGAATATAATAAGATTGCATCTTGTTTTTGTTCATTCTTCTGTCTCTCTCTTCTGCTTCTTCTCCTACTCCTTGCCTTCATTAGTAGATAAGATATTACTAAGAAAAATCCGAACTGTCGTAAGACTGACAAAAGAGATTTCAAAAAAATGGAAAAGATGTTGATGAGAAAGAAGGCGAAAAGAAGATAAAAAAAAGAAAAATGATGCTAGCTACACTCTTCTATGTAGAAGACTGTAGTACGTTCATGCTTACCGGACGTAGTCCTTTATCTTTTGATGATCTATATCAATGCAAACTATTTTGTTGAAGTATTCCTTTTTGTCTCCTTCACTTCGGTTCTATTACTATTATTATTATTATTATTATTATTATTATTATTATTCATTTTTAACAATGCTAACAATAGTTTTCATAGTCGGACATAGCTATATATTGTTTATGAGTGTATACAAGTTATATATTCCTTTTCCTTTATTGATTAGAAATATTCTATTAATAATTAACATTTAAAAAAAACAACACAACACATTACGTTGATGTAACACTTGAAAACAAAAATAAAATCAAAGGGAAAAATAATTCAGACAAGTAGTGTTTTTCTTGTAATGTGCTCATCAGGTCGTTGAACTATTGGCGTCTTTGTCGTTGAGTTCTTCATTTTCTACAGTGTCTATTCGTTTTTCCACAACATCATAATAATGATATTTATCATTACTTTCATCGTCATCATCATCATCGAGTGTTGATCCAATGCCATGTTCACCAATATGACATGTTGCTAATATTGTTGTGCCAATCCAAGCAATGGCTATGATAATGAGAGCAATAAAACCTAGATATTCATATATAATTGAACCCAGCCAATCGCCTGTCGCCACTCCAAAATTAATACACGACACAAATAATGCGAACAGAGTTCCTTCGATATTTCTCGGACAAGATTTTGCTGCTAGATGAAGTAATGCTAAATTTGTTATTTCGGAACAAAAGCCTGTGAATATAGCAACAAATATTGATGTTATTTTATCTGTTGCAAAAAGATAGGATGCAATGGCAAACAATCGCATTACAATTGCAATGCGAAGTACACGTTTTGTTGGATGATGAGAAAACACTGATAGATAAATGAGTGCCGATAAAATTCCACAACCATTATAGATTGTATTTAATATTGAAACATAAAACGGATCAAATTGTAGTATATCACGGTAATAGTAAAATAATGCTGTTTTTAATTGTGGCGATGCCGAATAAACAAATAGGAAAATCGTTATAATCCAAAATCGTTTATATTGAAATATTCGTGATAAAACTGACCATGTTTGGACAAAATTATTTTTATTGAATTTTCGCCGACGTTCTCGTACTGCAATCAATGTTGCAAAAAATAAAATTATCGGACAAAGAGAAGCAATTAAAAAAATATATTTATTAGAGTTTTGATGATTTCTTAAAATTTTCATTGTATGATTATTTATTGTTTGATTATTATATTGCAATGCTGTTGAGCTCGACGACGCAAGAATACCAGCTGGTATTTGCGAAATAGTTGAAGCAAGTTTAGCTGATGTTTGTTGAATGCCTTGTAATGTACCAATCAAGGCCAACGGTCGGCCAAGTGAAATCATCAGCGCATCAACTAAATATAAGATGTTTTCTGTTTGAACTCACGTGCCATCATTTTGAAGGAGAATTTCTAGCAAAAGAGAGACCTTGTTTTGCTCAAGCATGCGCAGAAGAAAAAAACGATTTTTGACACGATTAGACAAGTTCCTTGAGGCATGTTTAAGATTGTATTATTAGTGAAAAAGATGTACAAGTTACAGTAGGCTAAATATTGGCAAAAATACCCGTTTATATATATGAAGTGCCTGATCTATGAAAGTTCAATTTTAGACTTGTAACATAAATTTTAATTTGATTAATTAAGGCTTGAGATTTATCCCATTAAAAACTAGAATCTGATTGAAACCATTCTTAATCAAATATGAAGTCTTTTTCGGATGTTTCCGATAGAGCTATGTCGTCGGAATCGTATTATTCAGCCTTGGAAAAAAATGAAGCGAAAACAAATGCTGAAGAATGATTTTCCTATGTAGCGTTTATAATAGAGAAATGAAAGTTATTAGCCAAACTTCTATCGATTGCTGATGGCTGTCGTGCCTTGAATTGTTTTTCGGATTTTTCCGTCATAGATTATCTGATATAAATAGATTGTAGCTCATGAAGTTAAATGTGACCATGGCCTTCACTGTAGAACGAACTTATTAATAGAATAGCTTAATTGAAAACGCTATTCTATTAGAGCTATTCATTTCATTGAACAGATAATTCTATCGTAAATTGCATTAGTATCAGATAATTTCTATTGTGTATTTGCACAATCTATATTAATGAATCGTTTGAGAGAAGATAAAAAACAACATTATGAATGCTAAATATTAAAAAATAGGAGTTGGAAATAACCAATGATTTGCAAGCTGGTTTTGTAGAAATTTTCAATTATTCTCTATTTTTTTTATAAAAGTATCTGACATGATTTCTCTTGCAATTAATCCATAAAGAAAACAGAGTTCTATACGAAGATCGCTCTTTTAATTTGCAAAAAAACATTTTTCAAGGGTGAAGTAGTCTATCGAGTATTCTATGGTAGTCATCATTAATGTTTGTATTCTCTCAATCTAATAACAAAGCTAACAATGTCGACCGACGTTACTTATCATGTATTATAACATAATCAATATATCACTGACAGTTATATTGAACTGCTGCACTGCTATTTTTCATATTCAATTAGATAAAACACACTGTAATCATCGATATTTTTATCTAAAACACTCCACAATGATAGACCCTCGAAAGACTACTTATAGTTCTCGAAATATACTTTTTTGTATTCAAACATAATATGGAACTATAATCTCGAATTTCCTGTGCTATCTTTCTAGCATATGTAAAGGCAGACTCATCACAAGGAATTTTGTATGAACGATTATTTTATCGCTGTGAAATTCTATCGTGTAAATATTCATGTAAGAAATCAATTTTTCATAGAATAAATATTGATTAGTAGCTGGCTTGAATTTTTATTATTATTAGAAGGATTACTACCGAAATATCTGCTGAAGCCTTATCTGTTGTCGTAGCCTTCTTTTTCTCTTTCTCTTTCTCTTGCACTACAAACGAGTTCGAAATTACTAACAATCTTTTGATCAAGCCTCAAGACTTCCATGCAAATGCATCAACATAAAACAAACAAGAACAAAAGTAAACCAAATAGAAACTAAAATTTGCTTATCGTCATTATGACTGAGCAAATTTTTAAACGCCCTAGTTTCTGTTATGTTACTTTCTGTGAGTTGAGTACATTCTTTTATTTGTATTTCAACTTAACCAAGAATGCATTGAGTACTTGCCGCAGTGATATTTTTTTCGTTGCTTGATCAATATTATATCAGAAAGAAAAAAATAAACAACGAGTATACGATAACATTACTTTGATAATAAATTGACCTCATTACTCGCACATATCTATCGAAAACACATCCATCATTATTACTGTCTATCTAGCCGTAAAAACAAACGATTCTTTTAACTTAGAAATTCCATTAAACTAATCTTCTACGTAGTTATAGACAACAAAGAAAAAAAATAGATGGATAATCGTTCTTACTCAGAACATCATTGAACGCCAATGAGAATGCTGCTAAAACACAAAATATTAATAAATAATTGTATTCTGTTGGAGCAAAATAAAGAGCGATCCATGCACATAAATTAAGCACCGTCGTTATGAGAAGATAGACAAGTCGATGGTAGCCGCATATTGGCACAAAATCACTTAGAATTCCATAGAGTGGTTTAATTGACCAACTTGAAAATATAAATAAACGAGAATATATGTTTTTTTAAATTTTTCTTAGAAATTTTCAACTTACGTTATTGTACACGAAAAGAAAAAGGTGCCCATTTGAGATGGTGAAAGTTGGAGTTTATCTTTTAAGACAGTTTGTAACGGTAAATTAACAAAGCCCGATGCTATATCGGTTATGCCTTGAACAAAATAAGCGAGTGCAAAATAAATTGCACTACAAAGAAGTGAACGAGTGCAGAGAATTCGCATGCATTTATTTGTTGAATAATCTTTTGCACTATCAGTGGTTGTTGACGTTGGTTCATCAATAGATTTCGATCTTTCACTGGACATTTCAATCGAACTCATTGTTGATTTATAAAAGAATCTAGAGATGAATTCATTCGAGTAAATACACAAATATGAGCTTTAAATACACTAGTTCAATTTATATATTGTCGATTAATTCGATAATTTAGTTATGAGCGACACTCATGTTTTTGTTTCTCCTTCGTCGTCATGCAACACGAACTATGAGTGTGCTCGTCGTGACGGAAAAATACTTTATCGAGACATATCTTATACTCACGTAGAACAAATAACATTTTTATTTGTTTATTTGTTCTTCGTTCTCTCTCATTTGTGATTATCCAATCGTAACCAATCAGATGACAAATACAGGTTGTTACACACCCCTTGACGTATTTTATCGAAGACACGATTGGCATTAATCAGAACGAAACAGAATCAACTACTATATAGATCCTACACTTATTTATCACAACTAAATATATCACTCGAGTATTTACGCAACTATTCATCAAGTTTGCTCGAATAATAACATCTAACTATTATTATTTACTTTGAATGTTTTAAAATGAATCATTGAAAGGAAAATACAAGAACGCTTTCATGCTGATGTCAAGTATCTAACGATAAGCATTCATTTTAAGCACACATTTTGACAAGTGGAACTCGAAATATGAAATACTGAATGGTTATAACCTGCATATTTTGTGTTTTAATGAATCAATGAAAGAAAACTTATAAAAGAATATAAAAGCAAAGTGAATATTGAAAGAAAAAAAGCAAACCGGTAGCATCACATTCTATGCTACAAGAAACATCAGCGGTCTGTTTTGGCTAAAGAAGTAAAAGAATAAGAAAATGTTTTGTAGAAAAAGCAAAAAAGAAGTGGAAATTAAAGAAACCGACATAAATGAGTCGAGTCCAGGATGAGTTGATGTTTCACAGTATCATCAATAATCATATCGCTCTGTTGTTTGTGTATGTTGTGGGTTTTTATTTCCATCCGAACTGATTATATAATCACATTTTGCATTGACATGCTATGTATACTTGTTATTTCCGTGCATCACACCGAGGTTTTTGTATTCACGACAGAAATGCGTGTTTGTATGCTTTGTTTTTTATATAGAATAGTAGCTCGAGAAATTTTTCTGTAAACTTTTTACGCAAAAATAAAAATTTTTTGCTTCTGACAGAGGGAAAAACAAAGATTATTTTTGTTATTTGATTCAATAGATAATATGCTAGCTATAAATTTGCAATTTACTGTTGAGAAGACCTGAATATTTGAGATATTTTATTAACAAGAAAAAAAATTTAAAAGCATTCGCTCTTTCTATATATACACGGTCGACAATGATCTCAAAAAAAAAACATATCATATGAGCACTGAAAACAATCCGTGATACAATAGGAAGAATTTTTGCTTTTTGCAAAAAGAAATCATTTTTAATTACAATTTTTTTCTCGATAAAGTTTCAGGAAAAGTCAACATTGACTTTTTAGAATAATATTTTCTCAAAAATGATTATTCAAATATTTCTAAGGCAAAAAAAAAATCTATTCAATATCATCATATACTTGTCCTTCGTACGTCGTGAGTCGCGTTCGTCGACGTAAACGTTGTCCTCGTCGTCTTGCTACAATGAGGGAATCGTGTTGAATATATGATGGTGGTGATAATGTGGCCGTTGATGATGACGACGGTGGGGATAATAGTTGATGTGGGTATTGTTTTTTTGTTCCATTCGAATCGAGAATTTGCGTTAGACAAGTTATATAATGAATAGCAAGACGAAGTGTCGCTATTTTTGATAAACGTTGATGATCATGTAAATTAGCTTTCGGTACAACACGACGTAGTTCGTCGAATGCTTCATTTAATGCATGCATGCGATTGCGTTCACGTATGGTTGGCGGCGGTGGTGCTATGGCTGGTGGTATTATTGTGGGAATCGTAGAAGATCTCATCGATGCATTTGACATCGCTGTCGTTGATGGTATAAAAGGCCATGTATCAACATTTTCATCCATCTTTTATTGCGATTTTTAAGAAAATGACAGAAATCATACTCGTAGAAAGAATTTGTTTTCTTTTTCTTGACTAGGAAGTCTCTCTGATTGGATATCTAATTGATAGATAAAAATAATGTCGATAAACAGATATGAAGATATATTGAATCTATAAAGACTCATCGATTGCTAATTGTATGGCAGGCGAAGAAGAAAAAAAATAATGTTTATCTTTCAACAATCAGAATGAATGATCTGGTCAGTGATGCGACACAAATAAACTCGATTGTATATTATAGAGAATAGGCAAAAGAATAATGCTTTTCTTTCTGCTTGATTCAATATAGCGAATGATTCTACTTGAATGACTTGACTGAGATAAGATATTCGATTTATTCCTTTTGGATATGTCTGATGATGGAATATATTTTATTAATACATGTAGATAACACAGTGAGCAGAAATGCTCTCTTATTTCTTTATTAAACCGATGATTCATCATGTTTAACATCTCATTCGATTCGCATTTTTATGTTTAATAATGTCAAATTTCGTTCGATATCTTTCAAGTTTTGTATTCTCAGTTGCTTTTAAGTGCGTTTTGTATGGTTCTATGATCTGCTACATGCTCCCTTAAGAGACTACTATATGCGAAATTACAATAAATTATTTGAAGGAATTTTTTTCCGCTTGAAAATTGGATCGAATTTGATGAAATAAGAATGTTCTAGAATTTCTAAAGATTCGACAAAAACAAACCAAGTGCAAATCACTCAAAGTAATTTAGTTATTTAATATGGAATCAATACGACGTTTTATAGTTCGATAGTTCTCACTACGGAAAAATAATATTACTATATACAGAAGCTACGCGGGTCTCAAATTTGAAGCGCAAAAATTTCCAACAAGCTGCCAGTATTATTGGGTCATGATCGGTACTTTTGAATGATTGGAAGAGATGTAGAGTTTTGCTTGTAAAGAAATATATTAAAATCAAAGTCATTTTGTCAAATGAAAGGGTGCATAAATTAACAATTCATTAATAATTGTAATCGACTATCAACACAAGTTTTATAATAAAAAAATGCAGCATAGATGTTTTATATAAATGAAACCTCAATGATTTCTGTAGCTGAATGCTTCGAGTAACGAGTCTACAGGCAAAAACTTGTTCGACAATATTCAAAAATCATCTTCTGATGAACTAGGCCGTCATGAATATCATGACTTCACAGTCTCATAGGAAAATAATGAAATACTTCATAATAATATTGTTAAATTTGATTCATGCCTCGTATAAACCGGGGATTTAAAACTTTCGCATCAATGAAGAAAAATTCCTATTGAGTTTCAAACAGTACACTCCCATAGATCGATGGAGCCAAGCTAAAACTGTTCAATATCGAACAACCAGCGTTCCGATTGCTGATACATAGTTCTCATGTGACCGATATATTATCTTGAAATTTTCACTCAAAACATAGTTTGCACTTAAGCTATTGAGTTTCCAAATTACTATAATTTACGTATGATGTCTATACCAAGTAATTGTCGGTTTTTAGAAATTCGATATTTCATACACAAAATACTCTTTTCAGGGTAACACTTCTCAGATATCACTAAAACAAAGCTAATTAGACTGCAAAGACATTCTTGCAGATCCAACACTCAAGAATTTCCTTAAAAGTAAAAATAAATGTATGGGAAATAGTTTGCTGTTGTTAAATGCCCGAAAAAACAAATATTCAAATCAATTTTGCCCATAATATAATTTCTAAAAAATAGAATAAAACTTTTTAAATGTAGAAAAATGATTCAATTTTTACAAAACATTGTATTATAGGTTACATTTTGTGTTCATGCCAAAGAAAAAACATTCGCGAATCGCTTCACCACCTGTTACTAGTATAATTAATCATTTTGTGTACTCAAAAAGTGAGTACACTTTAGATTCGGTCAGTGTGCCCGTCCGGGCCGTTAACACGATAACTCTTGAAAGCCTCATCCAATTGCCATGAAATTTTGTACACAGAATAAACTCATCAATATCTCAGCCGAGTTCGAAGATGAGAAGGATCTGTCAAGAAATGGCTGAGTTATCGAAAACATTGTCATTATTGACCAGACCATCCCTGAGGGCGAGGGGGGGGGGGGTACACGAATTTTTTCAAAAAAAAAATTTTTCTCAGAATTATTCACAACATATATAAATCGACTCATTTTTTGCAGTACACGTAACAATCGGATGCAAATCCGATGTTTCCGCATTTATTTTTTCCATATTCAAAAATTTATTTTAATAATCTATCAAATACAGATATAAATACATTGATAGTTTCATAATTAATACAGCACTGAATTAAGTAACGGTATATCAATAACAAGTACTCCATTTTCCATAACGTGCGATGAAACATTATATTTATCAATACCGTCTGGTAAACGAATGCATTGACTAAATTGTTTATCTTCATTCTTTATTGTATGAAGGATAAACTTTTTTCGTCCTTGTACTAATAGAGTATAATCAACTAAACGTACAGATAGTTCATCGGCTTCATATCCACGTGTATCGATTTTTAATATGATTTTTTTTCCATTTGGCGTAAATGTTGGATGAAAATCTGATTGTAAAAAATTTGCTATATTAAATTTAGAAGAAGTTTCAAGAGATTGACGATATTCAATATCACCAAGACTACCTGTTTGTTTCGGCACTGTTATTGGTGGTGGTCGTCGTGTTGTCTGCAGATTTGACTTCAACACGTCGCCACACGAATATGATCGAGTGGTTTGTCTTACTGGTTGATCCACTGTTTCTAATAATTCTTCATGTAAATGTTTTATAGCGTCGTTAACTCTTAACATAGGTATATCAATAGTTAATATACCTGTATTTCGAATAACAGAACGTATTTTATCAACATCAGCACCGAGAGGTATAGGAAATGTTTTAACTAATTCTTTACGGAAAAAATTGTCTGTTGCAAATTGATCAAGATGTAGTGCATGTACAAGCAGTGTATTATCACGTCGAAGTTTGACAGTTACTTCACCACGAGAAAATTCAGAAATATTTATTTCAATACGAGTTGTTTCTGATGGCTGCATAATGATGTTTATACAAAATTTTTCCTAGAGAAAAAAACAGAAATTAATTGAAGATTCAGCTTTTTCTTTAGCTTTAGCTTTATTACAGCGGAAAGAACATTTCATTAGCTACTCAACAGCAGTGTATTCATGTGTAAAAATAGAAAAGGATTTTTATTTTATTTATCTATTAGAGAATTACTTCTTCTTGTGCTATTGAAATACTTAATGACTCTTTCGTCAAAATCTAAAGCAGAAAATTTTCTCTTGATGATTATCTCGAAAGTGGATATCACCAGATGTCACCTATCACTGTAAATCTAATAAACAACGATGTGTGCGTCTTCATGGATATTTTATCTTATAACATTAAAACAGATATAATCTTTCTCGATGTTCTCAACAACAAAAAAATCTTATCAATACACTTGACGTCACCTTAGTTATTATATTAAATATTCTAATAATGAGTTACTAATGTACTTGACTTTAAAACGATCCATGACACGAGTTATTCAACGTTTAGTTATTAACACAGAGAGAGGAAAAAAATCAAATGATTGCATGACCAATCATGAACTCATAAAAGGTTTACCTAGAACAAATGTACACAACTTGAGTATAGAAATAACATTTCCTAAGAACTTAAATGGATAGGTTTTATTGTTTAAATGAATAATAAAACACCATGTCTGTATATGTATACAACATGAATATTCGTTGACATTTCCTATTTCAAAAATAAATCTTTGTAACAATAACAAAACAAAACGTATATAAAACTAGATGTTCTATAGTTTCCGGAGACTTTTAAAGGCAATTACGGGGAAAAAACAGACGGGAACTTGATAGTAGTACTCTTTAAGAATTTGATTGAACACTGGAGAAAAAGCTGTTAGCGCAATTCCTCTGGGATTAAAAATGTGAAACACGACATAACCACTGCAGGAAATCACATGGACATGGTGTATTCAAGGGAGTTCTTTGTTGATTTGATGAGACAGCTCGTTTGCCGCTGCCAGTGATGATCTGCGCTAGGCTAGAACAGCGTATCTGATGAGCTGTGCTAGATGTGGAGATTGCCTGTCACGCTGTGTGATAATCTCTGAAGATCTTTGTAACAGTTCGTGATGGGGACTCAATTCATATGGTACTAATTGGACAAATAATTAAAGCGTATGTCACGATCTATAGTGATTTCTATAGGCCGTCTGTCACGATCTGTGATAGTCAATTAAACAATTGCATAGTAATTAGTTAATTAACTAGCTAAACGATTGAGGCGTTGGCTACGGTTTCCAATGGTCTTTTAACCTGTCGGTAAGGGTCTGGCTGCAAAATTTCTACCCCAAACACTCCTTTCAGGTCGTGTTTCGCAAAATATTCTCGAGTAGATAATGATAAAGCATTGGCACAATCTGTAAATCAATTAAGAGACAAGAAAAAGAAGAAGAAGAAAACAACGAGTTTATCTTTCCACACAAAAAGATTTTATTCAATCTTTAGATAAGTTGTAACAGACATTTTTTACATGATATATCAAAAGTGTGTAACACATGGCTTATTCACTAGTTATTTTCATTCTCGTCTTATAATGTTGTCAACTATCACACAATAAAATATAAGAGCTATTCACATTTGAGTATAATAAGACAAACTTCGTTGTCTCATGTCATGTAAAACAAGCACTGATTTGTTCGACATGTTGTAGTTTCCCTTATGGAATAATCTTATATAGCTATATATATATATAGATATATATCCAAACGGATGAATTGCGTGACTCTCGAGACGAATGCTAGTAGATCATTAACATTAGTCAATGCGTTATTCTCTTCGGCAGCAAATTTTATTCTATTTATTCACTCTCTCTTGTGCTACATCTCGTTTTCTATCATCATTAGGATAGCAATCTGACTCAATCGTTATGTTGTGTCTTGTATGGGTGCATGTGTGGATATTAAAACATGTTCGATGTACTTCAATTATATTCCGAACGGCTAGCAAATATTGTTAAATGAAACTTTTTTTTATCAATACTAAATATTTATGATGCCAAGGTCATAATCAGATAATAATAGAATACTCTTATTTAATCTTACAGTCGCATAATCAAAGGTTTAACAAAAAGAAAATTTTAATATGAACATGTATTGAAAAAGAAAGGAAATATCGAATGAGCAATGTTGCATATATAGCTGATGTCATGTATTAAAGAAGGGGAAAAAGAACGAGAGAATATAAATTGAATTATGATTGTTTCTCATCGTTAATTTAAAAATGTGAAGAAAAAAGAGCTAATAATATGAACTAGCTCATCTTTCGATATGTCGTTTTCTCTTTTTTTTCTTGTTAGAATTATTATGAAACAAGAAGTTGTCGATTATTCTTGTCCTGTCTTGTTTTTTTGTTTTTCTTTAGCTATTGTTATGTGGTGTTTTTACTATTATGAATCTTATGGAAATCATTTCCTTTTAGTTGTGTCTTTTGACAATAGAAGATTTCTTAAAAAAAATAGAAAGAAGATTACTCATCAACGTACGTAAATGATTAACGACACAATTGTTGTTGTTATACAATCACTTGGCTTTAAAATACTATTGATTTCGTTGTTTTCTTTAAGTATTAATAAAAGAAAATTAGTTACCACGTTGTTGTCTTCTTCAACAAAAGTCACCAATGAGTGTTCTCACCTCTTAACTATTTGATGGAGCGAAACATGCCTACTGGAGAAAGGGTGTCATGTACGTGTGCGTAGTTTCTTTTTCTCGCTTTTCTCTCTCTCTATCTCTGTCTATCTATCTCTGATAAAGAGAGAGAGAGAGAGAGAGAATAAAACAAGAAGAAGAAGAAAAAGAAACTAAGATCGTTGTAGCATTACTGCCGACTGTCGAAAACCGATTCTGGTGAGCTAAAAAAAACGACGAGAAGAAAAGAAACGACAAAAATAGTGGTTTTACTTAGTCGAGAAGAAGCTATTCATCGGACGATCCTCTTTTCTTGATTGTCCCGTAGTATTAGCAGTGAAAAACATGTTCTTTTTCGACAATTTTTCTTTTGCTACGTGCTCGTGTGAACGATATATATATATATATATAAATATAATAATGCGTACATTTGATTATTTGAATGTCGCTAAATGGGAGCATTCATTTTTTCTTCTTCTTTGATTCAACATACGCATACATTAATATTTGAAGCAGTGCGTGCAAACATCTCGGGTTTCTTATTTAGTTTTACAAAAGCAAATAGCGTCGAGTATTTAATCAGAGTCAATATTGAACTCTACAATAAAAGTAAGACAATGAGGGACAGATATTTATTAATATGGCTTATTTGCTAGGCATTGATAAATACGATAATCTTCGTCGAGACACAGAAACGATAGGAAGATTGATATTGATTTCATTTGAAATAGTTTAATAATAAAAACTAACAGGTGATATTAGAAATTTTTTTGTTTGTCAGCAAGATTTTCTTTCATCATTATTTTCCCTTTTAATGAATTAAACAGTCATAGTATGATGAATATAATAAAACAAATAATTTTATTTTTCAGATAAGAAAAAAATCTTTTCTTAACACTCTAAGCAACTAAAGCGACCATGGGACGACTTACGGAAATCGTCCGCTACATTTTATGGCATTAATTGTCTTAAATGAAAGATAATAATTTCATATGATATGAAAACAAAAAATCTCAATAGAAAACTGCATCGTTGGTCATGTTGATCATCTTTGCTTTAGTTAGTCATAATCTAAAATTGAGAAAACTTTATTCAATGTAACATATCAATCAAAAAATTGAATATCATTATTAGTATTCGTCTATAGTTTTTTTTTCTCAATAAATTTGATATTAATTAACGTTTACAAAAGAACATAACTGTGATATATGGAAAAATCTGACAGCAGTTAAACAATCGGTGTCTACTGAAGAAAACTAATGTTAAGTTTATTCTATTTCAAGCATATTTATCTGAATAAATATTTTCATAGAAATACAAATTCGATAAAATTAATTGTTTGCAAACAATAGTAAAATCAGCTGAGAATTGGCATACATGCGTATATTTCTTTTTCTCCCCGCGATGGTGTTTTCTGCTGTGAATAGCTATTAATCAATCATAAACTTCCCCTACAATCCGTGTATAACATGTCAAAACAAATTACATCCTAGCAACGATATGTAACAAAAACAATGGAAATGGAAATTTTTCTTGACATTGCATATGCGTGTGTAGCGATGACATATCACCACCTAAGCATTCATTAGAAACTTTTTGGATATTTTTGTCTATGCGAACAAAATCCGTTAATCTATACAATCATATGACAGAATAGTTTTTCCGTTCGATAGAGAACTCCAGTATGGATAAAGCAATTGGTTTTTAGTATTCTTCAAATGTATCATTAAACATAATTATTTGTTGCATGATCGTCTAAACCAGACAGCCAGTTATATTTCTTTTTCAACACAAGACTGTTGATTTAGTTTGGAGTCAATAGAATAAATATGATACCCTGGAATTCCGATACATGACTAATCGCTCTCTAAGATTCTTTTCGGCGTTTGTTGCCACTGTATTAGATGAAATCTGATATTCTTCTTTCAATAAGAAATAAAAAGTAACCTGGGATCGTAAAATTGATAATTAATGGCATACGTCTCATAATCTATTCTAGAGTAGGAACAGTTACCGCTATAAAATTTTGCATTCGATACGATGTTTTCATTAGATATTCATCAAACAAAGTTTCACAGTAACTAATCTATTAATCATGATTCACAATTGTATTTTTTTTTTGTTTTAGTATTTAAAGCACGTCAGTTTGCCAGGCCTTTCAAAGTCACTCTTTTCTTTAAGCCATATAGAGAAAGCCTTTGTTTTTAAGACTGAATCTGTAATCTTCTTCACATGAGACGAAAAAAATTGAAAGCTTTAATAATAATTAAAAAAAAATTAAAGAAGCCCTCGAATATGAAGTATTTTTGAAATTACAGGCCATAAAAGATAAATAGATCGTAAGCTTATAAAACACCATGTTTGAGGAAGATCACAGTGAACTGAAAATGTCATCCTATTTTCTCGTCTATAGCATTAGCATGTCTTCGGACGACCTAAACGTGGGTGTCAGAAAATCGCAGTTGAATAGAGTCAATGCAACTGTCCATATGTCATCTTTTCTGAAAACTAAGTAGAAGAAAATTATTTTTTGATTGTCAACAACACCCATTTTATTAAACACAAAGATTAAAGAATATTATTTATCTGACCAAAATATAGAAACATTTGTTCCATAAATGTTTATCAAAATATACTAATAATTTAAGTTCGTACACGTAAATCTAACGGTTGATCATCGCCAAATGTATTCGGCTCAGTTTTTATTTTTTCTGTCGACTAGAAAAATATTGCATTGAATAGAAAAATAATTCTTATTTTAAATTCTTACTATTTCAATAGTATTAATCGTTGCCGAATTAATAACTGTAGTCGTAATGGCAGCTACCTGTGTAGCAGAAGGTGTCCGTTTTTTAATTGCTTTTCCTAGAATAAAATCGATGCTTGATAGAAATAGAAGAAATAATTCATACCTCGTTTACGAGTAATAACTGGCGAAAACGAAGTTCGTTTTCGTGGACACAATAACTAAAAATAGAAGTTTTCTTGGTGAATAAAACAAAGTATAGAACTTACTGATATGTTTTTTGATAGATCATCTTTATGTATACCATTTTCAATTAATTTTCTCTGTATTTGTTCATTAATAGTCTTGGATGTTCGTCGTTGACGTTTTAGCATTTTTTTAACTTGCACTAAAAATAAAAATTTAACTAAAATAAACAACTTCGATTGACTTACCGTAGTACTCATTGAGTGGTATTAGCCCACAATTATGGAGAAAATCTTTAATCTAATTCGAGCATGAAATTTTATGTTTTATAGAAAAATTATTTTCGTTGACTTACTTCTTCCGGGTCAGTAGCAGGAACAAGTTCATTATCCATTGATCTGAAAAAAACAGGTTAGGAAATTGTCCGTTGGGTTCATTATTTTTAATTGAAAATAAAAGCTTCTATGAAGAAATTATTTAATATACTTTTTATGCCTGGAGTCAAAGTGCTAATGAACATTTCAACAATTTATATACATATATATATAGGCGAACAGATAATGAAATTGACTATGCAATATTTTTCTTCCGTCCGTTTATATATATATATATATCATTATCAGAGTATATTTTGATCGTTCTTCTACATATTCTTTTTTTTTATAATTTGTGCAACTAGGCTGCGTTTGTCTCGATAGGCTTTTGATTTCTTACAACTAAAACTTTTAATAACACAATTAGTAACAACTTGAGATGAACACTCACTTTAGAGTCCTGCAGGTTAAGACTTTTTTGTATCCTAACCCTGTCCTATCGTAAAACTTCGTACCCTTGTCCTACCCTGCCCTAGGGGCTTTGTAACCTTACCCTACCCTATCACAGAGATTTTTCATTTTACACCCTATCAGATCCTTAGAGTTTCAGGTCCAAGTAAAAGTCAGCATGAAGTTTTTTTTCATTTTGTTTCAATATATTTTATTGATTTTCAACGAGAATCAAATACAAAATTAACTAGATGGTACTCGAGCTTTACTCGACTACGAAATGCGGTGCGAAGCACAGGTTCCAGTATTGAGAACAGAAGCTTCCGCAAATAAAGGGTGTGGCTGTGGGTGTTATTCTGTCCAAACGCTCATCCACATGTACACTATACATGCAAATCCACATCCACACTCACACCCATGCCTAAATGTTGAGATGTGCACAGGTCAAAATCTTCTCAATAATAAGTGAAAATACCTTACCCTTTCAATTATATTTGCTTAACTGCTGATGCACTCCTTCCTATCATGAAACTATTTTAAATATAGAAACTGTTGTTTCAAGATTTAAAAAAACGCAAACTCTTATTACCAACCGGTGAAAGTTGAATAGAAAAAGTTCTACGATCCTAATTTTTTCCAAAATAATATGCAAACAAGAAAATGTTGAATTGATAATAAATATCAGCCTCATGAGAGTGTATATTCCCAGTAGTTAGAAGCCGTATGACTTAGTTTTTACTTATAAATAATTCTCTAGAAGACGAAGCAAAGGTTGAACTCGTTACCCCTACTGATATTGAAATCTGACGTGCTACGTTTGTTTTAATATTGATATAGCACATCGGAAGCCATGCTCTGAATGCAGCAGGAAGAAATTACGACTCCTTTCTTGGTTTGTTCAAGATTTAATTTCTTTTCTAACTTTAAAAAAGCTAATTTTAGGAATAGAAGACAGCGATTCAGAACTCATCGACACATTCTCATTAGAAACAAAACAGTTATTGGTAATTAGAGATTGTTTTCTTCTTATTCGTTTCACATGAACGAAAGGCTGATAGCTTAATCCGCATAGAATTCAAACGTAAAACACGATATAGCTGCTCGTGATTAATCACAGTAGGATAGTTTTAACAAGTCTATTTCAGAAAATATTTCATGATCGTCTTCCTACTTAATCTTTCAGAAACTTTAAAACGTATATCTATATCTATAGATAATCGCGCGAAATTATTAATATTCATTCTCCGTCACCACAAGAATTTTTCTTCTGTCATACTGTGCAACTTGAGTTTAATTTAAACCAAGTTGATAGTATTGAAAGTTTATTTATCTAAAGAAAAATAATAAAACAAATTAGATTATTAGTTAATAAAGAATATTTTTTCTAGATGAAAATCGGAATATCAAATGAGATTCAGAAAAAAAATAGCACGAAAGAATTAATAGAATTCAGATCAGAAATAGTAAAAATACAAATGTTATTGTCACTGTTTAACTGTTGAATAAAACCGACATTAAAAAAAAAAGAAGGCAATTATATTATTTAGCCTATCCCACGATAAATAACATGAGCAAAGAGATCACGCATCAGTGGCTTTATTGTTTGTTTTTGATTAAATTCCTGTTCAATAAAACTAGAAGACTGATTCAATAGCACACGACTAGATTTATTTGAGAGCAGATCAATTGATTATTCAATAAGATCTCGATTATTAATAAAACGACGGACAGATGTATTGATTGGAAGACGAAAGTCAATCGAAGTTAAACGATCAAGTGAATGAAGAGCATCATTAAAACCTTCAGATAATCAAATATATTTCTTCATTGAAAATTTCGAAATAGTTACCTGTTTTCTTCGTATAACTCCATGGTTGATAGTAATGTTCTACTAATGTTGGTGATTGAAGAATTAAACGTAGAAATGGAACAAGTTTTCTTTCACTGAAAAAAAACAAAGTTCGATCATTGCAATAAAGTTTATTAAAAAAACTAGATATTTGAATGCTCATAGAAAGTCATTAGCACAATTTCTACCTAGTGTTAAAGCATGATGATAACAATCGAAATAGATAATAATGAATGGCAACCATCTTAAATACAGATGTTTCATGTACTAGTTTGATCTTACAAGTGTGTCTATTATGATCCGCAATAGACGACAGAATATGCATTATCAAGATGTCTGTCAAATCGATTGGAGACGCGTATTTCTGCCCGTTACAATTCAATACTCGTTCTGCACAGTGCTTGATAAAAATTTCAAGTGCGATAAGAAATGTTACTGACAACACTCATAAGACGACTGCGGAAACTGTTAAGAGCATCGTCCCTGCATCAAGATCTAGGTTAGAGCGAATCGTTATTGCTCATCGATCGGTCTATAGAATGTCTTGACAGAAAAAATGCTCTGTAGACCAATCAAATTATTCGTGGACAAAAATTTGCATCGAAATATTTCCTTCTATCACTTATGATTATAACTCTTGTTGAGGAGAGCTATTCATTTTTATTCGAAAAATAGTAGAACCATGGAAATCAGTGGGCAATAGAATGACTGCTTTTTCGATCAAGACCAATGGAAATCCTAATATTTCTCCACAGCAATATGGTTTATACTAGTCGTTTAATTACATACTTCAGCGCGTAACATACAAATGACTTAAAACAACTATCCATGTGTTGAGGATGTTTACTGTGCATTTTAACAATTGTATCAATACCACTCAGCAGATACTAGAAAAAACAATCAACAATGAAGAATATTATTCTTTAGTTTTTAAATATGAAATCAAATAATACTTGTATCAATGTAATTGGTTGTCCACCGACAATATCTAATGCAAATGATTGCGAAAGTTTACGTGCCGGACTGTTTGCAAATTCATTTCCATGCTGGAAACAACACGTAGCGTTATTTGTGTAGATAATTTCAAATTCACTTACTTTCATATCATAATATTTTAAAAATAATTCCCAAATATGCGTTGTGTCATTTTTTCCTGATTGATTATTTGTAGATCTTGTAGAAAAACATCCCCAAAGACATACACTTGTTGAATAACTTGTCTATAGTGAATAAATCATTAGAAAAGCGACTTCAAACCTTTCTTTCTCAATCATACTTCATTAAGTCCATGTTCAAGTAGTCCGCGAAGTGCAGGCACAAGATCTTGTCGTATCGATGAAAGAGTTGCAGCCGAGCAAGTATATTTCTAAATATAATTGAACTAGAATTAATAACCAATGAATGTATTTCTTTTCTATATTTACTTTTTCATATTCATCAGTATCACTGTCACTTGCGTCATCGTCATATAGATATTTTAATGCCAAATTATTTGATCGTATTATATGAAGAACTTTACTGATGGCAATTTCAAGTTGAGCTCGAAGACCACTAAAAATACAAATAATATACAGATGTCGTATTCTACTTGTAGACGCTTTGTTTTTACCCGAAATGGTGCTTCGAAATTATATCTCTTTGTTTTGTTCCTGCTGTTTGATCGAATGCTTTGTATACTGATCGTTTACCACATGTCAGAAAGGAAAACGTATAGAGTTGAGTTAAAATTAAGATTCGTTTCATTGTTTGAAATATATTCAATGAATTGTGACCAATAGGAAAACAAGACGAATATGAATCTGCTGATTGCGCTGTGTTTGATGTGTGAGTTGCTGCTGTTGATGTTAATCCACTAATTTCAGAAGCCGATGAAGGAATAAATGTAATGGTAGTATCGGTTGTTTTCTTAGCAGAATCAGCTAAAATAAAACTTTGCTAAAACAATCATGACGAAGCATAGAATTACTTTTGAGAAAATCAATAAACTTTTCCAGGTCGGATATTTCAGTGCGCATTTGATTTATTAGTTTTTCTTTCATTTTCATTGGATTCGTGATCTAGGAGAAACAAAATTGCATTTAAATTAATAATTTTCTTAATCATATACGATCGAACCAATAGGAATATGTTTGTTTGTTAGCATCGACCTTCATTTACGGTTTTTACTCATTGTGATATCAATTCAAACTTCTTAGTAGTCTTTGGTGTCGATTTAGTATAGTATATAATTGAAATCATGTGCACTTAAATTTTTCAGTTCGAAAGACAAGTATTCAAAATTGTAATAGAACTGTAAAACTCTTCATTGTTCACTTATGCAGAAACAGAAAAGTGATAGGTACCCCCAACGGTTATATTTCTACCATATTTTCGAAAGATTCTTTTCATTGTATAATAAAATTATGGACGATGTTCTTACCTGATGAATACCTAGATCAACAAGTCGCCGTAATTCTTCAGCACTAAATATCAAAATAAAACAAAAATAAAATAATTTGCTTTTTTAAATTTTAATACGAACGATAATTTCGAAACTTCTTCATCATCTAATTGTAAATCAAGTTTTTCACGTAGTTCATCAATGAGTATACGTTGTTTTTCCATCATGACTGATGTTGGTGCACCTTCAAGTGAGCCTGATGCAAGTGCGTACCGTTCTAGTTCATCTAGTTTTCGTTTCAGTTCATTAATAAATGTTTTTTCACGACGCTTTTCGGCTTCAATCAATTGTTCATGAGTAAAATCATTTGTATATATTGATGATTGACACATTACATCAGGTATACCACTTGAAGCAAATTTATGTAACTCTAGAAGTAAGTTCTATAGAAGAAAAAAAATATATACGATAGAAATTCGAACAAAAAACCGCGAAGATTCTACCTCACGATCTTCAGGTGTTGGTGCAGATATGACTTGTTGTAAACGTAGTTGTACATGAGCAAAATGGCAAGTTAATGCAAATAGTGAAGCATTTAATTTTTCATGGTTCTCAAGTAATCCTTGTTTTTCGTTGAATTCGTCAGAGAATTCCGCGTTATAATCTGTATCCGACGAAGCACCACCGATTGGAGTTAATCGACCAGTCATTAATGATTTTACATGATATGTTGTTCGTTCAGATGGATATGACATCGTTTCGTGAAACATTATTAAGATTCATGGCGAAAAAATAAGTTATATTTGACGAACAATCATCACATATGCGATTTGACAGACATAACTTGTTAATGAAGACAGGACAAATTTCATGGTACTGTACTAGAAAACAGAACACTCACAGACAAAATATTATTTTTATTTTGATCGATCATTTATTTAAGATAATGAAAAATTTTCATTTATGCATTTTTTTATTTAACAAAATCCTAGATGTCACTCCACTATGGTCGATGATAAATAACGTTTTTTTCTAGTATGTTTAACAGTTTGACTACGGAAAGGTTCAGCAATGACATAAAATTGAATGCCATTTTTCATTTTTTCTGTTGATATCTCAGATGTTGTTATTTCACCAGTATCAAATTTTGAATCTACATGTTTCTCTTCAGTTTGTACGTTAAGATCAATCTGAAAACGGACGAAACTATTTATTGATTTCATCAAGAGGATTCTTATCGAACACATCAATCATATATAATGTGCATAACGAATGTAATTTCGCATAACTCTAGACAAGTATCGGATACATACATCGTCAAACAAAAGTTAGATTGGTAATTCTGACTCGTTTTTCTAAGTAGGTTTTTTCTTTTTCTTTCTGCATACTTCCTTTTCAACAAACTTTGAAGAGGAAGTAGAAAATGATAAATGTTTTTAGACGAAAAAGAAACGAATTTCTTATTCTTAAATATATTTTCTTTAGTCTTTGAGCGAAGAAAAATTTAATGTATCGTTTTCTAAAGAAACGTTACTTCACTAAATTCAGTAGTTTATCTATGATCAACTGACTTAGTTACGCCCTGGTGCAATGACTTTTAATTGATTCATGAATATTACAGATTACTAACTGATTGAACATTTTGTTATTTTTTCAAAATTCTATATCTCTAATAGATTTCGTGTTCATACCTGTGTTGGAAGTTTTTCATTTTCGTGATGCGTATGAATAATCTCTGGTGGTAGTTGCCTTAATGGATGTGCTTCATGCGTTTTAGTATTAGAAACATGTCTTGGCAATCGTATCGCTTTATCTCCTAATGGTTTTCTAGTCAATAAATATGTCTCAGGTAATAAATGAATATTTTTATTCATATCATCAATTAATGTTTGACAACTTTTAGTCATTTCACCATTTTCTATAAGTTGATTAAGACATCCAATAAGATTTTTAACATGTTGAATTTCGTGTGGAAATGCATCGTGTTTTTCGAGATTTTTTAAATTTTCTATTAATCTTTCACGTTGATCAAACCATTGAGTTTGTAGTGTGGAATATGTTTCAGCTATATCATCTGATTGTATATCTTTGATAAATTTGATTGGATTTTTTTCATGTAATAAACTAGTTTCTGATTGTCTATGAACAATGGCTTCCTGCGCTCCAGTAACATTTCGAAACATTGTTCATCGACATTTAGTTTAAAGCTCGGATTTTAGACATATTTCGATAAATAAATGAGGCGCTTTTTTCTTTATTTAAATCATTGTTGTGAACAACAATTTCCACTTCACAATGAATTGTCCAGGAAAAGTATTGACAGCTGAATGATCAGTTGTCGTCCTTGGAATTTCTTCGTAGGGGGAAAATAGATTTCGTCGAATCATAAGTACGACGAGAACTCAATTGTAAGTTTTGTTACATTACAATCAGAGTTCATTTAAAAATCATACAAGCCTGACTTTTGTTGATCGCATATTTTAACACATGTGAATGAAGCATGTACCAATGATCTTATTTTCATATCCTCGCTTATTTCTTCGATCTTACTTTTATATTTGCATTTCACTGGCTAGGTTTTTTTGCTAATTATATTCTCATCATGGATCAACTGTAGAAATGTACTAATGTTACTTCTCCAAAATCTCCATAATAGTACGTAGATTTTGCAAACCAACGTTAAGAGTCTAGCTAAAAACAATAATTGCGACCAGGAAATTTTCTATCAAGATGAAAAGAATTCAAATTTAAAGACTTCTATGGAGAATTCGATAATACAGGTTCTGAACTTTATAAGAGAGATAGTTTTACATCGAATACTATTCAATACATATTATAGTTCAACAAGTAAAAAGATTGATTGAAGAATACATTCATATAATGTTCTACTGTAATAATATATGAATCCGAAAAGTTAGTGTTTTGTTTATTCATTAGAGAGCAATGCTGATATTTAAGCGCGGCTCGCTCTTCCGCGTAACGATGAATGTATGGATTTGTATTAGTACGATGAAAAATATATTGGAGAAGAGAACAAGAGAAAGAATGCTGAAATAAAGTTATACAAGCGATAATAAACATATCGATGAAAAAAACACATTTCGTCATGACAATTTCATGCTTCATCAATTCACCTAAAAAAAATTTGTTAGGAAGAAAAACATAATTTCATGAGAAATAAATAGGGACAAAACCTTGAACGTAACCACAATTTTTTTTTATAGTACTTTCTATTACTTGGTTGGTAGGTATGAGCTTTAAATAATTAGAATAATGACAAAATAACAGTTGCAACTCTACAGTAGCTATGAAATTAGGAAATGAAAAGTCATTTTAGAAAAGCTTCCTTTTGTACGTTCGAAAGTCTGACGAGACCTCATACTAAAAATTAGGTCTTCCATAAGAATTGTCTATAAATATCAACGAAAATCGTGATGGGAGACGATAGGAATGTTACTTTTAAGAAACAAATATATTACTGAGCTGAAATTTGAAACGATACGACACTTGAATGGTTTAGAGTGAAAATACAGAGACCGTGATGCTTTCTGTTGTATCTGACAGTCTATTTTAGAGAGCATTTCGAAAATTTCTTCAACTTCAGATAGTCGCGCAGTATAGATTCGGAATTTTTTAAGTAGCAGACGTAACATGCTCAATGCCATATTTTATTTTGGAGAAAATTGAAAGGAATTAATTTTGATCAGAAAAAATTTCTATAATTTACTGGCGAGGAAAGCCCACCAAATGTTCCATCGCTTTTGCGTTGAAACTGATTACATTATGTAGCTTCCAAAGAGTTATGAATACGCTGAAAATATTTTGGGCGGATAGCTTATTGTTACGAAAAAAGGCCATTTTTATGGAATTTTTTTATGATTGCCGTACTCGTCCTCAGGAACATCAGAAAAATAGATTTGCGAATTTTGATTTGAAATTTTATGTAGCAATAGACCTCAACGAGAATAGTGTTTTATGAATGTTTTTGGTCATTGGATTTGTTTTTCTCATAAAATCTGCCACTTCACTTGAAAGAAGTAAAATAAAAATTTCACAATACCTCTGTCTAGTGATAGGAAACGTATAAAGGTCTGAAGCGTTCACAAAAAGTTGTTCTCCTTAGGGCGTCTTTCTATGTAAAGTTTCAAGTTGAAATTCGAAAATCAATTTTTTATAATGTTCCTGATGGGGACCCCTGGCTCTCACTAAAACCCATACCTTAGAAATGATCTGTTTTCGTAACAATAAGCTATCCGCCCAAAATATTTTCAGTGTATTCATAACTCCTTGGAAGCTACATAATGTAAGTAGTTTCAACGCAAAAGCGATTGAACACTTGGTGACCTTCCCTCGTGAGTACTACTGCATCGATACTCATGATTTGAACATTATGTCATATTGAAAAAGCGTATTTGCTGTTCGATATGTGCTATACTTAAAATCGATATAGATTTATAGTTAATTGCTCTTGTGGTTCACATATTGCTTCCACGTTTTTCAGTTGTTGAATTAAATCAATTCATTTTTTCTTTTTACAGTATTGAAAGTTAATAATTACGTTCAAGATGTATCAACATGAATCAGCCGAATCTAGCGATGACAGCCAGGATGAATGCAAATCCACGAGGATATCCCCGGTAAGCGAACCAATATCTCCTCCAATGTGTGCCGCTGCTGCTACATCTGCACCGTCAGAGTTGCATTCCCCATCGACACGAGTTATGCAAAATTTTATTATTGTCAGACTTGATGCCAATGCCAACGAGAACAGCAAATCTTTTCGAAAATTTTTGACACAACTTCGAAAGAGTTATACCACACTAAAAGAATTCAGTAATGTTGATGAGTGTATCGAATATATCAAGAGCGTCAAAGATGAGAAAATTTTTTTAATTACTTCTGGTTCGCTTGGCGAAAAAATGGTGCCTACCATACACGATCTGGCTCAACTTCGTTCCATCTTTATTTACTGCAAAAACACAGCTCATCACAAAGAATGGGCGCAACAGTGGCCAAAGATTACAGGTGTCCACAGTGCAATAGATTCAATATCCAAACATTTACCAAAATTTATACGCGAATCCGACCAGGACGCAATATCAATGAGTTTCATTCCAAAGTCAATAATGTCGGCAGCATCATCGAAGCAACAAAATCTTATTAAATTGGAGACGACTTACCAATATTCTGCGCTTCTCAAGCAGATCGTATTGGAAACTGATGAAAATGATACTAAATGCATGGAAGACTTCGTGGCCTATTGTTGTCAGTGTCAGGAGAGTGCTTCGAAATTCACAACGGAAGAGTTCAAGCACATATACAAAGAAAAATCGTCAATCTGGTGGTACACATCTGCAACATTCATCTCCAGCATTCTCAATCGTGCCCAACAAATGTCTGACATGAAAGCTATGCTAAAAATGACTTTTTTTATCCAAAATTTACATCATCAACTGAAACTACTGCACGAACAACAAGCAAGTGACTTTTCACAACAGTTTATTGTGTACCGTAGTCAGAGATTCTCTCAAGAGGACTTTCAGCGTCTATCCAATGCGAAAGGTGGACTAATGTCGTTTAACAATTTTTTATCGACTACTAAAGAAAAACCTGTAGCCAAGAAGTTTGCAAAACGTGTCTTGCATACGAATAACAAGATCGTGAGCGTGATTTTTATTATGACAATTGATCCAAATAAAATATCACCTTCGACAACTCCATTTGCACTGATCGGCAATGACAGTGCCTTTCGACAAGACAACGAAATTCTATTTACAATCCATACTGTTTTTCATGTGGATAAAATCCAAGAGATAGGACACCAGAATAGACTTTACGAAGTTTATTTGACTATTGCAGACGACAGTGATCCACAACTAGCTGCTATTAATAGCCACTTGATAGAGAAAATCGATGGAAATGGATGGTATCGAATGGGCGAACTTATGCTTCAAGTGGGCAACTTCAGTCAAGCTAAAGAACTCTACAATGAATTACTGAAGAACGTTTCGAATGACAATGAAAAAGGGCTCATCTATAAGACATTGGGAAAGGCAAAACTGAAACAACAAGAATACCAACAAGCAGCTTCACTTTGGGAAGAGTCTCTTCAATTTTACATGAAAGCTCTTCCGCAAGATCATCCTGATTTGGCTGCTTTGCACCATGACATCGGTCAGGTGTACAACATGTTAGGTGACAATGTGAAAGCACTGGAGTATTATAATAATGAAATTAGAATTAGAGAAGAAGCGCAATCTTCAAATCATCCTGATTTGGCTCTTGTCTACAGCAACATCAGTCTTTTATATAGCAAAACGCGCGAATATTCGAAAGCGCTTCAATACGCAGAAAAAGCTTATCAAATTAACGAAGAAGCACATTTGAAACATGATCCCGATTTAGCTACACCGTACTTCAATATTGGAATTGCGCATGACCGCATTAATGAATACGAAAAAGCACTGGAATTTTATAGGAGAGCACTCAAAATAAGAAAAACAGCCTTGCCACCGAATCATCTCGATTTAGCTCTTGTCTATACCAAAATCAGTGTTGTATATAAGAACATGGGTGACCATTCGAAAGCACTTGACTATGCAGAAAGAGCTCATAAGATAAACGAAAAAGAACTTGCGCAACATGGTTCTAATCTGGCTGATTCGTGTAGCAACCTGGGGCTTGCATATGATAACATGAAAAACTATTCAAAAGCACTTGAATTTTACGAAAAAGCGCTCAAAATAAAACAAACGACTTTGCCATCAAATCATCCCGATGTGGCTAATTCCTACAGCCACATTAGCCTTGTATATAGCATCATGGGTGACTATGAAGCAGCAATTGTATATGCAGAAAAAGCTTGTAAAATTAAAGAAAAAGTACTGTCTTCGAATCATCCTGATTTGGCTACTGCTTATTATAGCACTGCGCTTGCGTACGACAACATGAAACAATATCCAAAAGCATTGGAATTTTATAAAAAAGCGCTCAAAATAAGAGAAACAGCGTTGCCACCGAATCATCCCGATTTGGCTCTTGCCTACAACATCATGAGCCTTGCATGTATCAAGATGAATCAGAAAGAAAAAGCACTTCGATATGCGAAAGATGCTCATAAAATTAGAGAACAATCGCTGCCTTTGAATCACCTTGATCTGGCTAATTCATACTACAACATTGGATATTTGCATGAAAAAATGAAGAAATATTCGAAGGCATTGAGATTTTATGAACGCGCTGCTGCAGAGGCAGAACTTTCACAGCCTTTCAATCCCGCGCACGTTAAATTGTACCAAGAGCATTACAAGAATATGAAAAAGAAAATCAAACCTCATTCGGATTAGTTCAATGGACTCGAATTGATGATTGTTAAATCATTTTTGACATTTTTTTTCAGTTGACAATCGCAATCCCTCACACAGAACCCAATACAAGAAATGAGTGCAATCAGTGAAAAACAAAGCATCTTTTCAATAAAACTACATGAAGGCTTTCACAATAATTGCAGACATCATAGACAGAAAATTGTTAAAAATAATCTTCTTTGTTCTTTACAAATAATCCTTTGATGGGAAATCCGATGATTACAACTCAAATTAGAAAAAAAGGGCCAGAGAACAAGATCTATCCTTATAGTTAATTTGTACGTTTTGTTTTTCGTTCAATGACTCGTGAGGGCCATGACCATTTTCTCTATCCATAACTACACTCATATCTTACTCAACAAATCATGTTAACCAGAGATACGTATACGACAAATCTATCGAACGCACGAGCTAACCTCAATACACAGTAAATATCAAAGGAAATAAAATAAACTCAATTTCTCAATTTTTGCTGCAATTCTTTGAATTATAGTGTTGTGTTTTTCTTTTGTCAAATATATCAACGATGATGATTGCTACTATTCTGATATCTTTTAACGGTGTTATCAGCGAAAGTAATAAACTTCATCAAACTTACTTCTATTGTGTATAGTCAATACAAAGAGGAAAAAAATGACGCAAGATAATAAAAACGATTGAAAGTAAGTTATCTCATTCATGCATATAAATGTATTAACAAATGTTATCAGCAGACTAATAAGAAAAACTCTAAACGACATAATAAAACATTGTATAAGACGAACACAAAAACAAGCATGCAACCCTTCTCAGCCGAGCTCTTAAGTATTCTAGTACTTATTTCTATATCATGGTCAGGTGTAATATTTATTGCTGTAGTAATTCTTATAATTTTTCTTACTTGCAAATCATGTTCAAAACGCCGTCGTCCTGGATTTATTCATCCAAAACAGACACATTCACCAACTATATCGGTTTCAGATAGTAATGATAGTGTAACAAAAACACCTCTACCAACTGAATATCTCCCGCATGGAACTAATAAACAGAAACTGCCCGAAAAACATCACTATTTGGATGACACAATTAGTGTTACGAATGAGCATACTAATCCTTTTTATAATAAGAATACAAAAAGTCAACAAAAAACATATACGCATGACAACAATGACAGGACGACAACAACAATGCATGAACATGGAACAAATAACCGAAATTATCATGTACGACGACCCCACAATCAAACAGTTCAGCCAATAAGTAATGTTCCAGCTGTAAATCGGCCTACACCATACCCTCAAGATGTTATTGCTCGTGATCGGCTAATGAATCGTAATCGATTTCCAATAGACCTTAGATATTAATACGAACTAATGAAGCAAAGCAATAATAATCATAGTAATGAAAGAGGAATTGTTTTTATAAACAGTGTGATAATGTTTGGATTGTTTCGATCAAATGAGGCCGCTAAAAAAGAATCAGAAAAATAAAAATGTTTTGCCATTGATTTGTTTTGCTGATAAAAAAATGGCTAAAGATCAGCTTCATTTTGTCGATTGGATTTTATTTTATCGGATCAACAATCGCTGTCGTCAGAAAGTATCTCACGATTTTGATCGGAAATAATAATGTGAAAAATCGAAGTTCATTTTTTATCTTGGTAAGATATGTTTACGAGTTACACATCCCATTGCTTTATATTTTGAAATCGTCTTCCGTACATAATTTTTTAAGCTGTCTTATTTTTGATATTTTAATTTTTCTCAATTTGAGATCAACATGGCGTCAACGTGTTGTCTGATTCCTAATATCAATGAGGCGTACTCGATAAGTTCTATTTAATAGAAAAACATAGATTTGATTATTGATCATGGGTGAAACTGTGACATTACGTTTGAATTTATCATCTGGTCGCTCAGCTGCGTGTGATTCTTCATTCACTCACTTAGAGATATGAAGTGTTAGTCTGTAAATAAATCGAGTAAATTACTAGAATAGTATGGTCTACACTACAACTCTGACAGTCACGCATGCACTTCATTATTTAGACACTAATTCTATCAAAATATGCTATTTTTATGCCCTAATGCTTCATAATTTGCATGTCGTCATCTATTAAATTAACTCGAACTCCAGATTTCTTGATAGACTTAATCAATAATCTCATAGAAAGTTTATTTATTTAGTGAACATATTGTACGACATTGTATTGCTCCTGTTGATACTACCAACGAAACAAGTAGCTAAAATGTTATACTACACCGTACTACTGAATAAGTCGATGATTCATAAAGCTGTGTTGTACGAAAGACAGCTATTGTATCCATCCCTGTAGACTAGTGTAATATTATTCATGCAGGTCAACACATGAGTATATACTAAACAATGAAATTTGATAAGAATAATCTTGTTATATCGAGCTGCGCTCAAGTTAACTTTTAAATTTAGAAACATTTTTGATGGTAATCGAATTAGGAATCTTTATTATCACAACAAAACTATCAAATTTCACCATTTAATCAATTGTCAACAAGCATTTTTTTCTTCTATATATAAACCATCTTGAATTTCATAATTGATTGAGAAAAAATTAAGCTTAAGCCTTCGATCTTTCATCTTACACGTATCTATGCGTTAACTCTTCTTTTGTTTTTGTTTCTCGATCTATGCCATGGTTGCAAGTCTTTTCTTATATGACATAAGATCTAGAGTAATTTAAGTTTTGCCAAATTAATCCTTATCTACGCTACATATCAAATGAGCAGCCCAAAAAAACTTTTGTCATTCCGACAGATGAAACCTATTACAATATATATCTATATTAAATTATTCATATTAATGAAAGAATTAATAATAATCTTTCATCGAAAGATCTCATCGATTCTTTATTAAACTCATATGGAAACTAAATTAGTAACGATTCTAACTGATATCTAATCAGCTGCTAGAAAAATTCCAGCAAACAAACAAATTCTATATTTTCGTTATTACTAACCCGTTTGCAATAGTCAATAAAATCTTCTAATGTTATTTGTTCAGTGTGCATTGGATCAATACGCTAAAAATTCAGATAAGTAATGAAATCAATTGTTATTCAATTATCAAAACGTGCTTCAAATATTTCATCGACATGTTGATGAATTTCACGTTCTTCAACACGAGGTTGAACTGCTCGGCCAAGAAGATCATAAAATGAAGCAATAATTTCAGTGACATTCTAAAACAAATTGATAATATTTATTTTAAATTATAAAAAACAAAACAAAAAACGGTACTTCTCGTGTTAATAATCCTTCACCATTTATATCATATAGACGAAATATCCATCGTAATTTTTCATCAATCGTTCCTCTACATAGGACTGACAATGTCAAAATATAATCCTAAGATAAACGATAAAATTCTATTGCAAAAAGAAATTAATTCCATAAAATTTACATCGAATGTAAATGTTCCTTTGTGATTACGATCGAATATTGAAAATAGAAAATGAGTATACTTAATTGGATCTATATAACGAAAAATAGGAACAGAAATAAAGAAATATTTACTTTTAGGGTGCCTTACTTCCTTGAGGAAAAAATTGCAAATAAATTTCACGTAGTCGTTCTTCAGTAACATTTCCACCTGGACATTCCTTTTAGGATTGAAAAAAAAATTTAATAATTCCAATAAAGTAGAATTTAATTTGTACTTCTTTAAAACTGCGATATAAAAGACGAATTTCTGCTTTTGAAAAACGAGTACATTTCATTATTTCTTCAAGTGAACGTGGATGTTGGACATTTTTCGCGAGGAGAGCATCCAAACGAGATTCTAAAATTTAACAAAATATATTCAAAACTTGCATACAGTCACAACATCATCATGGATGAATGAATATTTCCTTCAAAAACTATTTCAAACACTATATATTGCGTGACTGAAGTAAAACAAGCTGAGAAAATTTTCTGCTTCTTTTGATAAAAACATTTTCTTCAAGCAGAAAGCAACGGAAGCTGTCTTATATTTTTAGAACAAAACAGTAACCACATGTTATTCATCAAAAGATCAGATGAAGTCGTTAACAATTAGTAATACAAAAGATCGATCTATGATACAATGTTTATAATCTATGTTAGTGGGCATGTGTGTGTGACATTTTTCTAGTACATGAAATAAATATTCTGTTGTCAATTCTTAACCACATCATCGTAATTGCGCAATGAAATTTTCCTGTCTAAATTTCGTATTAAATATTTTCATAGTAATATTTCATATTTCACTGATCGTAATTGTCAATCAGTGTAGATACGACAAGTTGATTATTATATTAGTAAATTCGATCTTAATCAAATATTTCAAGTGCCATATTTATCAATGTCAATCGATGGAATTAAGTGGATGTTTGTCACTTTAATATTGAAGAACTTAATCAAATCAAGAAGCACACCAACGCACATTCTACACTTGAATCTAATATATAATTAGCCGAGTTAATTTCATTGATTATCGATATATGATGTTATATTAGAATAATAACAATAATAATATGTCTGTTCTATTAATTTGTCTTATTATGCGACGTATATATCAAATAAATGTATAGCTAATTGAATACGAACACAAATTTGTTTCATATGCATAATAATAAAACGATTGCAAAATGGCATTAGCTAATTCAATTATCGAGAAAATTAACTTACGTACCTGCTTTACTCTGTCTTGTGCCTCTGCCAAAATTAAAGTTACTGGTTCCGTGTGAAAAAGAAGCTATATTAGCACCCATCCTTGTTATCAAGCATCATGGGTATTGGATACTAAACAATTATGATTAACCCAGCACATTCACAATCTATCTATCACTCTCTCTTTTGTCGCGCTAGTTTTATCTGTCTGCCTGCCTGTCTGTCTGTCGCTCTCTCTCTCTTCGCTTTTTTTGACTATTGCAATGCGCGACAATATGAGAACGAAAGATGACATGTAGAACGAGCAGATGACATTTTGCCCGGCGTTTTTTCAATTATGATCGTTGGTAGCCCTGTAAAAGCACAGAAGGCACAGATGGATTGTCCACATAAATATGATTGCAAAGAGAAATATAGAATAGGGCAAAAATTCAATAACGAGAGGAAATGAGCGTTGATCTTAAAGTGTGTTTCCGATCGGATGAGGCTCTAATCTCGATATTGATAGAAATCTATAAGATTGAATCACTTGTATGTTTGATATACAAAGTCTATTGGAAGAACGAATAATCATCGTCAATATAATAGATCGTCGACATAAAACGAGATAATGTGAATTTCGCAAATAAAAGAGAGTCGCTTTAACTGGCAGCATATGTCTATTATGAGAAAAGGATATTGTCGATTAGAGAGCACTGTATAGATTTTCGTTTGATTGTTCTCATATATTCCAAAAGGAAACTGATGAATAAATGAAGAAGAAGAAAAAAAACACAATATTCTTGCAATAGAATATATTTATAGTATTAGGAGTGTCGATAATGCTAAATTGTCGATAATAATTAGATGTTATTTAATCGAATGAAAAGGTTTTTCGTCTAATATAAAAAAAGAAGCGATGATTTCATGCGAAAAAAAAAATCTTTTTATGGTTAATTTCATATAGAAAATATTTCCGAGTACAGCCAATTATCAAAAGAATGCGATAGATTGTTTTCCACGAAATTTTATCGAGGAAAAATTTTTTTTTCATTTTTTGGCATCACAAATTAGCTATAGTTTCAAGTTGAATGCTTTTCTTAGTAAAAGAAAATAAATACGAGAAAATATAGCTTCAGGCTAAATATTAACAGAATAATTAGATGGATGGAAAAACGGAAGATATTTCATCGATTCCAAAAACCTTGAGGGATTATTTCTTTTCATTGGACTGTATATATAGTTTTTTCAAGTGCAATCTAGAATGTCTATAGCTTTTTATAAGACTGAAAATTAAAGTTCACCAATTTTTTACTTGCTCTGTCAAATGTATTATAAAAAAAAAGAAATAAAGCACTTAGCAAATTGCTGAAGTAGTTTGTCTTATAAGAATAAAAATTATTCTAAAACACGAAATCTCGGCAATCACATAAATAAGACGTATTGTTATATAGCTACTATAGATTAATTGAAAGTTCTAAATTGAGGCTCTTGGCTATTTCCGAACTTTTGTTTTTCTAATATAGATCGTAAAAAATCTTGATGATATATCTCATTTCGTAGAAAAATGGCTCTTATACACTCGTCTGCGTTGAATAGAACAGTGTCGTATAACAAACTCTTGATGAGAGCATCTTCACGAAATGAAATACTCAGCACACTCCACATTATGAGCTTCAGAAGAAAAAAATAAGAATAGATGAAGACGAAGAACAACTTTTTCAGTTAGCATAAAAATGCTACAGTAGCGACAATAACATAATCAAAAGTTTACAAGTGTGCTGTTTGTATAACATTGATCAGTTACAGGGGGTCAAAATGATTGCTCGAGAAGTCAGATATCATAGAACAAAAACTAATATACATATCTGTCGCATTATTTAATCTATATTTAAATCATAGTATTGTTATTATAAGGAATGCATTTATTTACATATATTTTATTGAGATAAAAAAATTATATATATATTTCTTACGTTTGCATTCATTGCAAGATCCAAAAAAGAAAAGAAGTATCAAATACTTCTATTTCTTTGTTATGAATCAGCGAAGTGAGAAACCACTCACATATATGCAGTGAATGAGAATGATGTTTTCTTTTTAGCAGACAACATTGAGAATAGAATAGATTTGTATTTTTATATACCTGATACTTGTATTCGACGAACAGCTCGAAATATTCCAGTACTTAAACGTCGAGAAAATCGTTTACAACTTGCAATTAAACGAGATGGTCGTCGATCGACAGTGAGCAATGTTGAATGGTACCACGACATGAGTTTCTTTTCTCATTAATCTAAAAGAGTCTTTGTTGTTTTAAAAAAAAAAACGTGACACAAACCAAAATCCACACATGTTACTCAAATGTTGTCGTGTTTCTAAATGGTCTTGTCGCTATACTTTTTTTTGTATCCGTTTATATGTCTCTTTTCTCTTTTCTTATAGATACACTTCTTTTTCCTCCACATTAGCTATTTTACATTCATTCATTATATCATTTCCAATGACTGCACTCGTTTCTTCGTTCGTCTGGTGACGACTACTAGTAATATAATGGTTCTCTTCTTATTTTCTCGTTTTTTTTTACTCATTTTCGATGTGTTATTATTTTACAAGAAAGGATTGATGAAAACTAAGTGCGGAAAACAAAAGAATGCGAAGAGGAAACGAAAGAAGAGAGAAGAAAAACTGGAAACAATTGTTGATAATATAAATGAAGCATCGACAAAGTATTTTTTCACTCCTATCAATGCTTCATGATTATTTTCCTAGATTCTATTTCTAGTTGTTATCAGAATTTAAATGATTAATTATCCTTATTGAATTGACACGCATAGACAATGCCTTTGGATGATATTTATATGCTTGTCAGTTATATCATTGATACATTTATTCAAATCAATAGTAATCAATTTATTTTTATATCATATATCATACATCTATACGTACACGCAGTAAAAATATATATAGTCCGCAAGCGACAGTTTCTGAGCAGATTTTTTTTTATATAATCAAATTCACCATTAGTACGAAAGAATATTAAGATATATATATATATATATATGAATAGATAAAAAAAAAGACGGCTCTATCCATCTCACATTGAATAGATTAAGAAAATAGCATGTTTTTTTCTCTCGGTATACACCGCCACTTGTTGTTGACATACAGTCTTCAGGTCGTTGTTGAATGTACCCACTTCGTACGCCAATCATCATTAGCACGATTATGCTCCGTTTTTTGTTATCAACTATGGAATTGTGTCAGCAGACTGTTTTTAGCCAAAGGATTTTCTCTCCACGGAAAGTTTCGTAGTACTGTGTACTTGACATTTGTTTTCGATAATGGTGTATTAGAACGAAGAAACTCTACTTGCTGAGATTCTTGTTGGCACGAATGAATCGACGGTGAATTCACTGGAATCAACTGAATATCTGATAATTTCTGATGTGTGCTCAAAGGCAATTGTCTAGTCTGATTATTATTATTATTATGATTACGATATAAACAACGTTTTTTTAAAGTGGAATTCTCGAGTGGATCTTGCGGTAATTTTTGTTCAAATGAATTAATTTTTTGATGTTGTGTTTGAAAAAATTTTCGTTGAACTTTGACATTTGCTCTTGTCTTAAATGTGAAACGACAGCAACATAGGTCTCGAAATGCTCGTTGATATTTATTCGAAACAAGATTATAGAGTATTGGATTAATAATTGAACCAAAATAAAATGTTATACCCGATATAACATAGAGATAAGCCATTATATTTGAAAATATGTCAGAATCCGAATCCAAATTTGAATTTAAACTCATTACAGCTGATAATACGCGTTGTAAATAAAGGGGAGCATAACAAATAAAAAAAGCAATCACAACGGCCACTAAATGAAAATAGAAATTAATTAGATTGGCTTTTTCTATTTTTGTAAATGTTATATTTTAATTTTTGTAATAGACTATTCTCGTTAAGTCAATTCACCTATGTCAAGACAGACTTTTTCTAATTGTGAAAGTTTACATAAGAAGAGGCATCTGCTTATAATGACATGTCGCAGTCAATCGTTACACAACAGAATATGATAATTTAACAGTCACGAAATGATTCTGGTTTTTCTTGATTCAAAAAAAAAAATAAATTGAAATATCTATTAATGAATAGATTTTAGCTTAGGAGGAAAAAATTGAAATTGAAAAAACTATTTGGTTTTGCTTCTTACCTAATGTTTTAACAACAACTTTTCGTGCTTGATAACGTGCACGATTTTTTAACCATGAATAAGAACCGACATGTGAACTTTTATGTTGCATCTCGATTGTATTACTTTCTTTATGTGTCGTACTTGAATGGCAAGTTGTACTATTAGTTGTGTGTTTTTTCCCTTGAATTTCATCAGATGCTATGTGTGATGAACTTAGCTCATTTGGATTTGAACGTTTTTCATATTTATTCACATGATGTAACGCTTTGATTATGACTATATAGATAATTCCGATAATTATCATTGGAAGATAAAAACAAAATATCGATGTTGTTATCATAATGATTGATAATAATTTTACGAACTTTTTCTTCGGTACACATGATTTACAATAGATATTTGATGATGAAGGAGTTTCATTTAATTTTAAATTTCTTGAATAATCTCTCGTTTTAGGTACGGTAGTTGTTGACGGTGGTGAAATCATAATTAAGTTTGTATCGATCTCATATGAAAATCCTATGGGAACACTAACTAGAAGCGACAAACACCAGATAATAATAATTATATTTTTTGCACGATGAAAACGATTTAATCGATGAAAATGCATCGGATGGACAATAGCAAAATAACGTTCACATGAAAATGCTAAAATAGTTAAAATTGATGAACTTGTAAAAAACTCAACACATATATTTCTCAATCGGCAGAACAAAATCGATAATGGCCATTCACGGTAGTGAATTTCGATCATTTCTAACGGTAAATTACATATTAGCATCATGAGGTCGGAGACAGCCAAATTGAGTAGATACAAATTTGTAGGCGTCCGCAAATGAGTATTATATTTAATGATAATAGTTGTCATGATGTTTCCCACAATGCCAATAAGAAAAATAATTGCATAAGTAACAATTAAAAGTCGTTCGATAAAAACCGGATTTGAAAATGCATTGTAGAATATAGACGGACAGGTATTTACAATATCCTTCTCCGTCGATAGCATGACTTTGCTCGAAAAAATTACAGTAAATCTAAAAATATAAAACAGAATTTTTTCGAGACGATCTGATGATATGCAAAAAGAAAAGAAAAGAAATTTTTTTCTAAAGATAATAAATAATAATACAGTAAAATAGTATGTATGATTTGTTTATATCTTTATGAAATGAAGAATAAATGGATAAAAAATAATTTCTACATCTATTTACTAATATTTGTCATACACTGCTCGATTATGTTCTCTGATACGTCATGCAGAATATATTCGAAATTCCTGATATGAATTTCAATCGAGAAATAAATCATCAGAGAATAAAGCGAACAATACAGAAACATCAATATGGACCGAAAGGGCAGTCGGCGACATAAACAAACTAGCACATTATTCTTTACTCTATTTTTTTTATCTAAGAAAAACATAGAAAAATTAGTGATTAGTAATAGTATTTATTTTATAAAACAGATAGAGTAAAGAGGGGTAAATGGGCACGCGAAAAAACACTTTCTGTTTGCGAAGCAAATATCGCTCTCGTTTTTGAAGATAAAAAATCTTTTCGGTATGAACATTGTAGACAAAACATTTTTCTATCGATCTATTTTTTTCAATTTTGAAAATTTAGTCAGGACAAGTAGCCAGGCAAATTTTCGTGAGACGTACTTTTGCCTGTGCCCATTTCCACCAAACGGGGTAAATGGACATTTTCACATATTTTTGCAGGAGTAATTAAAACATCATTTTTGACAAATTTATACATTATTTTATGAAGTTTTTATCACAAAAATGCTTGTCTCACTTTGCTACACATCTAGATGTGTAGCAAAGTGAGACAAACATTTTTGTGATAAAAACTTCATAAAATAATGTATAAATTTGTCAAAAATGATGTTTTAATTACTCCTGCAAAAATATGTGGAAATGTCCATTTACCCCGCTTGGTGGAAATGGGCACAGGCAAATGTACGTCTCACGAAAATTTGCGTGGCTACTTGTCCTGACTAAATTTTCAAAATTGAAAAAAATAGATCGATAGAAAAATGTTTTGTCTACAATGTTCATACCGAAAAGTTTTTTTATCTTCAAAAATGAGAGCGATATTTGCTTCGCAAACAGAAAGTGTTTTTTCGCGTGCCCATTTGCCCCTCTTTACTCTAGTCTAAAGTTAATTTATATCGTATTCATCGATAAACTAGTTTCTCTTTTTTTTAAATTGAATAATAGATTTTCTGTATGAATAGCTTGATTGATTTAGATCGACTAACGCTAATACGTTTTCTCCACGTTGAATGCTGCAGTTCGTCTTGACATCGACGCTTATTATGTGCAAATAAAATAAATTCTTATATTGTAAAATTCAAAATGTTAATGGAAAACTTAAAGGCATATGATTAATGAGTGTACTAAATGTACGCACATATTTATTTCCAAGATAAAAGCAGAAAAAAAATTAAATGGATTGATATTCGAACAGATGTTGACGCAGCTAGCTACTTATCCATAATATATTAACCATTACGATAGACGAAGAAAAATATTGATAATAGCATCATATTTTATTATAATTGAAGAGAATCTACGTAACACCTTACAGGATTTTTCTGTGGCTATTATGCACAATTAATCATAGGAGATTATGCGAGAAGAAATCAGATATCTCATTGAAAATGGCAAGAATAATAATAATAACTATAAAAAAAAGCCACAGGTTGATTATCTGAGATCGAAGGTTCATTCTTTAGAAGTGCGACTAACTTTTGGTTTAATTAAAATATAATACATGCTATCCATAGATTATATAAGTCTAACTTAAAGCTCTCAAAAAGTTCACGTCGATCACTATTCTTTCTAATGTTTTCCTTTTTTTTTGATTCCTAACCTCCTAGTTAATTAATGAAGGACATAAATGCTTTAGTTACGATCTTAGCGATGAAAAACAAAAACCATCCTATCTGAGAATCGGTGACGACGAAGGAAACAGAGCTTCTTTCAAAATATAAACAACAGATCAAATCAACATAGAAAAGAAAAGTATTTAACAGATTCATTACTATTGGTCGCATATACAAATAATTCAATCTCGAGTTCTGAACTATTCATATTGTATTATTCTTTAAAAAAAAGCACAAAAACATTCGGATGCTGTATATCTCACAGTAAACTTTAAAAATGAGATAAAAAATAATAAATCCAAACTAGAGGCATATCATAATCATGTTTATTTGAAGATATAAAATATGTTATGGAAAAGAAAATTTCTGTTGTAATATCTACTTAAAAATTACATTAACGAGACCATCTCTTTTACATAAATTTCTAACCAAAGGCGTTTTGTACTAATTGGAAAAAATTAATTAATTGAATGTTTTTAGAACAGTTAGGATTTAATTCTATGACTTTTTTGTTTCTAAGCTGTCTCTAATAATCAGCTTAGTTTTCCAAAAATACAAAATCTAGACGACTGCTGCAAAGAATAATCTAGTACTTAACCATCGGTGTCGAGATGATAGCTAAATGAATAATAGTAAAAAAATGTTTCTCTTCGCTTGCTATTTACTTAATAAAATGCAACCTTTCGCTTTTAATTAAACATCAAATTATGGTAAAAAGAATCGTTTATCTTTTCAATATAAGTTTGAAAAATAAATTGTGCTTCCACCAGGATAGCATTTACAAGAGAAGCATAAACTTGACGTACTTGAATTGAGTTTGATAGCATTTTGAAGTAAATTATATAGTGTCATAAGATGTATCCGTTCTTGATGATGAAATAGAAAAAGAATAAAAATGAGACACGATTAAATGGAAGCTTTTGGTGCATACGCATTATATTATATTATCTTTCATCAGTGTAACTTTTGTAAAAGAAAGAAAAAGTGAAGATTTTTTATTAATTAATGGCTCATTTTTATTTGACGAATAAAGTGTCAAAAAATCTATTCTTTTGAACAGAAAATAATAGAATTATTTTTTCATCATGATTCTCTATTTCATCTTCCGTGATTAATGAGAACTATTTTTTTGTAGTGCTATGCTTGCTATGACGCCAAACATTTCTTATCATATAATAAAAATTGTATTCAAGAATTTGTTTTTCTTTAATGCCGTACAAAGCAAACAGACTAGATTGCCCATGGCAGAAATAGCAAATAAAACTAAAGACTTACTTTCTTATTGTCAACCAACCGACAAAATTTTACTATATCGGTGATTTACTGGCATGTTCAAGAGGGGTTAACTTCCTCTAAATATTAGATTGATATGAACATTCTTTTAAATTATTTGTGCTAGTTCAAGAACTGCTATTGTAAAGAACCCATGGGCTGAGTTCTCCCTTACTCATGTTTGACTTCTGATTAAAAACAGCAGTCAAATTCCGTTTGAGAACATAATCACTTACTTAATTTCCCCATGGTCATTTTGTATATACTATGCATGAATGAGGAAGAAGAAAAAAAATTAGACCATGTCCAAATAAGGGAATGCTTGAAAAACAAATAATTGAAAAGGAGACGAGTAGAATAGATGTATGCATGTCAACAGAGTGATCAGTACGGTAGTAGAGTGTAGTGTGAAATAACTACTAAACACGAGTGAATGACACTTGTGAAAGAAGAAAATTTTTATAATAATTAGACATGCAAATTATCTTTCTACGGTGCGCTTGTTATTTATTTATATGATAAATCACAAGAAAGAATTTCAATAAAAGATTTCTATTATTCAAAGTCACGCATATGTTTATAATTCCTGTATTTGATCGCATTGAAGAGACTACTGATCTTGGAGAAATCTTTCTTTTTAACAGGTAGCAGTTTTCTATAATATCATAGAAAAAGAAAGTCATGCAAACTCGTTCCTTCGTTTTCTTTTTATAGATGACATTCAAACATTAACGCTACTATTTTAGCTGACCTTAATAGATTTTAATCAATCTGAGTTATTGATACCTTAAATCCTTGAGTGACTATTTTTTATGGCAAAGAGCACGTTATCTTACTTGCATGAATTCAACACAAAAACGCTTGCTAACCTGACATCGCTTGACTTGTATTAGTTTATTTTGAGCAATACAAAAAATTCTCCTCACCTACAAATACCACACAATTTACTACGGCTTACAAGCATACAGAATTGTTTTATTAGTTCTGACACGACTGCCCTGGGTTAAACTTGCACATAGCCAAAAACTCGAAATATTGCACACTCACAAAATTACGATAGATAAATTTTGAAGATTCTCCTGGCAGTACCTTTTTCTTCTATCTACTTGATGAAACAAATAGACTTAACTCGTGATTAACTGTAATTCTATTATTATAATTGTAATTAGAACAATGATTATCCGAAGAAAAGCTGTTACCACAATCTCCGTGGGATTAAAATGCGAAACATGATGAAACTTCTTTTCTGGAATTCGATTATCACGGTCACTGATGGTCTGTGGAACTTCTCTGTTACAGTCTGTATTATGATGCAGTAAGTCTCTAGAAACCACCACAGACCGTTACAGAGAGTTCAGATACCATCACAGACCGTTACAGAGAAATTTAATAATTAATAATTAATTAGTCAATTAACCAATTAACTGATTAATTAATTTCTCTGTAACGATCTGTGGGGGGGGGGTCCAAAGTTCTACCCTATATACTTCAACACTCCTTTCAAATCGTGTTTCACAAAATTTTTATTAGTGCTGATAATTTTTAAAATGCACTTGAATATTTAAAATACAGATAAGTATTGTTTTTCGGCGTTTGAAAATAGGTTTATTATATCATATTTTCTCGAAATCCTACATTCATCATTGATGTTTTTCGACATCATCAAATTATGTCTGTCAGAAAAAAAAACTTGTGGCGAACTAACACTAATGACAGCAATCAAAACTTCTTCGCGAGATATGAGACAACATAAAAGATCTAGACAATACCTCATCCGAGCGTACATCGCCATGTCCTGATAAATCCCGAGGGGGACGTCCATTGCAAATAATTTTTTCGCTGGAATCCTGACAGCGCTGCGATGTATGCACCCGAGTGATGTTTTCTCTATTAGTGTTATATCGCTTTATCTAGAAAGCGAAGAACAATTTTAATAGTAAAGTATCGAAAAACAATATTCATCTGCCTATGATAAATATCTCATGGCATGAAATATGACAAACGTCGACTTGTAGCATGATGTATTCTATGGTAGCATTTGTTTTTTGTTTCATTACAAAATTAATCTTTTTTTCCAGACGAGGGAACGTTCCCAAGCGATTCGCACCATTTCGGTTCATCTTTTGCCGGTTGCAGGACTTATCATATATATGACATATGTGAAAGGGTTCGTGCCATTGCTGCTCGGTTTCAAAGTTATGAGCGAAACAACTGCTTTGATAGATGGTACTACTATCTATTCATTAATGTTTCGTTCTTTCGACCAGGTAGTTCAAACATACTTCTCGAAAGTTTTTTCGTTCGAGCAAGTTGAGGCATGTTCGTATTATAAATATCTATGGAGACAATCATCCCCTAGTTGAGATATGAAAAGAAGAAAAAAATAGCACATAGAAGGTGGCATCATCTATTGTAACACATTTTCCGCTCATAACTTTGAAAGCCTGGCCATTGATTACTCTTCCAGGTATCTATGCAGTCGATCTAATAAAAGTCATTCGCGTGATATTCTAGTAAATCTCATGAAAAACTATAGGCTATCTAATCAATGTATAATGAGAGGGAAAGAGAGAAAGAGTGACAGTAGAATTATTTTCAAGTGTCTCGGTTTATTTTTAGTGAGTGTTATATCATTAATTATTTAGTTATTTTCTATAATAGTTGATGATGTAAAGTCGTGGATTCATGTTTTTGTAAATGATGCTCGTCTTTCGCGTAACGATGCTTGCTTTTTTCGATCTAAAGAAAAAATATTTTTCTCAGACAACGCACAAACTATTAATAAGAAAACGCTTACTAACCTCGTTCAAGCCAAGATTTTGAAGGTCTCAATGGTACCTATATAGGTAATAATGAGACAGAAAGAAGAATACAGACTCTATTAGATTCTCTACTTACATCATAGCCTGCTCTTCTCAAAACTACAGCAACTGGACATACCTGAATATATATAAATAGATAAAAAAAATGTTACTTCAATGTTTTCAGCCTCCATAATACCCAATCATCGTCACTTGTACTCTGCGTTTTATCAATTATGGTTTGAGCTATATTTTCATTGGTATGTTGATTGTCTGTTGTCATTTTGGATAGAATTCCGAAATCGTCACACATTAATTTAGACATGTCATTTAATGTATTTTTTTGTTCAACTTCAATTGTTGGTTTTAAAAATTTTTCCATAAAAACACTAGTAGATATTGGAAAGTTTTCATTGTCTGCTAACGTTCGTTGACGAAATCGTTTTGTCGCTGCCATATCGTAAATCGATAGAGTATGACTCGAAATTATTTATAAATTTATTTAATCAGCAGAACATGAATGATAATATGACAACTATTATTAACAAAAAAAAAAGACGAATGCGATGAATATTCAGTTGCTATGTAATTGCTAAGGTCTGATATTTAAATTAACATAAAATAAATTAGAAAATAAAATTTATCGATCCGAATAGTTTCATAAAGATAAATGAACGTCGATTATCGATTGCAATCGCTTCTTTTCGGAGTGTAAGACTATTTTAATTCAAGATAATTTTCCTATTTGATTTATCCTATACCTCGTATTCAAGAATGAAAAGAGTATATACTTGCACCCTCTGTTCGCCACGAACAATCATTCTTATCGGTAATTTGTTGTTTGGTCTGTCCATTCAGTATTCATAAAAATCATACTACAATAAATGGCTAGCAAGAAATCGTTTGTTAGTACAGCTCTAAGATATGCATATTTACATGGATTTACTAGTTCACCATTTTCAGCTAAAGGTGTTCAGTTGAGTCAATGGTTTCGAAATGATTTGAATATAACACTTGATTTACCTGATTTGGTAATACCTTCTTTTCGGAAGCAATGTCTAAGTAATATGGTGGATCATATCGAAAAGAAAATTATTAGTAAGACGTCTGCATGTCCCTCAAGTTTGTAACTTTTTGTATATTACAGAGTCAAATTCAACTTGGATATTTATCGGCAGTTCGTTTGGTGGTCTTGTTTCTACACTTGTAACTCAACGACAGCCGAAACTAATTCATTCGTTAGTTCTACTTGCACCTGCATTAAATCCACTGGAACTATGGACATCAAAAATCAATGTAGAACAATGGAAAAAGGATGGATTCATGAATTTTTTCAATCAAAATACACAACGTGATGAATCCATTGATTATGAATTTTTACTTGATCTTCAAACGTATTCATCGTATCCAGTTGTAACAACTTGTCCTATTACAATTATTCATGGTATACATGATGATGTTGTGCCTATTCAAACGAGTCGTGAATATATGAAAAAAATTCGTTTATTAAATAAACATTCAATATCTTTGATCGAAGTCGATGATGATCATTATTTACGAAAAGATGAAACTCTAAATACAATTAAAAAAGTTATTTGTGATTTTCCTTAATTCTGATTGGTTTACATGGCGAATAAATAAAACTTTTGCCGACAATGTATATTGTTCTAATGATTTTTTCTTACTGAAGTAAGATGTAAAATATGAACACCGTTTTACTCATCTAATTGTAAACTTCTGTCTTCGTCTTTGCTCGTGACGATTAATCCAAAAAGTAGAATAATACGTATTAATGGGTGGTTGATTTTTTCTTTCCCTCTATGACGAACGAAATCCGCCAGGGGTTTCATACTATTGTTCATGGCCAAAAGAGTTCAGAGCTGTCAGGCAAGTCGTGCCGAGTTTTTACTGAATGAACCTTCTCAATCGAACTTTTTTAATAACTCTCCCTGCCTTTGTTTTCCGGATGGGCATAACAATTTTGTAGATTCAAAAACATTTTTTGTGGAATAAATTTCTGAAAGCGTATTTTAATGTTCAATTAAAGGAAAAAATTGATATTGTCTCGTTTAATCAAGAGCACTCGTTATGCATTCAAACATCAAATAATTGCTTTCGGAAATCAAAAAAAGAAAAAGAAATTCCCATGAATATATATATCGACCTTTTGTTGCGATGATTGTTCGACAATCTCGCTTCTTTTCTCTCCTACAATTATTAGTATAGAGTTCAAGTGCTTCTATTTCTCGGACATAAAATGATTAATCAAATATTTGTGTTTACGAATATTTCGAAATTTCAAGCAGCATCATCATAAGATATCATCAACCAGATGTTTCACAAGAATATGAATCATTTATTATAAAAAATTAATCATAAATTTTATCTTGTCGTGTGATATTCTTGTTTCCCTATGCTTTTAATAGCATTTGCTGTCATAGAAAATACTAAGTGAAATTTTCTGCTGTAGTTATCGTAAATAAAATTGCGTTTCATTTAACTAATTAAACAGGTAAAATGCGTGGAATAGCTGATGTTGGAGATTTTGTCGGATCGCGAAAGCCAAATAAACTATTAGTAAATGATGCTATTTTAGCATTAAATGCTGCTTGATTGTGACTATAAATATTGAGATAAATACCGACAACAACAATTAAGCCAGACCAAAGGTAACTAACGAACAGGAAAATGATTCGAATGATAAAGAAAGAAATTTTTACGTACTCCAGAACAAAGGGCTTTGAAAAGAGTGCAAAAGATAGTATGATCGTTATTGCTTTGCGACATGTTGTAACAGTAACACAAAGCAGCGCACCATATTCTTTTATTAAAGTTAACACAATATCGATACCCAAATAACCAAAAACGGAAAAACACAAACCATAACCATACGTTGTGATAGGATGCTAAAGGAGAACAAAAGAGTATCATAACGATGATGTTATGTTAAACAAAAGTCTAAAGAAAAACTATTTAGCCGAAGTCGTTAGAATAGGCACAGGGAAGATGAAGATTTTCTTCTTGTCTACACTTCCACGCAATATTTTAGTTTTCTCTGTCTAGTGTTTTACACGAAGTCACAATGAATTTGTTCCGTTATTCACTTATTTTGTTGATAACATAAATTAATCAATTACTTTACGTGAGTCACAATGCTCTTCTTCTCGGCTGTGTTCTTTGCACTGGAATGACTACATCAGAAATATTTAATAATATTGAATATAAGTGATCATCAACGACAGGAAGGTGACAATCTCTGTTTGCAATCTTTAATTTGAAGTGAATTTAACAGAAACATTCATCGACGATGTTTATATTTTCTGAATGACAAGCAATCGTATTGAATGTGAAAGATGAACTGAAAATGTTTTTTAGCTTTTGAATCCTTTAACTATGGTCAAGCATGCGAATACAAGTATATTTTAATCCCTAGAAACTCAGCTGCGTCGACCCTTTTACGTTCACAATAGACCCTCGAATCATGTTAGAGAAAATTTTCAACGATTTTTCAAAATTACTCTTTGAAAAATAGTATTCATTTGCATGCGAGTCAGTGTTGCCGACTGAAGCTTGTTCTTCGCCTAGATGAAAGACTTAAAATCAAGATCTCATTGTCAACATATATAATTATACACTCCTCATTATTAATAATAATGGATAATTATGCATCAAAAGAAAACATCAAACCTGATTCCAAAAAGTGATACTTGAAAATAACCTATTTGTTACCAAGAGACCAACTAAAATAAGAAAAAAACCAAACATAAAGCTATAAAATACCTAAAACAATTATAATTATAATAGAATTTTTCTTTCTGTCATAAATCTTTTTAAATTACTATTTCAACATTTGAAACATGATTTGCTTTCATAATTTTTTCTTGATAATTGCCAATTATAGCGTCAGCAACAAGAGCCGAACATATAACAATGACACCTGAAGAAAAACAATATCGATAAAATCAAAGTTTGTTGTTCCTTCATATGTTTGATGTTTAATATACCGTATGTATTAAAGTTCGGTCGTACTTTTGAATCAGCTAATGTAAAAAATATTAATCCAATGGACATGCAAAAAGCAGCAGCAACATCATAACGATTAAACGTTTTTTCTTAACATACAGAAACAAATACGCGTAGTTGATTACATTTTAAACTTAATGAATCGTTTTACTTTGTATAATAATACCGCCGATAAGTACGGGAATCAATTTGCAACATTTAAACATCACTTGCGTACTGAATAAATATTTTTCTCAAACACTATTGCATAGTGAAAATATTTTCTTACGGATAATTCAAATAACCAACTGAATGATTTGATAAACCCATAGTGGCTACAGTGAGTGCAGCCAGGATAAAATAAGATCGATAGCTTGCTCTAAAAATTCAAAATAGTTTTCCAAGAAAAAAATCAAACAATTAAATACCTTCGTTGGTTTAATCCAGAAAATCCAATCTGTAAGAATGCAAGAACGCCATAAATAAAAAATTGATAACATGATAAAAACCAAGAAGTGTGTTCAAAACCGTCCAATGTAAATAGAAGCTCCTTAATAAAAATTTCTATGCAAGTTTTTTATCTTATGTTCGTAAATTATAACGAACTTGCAAATAACCATAGCCTAAATAATAGAAAAAAACTTGCGCCGACAAACCAAGAAAACGCATAGGATGTTGCGGTGGTAGTGCTGAATATAGATGCAAAATTGGTATATTTGGCAAAAAATTAAATTTTCTCTGACGTTCATTAGGCAACATAGTATCAAATTCAGTGTGATAGGCTGTTGCTGTAAGTTCTTCAGATGATTCTGATAGCAATGGTTCTGAATCTAAACACAAGGATAACCCAGTGAAAAATATTCGCTGATTTGAATCAAATTATTGTGCAACAAAATCCAATCCGCAATCGGATTGATAATTTTGATTCTAATCGACTACCATTTAACCCAAACTGGATGTTATTGTTAGCCCCGTGGAAATTAGTTTGATTAAAATCTCATTGTTCTGCAGCACAATTCAAATTATCAATCGATTGACAATGTGGATTTTACTGGAAAAGAATCCGATTTCAATCAAACTAATTTCCACCGGGCTAACAATAACATCCAGTTTGGGTTACATGGCAGTCAATTAAAATCAAAATGATCAATCCGATTACGGATTGGATTTTGTTGCACAATAATTTGATTCAAGTCAGCGAGTATTTTTCACTAGAATAAACATGAATGGATATTTTTTTTCGAGTATTATTACGCAAATGCAGTCACCTTGATGATTTATTTTATTTACGGCCATTAAACACAAACCATTTGTTGAAATTTTCTTTATGTTCTTTTCTAATCTACAAGAATCGTTGATTTTTTTATGCAAATCAGTCAGACAATGTCAGTAAAAGAAACATCGTCAATGCCTTCTCAATAACGTCACCTTTTTTTATTCGACAATAATTTAACATTTTCTTTTTCTTTTGCTCTTACACATTGAACCGCAGAGAATAAGGAACAAAAAGAATGATTGTATGTACAAGTAATACATGTAGAACAAGCGAGAAACACTAGAAACAAAAAAAAATGAAAAAGAAAAAAAAAAGCACATGCGTATATGCAACGAATATATAATAAATATATGTATCAGCTCTTAGGCTCAGATCCGATAGAAATGCTTAAAAAAATACAGACATACGACAGAAAATAGACGGAAAGGAACGAGCGAATTTTTTTTAAATAATTTTTTCGTTTGGCAGAAGCTATACAAAACACTTAAGTTACAACACCAAGTAAAGAAAACAACGAAACTAACTTAAAGGATAGTTGAAATGCACTTTCGTATGTACACAAATAAACGGGTGTAAAAAAGAACAGTCAATAGAAAACAGATATAAGGATAAATAAGTATGAAGAAGAAGATGAAACAAGGACAAGTGGAATGACACCATAAAGATTATTCTTTTTTTTGTAAATTTTTCTGTACTGTAATACTGAGAAGATACGAGATTTAAACAAAGAAAAGCTTTTCTGCTACTAATGATTTGAACGCGACGGCTGATGAAGAATAATTTTCGGTGTGCGAGCATAATTGAAACGTTGCCGTTCGATAACTTTATTTGATGGTTGTTTTGTTTCATCAATGTTGTTCGCTAAAATTAATTTTGATGATGCTTTCACTGATCGTTGTCTTCGACGTTGTTGCTGATGTGTACGATGTAAATGACGTTGATGAGCCATAAGTGAAGATGTTGATGATTCAAGTGGTGATATTGACGAATTTCTTGAATGACTGAATGATGCATTTACATTTCGATCATGAATCGAAGTTAAGTTCGGATGTTGAGATGCATACTAAAAAGCAGTTATTTTTGATCAAAAAACTTTCATACTGAAATAAATAGGTGATCTTACTTGAAGAACAACAGATGATCGATCATCGTCATCATCATCATCGTCATCTTCAACTTGTTCATCAAGCAAATTATCTTGAACAACTTTTCTATGTCGTTTATAACGTGTTCGTGAAGCGATTTGTTCATAAACACTCATACCTACACGATGAAAACAAATTGTAGATATCAATTTTGTTGATATATTTTCGCTTACTCGCATGTTCGATAAGTAAATTCTCAATTGGATTGAAATGATGTGTTGTAGTTGGCGACGATGCTCTATTGATTAGAGATGATTCACCAGTTCTCATTAACGGTGGTGATGCTACCCAACTATTTGTCATAATATTATTATTATTATTATCATTAGCTGTTGGTGCTACCGTTGATACTGAAATAAATGATGTTAGAACATTCAAGTCTTTTGATAAAACGAACTAACCTTTATCTGAAACAAGAACCCAGCCATCTTCATCAATTGATAAATCAGATGAATTGATAGATGATAATCGAGTTTTATTATTTGTAGATGTTGGTGATTTAGACCAAAATGATGTGAGTACGTTATACATTTTATGACCTTGATTGAAAACAAAAAATAATAAAAACAAAATGAATTTAGAAGAGAAAAAAAAGCACTAACAAGTTATAGACAAATTGATGTTGTTGACGATGTGAGAAAATCAATCATGGTTGTGGTTTGGTTCTCTAGCTGAGATACATATGATACGTTATCTGTATGTTATATACTACTGAAAATGAGAAGAAAATATTTTTTTCGCTAGCGTTCTTTTTTTTTCTTCTTTTTTAGTGACGATCGTTGGCACAGGGCACGAGAAAGATATGTCAAATAAGCAAGCAAGAAAAAGACGAGATTGTCGATCAAATAATTACGCATAGAAGGGAGCTAGAGGAAAGAAAAAATTGCCAGACACGCTCCCATCATCCCTCCCATACGCTGCTTGCGTGAGCCTAGATCGTATCACATGGTTAATTGACCTATGTATGTTCGTTAACATTTAACCAATAATAAAAAATATTTTCTCTTCTATATACTACAAGTTTTTTTTTATGTACTTGAATATTGGCGCATACATGAAATTAAATGCATATTAAAAAATGACTAAGCTATCATAGATAATGTCAAATCTAACGACATCTATTGAGAAAGCTGTTTTTCGTTGGGTTTATTTTGAGATTCTTTAATTATGAAAAACATAAAACATAAACAATCATTTTGAACGATTAAATGGTTTTCTTTGATTAAAATTTTATAAACTAATTAATATTGGCTTTTGTAAATATCCAATCGGATGTGCAACGATTCTTTTCTTCTGTTTAAAAAGTTAAAATCGAGATGAACATGGATCCAGCCCAAATTTTACTCACTCAAAATCGTGCATTTCCATCATTAGAATATGTCCTTCAAGGTTCCATTCAAGATGATTCTGTTCATTTGCTAAAAGCTCGTTTACAAGGATTATGCGATAATATCACCGGTTAGGTTCTCTCTCTCTCCCTTGTTCTCAGAATACTAGAAAGTTTTACTTATTATTTAGGTGAAGTAGAGCAATTCGATGATCATGAAATAGTCTATACTCTTCGAATACCTGGCGCATCAAATGTATCATTACGTGTTCGCTATGCAATCGATGATATACCTAATCCGATCTATCATTTACGATATGTTGCATCGGCTGAATTAGATAAAAGTCAAAGTGTTAGCGTACGACAATTTCACGATTGTTGTGTAACAAAAAATATTCAAGCATTCTTACAAGATCTTGGCTTTGCTTATGATCATGAGTTTTTTGCCAAAGGTGATATTTTTCGAAAAGGAAGAATGAAAATAACTGTGGCTAAAATTTCAACAGTAAATATCATGAATTATTTTATTGATATGAGACTTTGACTCCTTCATGAGTTAGTGAAAGAGATTACCGAGATATCGATACACAATAAAAGTTCTATGCTAGGGTTAACATAGACTATGTTAAATTTTAAATTGCTAAGTGCCAGAAGTATCTGTTTCCTGAATTAGGATCTACTGTGGAACAGGAAAATCTCACGAAACAACGCTTTTCTATATTCTGTTTGTCGACGGGATCTACGCTGTGATCGATTTACTTTTGTCCTATATCGACATATGTTATTGCTTATATTTGTGTGGCAAAGAAGACGTAAACAATTTATGATAAATTGCAATATTGAGTAATTAGTCTATTATTTTGTTGCGGTTAGACACATTTTTGTTACAGTCAGCTGAATGATTATAAATAAATCGAGATATGAATCGTTCGAACAGGATAAAATCTATGAGTTAAGCTGATGAAGATATTGGTCTAATTATAATTTTGAAAACCACAATGAACTAAATGTAAACCTAATAGAAAATTCGTGTAAATGTTTACATGTAGTTATGTGCATATTTTCAACTTTTTTTCTTTATGATTAGTTAGCCGAACGAAATCGTTCCGATATGAATCCAATGGCAATGCGTCGACCCTTTACAAATTCATGTTTTGTTGAAATGTCACTCATTGGTTCAATGCATGATGTAAACATTTTTTTTAAACTTTTTCTTTTTTGTAATCTTACTCATTTTTCTTAGGATAAAGTTGGCGATGAAATGAAATCTTTTTCTGAACAACTCAAGCCGTAAGTTCACTTATATTTATAATAAAAAAACAAAAGTTTTCTTTCTATTTCTAGATTAATTTCTCTTGACAAAATTGATCAAAAACGATAATTTTATTTATAAATTTTTTTTTCTTACTATCTGAAATATGTATAGAATTTGCAAAAAACAAAGATTATATATTCTAGATAATATATATTTACATAATAGTACGATGTTAATTTTCTTTCAATCTAGAAGCTAAGAAAATTAACATATCACTTGTAGCTACACAATAAATCAAAAAATAATGAAATCCAATAAGAATCCTGTTTTCTATTATTTTAGATTTTCATCATGAGTAATACTGATTCATTTGCCATTGGTAAGTAATTCGAAAATTAAGCGATTGAAACAAAATTTTTACATGTCTAGACAGGATCCTAAAAATTGATGTTCATATCTTTCGTTTTTTCAGTACATTTTCCTCAAAATCCAAAAGTATCAGCTGAAGATTTAGTTGATATTCAATTTAATGCAACCAACACAAGCATAAAAACAGCTGATATAACCTATGAGGGACAAGCAACAAAATCATCGGAATTATGTGGTATTCTTGGTTTTGTTGATGATCAAGGTCATATACATCTTTCATCGAATTTCGCTCTATATTCAATGCGTCCAAAACTAACGGATTTCAATACGGAAACAAAATCAACTCCAACCACTGAAGATACTAAACTCAATGTAAGAAAAGATTTAATGCTGTTTTTGTTATATGCGAAACAAAATTTTTCTTTTCATTTTTAGAGAACTGATCTTGATGAAAAATTTGGTACAGAGAAAAAACGTCGTTCTGTACATTCAAAAAAACGTAATACAATCGAAGTTAATGTTCTTGCAACTGCTGTATCAGCTGCACGTGAACAAGTACTGAATACAACTACAAATGAACACTTAAATGAAAGTTTACTCAACAATAGTATGGTTTCATTTAACGATGACGATCAACTGACGCTACCAGCACCTAATTATGATGCAAAAAAACCAGAAGAAGTTTTCGTTCTTGATGATAGTACGTATCGAACGCATAACTTTAATTCTGTCTACTACTCTTTGTAATATTCGCTGACGTATATTACGCTACAGGGAAAAAAAGGAACTAGTTTCTTATGCAAGCGATGATACGGGTCAAAATAGATCAAACATTTATCTGAAGTATTTTAACGAATTGCTTTTTTCTCTTAGTTCTCAATGAAAATGATATGCTACTATTAAATGATAAATGTAGTCAAATTGTCGATGGAACTAAAGAAGATATACAAAAATGGGCAAAAGAAGGTACTTATGCATCGTTTGTATGTGATCAAATGAAAAAATTACCTGTTGATCATGCTGAACGTATTAAATCTGCGTCGAAAATCCTTTATTTACATTATCTTATTGCTTTTTTTAAACGTTCAATGTTTAAACGACTATCTGGAAGTAAGTTTTAATTCACAAACAGAAACAATCAAAATTTTCATTGACTTATATCCATCTAGAACCATTTCCTGATGATGCTCCTCGTGCTTTGCAAGACAAAGCATTACAAGTTTATGCTATTGCTAATATTAATGAACGAACACGAAAAGAAGTCAAGTAAGATAGTATCAAATTTGGCTATTTGATAGAAAGTTTAAGGCCTGTCGAACTGTCCTTTTAGCACCAGACATAATTAGTACTGATTTTATCGGGTCGAAATATTTTTCCATCACTCTATCTGAGTGTTTCGTTCGAAGGAGACTCATTCGATCTTCATTTCACCGCCCTAAAAGAGGAAATCTTGTTTGTATTTTAGTACTGTACCACCTCGTCTTCGATTAAAATTAACCGCACATATATGCATTCTATCTTTATATATCTGTCGATTTACAGTAGATGTTGATAGTCTACGTTTATCACTGGGTAGTTCAATATCAATATCAAAGTAAGAAAAACGACGATATTTCCGTTCTATCGAAATTCTTTCTTTTCTAAATTTAGATTACAAGACATATTCAGTGAACTTGGTTGCAAAATAATAAAAGTAGCACATACTAATGTTGCCACGCTTGAGACACCAATAAATAAACCGAAATTAAAAGATGGAATGTCACTTGGATCGAATAGAAAACGAAAAAGAACCAATTGAATTGTTATAATTTGTCTGTTTTTTTTTCTTGGTTTTAGATTTTCTATTTTTTTTTATTATTATAAATACATTATGGTTAATGCCGGTTTAATTGAAATTATTCTTCGTGAACAAGACGATCCTGGGTAAGTAATCCATGCATTTGTTTTCTTTACGTGATAATATATAATCTAAATCATTTTCTTTTTTTCTTAAAGTTGTTCAACGACACGACAGATTCGAGATATTTATAATAATCGTTCGGGTGAAGATCCAATTCTTCAAAATTCTGATCTCGATAAAGAATTTCAATCATTTCTATTAAAAGCACTTCAAGTAAACAAAGAAAATTTCTATGAAAGATTATTTTCAAATTTGATTCTTTAGGCATTTCCTAGGCCTGTTGACGATGACGACGATGAAGAAGATAAACCTATATCATATACAGTAAAATTAAAAGATAGTGATGACAACAGTACACCATCGATGAAGAAGCAAAAGAACAAAGTGAAAGCGATGAAGAATCAAGTGATGAGGATAAGCCTTCAACAGCATCATCAATAACAATCACAAAACCATTTTCACCACTTTTTTTGAATAATATGAAAAAATTCGGCGTCTCAACTGATTGGCTTGCTAAACGATCGAATATAGTACGTCAATCAGCATATTCACTTTCATCAGTTAAATCGAACACAAGTAAACTTGATGCAATGATTAAAAGCGCTTCAGCTAAACCAATACGATCAAATCGGAAATTATCTTTTATTGAAAATACAAATACGGCACCGACAAGGTTAGAATTCGATAAAGAAAATGCAGATCCATCAACAGAAACAAATGATACAAAAGAAGAATCAAATGAAGTAACGAAACCAAAAGAAGCGCCTACACCTTGTAAGCACACATGGCATTCTTTTTTTAGTCTAACTATAGAATCTGGTACATCCATCGAATGTCTATATAGGTCGAGTTAACTCAGACGTAGTCGCACTCACTTTTCACGTAAAAACTTTTCTGTGCGAGATACACAGAGAAGTCAGTCTCGAATATTTGGGGAATTGTAAGCGGTTTACTAAACGAATATAATACAGCCGATCTAAGTAGATGCCCTTCTTATGCTAACGTATGAGAGTTACTCAAGTGATATATCGCTTATAGGCGAACACAATGTCATTTCCCGAAGTTTCATCATCCTGCTGTGCACTTAGTACACCGCTTTTATACTAATAAAGTGTCTTTCGAAAAGCACATATCAACCGATTAATTGTATAATATTATTTCAGGTTAGTAGCCAACTGAAAGTCCTACGACTTACACAATATAATACGCTACCTAAGCGTTACCTCTTTGCCGAATACTACGCTTTTGCAACAAGTAAGCAAAGTTATTCACAGCGAATAGAGATGCTTGCAAAAACCATCGAATAAGAATGATGAGGCATAGCCATGGCACTATCTTTAAACCGCTTGATAAATATTTTGATCTCAATCCAATTTTCTATTTCTAGATGATCTCAGTAGTGATAGTAACGATGAAAAAGAAGAAGAAAAAGAAAAAATTGATTCTTCTCCAACATCAAAAGCATTTTCTCTTCGTATTCCACGTGTTGATTTTTCCGATAAAGAAAAGCAACGGTCATCAAAACGTTCAAAATCATTATCATCTGACGACGAACCTAAACAAGAAAAAAAGAAACCATCCAAGAAGCTCTCAAGTTCAAAATCATTACATGAAAAACGTAAAAAAGAAAAAAAACAGTCATCAAAATCGTCAAAACCATTACCATCCGATGATGAACCAAAAGAAGATAAAAATCAATCATCCAAACGTTCAATTTCATTATCATCCGACGAAGAACCTATACAGGAAAAATCTAATCCAAAACGAAAGAGACAAAGCAAAAAAGAAACTACAAGAAAATCATCAAAAAAACCAAGTGAAGATGAACCAACAAAAGAAGCTCCAAAGAAATCATCAACAAAATCAAACAAAGGTGAAACAGTCAAAGAAATTTCGAAGAAATCATCGAAAAAAATAAAGAAACATGAAAAAACTCGAGATATATTATCATCCGATGAAGATGAATCAATAGGAGAAGCTTCAAAAAAATCATCGAAGAAATCCAATAAAGATGTAGGATCTCCAGAAATAGTATCATCCAATGAAGATGAACATGAATCAATAGAAGAAATTCCAAAGAGGTCATCAACAAAATCAAATAAACATGAAGGATCTCCAGAAATATTATCATCCGGTGAAGATGAAGATGAACCTATGGAAGAAGTTTCAATGGAATCATCAAAAAAATCAAATAAAGAAGAAACTCCAAAGAAGTCATCGAAGAAAGATGTAGGATCACCAGAAATATTATCATCCGATGAAGATGAAGTTGAACTAATTGAAGAAGTTACAAAGAAGTCATCAACGAAACCAAAAAAAGCTGAAAAAATCAAAGAAACTCCTAAAAAGTTGTCGAAGAAATCAAAACAAGATGAACAGGCAGAAGAAGCTTCTGAAGATTTATCATCCAATGAAGTTGAAGATAAGCCAACGAAACAAATCAAAAAGAAACCATCAAAAAAACCCAAAAAAACCCCCAAGAAATTCGACAAAGATGAACCGGCAGAAGACGCCTCAGAAAAATTATCATCTAATGAAGATGAAGACGAACCCACAAAAGAAATTCCAAAGAAATCATCCACGAAATCGAATAAAGATGAAGGAACTCCAGAAATATTATCATCCGAAGAAGATGAAGACGAATCTGCAAAAGAAGTTCAACAGAAGCCATCAGAAAAAGTTGAAAAACCTCGAAAAAACTCATCGAAAAAAACCAATAAAGATGAAGATGAACCTGCCAAAAAAGTTTCAAAGAAGTCATCAGCAAAACCTAATAAAGAAACTCCAGTAAAATCATCATCATCTGATGCAGATGAACCAACAAAAACCATTGATGATCATACAATGGAATTTTCACCCAAACAAGATAAAGAAAAACAAACATCAGCTGATACAAAAAAGTCGGTGCAAAGCAAAAGTAAAGATGATTTAGCACAAACGCGTATTGAACATTTTAAAAAGTTACTTCGAATCTCTGGTATTCGACTTATCATCAAAAGAACTGAATTAGATCAATTCAAATCAAATAAAGCAAAAATCGATTATCTAAAATCACTTTTTGATAAAGGTGGTTTTACTGGTGAGATATTTGAACTTGTTATTTTCGTTGTTTTCTTAATTCATCGACCTTATTTTATTTAGGCAGTTTAACAATTAAAGAATGTGAAAAGTTCCGTAAGAAACGTGACACGGAAAAAGAGTTACTTGAAATTCAAGCGACTTCTGTTACTGTTAAAGGACATGTCAAAGGTGGTCGAACACTACGAGGACAAGGCCGCGATACTGAAGAAGTCAATGTGAGCGTTAAACGAAAACGCACAGCAAGTAGTGAAATTGAAGAAGATGAAGAAAAAAGTGATGCTGATTCATCTGATCATGAAAGAAAAAATGTTAAAAAACGGCGAATGATGAAAATGGAAGCATCACCTGAAATTAGTGAAGATGAATAATTGAAACATTTTTTAAAACTGAATCACATATCAAAGACGTAAGCATCATTCATCATGAATGTGTGCCATTCTTTATCATATAAAGACTTAATGAATCTCTTTATTTTTTTTTGCTATGTATATGTGCATTCCTTATGCGTATATTGAGATCTATTTTTTTTGTTTATTTTTGTTGTGCTATGTATATGATTTATTGATTAGAGAAAGAAAATTAAAATTAACTTCAGAAAAAAGCGTCCAGAATGAAATATATTTTTTTTCATTTGAATTGATAATCTCATCAGTGAATGGCAAGAAGGAAGAAATATCAGCTTAAGTACCTAAATCAGTAGAATCATAAACGCATTAATATCTGTAATCTGTTAGCTTTACTTCAGAAAATAAAGTCAAATGCGGATTTTCTTACCAGTAGATTATCGATTATTAAAAAACGAAAAATGCATAAAGGCAGTTGTGGAAAAAATGTATTTGAATAAAATTATTTTTTTATATTATTTACTTCATTGAAACTATTTGTAAGTTATCTACTTGTTACTTCTTTTTTATTAGCTAATCTGTTGTTTTTTTTCTTTCTTGAAGATTGTCTAGCGGACGCGAATTAAAAATCTAGTCTTCAATGTTAAGAGAGATTTCGTTGCATTCAATCTACAATTAAATTGGTTTCAAACCACATGCAATACACATATTATCATAGATAAGAAAAGCCATGATTGAATGTGGTCCAAGACGCATCCAATTCGGTAAAAACCCTTTGTAGAGACCATAGAAGCCTTCAGCTTTAAATGATTGGAGAAAACAGTCCAGTACACTTGAGTATTTGCCTAAGTGAGCAGGTGTATTTTGATATCGAGTTTTAATAACATCGACTGGTGATGTTGTTATGGAACAAATAAGACCAGCAAAAAACGAAGCTACTGTATGCAGTGGTATACCTTCTTGCATGTAACCATTGCCAATAAGAAATCTTTTAATTTGATCATAGGACGCAACTTGACTACCAGTGAGGACAGCAGCACGAATCATTGTTGGTGCCCAACCTTTGTAGAGACCTGCTAAACCTTCGGTTTTGCCTACATCAATAAGACCATGCATTAAACCACGATACCGTCGTTCACCTTTGACTTGTAGACGAATTTTAACAACATCAAGTGGCGTTGCAAAAAAACTCGATATAGCACCTGCACACATACCAGCTATAATCTTTTCGTGAAGATGATTACCACCGCCGATTAAATTTTTGAATGGTTCATAAAGATACTAGAAAAATAACAGAAAAAAATTTATCATTGAATCAGAAATTGCCTTCTAGCTGATATTCATTTAAAAAAAAAAAGTTAATACTTACAATACGCATACCAGAATAAGTAGCATCTCGGAGTGTTCCAGGAACAGCACCACGCATCAGGCCAGCAAAACCTTCTTCGCGTACAATACGAACTGTTCCACGAATAAAACCTTGATAGTAACGATTGGTCATTTGTTGACCAACACTCGCTGTCTTTTGTAGTTCTCCATCTACTTGCATACGTGTTTTAATCACATCGATTGGACTTTAACAATAGATAAAATCAACATAGACGATTATGTTTTAGTTACTTACTTAGTACAAAAACCTGTAAATCCTTGAGAAAAGCTCGCAAAGCAAAATCGAAGAAGTTCATTTGATTTTTCTGTTGGTGGTAATTTCGGTTGCACTGACATGTTGCTTTCGATGATTAAATCATGTACGATTAATACTCAACAAGCACATGTTTGTGTCTTCCTCTACACTATACACCTAGGCTTGTGTAGATGGCGAAGGCCATTCGTTGTTGAAGAAACAGAACGCAAGACAGTTTGCACGAAGAGAAATGGTTGAAAGTTGATGCGGTATACAAAACATGATTTCAACTGACATTAAATGTCATAACTAGCGTACGATATTAGTAAATAAATTGCTCATGTACGTACAAAGATATGGACACATCATCTTTAATAATTTCATTTATATAAAAGTTTTGATAAAAACGTGCGCACAAAATTTTATTTGCCCTAATCGTACTTTTTTATTGTTTGTCCTTGTTAAAAAAAGAAAAGGAAAGGAAATACAAAAGAACGCTGTCTCTAAAACAGAAAAAAAATGCGTTTTTTGATTACGAGATACGACAGTTCACACGTTTATTGGCATCAAACTTCATTTTACTTAAAGATTCACCAATCGCAATACTCTATGATGTTTGCAGTCAAGATAAGAAATGCAACTTTAAGGATAAAAAAAATGAAATTTGAAAAGTTTTCATACTGATTTTTAATATTTAACTCATATGTATGAATGCAAATTTACGATATTTTTTATATCAAATTTTCTCTTGTAGGAGCGAGAAATTAGTTACAGAAAAATCACAAAGAAAAACAGCATTATCAACAGTCATTTGAAAGGTCAATATGATCTTAAGACAATATGTCCATGTCCTTCTAAAGAAACCGAATACAAGTATGGCATTGGATATAAATTGAAGTATAATACCAGATGTTTTTATTACTAAATAACATTGATGTCACAACTTTCAAGGTCCGATGATTAAATATCCTATTGATTTTGATAATACATATTATTTCATCAAATAAGAGAATCAGATCAGAAGCAATTTTTATTATTAATCAGAGTAATCTAATACGTCGATTAAAACGTCATTAAAGTCACATAAACACAGATGTTCTTCGCACTACTAATAAGAACAAGAACAAGAAATACAAAGTTCGAATATTGAGGTAATATGAAAAGATGTTGATTGACAACAACAATAACAGCAGATACAGTGCTTGTATCAGTCAATGGGGGTTGTTTTACGTCATAGATTTATTCAGCATAAGAGTATCAGAAATGTCAAAGCGGATATTGCTGAAATTCCAAAACCGACTCAATCACGTATTAACTAAATAGAATACTGATGATGTTGATTGGTCTACTTATTTTTTATCCTCTATATCTAATCGTATAGTAGACTAAGGAATAGAATAAGATATACCATGTGCAAAATAGGATGAAAACTTAAACTCCGAATATGTTTCTTTGATTTATTCGATAAGTTTTCTATCAAATGTCATATTTGAAAGTATGCCTGGTCGATAACCAATCATAAATCTTTTGGCAAACTTCGACAATTTTCAAAAGTAGTACAGTTCGATCTCCTCATAAGTTATGTCCTTGAGCCAATTTATTCTTGTGTTTACAGTATTTTTTATCTACGATGCGTGTTAATGATTGTCTGGTACTTGAGTTTATTCTTCTTTTTTTACTGCTTTCCACATTATAAGCAGGACGAGAATATTATTTATAATATGTAAATAGTTTATACGATCAGTTTAGTTGTTCACAAATAGGTTCAACCTACAAAATAAGCGAGAAAATGATTTGAGTACAGCTATTTTAAACACCACGAAATAATATCAATGAATGTTGTTCAATTAAATTAAATTTAGATGAGTAGCATGCAAACATACATCAGTTGCACACTCAGATAAGTTATAGAAGCCATTTGTACTGTTGCAATAGAGCGAGTAAAAAATATATCGTAATTGCCGATAATCATGAATATGTATGTACATTGAGCGATATATGATAATATTCTATTAATGAATCAAGTCTTTTGTGCAAGATATCATAATATAAAGATCAAATTTGAAAGTTTTTTCTACATGACAGTAACTAGCGTCACCTATTATGAAGAATGAAAAGAACTAAAATTTTATTATTAATTATTTCGTTTTATTTATTCCAAGGAAAAAGATTCTTTTTCAAAACTAATAGAGGTCTGAAAACAACATGATCAGAAAAATTCGTGGTTCAAAATGGGAATTTCAGTATCGAACATTGATTGGTTCATTCATACCTTTGTGAGGAATCATTTAACATTAGTTAAAACTTAATTTCGCTGTTTTCTATCCAGTGTACAATCTCTTCTGTAACTCTAACTACTTCATTATTCTATGTATTTAAGATAATTCTTTAGACAGACCATCTAAACTAAAATAATGGGTCGACCAGGTAATCTCGCATTGAAAGAAATTTCGTCAGTTTATCTCATATTCTATTAGATTTCCGTGGTGGTCGTGGTGGTGGCGGAGGACGTGGACGAGGTAAATGATATTTGTTTTTCTTAATTAATCAATCTAAATAAATATATATTATTGTTCTACTAGGTGGCGGCGATCGTGGTGGTTTCCGTGGTGGACGAGGTAGGATTTTTTTATTTAAAGTAAAATATTGATTTTATCTATATACTATTTAGGTGGTGACCGAGGTGGCCGTGGTGAGATTTCTGAATAATAATGATTTTGTAATTAGACTTTTCAATTCATAGGTACACGTGGCGGCGGTGTACGTGGTGGTAGCCGTAAGTAGTCTTTTTGGAAATCTTTCTTTTTAAATAAGTTCGTTCGTTTCAGGTGGTCGAGGTGGCCGTGGCGGTGGTGGTGGAAGAGGTAAATTGAAATACTTATCGTTCTATTAACATTATTTACTTTTTATAAAATAAGGTGGAGCCGGAGGAAAAAAAGTCGTTGTTGAACCACATCGTCATCCAGGTTAGTTGATTTCGCTTGTAATCAATCTATCCTACTATTGTTACCTTTCCTAGGAGTATTCATCGCTCGATCAAAAGATGATGATATGTTATTAACTAAAAATATGGTTGTTGGAGAAAGTGTTTATGGTGAAAAACGCATTAGTGTTGATGTAGGTTTATTTCAAAAAAAGAAGATTATAAATTATGAAATATGAATATTTTGTTCTAGGGAGAGAATCAAGAAAAAATTGAATACCGTGTATGGAATCCATTTCGTTCGAAATTAGGTGCTGCCATTCTCAGTGGTGTTGATAACATTCATATGCCGCCCGGTACAAAAGTTCTTTATCTTGGTGCAGCAAGTGGTACAACCGTTTCTCATGTATCTGATATTGTTGGACCAGTATGTAACTCGTATTCTATTCAGTTTCATGATACAACTCTTCTTTGTTTCTTATCAAGGAGGGTCTGGTTTATGCAGTTGAATTTTCACATCGATCTGGTCGTGATTTATTGAATGTAGCAAAAAAACGCACTAATATTATACCAATCATTGAAGATGCACGTCATCCACACAAATATCGAATGCTTATTGGTATGAAAGCAAATCAATTTTTCTTATATTACATACTAAATTCTGTACTTTTGTTTCTATCTTCTATAGGTATGGTTGATACAATATTCGCTGATGTTGCCCAGCCTGATCAAGCCCGTATTGTTGCACTCAATGCACACCACTTTTTAAAAAACGGTGGAAATTTTGTTATTTCAATTAAAGTAGGAAAAAAAGAATGATTCATATTTTTAATATTATTCTATTATTCGTGTAGGCAAGTTGTATTGATTCAACAGCATCACCAGAAGCTGTTTTTGCTGGTGAAGTTAAAAAACTTCAAAGTGAAAAACTTAAACCAAAAGAACAACTTACATTAGAACCCTACGAACGTGATCATGCAATTGTTGTTGGTAACTACCGGTAAGAACTGAAATTTTGCTTATGGTTGATGATGATGATGAGCTTTTGTTTTTTATTTTAGACCCGTCGGTAAAAGTAAAAGTAAAGAAGACAATGACAAAAAAGAATCAATGGAAGATTAATAACATTGGTATTATGTACCCAACAATTTTGTGTCGGCGCTTTATGCCTGTTATTTGTACCGTTTTTGTTGTTATTGTTGTTGATTAAAAATAGCAAACGCTCATTTGAAAACATGCGAAAAAAAATAATAATCTTCTAAAATGAATCCAGATTTGTTAGGAATTTCAAAATCAGAACTTAAGGATACACTTTTGATCTAAACAATGAGTTATTGATAATGTAAGAAGAGGTGTAAATTTCTTTCATGATTGTAATTTTCTCAGGCATATTTTATTGGCATCTGTTACATTCAATCAATAGTTTTTTCAAAGGTGACGACACCAATCGGAGTAATTATTGATATAGCTTTACGGTAGGTTTTGTCTAATTCTATTCATATCCACTGATAAACTGTTATAGAAAATTTTCCGATCCAAAATATTGTTTCATCAATTCTCGTTATGATCTACTTGAAATTTCAACTATTGATTCATTCTGTTGAAAAACAACATGGATCATTTCGACTATGTGAAGGATTTTTTTAATGAAGCTGTCTCTGATTTTTATGTCAATAATTTTTTTTCTCTTCATTATTCAACCCTTTGAATAGGCTTCTTATAGTAATTGTCTCAGCAGTTGATACAAAACAAAGGAATGAGTCTTACACGAAAAATTCCAAAGTCGAAACGAAAACCGACTTTAAAAGTAGGATAATATTTTCTTTCAATGAGCGATTCGTATATCTTTTATATATTCATTGAGGGTAAAACTTTGACAGAAGAACAGCAACTTGGTAAGCACTGAAATCTATTCTATTTTAATAGAATTTATTTAATCGTTTTTTATAGAATATAAACAAGCATATTCGTTATTCGATCGTGACGAAGATGGTTTAATAAATCCAAAAGAATTGAGTTATCTTATTCGCTCATTAGAATGTAATCCAAGTGACAATGAAATTCAAAGTTTAATCGATCGTGTTGTCGATGAAGGTTTGTCTAGAGATATAAAATTTCTATTGGTATGAGAGTTGAATTTTCTTTTTTTTGTGCAGGAAATAGTCTAATTGATTGTAATCAATTTTTAATTATGATGTCTTTACTACATAAGACTCGAGACAAGGACAAAAGACGAGAATTACATGAAATCTTTACTGCTATCGATACAGATAATAATGGTGTTATCGATAGTACAGAATTGCGAACGATTATGCGTTTAATAAATAGTGGAGTTGATGATATAAAATTAACAAAAGAAGAAATTGATGAAATGATTGCAGAAGTCGATAGCGATAAAGATGGACGAATTACATTCAATGGTAATATAATTTCTAAGGGAATAATAATCGATTAAAAGTTGTTTTTTTCCCTCATTTAGAATTTACTCGCATTTTTGAAGGACAAATATAACTCTGATTTTTGCTGCTTATTGATGTAAACTTTTCTTTCTTTTTATTGCTTAGAAATAAATAAATTTAGCTGAATCTGTAGAAAAGTTCTGATGTTTAGTGACACCTATCGACATTATTTTAATTGATCGGTTCGCGAATTTTTCTTAATTTATAACTAATATTTATCTGAATTTAAACAATTTTTTTGCATACAATATTTTATTACTTTGGAAAATATGTTTTTGATAGGTATTGGATCGTCCATGAGAAATTAAACTGATAAGATGTTTCTATTTTTTTAATATTTACGACTTGTTTTTCTCAAAAGAATTTTATTTTTGACATCTGCTTTTCACTTCCGTCTGCATAAACTTCTGACTTCAAAAATATTTGAATTGAATTTTTCGGAAAAAAATAGTACTGTTGTTAATCTGTTTTATATAGTAAAATGTACTTTTCAATGCTATGAAAACATGACGTATCGATTTATTTTGTTCACTACATACATACTTTCTTCTCTATTTGCACTTATTCCTCATAATCTATTTATATCTAGAATCGTATTAAGCAGCGAATCATCTGAGAATGGTATTACAACGTCTAATGTTCGTCGTTCTTTTTTTTTCTCTTGTATTTATTGTCATTTTGACTAATGCTCTTTCCTCTGACTGTAGATCATTATTAGTGCCAGATAGATAGAAAGAACGTCGCCAAACATCAATCGATCGAACCATAAGAAGAAAATAGCAAAATAAGCCAGAATCGTTCTCTTTCCGTTCTCCACTTTACTACGTGCATGCGCATGTCTAATTTCCTGAATGTTCGTCATTGTCAGTCAATAGTGAAAGCATCTCGGTGGTCAATAGTGCCAGCACAACATAGATCGATCACAATACTGACAACTGTAGTAGCGTCAAATCCAATGGGGTAAGTCGAAAAGAAGAAAGAAAAAAATATCTGTTATTTTTTCAAATGAAATCAGTGATCGAACCATACAAAAGAGAAACAGAACACAGAGCAAGCACTTTGCAGCATGACCATATACCTTGAATAAATATTAAAAAAGTTTTTTTCGTTACTATTTATTTGTCTTTTTCTTTCTTTTTTTTTTGAATTCAATTCACTCATAAAAATCAAATATCTAGTTAGCTAAGAATGAAAATTTGATTAATGCCACGAAAATAATAGTATCGCATGAGCTACATATACAACATAAAATTGTTGTTCTTGATGGCTTCATCAGTATGGTATTTGACCTTATCTGCCAAAAAAGTCAGCAATGTTTTTTTCTGCGTTATTGCCGAAAGAAAAACAAAAACATTGCACCACTGGCCGTGAAGTATTCGTATGAATGAAAACGGTTCGATGCATTTGAGAGCTACTTAATCGGCACGAACTTTTACTAGACGAAAAAAAGAACTACGCAAGTGAAGATATATCAATCGAAATCATATAAAATATAATATCCGTTCTAATTTTATCTAATGTTTCTTCCTATGAGTTTTCCCTAATTTTATTTTAGAATTCTATTTAGAAAATATCCGGTTTACTGATTGAATTAGTTCAAGTAAGCGTGAATATTAATGCTTTTATACCGCTTATAAAAAAAGAAATACCCATCTGTTTATGTTTTCCATCGATGTTTATGCACATTACCTTTTCATAAAACTTGTATTGTTTTCAGTCTCGTGAATACATTAACTTTGCCTTTGGTTGATAATTAGATTACTGTTGTTATTATTTAGGATGAATAAAACTGAAGAACCTTCGTTGAACAACGAAGCAAACCAGTCTGCAGATGGAGCAACCCGTTCTATCACTGATCGTTTACCCATGGGACCCATAGTCGCTGCAGGTCGTCTCATGTCATGTTTATCAAAGCAATCCCGTAGCATTACATCGAAACGTGCCTATACAGTATCGGGCACTGGTAACGAAAAATCTTCATTTTTAACACCATTATCGACACAAATATCCTCGTCACGTTGTCGTTCATCGTCCTCTCAGAGTCCACCATCGACGCGATCAACATCATGTTCAGGTTCTTCATGTAATAAAGAATCGTCTCCACCCATGCACAATTCAAAAACAACACCATCAGATTTAAATAAAATTTCTAAAACATCGACAACACCAACAATGCCGACACCTGATACAGTCGGACATGAATTTAATTTTAATTCAACGTATACACAATTACGTGATTTAGCTGATACAAATTGTACATATTTTTCTCGACAAAAAACCGATGTTTGTAGAAGATTTGAACGTTTATTAATACAACTTAAACATACACTTGATTTATCGGTACCATTGATTCGATATCTTACAGATAATTTTCATCATTTTGATTACAGTCCAGAAGTATGATATGTTCGATTTTTCGACTTTTTATTCGTACATTGTTTCATTGAACAGATCAAAGCTCATGGATATCGATCATTGGTGGTAGCACACGGTCAGGCATGTGTAGGAACATTAGATATTCTTCAACAAGTTGATACCAAACGTGTTGGCCTTCTATTTAATCTCATGTATTCGTCACGATTATTTCAAGATCTTGAATCATGGACAAAAGCACTTATAGCCATGCAACACATTTTAACATTAGCTGTTAACATGGTTGATTATTCGGAAAAGAAAGTTTTATATGTATGTAGAAGATTTTTGTCGATAGTTTCAATTGAGATTTCTCTTTACATTTAGGTTGATGCCAATCATGTACCACTTGATATTGAACTTGATTATTTTAAAATGGTTGCGTTTGATTCAGAATATTTCTTTGGTCGGACATGTGGTTTTCAAGTAAGAATCGAGTCCATTAGAATAATCTTAAAACGAAAAGAAAAACTGATTTTGACTTAGTTCCAAATGAACAGTAATAATTCACTTGGGGAAACTTCTTCTAGCGTCAGAAATAAAAATCTATAGTAAACATTATTGATTTATATTATTTTTCTCGTTTTAGTTTGCTCCGTCGATGCAAAAAATGTTAACTTTCTTACTAGCTGGTTTGGCTACTTTTCATGAAACTTACAATCGGTCGATCCCTTATGCAGCTGCTAGTCTTGCCACAGCACCGAAATATATTCTATTTCCAGAACAACGAGCTAAAAAGGTTTGATACAGAAAACATCGTTTCTGTTTTATTTAAATTAATATTTTTCGTTTTTAGTGTGCTGCTATATTTCGTGATAGTGATTATTTATTTTGCAAATCATTTTGGAATATAGTTGATCATGATTATGTTAAAATGGGTTCGCGTTATATCGTACCAAGTGTAACTGTATCGAAATATTTTCAAATTGGACCTGAAGAAATTGAAATCAATTCTATTATTATTCCACCACCAACAGCGTGCGCTGCTCCCGATGAACCGAATGAATGTGCAGCTGGAAATATTGGAAATGGTTCAGATAATGCAACAGGTTCCGGTACTAAGCAACCAAAACAACTTGTCAATTTAAAACTTCTATCACATGAAGTACGAGAAGGTATGAATGAATTACCATTGAAAAAAAATGATTTTGAAATATCATCAATGGAAATCTTACCAATGAGTGATCATCTTCTTCTACATATTCACGGCGGTGGATTTATTGCGACATCAACAACAACTCATGAAGTATGTTGAAAATGTTTTGTTTAATTAATATTTAAAGCAAAAGAATGAATTTTTTTATTATTATTTAGGTTTATTTAAAACCTTGGGCGTTGGGTCTTGAAATTCCAATCGTATCTATTGATTATTCATTAGCGCCTGAATCTCCGTATCCACGTGCTATTGAAGAATGTTTTTATGCATATGCATGGGTTTTGAAAAATGCTAATAAACTTGGTTGGAACGGTAAAACACTTTTACTGGCGGGTGATAGTGCCGGTGGAAATTTAGTCACAATCGTTACAATGAAATCAATCGAAGTTGGACTAAGAAAACCGGATGCAATTATTTGTTTTTACACACCCTTTCTTCTTGGCTATAGGTAATCTATGATAGAATGAAGTTTTCGCATAATTTCTACAGTGTTAGAATAAAGTGCATATGTTATTTATTATCGTATATCAAAACCATCTGCAATGTGAGAGGTATTAGGTTCTAACTTATATTCGAATATACCAACGCTGTTGTCAGATTGTGTTTCTTTGGAGATAGTTATATTGAATATAAGATTTCACTGTAAACTATGTTCCTCATTATTATGATAATATTCATAGTTATCCAAAGATAAACAAAAGCCTAGATGATTCGTACATATCTATTCGAATGAATCAAATTTATATATTTTCTATGGTTGATCTCGTTATTAGGAAATAGGTTCGTAACACTTATACGATATTTAAATAATACTTTAGTATGTCACCATCTCGATTAATGGCAATCATGGATCCGTTATTAAATACTGGTTTTCTCTGGCGTTGCCTTGCTGCCTATGCTGGTATTAAATCTTCTGATGATGAATTTGAAACTGTGACAATTCCCAATCTGGATGATACTACAGCAGAAAAACAGCAAAAGCTCAATAATGTAACATCATCACCCGGTCAAACTGTACCTCAATCGGATAATAATTCTTCGCCTGAACAAGTTCCAAACCGTGCAGAATATATTCGAGGAGATTCCTACTACTCTCGATTGGGTACGTTCAGCAAACTGTTTTTTTCTTCAATATATTTTTTTTATCTCACAGGTGATATAATGGGTTCACGTCAAGCATATCTTCTTCGAAAATTAAGAGAATCAACCTTACCAAACAATCCATATATGTCTCCATTACGTGCGTCAGATGATACTCTACGACAATTTCCAACCACATATCTTGTTGTAAGTTATAATAGTTTAAAATTTGTTAAGATTCTTTTAGTCTTACTTCTTCTTTCTCTTCGTTGACATCGTCGATTTGTGCGATTATTTTTATGCGAATTCTGCTGCTATTTTTGTAAATACCTCAACATTTCAGGCATGCCATCAAGATCCACTATTGGATGATTCGATAACATTTGCACGACATTTACGTTCATTGTCAGTTGAACATCATCTCGTCATTGTACAGAATTTAACACATGGTTTTCTCAGTTTTTACAATGCAAATACAGATTGTAAAAGAACAGCAGATCTTATAATGAATGATTTAGCACGAAGATATAATATTGATGGTCCATTATTTCCATCATCGTCATCAACAAAGAAAAAGAAACGAAATAAAAAAAACGTTCTAGCACCATTAACAAATCCAATTTTCCCATTAACAAGAACAACAACAACAACAGATATTATTCGTGAATGAATCTTTTGATATTTTTTTTTTATTTTTATTTTTGTTTGTTGTTTTTATTTAAAACGGAAAAGAAAAAGAAAACATTCTATTTTCAATATGAATAGTAAAATGATCTTTTTTTCTTTCTTTTTTCGGTTGTTATTTTATTTTTCAGCCTTGCGCCCGAGGTAAGTTATTAAAATAAATAATCAACCGCTTATTTTAAATAAAAATCTCTTTTTTTCGAGATCCGTTCATTGATGATAATGTTGAATTTGCACGACGACTACGCGATCTCAATGTTCCTCATCATCTAAATGTTGTCGACGAATTTCCACATGGATTTCTTGATTTTGGCTTTGCAGCAACAAATGTTGCACAATATAATATCGAGATCATAAATATGATGCTCAATATCCTTAAACAATCAGAATCTATTCATACTGACTAAAAATTTTGCATTTTATTTTTCTTTCATGTTTATTTATTCTTTGGTTGCATTTGCACAATAAAAAAAAAATAGTATTGACACGCATTAACGTGGATAATAGTTATATATTGACTGATTTGCATAGGGATCTGGACAGAGTTGGACATATGTTAATGCTTCTTGATAGAGAGTATAGCCAGGTGGTGGAAGTTCTCCAACGTAGGGTGCTTGAACATTGGTGAAATGATCATCTTTGAATATTTGTCCGAATCTGTGAACTATGTCCATGCCGAAAGCAATGTGATAATATTAATAATGATGAAAAACAGAAGCGACTAATTTGCCAATTTAGAAAAAAAAATAGAAGTGCGTATTTAGGCGAGAGAAAAAAATTATTTTCATTTAGAAAACGAACCAATCATTGTTCACGAGGCAAAACACTGTGTATTGCTCTTGTCTCTCTCTCTCTCTCTCTCTCTCTCTCTCTGTCCTCTTAGATACTTTATTTGAAGGACGTGTATAAATTAATTATTTAAGCTATCACTTATTTTATTCGAATAGACACATACACGATAAATCAATAGATGTAACGAGTTAAAAGGCACTAGCTTGCTCAACATCAGTCGGTTCATTGAATTTATTTGATTGACTACTGCCATCTAGTAAAATCGTATTGGACACACACATATATATATTTATAGTAATGAATAAATGCTCAGCATATGAAGCTAACTTGAGTTATTGTGTATTGTTATATTCAATCGTACAGATAGATTTTTTTGACAGTAGTTTTTGTTTTTTTTGTCGCAAACAAAAATGCTTACTAATGACAAACTTTTAAATCAACAAAATGGTGATTCAAATTCGGTAGTTAATATCGATTCTCATTCAATATCTAAACCAACAATATCATCAAATTCCAAGCGTGATTGGGTTTTATTAAATGTTGGTGGTAAACATTTCATGACAACTCGTTCAACATTATCAAAAGAAGAATCATTTCTTTGTCGTCTTTGTCAACATGAACCTGATCTTAAAACTGATGTTGTATGTTTTCTTTTTTCTCTTCAATTAAATGAATGAGTCATATTGTTTGATTCTTTGTTGTTTTTCTTTTATAAACAGGATGATAAAGGAGCGTATTTAATCGATCGTGACCCAAATTATTTTAATGTTGTGCTAAAGTAAGAAAAAAAACATTTTATCTTCGATTATTTTTCTTTATTTTCTCTAATATAGTTATCTTCGTCATGGTAAATTAATCCTTGAAACAAATCTTGTCGAAGAAGGTGTACTCGAAGAAGCAGAATTTTATAATATACGACCATTAATTGAACTTGTTAAAGACAAAATTCGCGAAAGAGATAGACGGAAATTCAATGATGTAAGTTTTACAAAACTGTTTACATAGAATATTGACATACGATAGACAACAAACAATCTCAAGGATTTGTTAATTCATTTGACATGACCCATATAGAATCTTTGTATTTTGTTTTTCACGGAACAATGAGCAGCAAATTTTGATCATGTGTTAGTACTCGCATCTTTCTATTGCGCTTCGCTATTTTATTTCCTATTATCAACATACCGGGGGATTATCGTCCACGACATGATGATTATGATCAAGATTGCTAAATATTTCATGATATGAAATTCCATTATTTTAGTGTGCAACAAATCGTGTCTATCGAGTAATACAATGTCAAGAAAAAGAAGTAACTCAATTAATGTCGTCCTTAAGCGATGGCTGGAAATTTGAACAGGTAATTGATCTACGAGAAAAAAAAAATTCATATGCATCGCTGTTTTTCTTGTTTTTGCCTTCTAATTTAGCTCATTGGCCATTCACCTGTTGGTTCAAGTTATATGTATCCTGAAGGTGAATTTTTATGCATTGTTTCAAAACAATACGATCGAGGAACACGAGAAGATAACAATACTTGTGTATCTGAACGAGTTAAAGTAAACGAGAAAAATAATTCAATCAATTGCTAGATAGCTTACAATTTCTTTATTTTAGATTTTACAAGAACGCGGTTCCCGCATGTGATGTTTTTCTTACTCAATAATTACAAATTTTCTTGTCCAATATTCTGTCACATTGTTTTTTTCTCTTTTTGGTTTTTTTGTAAATATAGTTTTTTTTTACTCTGTGTGCATTAGCTAGTCATTCGTTTCTTTTTTCTTGTTTTTAATATTCTCTTACACTTACATTCTCAACGGGCATATTACTGAATGAAATTGGTATCAAATACACTTGTATGCGTGGGATGATTTTTTTTTCTTTTGATGCATAATATAAATTTTCATAAAACATCAAAACAAAGAAATTTACTCATAGCTTGGTTTGATCGATCAGAAATAAACTCATGTTATCAGGCGACCTATGACGTCAGGAGAAAAAACAATTTCGCATCTTTCGTAATTCATGACTAACTATATGCGCTCTTTGTTTCTGTTCTTGCTGGTAACCCCTTGACGACAATAATGGCATTCTGTTTTTTCTTTTACTTCTAATGTTGAGCAATACACTTTAATGAAACACGAATAGGGAACCAAATGTTATAGCGAAATATTCGCGGTGATTGATGACATTGCAGTTTTTTTTTGCTTTTCTTCGTTTTGTAAACTGCACGTCCTTTTTATTAGCTTAGAAGAAAAAAAGCAGGCCTCTAACGCAAACGGAGATTTCTTGTATGTTTTTTGGTCAATGGTTTATATGAGTAATTTCGCAATTATTATGTTCTTTTTCATAAAGATTGATGATGCGGAATAGTCGAAGAAAAAAATAAACGATAAAAGTAGATGTGAGAGAAAAAACATTATGAATCATGACGTTGTTCCATACCTATATAAAGCTATACGTTTAGTTTTATCGTGTTAGAAACAACTCACTTTTTCAACTGCTACGTTTGTCGTCAAATAGCGAATCACCTTACTTCGTAAAAAAAAACGAAAACAATGACTGGTCACTTCTTTGAAGGAGCTGAAAAACTATTGGAGATTTGGTTTCTTTCAAGTAATAATAATTCGGGTACCGATAAAGGAAACAATGATTTACGTAATATTCCTCGGTAATTAGCTCAGTTTTGATTATATATATGATAAACGATTAAATTTCGTTTTGAAGGGATCTCATTGAAGAAGTATTAAATTTGGTTAATTGTAAAGTTCTAAAGTACGCACAATCGGCTACAACCGACACATATGTATTAAGTGAATCAAGCATGTTTATATTTCAATCACATTTTGTTTTAAAAACATGTGGCGAAACAACATTACTTCATGCTGTTCAGCCAATGCTCGCGCTTGCACGAGACTATTGTGAATTCGACAAGGTTGATGTAAGAACAAAAACGATTGATTAGTTTTTGTAAATAATCTTTAATTGAATTGTTTTTGCTTTTGCTTTTTAGCAAGTTTTCTATAGTCGCCGTAAATTTCTTCGACCAGAATTGCAAAAAGCGCCACATTCGAGTTTCGATCATGAAGTATAAAATTTTGGTTTTTGCAAAATAATAATATTTTATCTTTCCTTGTTTAGGTAGCGTATCTTGATTCGATCTTCGAAGGTAAATAATGGTTCAACATATCATTGTTGACTTTTGAAATTCTACTTTTTCTATCAAGGTGGTTGCGCCTACGTTCTCGGTCGTACAAATGATGATTGTTGGTGAGTTTATACATAGTATTTTTTATTTTATTTTTGTTAGCATGAATAGCATTTTGATATCATGCTACTTAAAAATAAAAACGTGCATGACACCATAGAAATCTCTAGGGGCACAATGTACGTGATAGAATGATAATTGACGTTTTTTGTTTTTGTTCTCTTTAGGTATTTGTATACACTTGATAAGACTTGTGCTGGAACAAAATCAGATCAAACATTAGAAATCATCATGACCGAATTGGATCCGGAAAAGATGAAAATTTTCTATCAAGAAAATACAAGTTCAGCTGCTGAAGCTACACAAGTAGATTGATCCGCATAGAATTGAATTTCCTATTCGAATGTTTTCTTTTTCTTTTTGTTCTTTCAGAAAGCTGGCATTGATAAAATATTTCCAAATGCAAAAATTTTCGATTATCTATTTGATCCTTGTGGTTATTCAATGAATGGTTTATTACCCGATGGTCATTATTTTACAATTCACATAACACCAGAACCGGATTTTTCATATGTTAGCTTTGAAACAAATGTTTCATACAATCAATATCAAGACATTGTTCGTAAGATTTTAAAAATGTTTAATCCAGGCAAATTTACAACAACAATTTTTGGAGGCTCGGTAAGAAAATTCATAAATTCGAGTTTCTCTTGTTTTTTTGGAATGCATTATTTGTTTATAGGCAGCAACAAGTCTTGATAGTCAACGTAAAATATTTCAATATTCTGATTATGGACGCGTTGATCATCAAATTGTTTGCTTGGTTGATTACGATCTAATTTACAGCTATTATAAAAAGTATCCAAGCTGAGGATTATGCAACACCGTCTGCATGTGCCGTAAAAGATCGAGCGGCATACATGCACGACAGAGTGTTGCATATAGAAACTCAAAAGTAAAACGAACAATGAAAATAATTAATTTAAACACTTATGTACAATGTCCATTATTGATTCAAATATATCTCAAAAATGATTTGGTGGTAGTAGATTTAATATCAAAGAAACGGATTAAGAAATTGAAGTACGGATTTCATCACAGTTCGAAGAAGTATAGATAATATTTGCTCACTATTATTGGCCTTTGTAAATTAGTGTTTTTATATAAATTTTTTTTCATTTTCTTTTTGCTTTTTGGAATAACGTATAACAACAATTATCGGAGGCAACATTTCAAATAAGAAGAAAATAAATAATTGAATATACGTAAACTAATTTATTGAATTTGCTTAGGAAGATAAACGCATAACTAATGTAAGAAAGAAATATTTCTTGAATTGTTTTTATTTGAAGAATTGAATTTTTTCTAACTTTCGACTTGCTGAAAACTTTGTGCTCGGCGTTCTAATTTTAACAAAAAGACAAAAAGGAAAACCAATGAAAAATGTATCGTTTACAACTTACTTCTGCCAGCTGATATATCTAAACGACAGAGAATAATACCAAATATAAAAACGATTAATAGACAACCACCGCCAACCATTAAAAGTCGTGATGCTTTTTCAAAACCTAAATAAAAGAAAGGTATACTTGAAAATGTAGTATAAACTTCAATAAAGTTAATGATGTTTGTGGAAATAGCCTGAAAGCAATGCTAACAACAACCTCTAGTATATAATTAAGAAAACTCGTCTACGTAAGAGAGTTTCATAGACTCATAGAAAACGTTTTTCAAGGACATCATGTGTTTTCTTGAAATATGTGACTTCATCAAGACTTACCAATCATTTCATTCGATGGATAAAATTGACGTTCAGATGCATGTGTTGCTGCAGAATATGCTCTAGTGCTCATGGTTTATTTTTTGATTCTATATATTTTATAGTTCTGAAAGATTTGTGTTATCAGTTCGAGTATACAACGAGAAATGCGTTCGCCAACTCAAGTGATATTAATATGAGAGACGCGTTTGCAAATACATAGGTGCATCAGTTCGCTTTTCTCTCTCTCTCTCTCTCTTCCATTTATTGACTTTAGTATTTTTCCATTCTCCATTTTTAGTGCCTAGTATTCTCTTTTTTTTTTAAGTAGTCTACTATAAATTTATTCTTTCTTTCCTTGCAAAAAATAACAAATAACGAAAAGAAAAGGCCATAGTATATGCATTGACGAGAGGATGAAAATACTGAATAACAAGAGTCGTAATCAATGATAAAAAAAAGGAAAGATATGCTCGTAAAAAGGAATATTTCTTTTTTTTTTAAATGTTTTATATGCCCGAGAATATAAATGCGATGTGAAGTTTCGGCAAATAAATAGTGACTTGATCGGTTGGTGTTCTTCATTCATGCAAAAGTAAACTGATAGAAATTCTATTGAATATAATGACGGAATAATCAATTGATGATGGGTTCGAATTTCATTTTGTACGTGATAGACATTTGAGAAACTAGACACACAACTGAGAGTGAGCTACAGATGTTTATTGAGATGTAGATAATGAGAGGGAAAACAAGGAAGAAACAGAACACAAGAAAAAGTCAAGATTTAAAATGTTCCTTTATCCCAACCCATCATGTTGCCAGCTATATTTGTAAATTTAATATAGATTCGACTTGTTTGAATATTTAATTTTTCTTCAAAAAGACTCATAATTTCTTTGCTAATACTGGCTGTTTTATTCGTTGGTAGTCCAATTGAAGTAAGTTCCATAACTGCGGCTGGATCATTGGTACCAGAAAAGAATAATTTTTGACCTGCTACGACATGAACAGCAACATAAGTTTCAGGTTTACCCAATGATTGTGCTACTTTTGCACTAAGTTGTTTAAGAAAATCATTTGTAACTTGACTATCAGCAACATTTGTTTGTACGGTTAAATACGGCATTTTTAGTTTGTTGTTTACGAACACAATCAGTGTTTCCAATGAAAATCTAAAACAAAATATGTTCTGTACATTTTGCCATTGAAAACATTGAACACAGTGTTAACCTCTTCTGTTCGCTTAGGAAAAATATCAACCTATAGAGTTCGAGTCCTTACTTTACCAGCATCAATCTATGGTATTTTCTTTCATTTGATTGGCTACTAAACCAAACGAGTCGAATGCGTATTTCTTTTTAGTTTATATTATATGGCTGTTGTTATAATTTTTCTTCAATACTTGTGGGAAGTATTGAAACACAAGTATTTTATTATTGTGGCCGGTTTTCGAATAAATTACTTACTTCGATCGACATCGTATAGAGTTTCCTACAGACGACTTTTTCTTCATGATATATCCAAACTAGGGAAAAGCGAATTTTGGCCCTATGCCGAATACTTTTGTGGAAGTAAAGACATCAATCAAAAGAAACATGATGCATTCCATGTAGCTTGGTTACATCATGTTGCTCATAATGATCATCATTGTGAACATTTCATTTCAAATTATTCTCAAATAGCTAAACAATTACGAAATAATCCAGAATTAGCTCAAAACTATTTAAGAGAAATGCCCGATGATGCTATTGTAGAATTGGTTGTTGATAATGTGGCTGCCACTCGATCGTACGAAGGATATTGGCCTAATGGGGATCAAAAGGATGGATGGACATATATGACAAAATACTTCAATCATTATGTTCTTCATCCAAAAACTCGTATCAAATTTGGTGCTCTCCTTTGTGCTCTCGGTTATACTCAAGTATTACCTAACGAATTCGATTGGACACAAATGTATCGATCCGATATATCTTCTGATGATCGGATGAAACTTGCACAACTCAAAGCACTAGTAAACTGAATCAATTCGAACACCTTTTTTTTAAAGGGTGTGATTAACTCAGAAAGAAGATTCTCACTTAAAAAAAAACGTTTTTTTAACAACTTTTATGAATCTTAAGTCGATCACTTAATTTTACATTAACCCTTTACGACCGGATGTGTTGTCATTTGGCAACATTGTGCCAATATTTTAGGAAAGGTCTAGTTATACTGTGGATAGATAGCGAATCCATGGTTCAATAATTACTACAACACATTTTAGAACAAACTCATAGTCCATAAAGTAAAACAAAAACGTTCAGTTGAGAAAATGACCGGATCCTTCCTGAATACCCATCAAGAAAAGGTGAATCTTTTCATTTACTCATACCAGAAAAAAAACATACAAAATATATATGATGCATTTTCATAGCTTTGCCTAGCTTCAAATGGAGTTTTCTATGAAAAAACACCAGCATGGTAGTATTGCAGCTCTCGAAGGCTTGGATGTAGAGAAATAGAAGATCTACATAAATACGTATCCTGATGCCCACCAACACAAAAACACAAACAGCTACTTTTTCCTCAAGTTCAACGTATGCCAAATTTTTCATACAAAAGTGGATTTGAATCGCGGAGAAACTGTTCAGGCGTATCGTATATTTTTTTCTACGCTTTTTCTTGAATGATTAAATGAAAAGAACGTAAAATAGTGAATTTTGGTGATCAAAAACGAAAAATGAATTTTCCAAATAAAGCCATTCAACATAGAAGCATCATTTTATTTTGAGAAATAGTTTCTTGCTATCTCTATGTCAGGATAAGAGATTTAACTATGTCGCTTCTGAGAGCCGGCTGGAAAGAGTTAAACGAAGGAAATTTCAATAATAAAAAAACTATCATCAATAATTAATATTTTAAATAGATAGTCATATTCAGCATCGGGTTTTTACTTGATGTGTTGAGTGTCATGATTGAGTATTCCAGTGAAAATATTAGAAAGAAAACAATTTGTTCAACAAAATGGCATGTAATATGAATACATTGTAAATCCAGCTCTTGTAAAAGAAAAGCGCAAAATTGTAGGTAAAGGAAGGACATCAAATCGTATTCGACGACTTCTGACGGTCTGTCAACCAACTCTACTTGATCATGTTCTTAGTTACATTTGAAAACAAATAAACAACCATCTGATGACGTGTGACGTCATTCGTTTCAATCCTGTCCACTAAATGAGGTCATATGTATATGCATATACATGTTCCCCACATCTATAGATAAAGAAACCATTACAAGTAACGACATATGGAGACCAAACGATGTATTTTATACTTCATTTTCTTCTTTTCTTATACTAAAATATCTCTATCGAAATTGTAATTCTTTCTTCAACTTTTATCCCTTTTTTCTCTAAAATAGTGTTACTATAACTCAAAATGGTTTTTTTTTTTTTTTTGTGAGACTACAGAGACGATGTTCGTCTAAGTCTATCTCCCCTGGCTTTCTTATATATGTATGCCCTCTTCTCCACCCAGGATAAATAAAATAAAGCAATAAAAGAAATAAATAATATGAATACATTGGATACTGAATTCTTTCTTTGTCATCATTTTTCGTCTACTCAAAGGTGAATATTTACATTGTTGCTATGTATAATCCTTCTTCCTAGCACTCATATTTGAAAGCAACTTGGAGAAAAAAAGGCAAAAAAAAAACAGAACAGAAAGTGTTGTCAGATTGCAAAATATAAGAAGCAAGTCATTTGAAAAAAAAAGTGCACGGCAGAAGTAACCGAAATTTTTATTTTCAATAATACATTGCAACTTTCAAGGACACTTTGATTTCCAACATTTCATTGTGGTGAGTAAATTTTTGGGGTGGGTGTTGAACTCAACAAAGCCATAGATTTTTGCATTTCTGATTATGAGGGAAAAGCTAATATCGTTCGCTTTTTTTCTTAGTTTTCAATCGAAAAATTCTATCGATCAATTTATTCGCAATTTTAAATAATAAATTTAAAAAAACTAATGGCTGCAAAATTTGTCGATATCGATGAACAAAACCCTACGAAACGTTTTTCTGATATAGCGGGAGAGCCTTGCCGAATGTTGATGCCTATTCAAGGCTACGAGAAAAAACCTCTTGTTCCACTCGAAGAGGCCGTAGAACCCATTGTTGAGTATGTCCCTGATGTGAAACGAATGGCCTACGTTGCGAAAATGAAATGTGCAGAGCTTTCGCCCGGCAGACTATCTATTGATGAAGCAGCCTCCATTACACTCTATTCAATGGAATGGGAGCCGCAAGACGAATGTCTTTACTATGTTTTAAATCAAACTCTACGCAATGAAAATCGACAAAAACTAAAACCTTGGTTTCTTTTTCTCCGATTGATTCTTACTGCGTTGGCGCAACTCCCATCAATCACTGCGAATGTCTTTCGTGGTGTTAAACGAGACATGAGAAAAGAATATCCCGAAGGAAGAACATTTGTCTGGTGGGGATTCAGTTCTTGTACATCTAAGCTAAATGTACTACAGAACGAACAATTTTTGGGTAAAACCGGACCAAGAACATTCTTTACGATTGAATGTGATAGTGGCAAGGATATTCGAAAATATTCTTCGATTCAAAACGAACACGAAATTCTTCTACTAGCTGCAAGGCAATTTCGAGTCGAGG